GCTTTTATAAATAATAAGTTTAAAAAAGAAATTATTAGCATAATTATAAAGGTAATATATAATTAACTTTAATTTTATTATATTTTTTATAGCAAGGATAAGATAAATATTAAGTAATAATAAATTAATATATATATTATAATTATTAAGCTATTTATAATAATAAAGAAGTTTAATAATAAAGAGGAGTTTATTTATAGCTTTGCTTATATGTTTTTATAAAGGCTTTAAAAGCATTATATAAATAAGGAGAATAATATTAAAGGTAAGACTTTAAAGGAGCATTGCATTAAAATTATAAAGAAAGTTAATAAGTATTGCAATTACTTTATATTGCTAATAAATATAATGGTTAATATTTTATAATTTATATTAATTTATATATTATATAATAATTTATTAAATAAGCTATTTAACTTTTAATTTATAATATATTAGCTTAAATAAATAGGTTAGCTTAAGAAGAAATTAATAATAGCTTTAGCTTTATTTTTTAATTTTAAGCAATTTTAACTCCTTAAATATAATAAATTAAATAAACTTATAAAAATCTTTAATTTTAATAAAAAAAAGATAAAAAAGTTTATAATTAATCTTTATTTTATTAAAATTAATAATAATATTATAGCTAAATTAAAACTTTAAGGCCTTTTTAAAATAAAGAAATTTTAAAATATCTTCTTAATTTAATAATTTATTATATTTAATGGCAATTTCATTATTATAAATATTATATAATTTTTTTTTATTTTAAGTTAAGCAATGCATTAATTTTATTATAACCCAGCCCTTTTATTTTATAAATTAAATAATATTTAAGATAAGCATAAAAATTTCTTTTATTTAAAAATACTTTAAAATGTAAATAATAAGATTATTATTATTATTATATTAAAATTTTAATATTATAAAGCCATTATTATTTAATGCATTCTATAAGCATTATATATATTCTTTAAGGATTAAAGGCATGCCTTAATTATGCTTATTAAAACGCTTTTTATAGCTTTAATTATTAAAGGCATTCTTAATAATAGCAAAATTATATTAGCTTATATTATCTTTCTTACTTATATATACTTATTTATTTAAAACGCATTATATATAATTCATTAATTAAAGGCAGCAAAAATCCTTAATAAAAATAATTTAAATCTTGCCTTCTTAAATAATAAGCATTAATTTAATAAATATAATATATAATATAATATTAAATTAATTATTATAATATTCTTAAATAATAATAATAATGCTTATTTAATTAAAGGTAAATAATATAAGGATGATATTAATAAATATAATTAAAAAGTTTAAAATTATTATAAAATTCTTAACCTTGCATTTAATTTAAGTCTTATTTAATAATAATATATTTATTAATTTATTAAAGTAAATATTATAAAGTAAAAGATATATTATAAATTTTTATTTATTGCTATTTAAAATACTTATTATTATAACTTTAATTATAATTACTTTTTTTTAATAATAAATAATTATGCTAAGCTAATTTATAAAAAGTATTAAAACTTATAATATTTATTAATATTATTAGTAATAAAGTTTAAAAATAAAACTATTTATAATATAACTTTAGCTATAAAGATTAAGGAAAAGATAGTTATTATAAATAATATTTATAAGGAAATAGCTTTATAAATTAAATAACTTAAACTTAAAAACCTTAATTATAATCCTTAAGTTATAATTATTATTAATTAAAATATAAATAATAATAACGTTATAGCCTTAATATATAAAATGCTTAATATTAACTTATAATTTAATAAACTTATTATTTATATTATTAATTTATAATTAAAGAGCAAGGCATTAAAAAAAAGCTTTTACTTTAAATATAATAAGGATATATATTAAGCCTTAAGAATCTTTAATATCTTATGCTTAAATATATAGCTTAAAAAGCTATATAATCTTATAAATTATATTAAGGAGTTTACCTATAATAAATATAATAACATTTAAAAACTAAAAAACATTATATTTTAAAAATTATAAAATAAATATAAGCCTAGCTTAATATATTTATTATATTAACTTAATAACTTAATTAATATCTTAACTTTAAATAAAATAAAGATCTTAAATAAAAATATTAATAAATTTATAAAAAGAATCCTTAATAAAGCTAAGATTATTATTTATATATTTATTATTACCTAATCTTTAGCATATAAGGAATTTATAAACCTTATAATTATCCTTATTAATAAAGCATTATAAGAATTTAAATTATATATTTATTAAATATAAATTATATTTAATTGCTATCTTTTTATGCTTATTAACAATTATTACTAAGATAAACCATTTATTAATAAATAATATAATAAAAATAATAAATATAAGAATATTTATTTTAATTAGCTCTTAATACTCCTTTCTTATTAAGTTATAGCTATAAGATTTAATTACATTGCCTTCCTTATAAAAAATCATTAATAACACGAGAAACTTTAAGATCTTACATTTAACGTTTTTTATAATAAAAACATATAAATTATTTTTAACTTTTACGCGCCTTTTAACTTAACCTATGCTTAATATATATTTGCTTAATAACTTATCCATAATATATATACTTTTAAAATAGATTTTAATCTTATTAATAATAAGGTAATTAAGTTGCTCTTTAGTAATTATATTTCTTTAATATGCTAATTTATAATAATTAAAAAAGGCATTAACTTTATTAATATAATATAGGCTTAGCTATTAATAAAAATAGCGGGTTATATTTATTAATCTTATATTTTAAATATTAATATAATAATAAGGCCTTAAATTTATATTATTATGCCTTATAATGCTTAAGTTAATAAAATTAAAACCTACTTATAAGCCTTATTTAATAAGGAAATTTATTATAACCTTATTAAAGTTTATATTTAAATAGCTATAATAGGCGGTAAATACGATATTATAATTCTTTGCTTTATTTAAAATAATAATATAAGATTCTTCTTTAAAATTAACTATATTAATATTATATAAATGCGCTGTAAGTACTTATTAATTAATATTTTAAATAAGAACTTTTTTATTAAGCTTAGAAAATAAAATGCAAAGATTATGGCTTAATATATAGCAATTTAAGCATTTTATAATATATATTATAAAAATCTTTGCAATTAAGGCAATATTTGCCGTTAATGCTACATTCTTTACTATATTATTAAAAAGGTTGCTTAAAAGGATTATAATAAGCTTATTTATTTCTTTTATAAGTTTAAAGATTACCATACCTATAATTATTAAAAAAAGAATTTGCTTAATCCAATTATAAACCTTAATATTATTAACCTTTTATAATAAAATATTAAGTAAAATTATAATAATAAGGAAATTATTAATTAATAAAAAAATAATAAATATAATCTTAATATAAATTCTTTTATATAATTTAAAAAGAACTTTTAAATAAATTAATAAAATAATAATAATAATGTTAATTATAATAAAGTTAAAAAATTAATAAAGAAACTTTACTTAAACTTAAAGGCTTAATTAAATAAATTGCTTTAAGATAATGCCTTAAAAATGCTTAATATATAGCCTCTTATTATATTAGCAAAAAATATAAAGCTTAATAAATTTAAGCAATTTAATAATAAAAATAAAGAGGAAAATAAAGATTAAGCTAAAAACTTAAATAACTTTAAAGAATTCTTAATAAGTAAGAAGATTATTAAGCCTAAAAAGGTTTATTAAGGCTTAAAAAAGGAAAAGAAGAATATATAAATTAATATTTACGCTGCAAATAACGATAAAGTTGCTAATTAAAACCCTTAAATTGCGGCCATTAACACTTTTACTTTAACTCTAATCATTATAAACACACCTATTATAAATTTAGATTTAATTTTCATTAATTAAGCTAATAAGTTTAACTAGGCCACTAAATCCAGCTAAGCCGCTAAATCTAAGTAGGCTAATAAACTTAATAAGTTTACTAAATAAGCTAACAAACTTAATAAGTTTATTAATTAAGCTGCTAAACTTAATAAGTTTTTTAATTAAGCTGGTAAATTTAATAAGTAAAATAATAAAAATAAATAATAAATAAATTAAAACTAAGAATTCTTAAAAAAGAAGTAATTATGAGATTATTTAATAATATTAAAATATATAAGGATATATATATTTTTTAAGAGCTGAGCATATTAAGGGATGATTAAGCACTCCCCTTTCTTTTAATATACTATACCTTTTATAGCCCGCTTAGCATTAGCTTCTTTTAATATATATATATATTCTGCGAGATACTTTAATTAAATTGGCTATTAGCAACCCCATTTAGTTCCCTAATCTGGTTCTAGAAGCCCTTGTGTGTCTCGTTACAGGGCATACGTTAGCTTTAGAATGAACTACCCCGGAGATGGAGGATGGCATGTGGAAGAAGCATTGTTTGAATAGAACAGAATAGAAAGCACGAAGCGTATTTGGAAAAGACGCATTTTCTTCAGTGAACCATGTGGCCTTCCAGGCATCAAACGCCTTGTCGAACCTGGCTTCAAGTTTGGTGTTCTTATCAAGCATTGTAACTGTGTTGCAGGTCGACTGGACGGACTCCTTTTTGGGCGGCGGATGCAGGCGTAAAAAGCCATGACGGACACTAAGTCATATATTTTATTTATAGAGACTTTCGAGGAGCGGGAGATGATGATGAGGATGCGGCTGAGGGAGAGGCTTTATAATTGTTGGAAGTTGCCTGGGTCCCATTGGGTCTAGCCCGGTCACGACATACCATCACCCCTCCCTCACTTTATGACAGTCAAATTCTGGCCTAACAACTATGCTGGGGGCGGGGCTAGATAAAAAAGAGGGGTGACTATAGGGGTATCTAGATACTAAAAAACCAAGACAAGGCTACGGGCAACACAGAAGCACAAACGCCTTGGGCACATGGTAGGATCGAGTATCAACACATGACTCAATTGGAAAGACGTTATTCATTACTCCCTTTCCTGTGCTGAGAATTAAATATTCTGCGCAGTTCCTTGGGGTGCAGCCTTTTTGACATGTCTCTCTGAACGTCGAAGTATCTGAGCGACTCCCTGAATTGCCCTCCGAGCCGGACTCCTGGTCTCTGGTTGCGGGACAACGACAGGAGGATTCTCCTCTCGCGCAGCCTCAGCAGGAGCTTCCTCCTGACGTGAAGCCTCAACATGGACATCTTCCTCGCTCGAAGCCTCAGCATGGACATCCTCCTCGTGCGTGACTCCCACGGGGGTAGATTTCGCCCCACGCTCTAAAACGTGTTGCTCGACAGCGACGTCGTATACATCGCAAAGATGCCTGGCCGTGAGTTGGATTTGAACTTGTTCGCATCCAGGATGACGAATTACATGATCTTCGCAGATAAAATCGCTCAGAAAGAGACATAATTTGAATGAGTCCACAACGTTCCCACCTGAGTCCCGGAAAGCCTGTATACATTCTGAGTATCAGCCGTTGGATAACTTGAAACCATTGGAACAAAAGAATGAAAAGGGCATACCTCGTCGTAGTCGCACTCGGGCGTCAATACCTTCCGCCCGTCAACATCCTTGAGGCGAGCCCTCCACACAGACACTGTCGCCGCAGCTGGGCCTTCTGAATTTTCCTCCAATGTCTTCCCTTCATCGGATTCCTTGTATATGTCATGCAGATTCACGGTAACAACAGTGCGAATGTTGCCATTAGACAAATTGATGAGTTCCCGTGCCCTCTCTGCCAATTCCTCACTGTTATGGTGACTCCAGCTGACCTCGATCGCTAAAGAAGGTTGCGCCTGCTTACAGTCCCGAAAGAAATAGGATCCATCCGGCTGTTTTCTATCCGGGACTTCCTTAAAATAAATTCTTGCATCTCCTCGCGGTTCGATGTTTGCAGCCACACGTTGCAAGTCTTCAGGGGTGTCCTCGTACCCTTGAAGCCCATGTTCTATATAAACTCCAATCCTGGTAAGAAGGGCCTTGAATTTGTCAACGAATGTGCCATGTAACGCGGTCACACTCATAAGGATCGTGAATTGGTTCTTTGAAGTCGAATACTCGTACCTGTGTGCTCGTCAGCCCACATATGTAACTAGGAGCTAATACCACCAAGCGTCTTCTAAAGCCAGCCCAACTAATATACGTACCGGAGCTCGTGATTGAAATAATGTCCTAGCTCTTGGTTCTTGTGAACACGCTCGAGAAGATAGGCGTATTCTCTTGGGCTCAGTCTCTGGCTCCAGAACTCCCGATCGGTGTCCTTTGGGCGGTTATATTGGGACCCCTTCTTGGGGCGGATCTTGTTGACCTCCCTGATAATGGTGCTCACACGGGCCACAGAGGCTTTGGGCACCGCGGAGTTGCTCTTTTTAGGCGCCAGACTAATGTTTGGCTGAGACGATTCCGAGGTACGGGAGACAGGCACGACGGCCTGATTAGGGGTCGCTGGAATTTCAGAATGAAGTGTGAGTGCTTGGTCAGGGGAAACCTGTGTGGGGCTTTGGGGAGGGGCGAGAGGCTGTTCATGTGAGGGACCGGTCGTCTTTGGTGTCGTTTCTGTAGGTCTAGAATATGGTTTGCTTGTTCGAAAGAAATCGAGAAGACCCTTTCTCTCGCGAGTCGGCGATAACATGCTACGAAGGCAAACCGCTGAACAACCTTGCACAGATGAAATAGACAGATATGAATGTGGGTGGAAAAGGACAGAGAGTAGGGCAGGAATACGATGTACCGACCGGTGTGGCTCATTTCAAGACCTGCTCCCATCAAGCCGCTGACCAGTAAAGTTGCAGGTTGTGGCCAGACTGAGGGTGGTGTTGTTGACCCCTCTCAGCCTGCATTCAGAGATGCAAGTTGGGGGGCACACCAAGCGCAATTCGAAATACAACGGTGGTCAGATCGGATGCGCCCTAACCCACATAAATTGATTGAATGCAGACATGCCCCTACTATCCTCTAAGCCAATGCATGATTGTTTTCAAAAGTAGCTGAAATATGAAAGGCAGAGATCGCAGACAAGCGATGTTTCATTGTTTGCTGAAGCAACACAAGCATTCGAATTCATTTTGCAATTGTCGGAAGACTCTGGCCAGGCCCTCAAGTCGATCGGAAAATCTGTTGCAGGCACAATATGGCTTAGGGAGTGTGAACATGCATGCTTCATCACGCTAAAACACGTGGTCATCTGGCTCTGTCGGCCGGCTTGTGCAATGCTCTTCGGCACGTGAAGGATCTGGTTAGCCGGCCCGTCAAATGGCCAGACCGGTCACCTTCCCAGGCATAGTGTCATATTGGCCGACAATATTGAGTATCATGTAGATCGGGACGATGCTGATCCTGTCCCTCCCACAAATCATAATCAAGCCGAATGCATTATTTCAGACGCTAACTGGTATCGGTGCTCTCGATTTAGAGATCTTGCGAACAAGAACAACACAGAGTGTACCTGTCCCCACGACCACCTAGGTCAATGGGTGCAGAAACGCCACCCCTTAATCTTTTACCGACACGGCTATAGCTCGAGGTTGTGCGACCTGAGGCTGGTTTGCACGTGATTACCTGACATAATGTGTTCCCAACTGCCTATCTCTATGCTCTACCCTGTCAAAGCCTTGTCATGCAAAGGAGCTGCCGAGTTGGCTCAGGTGCCAGATGTTGCTGGGAGTAAGTAAGTATCCTTCTACTGCTCATCGAAAAGCATGAAATCCTGCCTTGTTGAGCCCTGCTAATTGGGGTTTTATGACAACATGAATTGGGGTCTGGATGATTGCTCCTCTGGTTGTTGGCAGCCACAGTCAGCCTGTATCTCTTTCAGACTACGTGATTTCTTCTCAATGCTGCATTTTTTTTTTTTTTCTCAAATAAGAAAAGAAGCATGAAGAAACCATTCAGACCCAATGCGGACCTATTGCATGGGGGTCGCCGTACCAAGCAGGCGTGTGGTTGACGACCTAGGTATGAACTCACGGGTCACTAGGTAGGCAAGACCCAGAATCCCAAAGAAATAAGCTTCAGCAAAACAGTCAGTCATGCCAACGATTGTGCTCACCAAACATTGTTTTTGCAGACCCGCCAGGCCTTACCATCAGCAAGGAATATGTTTTGATTGACATGGTGATCTCATCTCCGCCATTCGCTTCATCTCCTACCGAAGCCTGGCGCGGTCCCGCTTTCAGTGCTCCGAGGCCCGGATTTTCCGGCCCGGCCCAGCACATCCCGAGTCTGGGGCATCGATACGACAGGGAAAAGAGAATACGACGCCGAGTCGGGTTGCTGCTGCAACATACGGCGGGTACGCGCGAATTCACCCGGGCTCGCTTGGAATCAATCTCCTCAATCCGCGTGTGGAATTTCCCCCGCGAGAATGACGTGGTTGAAGAAACCACTCTTGAATCGTCGCGTAAAATCAAAAACACGATTGATTCATCGTCTTCCATGTTGGCTTTTTTTGACGTGTTGGCGAATTTTGTTGAGTTGAGCGTTTGTTCGCACCGCACAGTTGAGTGGACATTGTCACCATGCTTCTCATCACACTCTTCACGTCTCTGCTTGGGGCGGGCTTGGGGGCTCAGGCACTGGACAACTCATTCACCAATCCCATCCTGCCGGGTTGGCATTCGGACCCTTCCTGCACCGGCGTCATTGCAGAGCTCAACAACACAAATTTCTGCGTGACGTCAACCTTCTTAGCAACACCGGGCCTCCCAATCTACGCAAGCCAGGATTTCGTGAACTGGAAGCTCGTCAGCAGCGCACTCAACCGAGAGTCACAGTTGCCAGAGATCGGAGATTCCAGCCCCGGGCAACAAAACGGCATTTTCGCGCCCACGTTCCGCTACCGAAACGGCACCTTCTATGTCGTGGTCGTTTCTGTGCTTGGTGTGGACCCTGATCAGGGGATCGTGGGGACCATCTACACGACAACCGACCCGTACTCAGATGACGCGTGGTCTGACGCGCTCCGGTTCACGCCGGCGAGCATCGACCCGGACCTCTTTTGGGACGACGACGTGGACGGGCAGGTCTACATCACCTGCGCGGGCATCCAGCAGGCCAAGATCGATCTCAGCACTGGAGAAACCAGCTCGTCATACTACATCTGGAATGGCACTGGTGGGCCTAGCCCGGAAGGTCCTCACATCTACAAGCCGTGGAAGGACGGGTACTACTACCTGATGATAGCTGAAGGCGGCACCGAACTGGGTCACGCGGTGACAATCGCGCGTGCGACCGCCGTCGATGGACCTTACGAAGCGTTCGAAGGAAACCCGATTCTGACCAACCGCAACACAAGCGAGTACTTCCAAACCGTTGGCCACGCAGATCTGTGGCAGGACGCCGATGCAAACTGGTGGGGTGTTGCGCTTTCGACGAGGTCTGGCCCGGAATGGCTCAATTACCCGATGGGCAGGGAGTCGGTGCTCTTCAATGTCACCTGGGAGGAGGGAGATTGGCCAGTCTGCCAGGACCCTATCCAGGGGGAAATGAACGGGTGGGACCTGCCGTCTGCGTCCGGCAGTATTCCCGGAGATGGCCCCTTGGTGAGCGACCCGGATGTTGTGGACTTCGAGGAGTACACGTCCATGCCAAAGCACTTCGTGTACTGGCGATTTCCAAAGGTTGAGAATTATGAGGTGTCGCCGGAGGAGAAGCCGAACGCCCTCAAGTTGACGCCGAGCGTTGCTAACCTGACCGGTGGCGCGGACTTTGCACCCGCGGACGGCATCACATTTGTCAGTCGACGACAGACGTATACCTTGTTCAATTATTCGGTCGACGTCGAGCTCAACGCCACTGCAGCCGAGGAGGAAGTAGGGGTGACGGCTTTTCTGACCCAGTATCAGCACATAGATCTGGGTCTCGTTGCATTGCCGCTCTCGAACGGAAGCTTGGACTATTACCTCCGGTTCCGCGTCACTGGCACCGGCAACTATGAAGGCCCGGCCATCGAGACAGTCGTCAAGCCTGTTCCGATACCTTGGTCCCAGCCCCTGCGACTCGGCATCCAAGCTGTCAATGACACACACTACGCCTTCTCTGCGTCTACGTCGAGTGATGGTGAAAGCGCAGACATCATTGGGTACGCTCCAAGCACCTTGCTCAGTGGAGGCACTGGTCCATTCACAGGTATGTAGCTATCTCCATGGTCGAAGAGTTCGGTCAGCCGAGACACAAAGTACTAACTTCAATACAGGTACTTTGATCGGCGCATATGCAACAAGCAATGGTGCCACCAGTGGTTCACCAGCATACGTGAGTAGATGGAGATATCAGGGTCTGGGACAGAAAATCGAGTAGGGTAACTAGACTTGGTGCACTCTGCCTATCCAGCACCTTGGATTCGCAAGATTGCAATCTTGAATCTGTACATATCTAAGCAGCAATTGTATCTGGACCGTCTACAGCAGTATCGTCGAATGCAATATACTGCATAATCCCATCCTTTACAGATTTTAATTCCCTTGTACAATCCGTATTCACAATTCACCCGTGTTTGGGGACCTACATTCTCGCCCTCAGCTTCCAACCCGTTCTCGATATCCTCGCCGCGACCAGCATGATACCCCCGATCATGAGCAGCGATGCGGCAAACATCTCCATACCCAGGTAGTGGCCGCCGTGGGCACTGATGAGTGCCCCCGCGATGGGTGTGCCGGTCAGCGTGGCAAAGCTAATAACAGTGTATACCATGCCCATTCGCACACCAATCTTGGTCATGTCCGTGGTCAAGGCAGACAGGGCAGTAGGGAATAGACTATTAACGCCCGAGCTAAAGAGCCCGTAGATGGTGGCGAAGGCCCACAGGCCGCCTTGGGTGTAAATGGCGGCCCAGCAATAGAGCGACACCGCGGACAGCAGCACAAAGGGAATCATCATGTTTGTCGGGCCGGTCCACCTGTCAGAGAGGTAGGGGGGCAGGAGCCGACCGACAACACCAATGCCGTTCATAATGATGAGAAGATTAATGGAGTCCCCCTGAGAGACCCCGATGACGCTGCTCGCGTACTCGCCGACGTAGTAGTAGGCTGGGTATATGCCCCAGAAGCAGAAGAAGATACCGATGGCGAAGAGGAGATAGGGAAGCTCCTTAAATGCCGAGAACTCCACGAGAGGCCCGACGGTCCGGGGTGGGACTCTGGTGCGCGCCAGGACGAAGCAGATCACCTGGAAGACCAACATGATCAGTCCGAGCACGCGCAGGGTCCATCCGAAGCCAATTCGGGGCAGCAGCGCCTCGAAGATGCCCGGGATGATAATGCCCCCCGTCGTGGTTCCCGAGGCAGCAAGCCCAACGGCCATTGCCCTTTTCTTGTTGAAGTAGGTAGGGAGGACAGCCAGGGTGGGACAGAACAGCAGCCCGTTCCCGATACCGGTGCAGATGCCCTGGGCGAGGAACAGCTGCCAGTACTCGGTGCAGACGGAGGTCGTGAAGACGCCGATCAGGATGAGGACGGTGCCGATGGCGAAGGTGTGCCGGAAGTAGCCCGCGTCGGTTGCGCGTCCGGAAAAAGTGCCGATGACAAAAAGAATGAAGACCTGCACCGAGCCGATCCACGAGATCTGCGAGGGGGACTGCTCAAGGGTGCTCAGGTAGTAGGTCTGGAACACGCCGAACGAGTTGATGTATCCCCAGGTGTTGAAGATGACCAGGTGGGCGATGAGCACTTGCAGCCAGGCCTGGAGACCTCCGTCTGGCGGTGGGGCCTTCGCTGGTCCATTTTTGGATGCGCTTCCGCTACTCTCCAGGTCCGACTGGGGCTGCTCGGCTTGCAGGCTTAGTACGCTGGATTCGCCCATTGTCTTGCTGGTTGGATCTGAAGTGTTGTGGATATCTTTCTCATCGATCTCGGCTGGGTGGTCGAGTTTTCGGGGGCCGGTGGCGGCGGCGGCGGCGTGATCATTTTCACTGGCATTGGACGTGATGGCGTCGCCAGACTCAGTCGTGAGTGCCATGACAGGTACAGATGCTGTCTGGCACAACTGGAGGAGGATGGCGATGAAGAAGATCAGACCGACGAGCGCTTGATGCTAAGGAGGTGAATCTAGTTCACATGTTTGACTATCTAAGTAGCTTTATTAGTATGGTTTATATATCTAAGTGGAGTGTAGTATGGTGACTCAGGCCATACCGGTTTGGATATCTTTTCAAAACAGAGAACACGCCCAAGGAGTCAGCCACGCAACAAACGTCCCAAGCTCTGCCCCCTGGCTGCTGTGCCCCTATACGGCAGCTAATATATAGACAACCTGGTGATCCACAGGGGAGGCCTATTCGTTATCACAACCATAAGGCTGCAATTGGTCAGGTCCCTTGGATGCCGCTCCACTTGTGACCTTTCGCGCTGGTAAAGGGCGCACAAGAATGGTAATCAACGCTCTGCTGTGTTGGTTCGATGCAGAGAACTGGGGACTTGGAAAAATCCGCACAATATCCGACTGAGTCAACAGGTTCAATATCTTGGAATCCATTACCCGGTTCCCTGATTCCCCATGCCCCTCGTCGGTGATTGATTGTTGGTCCTCGAGTCTACTCCGAATCCTTCACAGTCACCGACTCCGGTCAAGACTGCATGCAATGCTTGACTAGCCTCCTGCACTTCGCTCACGCCCCTAGTAGACTCGTTTATATGCTTGTCAAACAAAGGCTTCGTGCAAATGATATACAATATGTAGACCATTTATCAAGTTTTCAGATGACTACTAGCTACGGAAAAGTCTCGGATGATGTGGATATGATACACTCAAATCTGGTGGGGGAATTTACACATGTCCCCTTAAGCTTGCTCTCGAAGACAATAGCTTGTCCCGTTGGTGTCAGAGGCGGTCGAGTCAATTCTCTTACCATGTACGCGCAGTCTCTGTATACCTAGGCACCCATTCAAATCTCCTCATTCTCGATAAGGCAGTCTAAAGACCTCTGAAGTCATTCACGGCATGGACCCAGCTGACAAAATCCCCATTCCATCAGGCAAACCGGGAAACCATTCATCACCAAGTATTGACATGGCCGAGTACAGTGCATCGTAGCCAAAGTCGTTATTGCCGGAAATGATGCCGTTCAGGTTCAAAAGCTCCGCTTCTGGTGTATTATATGCGGCATCAGCGCTGCTGAGACTGTTGTTTGCCTGGTCCGATTTGTTGGTCGAGCTGCGCACATGGGCAGCCTGTGGGCCATCTTGAACCATCGCACTTGTAGGCACCATCTCTGGGGCTGAATATGTACCCAAGAAAGTGGGAGGCGGGTTCGCCTGTTGGGCTAGAATCCCGTCGACCTTTTGAAGTAAGGAATCCAGCATGCCGTCGTCACGCATGCGAGAATCCACCCCCGTCAAGAAATCGAGGATATAGCCCCTGGGTAAAGGCTATTGGCTTCAGTGGCCAGGTGCATGTATGCGAACCTCAGTACTGAGTTTTGGCGACGTACTGCATATTTAGATACGCTCCCGGACGTGGTCATTACCTGGATATCACCCAAATCAGATACTCCCAGTGCAATCCGAGCTCTTCCTTGCAGCTCAACTTCTCCTTGGGCGAAGATGGCCGATTCTTCTGGCACGAAAGATGTCAGGTCCTCTGTTGATGCCGTTCATGTCGAAACAGCTGACCGCCGACTCGAGCCGAGAGCAGAGCCCCAGGCACATGGCACCGTCCAGCTTCTTCAAGGTGGTTCAGTCGTCCTGATTCCGACCCCGAGCCCAGATCCAAAAGGTAAGATTCAGCTGCTTGCTCCATAGTGGTATAGAGGAAGCTTTCACGAATTCTGGTCGCGATTGTCAAACTGACACTAGAAAACGGCTAGACCCCCTGAACCTTCCGAAATGGCACAAATTCTTGATAGTCTTCATTGTGGCATCATATTCAGCGACTTCGGTTCTATGTACATCTGGCATGGGATCAGTCTTCCCGTCAGTCTTAAAAGAATACGCACCGTCAGAAGCGACCCGAGCCACAGACCTGCTTACTTACCCGACGCTGTTCATGGGGATCGGGAATCTCTTGTCGATGCCACTCTCTGTCACGGTAGGCCGCAGGCCTGTCTTTCTGGCCTCGCTTGTTCTGCTTGTGGTGTCTGGCATCTGGTGTGCCTTCCCGGCCTTAGTGAGTAGCCACATTGCCGGCCGTAATTTTTACAGCATCGCCGCCGGTCAGAGTGAGGCCTTGGCGCCGTACATCGTTGAGGAGATCCACTTCCTTCACGAACGCAGCGCAAAGCTCTCTTGGTTCATTGGTATACAAACTACTCTCACCGCTGGCATGTTTGTCGCCACTACGTACATCGTCCCTGCTCGGGGTACGAAGTGGTGGTACCTCATCATCACATTCCTCAACGTCGCCATCCTTATCTTGTCACTTGTATTCGTGGTTGAAACGAAGTACGACCGCCCTGAAGACGCTGATAGTAAGTTGAACTGGAACTTGACATTCTGCTTTGAACAAGGCCGATAACATGTGTTCTTAGGGGGAGAGGTTCACCTGAAGCTGGACGAAACAGGCCATGTCAGTAAGAACGGCGACTCAGAGATGATTTTCAGTGTCACGACCCGACAAAACCACCAACTACAGCCTGAAGTCTTTGGCCAACGGACATGGCGGCATGACCTGCAAGTATTCCATTTCAAACCCGAATGGAAGCGAACATTGGCATTTTACAAATACGCTTTCCAATCACTTTGCCTAGCAAATATCGTCTGGGTCCTTCTCCTCAACGGCACATTTTTGGGCATATACGTATACCAGGCATCCACATTCGCGACAATTCTCATGTCACCGCCTTATTCTTTCAAGTCAGGGTGGCTTGGATATGTCCAACTTGTGCAGGTGCTAGATTCTGTCATCATGGTTCCGATTCTAGGCTATGGATCTGACCTTGTTGCTCGGAGTATGAGCAAACGGAGGAATGGCCTCTTTCAGGTATGCCGACAGTCAGTCCCCTAAAACTAGAACATGCAAGGCTAATTTGAAGACGGTTGCAGCCCGAGTACCGTCTGATAACCTGGAGTCTTCCAATCGCCTTGGCGGTCTTGAGTTGTGTACTCTATGGCCAAGCTGGGGCGCATCCTGATCGTTGGCATTGGATGACCATCGTGGCTCCCTACAATGTCTGCTTCTTCGCCTTCCTCGGTGCGAATTTAATCGGCATCACCTACGTGGTTGACAGTTTCCCCAGCAAGGCTGGTCCCCTGCTACTGGTCATCTGCGCTGGTCGAGGATTCATCTCCTTTGGTCTTAGCTATTCGACTGTTCCCTTGATCAAATTGACAGGCTACAATGGTGCCATGAACATATTTGCCATCATATCTGGTGTCATGGGGGCTCTGGCGATTCCAGTGTATTTCTTCGGGGCCCGGGTAAGGCTGTGGGCGACGAACAGGCTGTGGCCAGAAGTGACAGTGTGATATTTAATGTATTTGGTTGAAGTATTTATATCGTTCATATTCTGTCCCGGTTCACGAATGCATGGTATGACACATTACGCAACTGGGTGACAACCGCAACTGAGTGGCAACATCGTCATGCACTAGAACTACACCAGCTGTGCTGTGCTACTCGCAGCCGCTATCACTTTGGGAAAGGAAAAGAACGGGGCTGAGTCCAGGTGCTACCGGCTGAGTGGTCTTATTTACATGGAGATTGAATATGTTCAGATAATTCATTCAGTATCATCATTCCAAAAAGAGACACTCCCCAAATTTATCTCATGTCTTGTCGAGACAGACTTGTTGAACTGGTAGGCAGACTCATGTCCATGAGCCCTTTGATGGCTAGAATTGCCACAGATATTATCATGCCTGAAGGGCTATTGTCAAATCTTCGGGTCTGGACCTGGAATTATGACTGCATAATCTCACTTGGGAACAGAAACAACAGGGAACAAGCACTTTTCCTATTCGTGCCAAGAGCAAGATTCCTGTCTTTGGTTTGAAGACGTCGTTTTACAGGCAGAAAGCTAGATTAACTTGTTGGAAGACTGGCCAATTTAAGAACTCGACTAATACACCAAAGACTCACTCAAACCTGAATAGGCTCGGTCTGAACATATGGAATGCCGGTCAATCTGAACCCTCTTTCTCCCAGTCTCGGTGTCTCCCTTGGCTTTCCAGTGTTGTAAGGACAGGGCTCGCCGTCCCGCAAGATCGGAATCCCGCCAACATGCATGGCGTTCGGCCAATGTGTCGTGCTCTGCGTCTTCTCAAATGCGGCCTTCTTCCACAACAAGTCCTCCTGGCTGGCATCAGCAGCAGGCATGTAGCAAGTGTAGGCACAGAACCTGGGCCTGTCGCCTTCTGGGCTGAGGTTGTAATGCGGCGTGCGGCTGTCCCAGAGCAGCAGGTCCCCAGGCTCGGCGTTGATCTTGACCCACTCGCAGCCCTTGTTCTTCAGCCATTGCATGCCCTCGTCGGTGAATCCGTACCACTCCTTCGTCCATGCCCAGATTTTGTTGGGCTCATCTTTGAACTCTGCATGGAAGTCCTCACTCAGCAAATGCGCGCCTTTGCATACAATCAACCCGCCGTCCTTTTCGCCATTAGGGAAGATGTTGACAAGCCCCTGGAGGCACCGAAACCCGGGCTTCTCTGGGTCTTGGTCTTGGTGCGGCCAGGGTTTGTTGGGCTTGACATCGGTGCGGTTGGGGAAGGCCATGTTGACGGCGTCGAAAGAGACGATCAGGTCAGGCGTATCATAGACCTTCTCAAACGCATCAATGACGCCAGGCTCCTGGCGAATCGACCAGGTGAAGGACTCGTGGGCAATGCCGTAGCCTAGGCACATGCCTTTCTCCGTGATCACCGGAAGGTTGGACTCTTTGATAGTGGCAGAGTCGTTGCGGTTGAAGCCGAGGCCGCCAGCGCTATGTGAAGTTAGCAGATGCACAACTGAGAAAACAGGAGTGGGATGGCATGGCAGGGAAGCTCACAAGTTCTCCAGGTACGACATCATTTCCTCGCCGTATTTGTCCACCCTCTCACGTGGGATGGCGCCTTTGACAACAACATACCCATCGCGGAGGAGATCATCGCGAAAGTCGCCGTACGTGACGCCCGTCTCTGAGAAAAGCTTGTGGGGTCCTGCTGGCTTGGGAACCAGAGGCTTTGAAGAAACATCCGTGTGCTTGGTTGCTGATACCGTCACGGTCGCGGTCGGAGCGGAGGCATAGTCTGTGGCGATGATCATGATGGCGTCTTTCCAATTCAATATTCATTATGAAAAGTTTGATCACAGCTCAGATCTCTAAAGTGCGATGAAGATTGTTTGTACTATTGCAAGAGAACAGTTTTGGGCTGTGTTGAGATAACGGGTTTATACTCGAAAGACGTCTCAGAATTGTATTTAGAACGCCTGGTGTTTAGGTGCGAGTATTGCCACTTCGGACTGTCTCTAACACCCGGATCATACAAGCCCATCATCACTGCTCGATTAACCTACCCATGCTGATGGAGATCGACTCGGTTCGGGACGGGTTCATGGTGGACGAACGCTCAGGTGTTTCGGCACGGAAAGGTTCGGCTCGGGACAGGTGCCATGCTCCGTGGAATCGGCTCGGGAGTCAGTGGGTCTCTCGGCTCCACCAACGGCCGGGGCCGCGCCAATAAGGCATTTGCTCCACAGGGTTTCCGTTAAAAGATTACCCATGCCAGTACAACTCCCCACAAAGAATGTAACCAAATCTAACCAATTATAACTTCTAATTTATACTTTTTTAATTAAACCTACACCGTTACAATGCATACGGGATGTAATGCTACAAAAAGCTACCTTTTTTCTATACAATTTTGCCTTGAAAAGCTGGTATTATTATTGTGGCACGCACAGACAAGACAATAGAGTCAGGGGATCCTTCGCTCACGCCACAGAAGTCACGGATTAGGCTTCTTTGTCAGGAAGCCCTGTACATAGGACAGGGTACACGGCCGGTGAATACCACAATTAATTAGGTTCTTTGAACACGCAGAGATTACGGCTGTCGCGATCTATATGCATTCAAGACCAAGCAGTACGCAAACGTAATCCCAGAGGCAATATACATACGGCTGCCGCAGGTTCATTTTGATCTAGATGCAGAGCACTTGCTTGTCCATCCCGGCATCATCCACAGAAAACAAAATTCTTGTACCCAGAAAGTCTAAGGAATTGCTCTAAAGACTCTTTGAAATCAGTCACCATGAGACACTCAGACGTGAATGTGCCCATAGAACCGCTCAACCAACCCATCGTTGGAAGAGATGGCTACACTGGTCTCAACCCCCACACAGAGACTCTTCCAGAAGGCTGGAGACACCCAGAATATCCAGACGCCCGTCCTCTGCCTTGCCCCATTGTGGTAGAGCACGACATAGCCATCAAAGTACGCGACGGGACGACCCTTTACGCTGACGTACTCCGCCCCAGTTCCCCGTCTGCAAAAGTACCGGCCATAATCTGCTGGTCTCCATTTGGCAAGAAGTTCAATGGGATAGCGTCCTTGGGGCTCATGACACCATGGGGTCTCGGAATCCCCCCTGGCACACTCTCGGGCCTTGAAAAGTTCGAGGCTCCGGATCCGGCGGACTGGGTTCCTCGTGGCTACGCCATCGTCAATGTCGACACTAGAGGGGCTTTTGATAGCGGAGGAACCATGGTTATCATGGGAACCCAGGAGGCCGAGGATGGCTATGATACTATCGAGGCCGTCGCCGGGATGGAATGGTGCAATGGCAAAGTCGGCCTCGCAGGGAATTCTCACCTCGCGATAGCACAGTGGTTCATCGCAGCGCTCCGACCACCGAGTCTCGCCGCTATCGCTCCGTGGGAGGGATGTGGTGACCTCTACCGCGAGCAGTTTGCCCGCGGCGGCATTTACGCCGGAGACCTCTTCGACAAGCTTATTGTCAAGTATATGCTCAAGGGCCGCAACGGGCTCGAGAGCTTTCGTGACATGTACGAGGAACACCCGCTGGCCAACGAGTGGTGGAACGACAAGAGGCCGGACATGAAGAAGATCAATGTGCCAACCTACATCACGGGAACTTGGACAAACACAATGCACGGGATGGGTGCCATCAGGGCTTGGATGGAGGTTGATACCGAGTCCAAGTGGTTGCGTTGGCACCCCTGGCAGGAATGGTATGACCTCTGGGGAAACGCACAAGCCAAGGATGAATTACTTGCCTTCTTCGACCACTTTCTCAAGGGCACTGACAATGGATGGGAGAAGACCCCCAAGGTCAGGATGTCGATCTTGAGGTTCGGCAACAAGGTGCCGCAGGCGATCGAGAACATTATCGAAGAGGACTTCCCACCTCCAAGGACGGAATACAAGAAGTTTCATTTGGGAAGCGAAGGGAGATTTTTGCTTGATGGGCCGCAGGAAAACGCCAGCAGTGTCAGCTATCTTTCGACTGCTGGCGAGAGCGTGGCATTCACGTATACCTTTCCGGAGACGACGCGCATTATGGGCATGCCTAAGGCTGTGCTATACATGTCCTGTCCAGACCACAACGACATGGATGTATACGTCATGATCCAAAAGATGGATAGGCAGGGCAACCAGATGACGAACCTTAACATTCCCTGGCAAGGCTTACCAATCAAGTCCTTTGGCGAGTTCAAACCCGAGCAGGAGACCGAGGTCGTGCTATACAAAGGTCCGGTTGGCATTCTCCGGGCCTCGCATCGCGCCATTGACGAGGGAATAAGCATGCATCCGCACTGGCCGTACCACCCGCACGAGGTGGAGGAAAAAGTCGAGCCGGGCAAGGTGGTGAGGTTGGACATTGGCATCTGGGCCACGGGGATTGAGTTCGAGCAAGGCGAGGGAGTGAAGCTTGTTATCAGCGGGCGGAACTTTGGGGTGAGCAACTTCGGAGTTGATCGGACATTAAACAAAGGGAGGCACAATGTGCATTTGGGTGCAGAGTCTGGGAGTTTTGTTGTGCTTCCGTTTGTTTGATGACCTTGCGGAAGAGGGTCTGAGTTGTCACCCTCCATTATCAGTCTCCTCCCACCTAGTAGCTTACAATATATACTCACCACCAGTCTCACAACAATTCGCTCAATACTGAAGATATTGGTTTAGAGAGGGGAAATTCGCAGGGCTCAAAATCGGAGACAGAATCTATGTACAAGGGCATTTGAGTTTTTATTGAGCCTGCCATAGGTGCCATGTCTTGTTACTTGCCGATGCTCGGCCACGTTTTCCAACTCCTCCTCCAGAACCTGTCTGCCAATGTGAGTTCCAAGCACACTGCACACTCAATAAGTTCATCAAGGCTCAAGAGAGCTCCCTTGGTTTCCCCAGGGCTCACGTGAGCACCACTGATGGATACGCAACGGTGTCATCAACAGTCAGGATCTCACTATACACGCGATGAGGATGGCACGAATGAATAAGATAGACTGAGAGCCAATCTTTCAAGGGAACTTTTTATCAAATGTTGATTATGGGACCTTCGGTGGTTTTAGAGAAGAGTGAATCGACTCGGTCACTAATGCAATAGGATAGCACAGTAATCAGCAGATAAAACAACAAGAATGTAATTTCTAAGTATAATAAGCACTACTGTAATTGAACATTAGATACTTAAGCTTGAGTACGAGCGGGAGCTGCAGGTGTGGAAGCACAGAATTTCGAGTAGCGAGCCATTGATGTCGACCACCTCTTGCAGGAATGGTTAGCTCTGTACGACAAGGGCCACGGGTAAATCAAGTCAACCCCATGAAACAATTATCAAGCATCGATCTGAAAAAGGAGGGGGGGAGTGGGCTTTTGGCTCAATGACCAGTGAGCTTTCCGACTTCACAAGCCATGCCGTATCATCTCGACAGAAGTCTGGTTTTATTCTCAGATAGTCGATAGTCGACCTTGAAATCATCCACTGAGGAAAAGGAAACACCAGTGACGGGGAAGGGGCAATAGGCCAGTTGGAAAGGAAGAGTTGGTATCTTTCCAAACTAGCACTCAGGCAAGTTCCCACCACACCACACCAGAGCTGCCTTTCTTTACATCGCCATTCGCACTCCCACCAGTGCATCCAGGATCCTAACACGGCTTGCCCTCCACCCTTACAGTTAGACTTAAGCGGTGAGATACAAGTGACATTGCACGCAGTGGTCGATCCGCAGCATCGAGCAGGCATCAGGAATGTAAGCCGATTGGCCGGTTGGTCGGTTGGCCAGACCAAAGCACATCTGCAAATTGGTGCTGCTGGAAAGCACCGACTTTAGCGCCGACTGCATCGTGCACTTCAGCGGCAGGGCTGTGTCCCTGTTCTCTAAAAATGGCTGCGGATTTGCAACCTCAACGGGTCCACAGTTAGGCAGTTGGTGCTCTTGGTTGTGGGAATCATCGAGCCGATCAACCAAAGTGCCGCAAACGAGATGGGGCTTCGGGATCCTACAGCGGGGATAGCAAAAATCAGCATCGCGTTGGTCGGAGAACGAGGTTCTACCATACTTTTATAAATGGTCTGATACCTTTCAGTTTTACGCTGACCGTTTCGCATCAGCGCCGCCTCTTTCCTCACCTCGCAGGAATACCTTGTCTTCTTGTGGCTCCGTCCACGTACCAACGGTGATTTAAGTCACAAAGACAGTACTCAAACATCTCAGGGCTTTCAGTGGCTGGAACCAAGCTTTATTCTTGACCTCTTTAACATCTTTCAGGATCATTGGCGTTTCGTCAAGATGGCCGGGAATGTCAGCTCATCCGAGTATGTTATGGCGGATGTGGAAAACACGGTGTGTACAGATTTGTGTAGCTTACATCTTTTTAGATGATGCGGCTGCTAATGTCTTACAGAATGAACAGGACCGTCCGAGTATGTTGAGCTACGTGCCATGTTATTGCAGACTTGACTGATCAAAACATTGTAGATATCCAGCATCAACTGTGGTATCTCAGTCTCAATGGAAATCTTCACAAGACCACACTCTCGGATACGTCTGAAAAGATCAACATCATCGACATCGGGACTGGCAACCGGTTTGTGGGCTTTGGCCATGGCCAAAAGGTGGCCACATGCAAACGTCATTGGAACTGATCTGACTCTCCCTCCTCAACGAGACGATACGCCCTCGAACATCAGCTTCATTCAACACAACGCGAATGACTCCGAGTGGCCGTTCGAGCAGTTCCACTTCATCCAAGCCTGCATGGTGGATGCGGGCGTTCATGACTGGCCGGCGTTTCGAGAGACGTGCTTCCGTCACCTCGTTCCAGGTGGTCGTCTCGAACTGGGCCACGTTACAGAGCCCGCGCGTTCAAAGCTTCCGGAATTCGACACCCCGAGCGCTTCTCCATTTCTGAATCTAATACATCTGGTCATACTTGCCTCAAAGAAGGGTGGTCTTGACTACGATGTGTCAAGCAAATACCCGCAAGGTCTCAAGGACGCAGGCTTCGATGAAGTCGAAGAAACCACCATCCTGTGGCCACTGGGCAGCTGGCCACAGAAAGACAACGAGCGGAAGATCGGCGTGCTGAGCTTGAAGAACAAATTGCTTTGGGTCGATACGGCGGCCAAGTTCATCTTGACACACCAAAATTTCATGGGAGATGAGGAAGCGAATGATGCGGTGCAGGCTGGTCGGGATGATTTGCTCCAGGCTGACAAGAAGCACTTTTACATCACCATGTACGTGCCCGGACACTCCACTCTGGCCCATTTTCAATCTCACCCTGAAGAATGGACTTTAGCCTAAGCCCAAAGTAATTTCTGACAATACTTGACCTTAGGAAACTATTTACCGCCAAGAAGCCTTACTGCCCTGCATGAGCATGAGTCTTCTATAACTAGTTATACTAGTCAGTCTAACTAGTTTCAGCCGTGCTTGTGCCGTGAGGTTGGTTTGGGAGTTCATCACGTTTCCTGCAATGTCTATACCCTCGTGACCTAGCGGGTGTTTTGCAGTATCCATGTATCTCAATACTCTCCGAAATCGAGCTCGCGTCATACTGGCCTTCCGGATAGTCGTCAAAATACATGTAGCAGATCCTGGCGCTCTCACACCATCTGTAAAGGGAATCGATTACTTCAGATAGTTCTGCGCTGCTGGTCTCGTCGATGTAGATCTAGTCTGCTTCCATTAACGATGACTAAATAAATCTTGACTACCCTGGACACCACAATATATTCGACATTCTTAGGAACCTCTTTCAATCGTTATAGGAAACCATAGCTTTAGGATGTAGCTATAGATCCATGGCCTGCAGACACAATTCAAGCGTGTGCTTGATAAGACCCCTGAATACTCGAGGAGAACTGCCTGCCGAAGGAGTCCTCATCCGATGACCAAAGGCGACGGCCTCTCCGCCGCATATAAATCCAACCTATTGCCGGGGATGAGGCGTTGCAGATTTATGTGGGTCCTGAACTCTAACTGCAGCAGCCCCGTGCCTTGGAGGACCGTCCTTTGACAACAACTCTACCTGACCGCTTTAAATCGAATCCCTCTGCATATTGACACAACCACGCAACGTAATGGATGCTGAAGCCAACAACTCTGCAATTGCCGGCGAGAGCTCTGCCACACAGCCAACATGGCCACTGCAATTCGTCCTCAAATTGCCGGAACCCAGGCAGCAAGGGGCGGCCGGGCATTCGCCACCAGAAGCAGGTGTGACGAAGCAGATTTGGTGGAGTTATGACCTGTACCGCGGACCGCGAAATCAAAAGCCGAAAGTTTTGTACGCTAGATCCAAGGCTGAGGCCGAGGAGATAGCACAAGGGTTCCTGCAGGAAGACGTGCTAGGCTTCGACATGGAATGGCCGTGCTTTGACGGGGACAGCCGGAACGAGGACCGCCTGCAAGACAAGGTCGGATTGATAGCCATCGCATGCGAGACAAAGATTGCGCTCTTCCATCTCGGCGCCTACACTGGCAAGAAGCCCAGGGACTTCATCGGCCCTGAACTTCGAGCGATCATCGAGTCGCCGCGGATAAAGAAAGCCGGCGTCAACATCCTGGCCGCGGACTTTGGGAGGCTTCGAGAGTGGTTCGAACTGGAGCCGCAGGGTGCGGTAGAGCTGAGTCACCTCCACAATCTCGACAACTATGGGCGCAGCGGCCAGACTAGTCACTGTACCACCAGACTGTGTGCCCTGGACAAGCTAGTCCAAACATATTTGCACTTTCCACTGAAGAAGAGTAGTGTTCGGACAAGCAACTGGGGCCAGAAGAAGCAGCTCAGCCGCGAGCAAAAGGCATATGCGGCTTCGGATGCTTACGCCGGGTTCATGCTGTATCATTGCCTGAACTCTCTGAGGCAGTCGATAGAACCCAGTCCTCCGCCGCCACCATTGTATGCGGAGCGATACAAGTGGATCGAATTGCCGAGACGAGGAACCGCGCTCCTGCTCGAGCTCGACAATCCTGGTAAAGAAGGGACCTTGGAAGTCATCTCAGCCGTTGATCACTTTGAAGGCCATCATGACAACATTCATACGGTGACTATCACGTCCTCAATGATGCCAACGAAACATAACGCCGAGTTGGAAGACTCCCGGACAGCATCACCTGCACCTATTCAAGAAAAAACCGCCAGGCAACCAGAACGGCACATCTCTCAACACACTGGCTCCCAGCGCCGGAAGAACACTTCATCACGAAAGAGAACCGACCCCTTGCTCCAGGCACTCAAAGTGCACCGGGGGAAAATCGCCAAACAGCGACGCTTAGACACCTGGAAGGTCGTACACAACTCTGCACTGAAGCTGATCGCGCAGCACAAGCCCGAGAACGAAAGGTCATTGATGGAGATAAAGGGTGTTGGGCCGCAGACGGTGAAGAAGTACGGAGCTGCAATCTTGAACATTGTTGCTCTTCATGCCGCGGGCGATAGACAGTCGACTGAAAACGAGCAGTCGGACAAAGAGGCCGACCCTAATGCCGATGGATCTAATATTTTGGTGGCATCTGAGAGCTCTACGAACTTGACTGAGACGGCTCAGAACATTTCTCATGGCTCCGAGACATCGCAATTTGACACAGATCCGCCGTGTGCCCCTCAGGGGAAAGGACTCGATAGGGGAGGTCCGTCACAATCAATTGTGATTAGTGACGAGGATGACATTGCGACGCTTGAGACCCCGTCGCGGAAAACGGTAAAGAGGAGGACAGCACAGACTGTAAGTAATGGACAAATTATCGTCAGAAGACTGATTTATCTTCAAGCCACATAGCGCTGACATCCTGACTTGACACTTCGCACAGGGTCCACGTCATGGTTTGCTGAGATATTTCAAGGTCGGCGAAGGAAGGAAAGCCAACTTGCCAAAGTCATAGTAATCACCAATTTCTGTTGATTGTGGCCTTTTGATAGCCTAGAGGTACTGGCAGACCCAAATTTGATGTTGCCCAACTGTTTGATAGCGCGGATGATGACTTATCCGGAAGGCCATGCTTGAGATGATGCCGGACAATGAGATGCTGCCGGTCAAAGACTTTATCATTCAATGCCTCGTTGCCAGTTCCTTAACAACGGCGATTCTGGGCGGCGGAGAGTCTACTTGGTGCGGTTCCTTCCAAGTGCAAATCCCGGGATAAGGTGTTTGTACTGCGAGTTGGCGCCGTTCCTCTGATACCCAGATTAGTAGAGTCTGATTCGGCAGCTGAGGACAGTGACCAAAGATATCAACTCATTGGAGATGCTTATATACGAGGAGTAATGTACGGGGAGGAATTGTCTTTCAACGAGGTCCAAGAGTCAAATATTACCCTGGTGTAGAGCTGAGAGGATACGAACAAGCCGTGGCGAGACTTCTAGTTAATGGTGTACATCCTATCTTCAACCTGGACTCATCGTCCGACAAGACTGTGCAGACAATATCATGCCACGTAATGACGCTGACCTCGAACCACCAAATACGCTGTTAGCCCGACGTAGTTCGTGGCTGACTACAGTCTCAGCACGCGCAACACGACGTCTACGACGATGGCGAACAGTCCTCGTTTCTCAGCCCACAACATGGGAACATCATCTTTTTGTCTTGATATCTAGAACACCCGTCGAGGGAAAGCTACACCAGCCAGCACGACGCCGCATGCTGCACTATACCTGCTCCTACTTTTAGCCCATCTAAGGAATCTTAACACATGCCCTTTCCGCTTTATCGAATCTAGGCAGTCCTGACCTCCAGCTCCTGAGATTCGAAGGCCGGCAGCTCGCCCTGGATGTCCTTCCACGTCTTGACGCCGGTGACCATCTCGCGCACGGCCTCGAGGACCTTGGCCTCGTCGGCGCGCACCTGCTTCGTGCTGTCGCGCTCGCGCAGCGTGATGGAGCCGTCCTTGACGGTCTGGAAGTCGATGGTGATTCCGAAGGGCGTGCCGAGCTCGTCGTTGCGCGAGTAGCGCTTGCCGATGGTCGCCGACGAGTCGTCCACCCTGCTGGAGACGCCCAGCGCCCGCAGCTTCTGACCAAGCTTGCGCGCGATGGGGGTGAAGTCCTTGTTGCTGGAGAGGGGCACGATGAGGACCTTTGTTGGGGCGATGGTTGGCGGGAAGGAGAGGACCTATTGTTTCGTATTGTTAGTGAGTCTGGCGTTGAACCGGAGAGATCGTGATGGAGTGTGTGCTACTTACGCCACGAGCTTCATCAGCACCGTCGCCACGAGTCCAGAAGCTGTGCTCCAGCAAGGCGTACAGAATTCTGCCAATACCAAACGAGGGCTCGATCACGTTTGGTGTGTATTCCCGGATGTGTTCTGTGATAGTAGAATACTTGATCTCCATCAAGTCCTTGCCGACCGTAGCCTTGCCGTCTGCCACACCGGGCACATCAATGGTGAAGCTGCCGTTTTCTTCCAGTTGCTTGGCGAAAGCCTCTCGCTGCTCTTGTGTCGTCGCACTGATGGCAGCCTCGACAATCCTGCCATCCTTCTTGAAGGCGGGGCCGAACTTCTTCCTGTTGAACTCCAGCGTCCACTCTTGCCTGACATTGGGCGTGTCCAGCTTCTGGCGCACAACCAGTGGTGCGCCGGTCTTGTTCTTGTGCACCGTGAGATCGTAGGCCGAACGGTCAGCGCAACCGACACACTCGATCCAGCCGTACGAGGTGAGAAGCTCGGCGTCCCAGCAGTCGCAAGCGTAATGGGCCATCTCGTTAGCCATATGTTGGCGGAAGCGGACCTTGCTCATGTCTACGCCGATCTTTGCGAGGAACAGGTGGATACGTGCGAGGAAGTAACCAAGGGTCTCGTTGTCCACAACCTTGGTCTCAACTGCCTTCCGAATGCTCATGGTTTTCAGGTCCGTCTTGCCGGAGAGTTGCGTCTCCTTGTCGAGCAACGTGAGCTCAATGTTCTCAACCTCGGGGAACCTTTCATGCTTCTTGCCACCCTCAGGATCAACAAAATGCTCGATTTCAGCCATCAGGAATTCTCGCACACGCAGCAGACCCGCTCGAGGGGAGATTTCGTTTCGGTAGGATTTGCCAATCGAGGCAGACGCAAAAGGCATATTGCCCATGTTGAATTCAAGCAGCTTGGCGAAGTTGGTGAACTGGCCCTGGGCTGTCTCTGGTCTCAGATAGCCAGCCAGCTGGCCGGATGGACCGATAGCAGTCTGGAACATCAAGTTGAATGGTACTGGGGGCGAAGGCTGGACGCCAGTTTCGGGGTTCTTGAGCTGGAATTTCTTGATCAACTGACCAAGTTGATCGCCATCGTAATTGTCGATCTGAGCCAGCACCTCCTCGTACTCCTTGACCACGGCATCATCGAGCTTGACGGCCTCCGACTTGACCTTCTTCTTCTTCTTCTTTGGGTCCGCCTCTTTCTCCTCCACCGTTTGGCCACGCGCCTCCTTATCGCCCTTCAGCCTCGCCTCGAGGATGGCCTCGACAAAGTGGTCCGCCCGGAGGATCTCGCCGTTCTTGGGGTCCTTGCACATCCAGTCGGCGAACTTGTCGACGTGGCCACTTGTCTTGAAGACTTCGTGGGGGGTCAAGACGGTGCAGTCGACCTCGAGCATATCCTCCTCGAGAACGAAGTGCTTCCGCCATGTCTCGATGATGTTTGCCTGCAAACCACAGCCGGAGGGACCATAGTCAAACAGGCCAGCAACGCTCCCGTAGATCTCGAAGGATGGGGTGTAGAACATGCGCCGACGCAGCATGGACTCCATGGCCTGCCGGTCAATGGTCTGGCCGGTCTTTGTCGTGAGGGTCGCCATGTCTTTCTTGCTTAATTTGTGCGCTACCACAGCTCTGTGTAAACGGTGGGAGGAGGAAAATGGTCGTGCGGATGTGGGTTTCGCTGTGACTTTCCAGAAGTTTGAGGTGGAGTTAGCACCAACAAGTGGTCTGAGAGAATTGATGAGTCTAAATGCCTTCATAAACAGGCAATTGGCAGTCTCAATGTCGGGGAGGTGAGTCAAATGGCAACGGTGATTGTGGGTAACGGATGGCAAGAGAAGTAAACGTCGGTTGTTCTTGGGGTGACTCAAAAACCGTTCTCCAAATACTTGGGCGTTTTTGTCTGCGTCGCAATGTACCATGGAATTGCTGAAGCTCTTAGTGAGGGGCAGCGCAGCTCTTGGCCGATGATCCACGGGCAGGCAAAAACAATTTCTTATCTTATCAGCGACCGAGTCCCATGAATTTTCTTGAGAGAGCATCGGCTTTGTTGAGTTTCCCAGGTCGGCCTATTTTCCAGCACCAACGCGACGACCAAACCCGCACCAATTGCAAAGATGGCTGGGTCAAAGCTTGCGATGAACAAAATATATCGCCAGGAACGCCATGTCCAGGACAAACGAACATCGAGCAAGGCCAAGCGCGAGGAGCGCATGCGCAGGAGGAAGGAAGAGGCGAAGGACCCCGAATTGAAACAAGAACGCCTTTCACGCAATCAGACCAAAACCCTCGACCAAAAGCGAAAATGGGACGATGCAGATGAGGAAAGTCTTTACACAAGCGCCGACGTGGCGGCGATGAAACGGCGCAAGCTGGAGGAGGAGCAGAACGGGGCCGCGGACGAGCCTCTCGAAGAGGAGAAAGATGAGAAGGACGACGAGGTGGACAGCATGCTGGGATCAGACGACGAGGAGGAGGCGGCCGAAGATGCCGTGCAGGAGCGGATAGAAAAGATGCGCGCGAAACGGGCAGAGCGCCAACCAAGTGCAGCACCCTCCACAACAAGCACAAACTTCGACATGACACCCGCCGTACTATCAGCCAAGTTCCCGAATCTGTTCAGCGACGAGCCTCCGAAAGTCCCCAAAGTCCTCGTCACGACATCCATCAACTCGACGCTCCACAAGGAGGCAGAGCTCCTGACGTCGCTGTTCCCCAACTCCGAGTATATACGACGGTCGGCGGGTCGCTACGGGCACAAGTACAGCGTCAGGGAGATTTGCAAGTACGCGTCCAACAGGGAGTACACCTCGGTGCTGGTGTTGAACGAGGACCAGAAGAAGCCCAACCGGCTCACGATCGTGCACCTGCCCCATGGGCCGACGCTGACATACTCGGTCAACAACTGGATAGAGGGCTCGAAGCTGCCCGGCCACGGGAAAGCCCAGGATGCGTACTACCCGGAACTGCTTCTCAACAACTTCAAGAGCAGTCTCGGCCTGCTGGCGGCGAAGAGCTTTCAGACATTATTCCCTCCGCAGCCTGATATCGAGATGCGGCAAGTGGTCACATTACACAACCAGCGAGATTACATCTTCCTTCGCCGGCACAGATATATGTGAGTAGCAAAGCTGCATCTGCAGGCAACGACAGGCCAGACCCGCGAATCATGCATTCCCACTCCCAGGGCAGGAAATACGCTGACATAATCGGCTGTACAGATTCCGAGACAAGAGGGAGACAGAAAAGAGCGTCCAAGCAGCGGACGGGAAAGAACTGCAGGGCGTCGAACAGATACGAGTCGGTCTGCAAGAACTCGGCGTAAGTGCACACATCCACAAACACCCAAACTCCGCCTCCCCCTTGCCGCAGAACACCACCATCTTCCTCCCCCACTTTCCCTTCCCCTCATGGCGCCTGTCGATCATGCAACACTCCACGCACAACACGCGTACCACGAACATGTGGACTCGTGCGTAACCAAACCACACCTACCAATCGTGCACCCACGGCGGCCTGATCCACCGGGTAGGCGGCTGTGGCATGCAAACATGTGGGCTGGGGCAACGCCATACAAATGCGCGCGCACACTTGCAAATACCACAGAACCCCTACAACCCACGGCATTCAAAGCCCCGGAAGAAATCACACTTAAGACGCAAATTTGTGTGGATGAAACCCCGCTGACGTGTTCGAAATTTCCCAACAGCCTCGGTGCACACTCAAGCTGCGCAGGGTGGACAAGGGCATCGGCCGGGCGGGCAGCGAGGGCGAGGACGCGCTGTCGTGGGAGTGGAAGGCCAAGATGGAGAAGGAGCGGACGAGGTTCAACCTGTAGACGACAAACATTCGATATCGATACCCTTAATCTTCACTATTGCCCCGTTGCAGGGAACAAATCTGGTGGCGTCCGATGTTTGCTTTTTCTTTCCTTTTTTTCCGTGTCTGAGACATCCGCTGCTCTCCCTTATCACTGACCCGCACACATCCTCCCTTGGCTCGTGCGGCTGGAATCAATCAGGGCTGTAAACACACAGATTGCGCCATGCGGTCTCACTCCTAGGGCCCAGGGGTGCAAAAGCTTAGCCTGTAGTCAGACTACGGGAAACGTCGATTTGATGATGGACATGTCTCATCTCGTCCTGTTCGGATTCAATTGATCTACTGGCGGGAAACTTCCGAAGTGATTCAGGAGCTTCCACTCGCCACTTCTTTTCTAATTTTTCACATGTTTTCTTTTTTTTCCTGGTGTTCCCCTTGTTGCAACGCTTCTCATCGTCACCCAATTCGGTGTAGTGACATGTATCGATTCTTGTGGTATATTGGTAAAGAAAACTGTATGCCAAGAACAAAAACCAAAAAGACAATAACGCCGGCTGTGGGACCCAGTCAGTCGAGAGCTTATTTGCCCTGTTGCTTTTGCTTCTCCTTGAGCATCACCCATGAGTATCTAGTAGATAGTCAGCATCGTAGTCAAAGTCATATGAGCGCAACCTTTGTTGTAATTTGGAGCTGGGGGAAAAGTGGCTCCTCATCTAGAGGATAAAAGAGAAACTTACGCCATGATACCCCCAATAGCAATCATGACCCCGAGGACGGACTTGTCCCCGATGGCCCGGCCTGACGTGGCCCATCCGAGGGCGACGATGGAGCACGTCTTGACGTGGCCGACAACGGTGCTGGACACAGGTCCGGTCTGGGCGATGATGAAGAATTGGGAGATGTTGATAAGCGAGGCGAAGCCGCCGGACTGCACGCACACATGTTGTTAGTCGAGTCATTCACAACAGGGGCTGGGGCCACCATGGCGGGTTGCTATTCTCGGACTTTCTCTCCCTTGCGAGCGCCCGAGATGAGGTACTGCCGATCAAAGCCAAAACACTTAAAGATAGAGTTTTATTGATTGGCGAAGCGCAGGGCAGCCGCTGCGCAGGCGTATGGGGAGCGTGCAAAGGGGGATGAAGTTGAGGGTGAGAAAAGGGACTGAGGGAATTGTGGCTACTCACCATCAAGATCATCACCCAGCGGCTAACGCTCACCGTGGTCCAAACGGGGAAGGTGTCCACGAACGGGATCACGTAGAGCAGCATGAATGCGGAGACGGGGGCCTGGTTGAACAAAAGCTGCATGGAGCTCATCTGGAGCTTGCGGTGGTAGGAGGCGATCCAGACGGTGTAGAGGGAGCTGGCGAAGATGCCGGCGAAGGCGAAGATAACGCCCAGGCCGCTGGTCGTCTTGATGTTGGCGTCGGCGGCGGGCAGGCTGTCGTAGTAGCTGACAATGCCGACACCGGCGCAGGCGGGTACGAGGGCAATGATGGCGTTGGTGGGCAAGGTCTGGTGGTATAGCACGTAGTTCATGAGCGCAACACAGGGCGTCAGCAGGATACGCGCGACCTGGTAGAAGGTGACGGTAGAGAAGGCGAGCGATAGGTTCGGTAGGATGACATTGAGGGCCATGGCGATGGAGAGCGGCAGGATATCGCGGATGGAGGCACGGCGCGGCACGAAGAAGGCAAAGCGAGGCCGCGAGAGGATGTACAGAGTGAGCCATGTGATCGTGAAGTGGAAGGCGGCGAATGTGAGCTGTGCCAGCTTGAGCGAGGGGTCGGAGAAGATGGCTTTGTTCACGAAGACCTTGTAGTTGGCGTTAGCTGTCAGCTCGAGTACACTCTTCGTCGGGGATGCTGGAGCGAGCCGTGCTTGGGAAATACTCACGATGCCAATGGTGGCCAATGTGTTTACGACCATCCATACTATTGAGGATGCCATGCTGCCCTTGGGCGGCTCTGCCTTCTCCTGCGGCTGTGGCAGGAGCTCCTCGTCCTCGCGCTCATGGTCGCTGTCGTGGTAGACGGATGTAGGCGACTTGAGGTTGGTGAGGCTCTCGTCGTCGCGGAGCGTTGCCACCTTCTCGTTGTGCTCATCGTAGCCTCCGGTCTCAGTGTGGGACGAGGCAACTGAGCCCGCCGTTTCGGACCGGCCAGATTCTGAAGACATGATGGGCGCTGATCTGGGTGCTGCGGTGGGAGTTTGCAAGTCTACAATACTGCAGAAATCGAGAGAAATGTAAACAGTTGAGTCGCTGTTCGGCGAGAAGAATTGAGTATGACGGTCAGCTCAGCTGAAACAAGACGAAGGAGTGGTGAAGGTCGATGATACGCCCTAGACTCGTCGGCAGCATGAACACATAAAGGGAGCGTCTGTAATGGAGGGGGAAAGGACCGTTGGGTGCGAGGTAAAAGTAGATGCAGGCAGATCTCATATGAAAAGCAAGGTGGAGGGCAGCAGGTAGAGTTCGCCCAGGAGGTGTAGGAAGGTGATGATGACTTTGTATTTGTCTGGGCAGGTCGGGATGCCAGGCCTCGCGAGTGCACAGTCTCCGTCAGCAGTGAGTCCCGACGGTTGACGGGATTTCCACGGGCTGTGAGCGAGCGACAAAGGAACGTGCTCAGGTCAAAGGAAGATTCGCAATCCCTGCTGAAGGGTCCTTCATGTTCCTGGCCTGCAGGGGTTCGTGGAGGGGAGGGGCCGGAGCCTCGGCAGGGATGGCTGATTGAGTGAGGGCGGGTGAGCGACTGCCTGAACTGACTTTTGGCCTGTGGCTGCCCAGCGGAATGGAGACGGGGACACGGGGAGCCTGGGGTGAGAAAATGGCCCAAGTATCGGTACGAACCACACCTCGTCAGGACCGACACACCATTCCACTTCCATCTTGCCGCACCACTTAACTCAACTCAGACAGACATGTCTTTACTCAGCCGCTGATCTCGCCAAACAAAGACATATCTTGAATCTGGCGATATTGCTGTCAGGCTGTCAGATTCTCGGCTGCCGATTCGCTCCTCGTCAGCTCGCTCGCTCGGCCTCCTCGATCCCCTCTGGCCCTGCCAATTTGCGAGCTTGCCAGTTTGCCTGAAGCGCCAGTCTGTTCTCCAGATCTTCTGATCCTCTTTGATCCTCTGATCGTCTGCCGGAGCCCACGGCGCACTGACTGAGCGCTATCCACAGTAGTGAGCGCCGACCTGAAGGATGTCTGGCATGCCGGGCGCCGACTAGGCCACGGATCCTTGTGACAAGCGCATGCCTGGGCGGTACCCCCGTTGCCCCCGATCCGTCGTGTGGCTGAGCAGATCGAGGTTACTGCTGATGTGCGTTTGCACCACGTACCCTGGGTACCATGCCGACCCCCGGACGTGCGCTGATGCTCGTTACATTGTAGGCGCATGCAGCAGTCGCGGCTCCCCGCTAGGGCTGGCCCTCCCACTCTCCGTCTGAACATCGAAACGCTCCCTCGCCAGCGACTCGCCAGCCAGAAGGGAGCATTCCGCGTCAGCCATTCCGCGGGAGACGTCATGAATGGCCCCATCACCCACTCGTGGCTTAGGCGAACACACGTACCACAAGCCGAGTGGGACTGGTCTTTCAATGGGTCACATCTCATCACACAGAGTGTCTGTCCCTTGCAGTGAGCACATTGTCGCTTCCACTGGACTCTTGAGTCTTGACTCTGCAACGGCCTGATAATATGCAAGTCTTGAAACCCCGTTCAAGGCACCTGTGACAGCCTGGCATTATCCCACCGCCCGTCGCGCATCGCCGAGCACCCCCAAAACTTACTCGTGCCCAACAAGACGCAGAACAGACCAACAAAGAAAAGAGAAACGGCCCGCCCAGAGCTTCGGTACGCCGCCGCCCATGCTGGGGAGCCAAGACCAACCCCCAGTCCCAAACTGTCGAGGGGGAGGGATCGTAGTTCCTGTAAAGCATAGTCCCTAAGCGAAAGGCAAACTACATTTGTAGTTTGCGGACTATACTATGGCTAGAAAAAGGGGCTCGGTAGCGCGGCCCTTCCGGAGTATAATGAAGGCTGGTTGACAACGGCGTCGCGTTAGTACACCAAGATGGCACCGTACACAGACGCACCCTATTGATCCCACATCTCGGGACCTGTTCTGTCCAGTGTCTGCTAACGACACTGACAAGCGCCGGCGCCGAAAGGGTCTCGAACACGAGCAATGACTTGCGCACTGGTCTGGATGGTTCCAACGGGCCTGAGGATAGGACGGCGGACGGGCCCGGGGACAGGAGAAGCTCTCTCGAACGCAGACGGCCAACAAGCTCGGCGCCTCTGACATGCCAAGTAAAGCCAGTTCTGCTTAGCTTTTTTGTTTCCCTCCCACGACATCCCACCCATGCGCAAAGATGAGACGAAGGTTGAACAACCTCAATCGAACCGAACCCAGACGTTCCTCGTCGAAGAAGATCATCAATGCCCTCCGGGAGCTGCGGAAAGCTTCATGTTCGCCCAGGGGGCCGGACCCTGCCCGGCATCAGATGATCCAATTAAGATTGCCTTCTTGGTATCAAAGGAGAACGACTGAGCTGAGTTATTAAGATGAGCCGAAGCTAATAAGTTAAGGCATCGATCTGGGCAGACGTATAGCTCATCAGCTGGCCTGAGCTTCCCTCCCGGGTGCCAAGTGGGAGGTCGAGAGCATGTGTGCCAAGGGAATTTTTCTCCCCAATGCTAATAAAGCGGGTGCCCGGGCGTGTGGGCGGTGCCCGTCGTGGAGAAGAAGAAACTCCAGCTTGTGACTTTGTTTCTATTTCGGGCGGCAAGACAGCTGCTCTCGAGGGCCTACGAGTCGGGTGAATAGGCTTCGAGAAAATGTAAGATATGCCGAAAGTATGCAGTCTACCTGATAGGTCACGGCTCTACTTTTGTGTTGCGCGATATGTGTGTTTCGCTGCTCAGATGCCGTGACATTGGTTTCGCTGGTTTCGCTTGCACGGCTTCTGGTACCCCTAACAGCCCTATAGAGCATGGCGCGCGCGCGCGCGGTGGAGCTGTCAGCAGGTGGAAACGGAGGGACTGACTGGCTGGTCGTGCTCCCCCAGGATCTGTGCATACGCATGGCGGCACAGCAGTAGCAGCACCAACAACAACAACAGCCAGCAGAAACAAACTCAACGACATGTCTTGGCGAGCATCGAAAAAGAAGAGCGTGCACGTATTCGCCACCACAAACGGGAGCCGGCTGGGGATCGTGCGTGGTGGGCCGGGAAGCCTATCGCGATCGAGGGTTCGCACACTCATGATGATGCCCATGCCTTGCAAAGGGCGGTCCAGGGCCGCTATGCGTTCTCTGCGTAGCGAGCACTGTTGCTGTTGCTGTAGGGCCAGAAGGTGCTCTTGAAACAAAAAAGGGGAGCAACTCTAGATCTCAAACGCGCATTCCCGCCCCACCGGCAATTAACCCTCCCTCCCACTCCCCCAGGTGCTGCCGCGATGGTCCCTGCAAATGCGTCATCTGCGTGGGGTGCGGTTGACGAATGCAGAGCCCACTTCTTTTTTGGTCTATACTTGTATTATGTACTATGCATGGCTCGGGAACTTGAGTGGACTGGGAGGGATGAAGGGAGGAAATGCAATGGCCCTCGCCTCGTCAGCCCCAGTGGGAACTCGCAGTGCATATAACACACGTGTAAAAATGTCCTGATCTGCTTCCCCAAGCTTGCGGCTACGTGGGGTTGTAGATAATGCAATGCGGGCCCAGCTTGCGTACATATGGTGTCGCAGTTGCACCGCATCATGATCGACAGCACAGGCACAAGACATGAATATCACACGAATTCGGACACACACACACAATCATGTTCGATAAGGAGACATAGCCTCTTTTGCTCGAAGGGGCAAAACGCGACGCCGTGAGACGGAACCTGCCTGTAGGTACCCGACGGCTGACACTGGCTGGCAGGTTTGCCTGGCGTGCCTGGCGTTATTGTGGGGAGTCGTTTGACCGAGCCCGGGCTGACAGGCCGCCAAGCTCATCCGCCGCCAAGAGGAAAAGCATCCTTTCGCCGTGATAACTTTGATAGCGGACAAAGTTCAGGGTAGGCTACTCTTTTTTTTTTTACGGTACAGTATAGAGTACACACAAAGACCTTGCTGCGGCCACTGAACGAGACCCAATCATGCCACGGACGGTTATGTACAATTACCTCCATCTGGGAGAGACGATATCAACTGACAGGCACTGGTGGGTGAGTTTTTATTATGCCTCGAAACGACCTCGATCAGCCGCTCTCGCGCCCGCGTACTCGGATCTACAGCTACCGACCGATTCATCCGCTGCAGGGCTCCTCCCGCATATGCATCCAGACATACATACACTACTACATACCTGCCGGCGCCGTGGCGCACCGCACGGTGCTCGGATAGGAGGGCCCCCTTCGCCGCGCATGCGGGTTAAGATTTGGGGCGACGGAAAGTGGCTCCCGCCGAGGTCTGTCCTTGGGCAGGCTGCGGCTGGAGGATATCGCAGGTCCAGAAGAGGGAAAATGCTGACCACCCGGCCCGGCCCCATGAGTACACGAAGGATTAGTATTATTAGTTGACAGCGCTAGCGAGAGCGAGGCTGGCCATGATACGATGCTGCTAGCTTGGCGTGGAAAAGGGCAAAGTTCGTGATGTGGGACGCTTTTGTTTCCATTGTAGGCGCACCGTTTGGATGGACGGACGGACGGATGCTTGGTGGTGCCGTAGCACGGTCGTTCTTGCTCTTTCCTGGGCCGTTCTTCCCCAAGTCCCAACAGCGCTGCCCGATAGGTACGAGCTAGGGCCGCCCGTGTCACAGCGGTAGCACCCCGAAAATCTAGCGTTCAGCGATTAATCATGTCTGCGTGGGAGAAAAAAAAAGTCAATCTTGCTTCGCTGCTCTCTGAGCCCGGCTGAGCCGCTTGTCGTCCCGGCCTCGCAATGCGCAAGCCTCATCTCCCCTGACTAAAACGCGCGCGTCGAGTATAGCTCGCTCCAGGGGTCCCTCCTTGGGAGGTTTCTGGCGTCCAGGCATCTCAATCCGCACCCGCAACCTGCACCCGTGGAGACGGGCGTCCCCTTGTACCGGTACCTTGCAGACGGGGTGCCCACCAACGCAGGGCCGCGTGGTTTTGGCTCAACCCGAGCCCTTCAAAAAGAAAGTTCGACCCCCCCTTGCGGCCGTACAATTCAAAGACATGGCCATGCCAGACATACTCTCTTGATCCAGTCCCCTTCATACAGCATATTTTATCACGCAGAGACAAGTCCTGCAGCCTCGTCCTCTTTGATTTGCCCGGCCCTCCCTGAACTCGGCTGCAGGCGATCACTTCTGCTTTTCAGGCTAACGAGTCCTGTCAGTGGCTGCTGGGTCCCGGATCCCTTGATTGACGGACGACATTCCTTTGCCGAGCTTCTTCTAAGACACTTTTTTTTTCATCAGTCTCACTCTTTTTTTTTTACACGGCAGACTTATCGCAAATCAGGGGCAAGCGCGAGTCACGACCTTATTTGGACAGTCGTCGGCGCAATCTGCTCGCCAGATAGCCGTTGCTCTCGATCCGTCCCCACAATTCTTCGACTCAGTGGTTAGTACTTCACTGCGAGCTTGCCTGCAGCGAGGTGACCAGGTGCTCCCACGAACCTCACCGTGACGGCCACACACAAGCAGCAGAGACACAGCCTGCACGCCGCCTTTCTCAGCATTTCTCTCGTTTGAAGCGCGGGATATCAAATTCGCTACAGGCGGAAAGTCGAGAAGATGGCTCCTCACATCAACGGTTCCAATGGCATCTCAAATGGTACGTGAGTCGTGACGCAGCCCTGGCTTGCACGAGATCTGACCGTATTGTACAGGCGTCAATGGCACCCGCCAGAACTTCTTTGAGGATTTCGGCGTCTGGAAGGAGGCCCCAGTCTTGACGGGGACCACCAAATTCGAGCCTCTGCCAGATGTGAAGAACATCATGATCACTGGAGGAGCCGGCTTCATGTGAGTCCCCATTCCCCGAGGCGTGAGCGCCGAAATACGAGCCCCTCCAGCTGACACGGAAGCTTAGTGCATGCTGGCTTGTCCGACACCTGACGTTGACGTATCCCCATGCGTACAACATCGTGTCCTTCGACAAATTGGATTACTGCTCATCTCTCAACAACACACGCATGTTGAATGACAAGCGGAATTTCACCTTTTATCAGGGCGACATCACCAACCCCACAGAGGTGGTAGACTGCCTCGAAAGGTACAACATCGACACCATCTTCCACTTTGCAGCGCAGTCTCACGTCGATTTGAGCTTTGGTAACTCGTACGGTTTCACGCACACCAATGTGTACGGAACCCACGTGCTCCTGGAAAGCGCCAAGAAAGTGGGGATCAAGCGGTTCATCCACATCTCGACGGACGAGGTCTACGGTGAGGTCAAGGACGACGATGACGACCTCCTCGAGTCCAGCATCCTGGCCCCAACCAACCCGTACGCGGCGTCCAAGGCCGCAGCAGAGATGCTGGTGCACTCGTACCAGAAGAGTTTCAAGCTCCCCGTCATCATCGTCCGCAGCAACAACGTCTACGGCCCGCACCAGTACCCGGAGAAGATTATCCCCAAATTCACCTGCCTTCTGAACCGGGGCCTGCCGGTCGTGCTCCACGGCGACGGCACCCCGACGAGGCGATACCTGTTCGCGGGAGACGCGGCGGACGCCTTCGACACCATCCTCCACAAGGGCCAGCTAGGCCAGATCTACAACGTCGGTTCCTACGACGAGGTCGCCAACCGCGACCTCTGCGTCAAGCTCCTCGAGCAGTTCGGCATCCCGTACGAGACGCCAGACGACGTGCAGAAGTGGGTCAAGTACACACACGACCGGCCCTTCAACGACCACCGGTACGCCGTCGACGGCACCAAGCTGCGGCAGCTGGGCTGGGACCAGAAGACGTCCTTCGCCGACGGGCTCCGGATCACGGTCGAGTGGTACCGGCGGTTCGGCGAGCACTGGTGGGGCGACATCTCGAAGGTGCTGTCGCCGTTCCCCGTCGTCAAGAACAAGGAGGTCCTCAGCGACAAGGAGGAGGTGACGGACATGCCTCAGCCCAAGCAGAAGGTCGCCGGCGGTACCAACGGCTCTGCGAAGGAGTACTTCCAGGTGGCGTAGCCAGCCATCACCCTGGAAGCAACAGCAACAGCATTGAGCATGAGAGCGCGAGCGTGAAAGTTTTGTGTGTTGAAAGGGAACCGATTTATTCCGCGGGCTCGGGCTCCAGGGCGTTTTGATCAGGCGTTTTCGAGAGGGTAAATGAAAGACTGGGACCGGAACCTTACTTTTCGTATGATGGATGAATGAAGGATGAGACCCCTGAACCATCTTTCGAAACCCCCCCCTTTTTGCATCCGAGTATGCAGTAGCTATAGCACTCGGCATTCGTTGCCTTTTGAAGTGAACCAGAATTTATGATGGCATTTTTACACACTCTCTGTTCTCTGTTTCTCGCCTTGGCAGATGTGCAAGAGTCAGTGATGCCGCTGGATGAAGTACTCGTGACGTAGTGAGGTATTTGTTGTATTCTGTTCGGCTTGACAACAGAGAAGAAACTTCAAATCTAAATCGATTTCTGGTGACAGTAGGAGTGCCAAAGGCAGGAGACGGGGATATAGAGGGTGCGACAAATCTCGTTGCCCGCATGTTCCTCCTTCCACCCTGGTCAAGTGCTACTTGGGCAGTTGCGAATTGTGTTCACCACGTTCACACAATCGGAAGGGACGGTTCTCCCAATGTGCTCAAAACGCCAGGGCACCAACTAATGTTGAATACAAAATGCGGACGCGAGTCCACGGATTCTCAACTGCACGTCCGTGGCCGAGGAACACATCAAACACCATCAAGAACAGTGGCAAACGCTGTGCAATGAAGCAAGACCGCTTGGAAACTTTCAGCAGCTTCGAATCCTTGATTCCCTGTTTCTTCCACTACTATGCAAAAAGAGGCTGACAGTAGACCAGGCCGACTCAAGGATGGGTATCTACACGGTTCACCGAACGCACGCATGCGCGCAAACACGAGCGGAAAGCATGATGAACAACTTCATTCGCTCGATTGTGCGGCCGCGACCGAGCAGTTTCGCTTGGGTAGTCTCGGTTCCCGTGGTCCTGCGTGCCAGGTGCCGCCGTCAATGAAGCCGTGGAGGCGACAGAGACACCGCGGACGACGGGGCCGGCTAGGGCACCAACCCCTCGCCGCCGTGGCCGAGCTCGGTCTTTGGTTCCAGCGGCTTCCGCGCGATCGTCACCCTCAGCCGGATCTGGAATCCTTTGTTCAGCGCCGGGTTCGTGGCCATGGCGATCATCTGCTGGCCGACGGACTCGCATGCCATGCGTACCGAGGCCGCGTCCCACCCCAGGTACTTGGTCAGCAGCCTCAACGCGTAGCTCTCGAAGCCGGCCCGCAGCGTGACGAGCCACAGCTTGCCGAGCGGCGAGTTGGACGGGTCCAGCGGGATGATGTGCTCGTGGACCTCGCAGTCGACGAACCCGTTGTTCTCGAGCAGCTCCGGCTCCATGTGGTCTATCCCTCTGTGCTTGCCGTGGATTATCTCCGCCTCCTCGATCCCCTTGGCTGCCTTATGCATTAGCGAGTGTGGGGGGAAGCGATCATAGAAATTCTTCTCTCCCTCGTGGTCGTGGAACTCCAAGATCTCTACCCAGCCGCCTGGTTTCAGACAACGCAGCGTCTGGCCATAAACATAGTTCCAGTCTCGAAACGCGCCAGACATGTGCCTATAATGCACCATGTCGAACGTGTTGTCATCCCACGGCCAGGGATCCTCTCCGTCCATGACCTCGAAGTGGCAATTCAGGGGCACTGCCCTCTCAAAGGTCGGCGACAAATCGATGCCGGTCACTTTGCACTCTGGCCAACTCTCCGCCATGGCCATCGACCACTCGCCCGTGCCCGTCCCGACGTCCAAGACCGCCGTGGGGTCCTCGAGCGGTATCGTCGTCAGCTCCAGGTTGAAGATGTTCAGGTAGATCTGGTGCAGGATACGCAGGCGATCTTGCTCGTCCTCGTCGTTCGGCATGAAATAATCCCGGGCATACCTGCGTCCGTGCTCCCAGTACATGTCAGTCTCGTCGTCAGGGTTATAGGTCGAAGTACCCCATCTGTCACAATCAGTCAGCTTGCCCATTGTCATGACGAGGCGCCGGACGGAAATAAGCTTACAGGCTCGACCCAAACGCCTTGGGCGAGACCTTTTGTTCCTGCCCTCGGGCTTGGAGCTGGCCCGAGCTGGCCTGCGCAGTCCCTTCGTCTGTTGTCCCATCCTGATGAGGCGGATCGCTCTTTGCCAGCCCCAACGGATCTGGCCCCGACAATACCGGCTGGCCGGCGTTGGCCCGATCTACCATGTCCATAGCTGCCTGTCTCTCGGTGGCAGATTCGTCCGCACCGTCTCCTATATCCGTCTGTTTATTGCGCGAAGGATGGTTCGCCGGGGCGGGATGCAGACTCTGATCTCCGGCGCTCCGTTCGTCAGGGTACTGCAGCGATTCCGGGCTTGGAAGCGGCCCATGGCCGTGGGTCGTCGTCGCATTTTCACCTCGACTCGATTGCGCTTGAGCGGGTGCGGGAGGCTCGCCGACGGAGCTTGGTCCACCAGCAGCCGAGGTGGGTGCTGCTGGGGCTCCAGCCGTGGTGGGCTTCTTGCCCGCCTCCATTGAACTGGCGTGGCCAAAATTGGGTCGTCGTCCTGATTGATTCTATTCACCCGGCAACTCGTCCCCAGCCCATCGCGTGGGGGGCAGATCTTGTCGCTTTAATTCCCTGCCGATCTCTCCTGGCCGGACCTGGATCGACCAGAGGTGATTCCTGTCGACAAATTTCGACGGCGCGCTGTTGTAAGTGTGCTTTCCCAGACGCGTCTTTTGAGAGAGGTGGTTTTGGGCAGGGACAGTAGTGATCCCCACTGCTGCGGCTGTTGGCGACTGAACTGCCGAGGAGCTCTGTCCGGATTAGAGCGCTATGAGCCCAGAGAGCTTTAGCTCGTGTGGGGTGAAGCTGGCTGGGCGCTGAGGGGTCACTCGTCAATGGTGTCAAGCTTGCCGAGCTTCGTTCGAACTCGAGTGAGGCGGAGGGAAAACCGGGAAAAGGAGGACCCTTCTCGAGGGAAAATGGAGTTGGGCACAGGGGACACGAGTATTCTTCACAAAAAGCAACTCGCGGATGAGCATTGACGGCTGGAAAAGGAGATTTCCAAGAGATCGGGCATCACACTGCATTCCAACGGCGCAGCACAGGCGAGGCAGGGCTCCATTCGCGCAGCCAAGCATCGCTCTTCTCGTCCCCAAAAAGTGTACCGGGGGTTAGCAAGCTGCCGTGCTACGGAATCCTGGCCCAATGTTGCGCCTGTAGAATGCACGCCGAATCCTTCGTATCGTCATCCAGGCGGGCTCGCGTGGAAACCAGTTGTCCAAAATTACAATTTTGGTGCGAGTCTCTTTTTTCAGAGGGGGACAAGAACTCTTTCGTCATGTGCCAATGCTGGCCCAATTCTTCTCGCCTCCCTGGGTCTGGGACTCTATGTCAGCTCGTTGACCTCATCTTATCTAGAGCTCTAATTTCGCACACTGCCACCCACACCCATAGTCGACGGTGTAGAAGGGGCACCTGCTAAGGAGGCGCCGAGCGCACCAAGCTGGCCACGATGGCCGCCCGTTGTCCTTCCCCGGCTCAAAGGATCCGTCAGCCCTGTAGACAACGTGGGACGGGTCTTGCCGGCAGCCGGATCGGTTCACCGCGTGCCCAAAGCTAACGGCAGCCCAACCTGGACGACGGCCTACGCATGTAGTGACTCGCCCACCCGCCCTTCCGATGACAACTCCTGAGCAACTGGCTCGGAACGGCTCTGTCCTTTCTCGCCCCCCTCCATGGGCAATCAGCCATGCTGTGAAGCTATCGCCTCATCGCCCAGCCAGTCCCAGCTCTCCTGGAAATAGCTGCGGCAGGAATGCCCACATACGGTGCTGACCACCCCCGGTCTTCCTGGCCCTTACACAATGGACCCAGGCCCACGTCCCCGGGAGCAGACTCTTTCGTGGCGATTGGGCCGGCTTTTTAGCCGCAGCCTTGCACAACCCCGGGATAAGAGGGAGGGAGGGGGGAGGGGGGCGCCGCACAGGAGAAAAGGTGCGGAACCGCGCGTCCTGTGGCAAGTCTGCAGGCAGGTAGTCTATGCACTTGTGCGGCGCGGGAGAGGGAGAGAGGATTTTCGTATCCATGCCGGCCCACTGTGGTAGGTAGGCAGGTAGGCAGGATACTATGCTGTGCTTACCCATGAGGATACGCCCTGCCCCGTTGATACGGGGTCTTTGTAGAGGTGTTGACTGGACAGCGAGTCCGCGGCTCCCGGGCTCACGGGGGGCTCTGCTCGATGGCGGTCAGCAACGCGCCCGGGACTTGGAAGATGAATCGCCGTGGTGAGTTGAAGCCTAGTCGGGCAGGGTAAGCCGAGCGCCCCCGTGAATCAAGCGACTGCTTCGGCCCCTGTCTCCGGTGGCCGGAAAGGGGTGGGTCTGGAGGTATGATATCTTCCTCGGTATCTCTACGTTAACGCATATTGAGAAGACAGCAGATATGCGAGGCTCTGCGCCTTTTGAAACCGTGCGTATATCACGTCAAGCTGAAATACCTAGAGCTTTACTCGAAAATTGTTGAATTACTTTGCTGAGATTGTGTGACAAGAGGCTTATTCGACCATGTGAGGCTGCGGCAGCATATAGTCGCAATGCCATCATGCTTAATCCACAGACATTGTCATGTACAAATTGTCTATTCTGGGAACCGCATCCTCCATAAATCAGAGGGAGAGCGGGTCCGCACTCCCAAGGTTACCGGAAATCTCTCCAGGCAGGACAATATGTCCCTAGCGTGCCGCGTAAAGCTCCCCTGCTTTAAACCCCATTCCACTTCCCAAACCTGACATACTGCTTATACATCTCCCGGAAGATGGCGCGCCCGCTCGCGTCGACGGCCTCGTTGATGACCCGCCTGCCCTCGGGCGTCGTGATGTCCAGCACCGAGTACACGCCCGGGTCGAGGGCGGCGCGCACCGCCCGCGGCACGGGGCGCTCCAGCTGCAGCTTCACGTACAGCACCAGCACCAGGTACATGTGCTGGGCGGCCGACTTCTTGGCCGCGTCGGGCGCAGAGTCCAGCGCGCCGGGGGCGTGGCCACGCGTCACGGAGGCGACGCTCGGCTCGCAGGTGAGGGTCAGGAGGCGGGAGAAGCGGGCGGCTTGGGCCTGCTGGTCGGGCGAGGACGTCGTGCTGGTAGTACTGGTGGTGGCAGCGGTCGTCGGCCAGGGGATGATGAGGAGGCGGAGTAGGGACTGGAGGGCTGTGATGAGCAGGTGGAAATGTCCTTCGAGTCGGTGGCGGTGTCGCTTGATGATGACTTCGACGAGGCTGCAGAGCCAGGGGTAAGCCTTCTCGGAGGCGTGGGCGTCTTCTGTCATCGTTGGCCCGGTGGAGCAGATCGTGGATACGGTGCTCAGCGTGACCTCGATATTCCATTGCTTCATGGGTTTCTTGTCGAGGACCATTTCTACTGTCTTGGCAATGACTGCGAACTCGGCCCAATTTCTTGCTTTAGGTAGTCGTTTCGTGAGCACATGTTGGACTTCGGTCCAGTCTATCAGGTCCGTAAAAGTTCCAAGTGAGGATTCTATTTCAAGTCAGCCAAATCCAGGAGATATAAGAGGGTGTCACTCACTGTTCTCTGCCTGTAGAAGCCGATGTATGGCGATGATATTGCCAGTGATAGCATCGCCATCGCGCAGCTTCTGACCCATTGCCCGTGCGTAGCTAGCTCTTGCCTCGTCATACATGTAGATAAGCACAACATCCACGTACCGGGTAATGTCATGTGGACCGGCGAGCAGTAGACGTGGCACCGAGCTATCGGCGTGTGGCTTCCAAATCGCAAAGTCGTCACATATGTGAAGTGGGTCCTCGACGTCTTTACCAAAAGACTTAAAGAGCAACTCTTTGACCCGCCAGCCGGATTTAAACCCCTTGCTGCAAAGCTCGTCACTGAGGCTTTCAAGCTTTCCCTTCGATGGTAGAAAGCTATCCCGAACAGCAGCCACGTCCAAAACATCGAGCTGATCCATGAGCACACAGCTGAAGCTTGTCGAAATCCCTTGTCCCAGCGGCCTTGTGTCATCGTGGAGGTCATACAAGTCGCTAGAAACCAGGAAGTTTGCGAGCATCACGGACAATTTCTCCTTGAGTTGAGCCGGATCGACCACAGTCTGCGCTTGCCGCTTGGCCTGGGGGGTCTTGAAGGCGCTGACCAGCGCTCTCAGTAGGACGTAACGATGAGCCTCATCTTTAGTAGCCTCCACAGGCCAGCCTGACACGACGCGGGAAGCCTCCGAAAAATAGATTCGGTCTCGCTTCTCCCAAGACGACGTCATTTGTTTGAGGGTGACTGATGCGAGAGCCTCAAACAACTTCAGAAGCGTGTAAGCGTCCTCGGTGGCCAGAACACTCGCACTGCTGGATTTGATGCCAGTCTCGATGGTCTGTCCCAGTGTGACAAGATCGGCAAATTTCATGCCATCGTAGAAAGTTGGGCTCTTCATGATTTTGATCATCAAGGATACGAGGCTTCTTGTCATTTCCGAATCGGCATCAGCTTCTCCCAAGTTCGCCAATTGCAGTAGCGCTGGTATGATCTTTTCCCGCTGTTCACGATTGAGCGCCTCTGACGGCAAATCAAGCAAGATGCGGATGGCCGTGTTCACTTGTCGCTTGGTGAGTTTTGATTTGTCGCCTGCTTCTCGTGCAAGCGTGCCAATGGCATGGCTGACAAGGGCACCGAGGTACTTGTGGTTACCCAAACTGGCCTCATTCAACAACAAAGACCTGACTGAGCTGTTTGACGGTTCCGCCTTGTCTACGTACGCAAGCAGCCCTGCGAGGAACTCGCTGCTAAAGTCTGAGTAGGCAGCGATATCGACCAAGCGGCGCGAATCGTAGAAGGATAACCTGGAGCTGTCTGCCGACGTTACTTTCTGCTCGTCCTTCTGCAGCCTCTTCAGGAAGGTCCAGGTTATCGCAGACGTCTCGGACTCAACAGCAGCCTTAGGGTAATTTGCCAGCCAGAATGCTGTGCAGCAACGGAAAGCTGCGAGTGCTGCAGGGTCTGCCAGGTCCTCTTTCTTCAGCGCTTTCTTCAAGTCTGATTCGACTTTCTTCCAGAGAGCACTGACGGTCTCTGATTCTGACTGCGAGACCGTTCTTTCAACGATCCGCCACCATCGTGCCCGCATTGATCCGTCGAGGTGTTTCAGTTTAACTTTGGAAGCGAGGTCAAACAGTCGAGTTCCGACACTGTCCACAAATTCTTCGTCTGTCACGCCCCTGGTGAGGGCGTCAATGACAACAAGAAGAGAACCCTTCTTGCAAGAGTCCTCGCGACCCTCCAGCCACTCGAGGAGCGTGGTTAATTGGGATGTGTTGATGGATGGTTGCAGGAGATTTGCAACTGCCTGAACGATTTGCTCGCTGGACCATATTCCCTTGACGGAGGTGAAGTCCTCGTCTTTGGCCAAACTGTCCGACAGGACCTCGGTCCATTTCCTTATGAACCACGGAAGATTGCGGGCTTTTGCAGAGCCTTCTGCCAACGACACAATAAACTTGACCAGGTCAGTCTCAGTAGATGCATCCAGTTCCGCGTCATGCATATTTGTGATCTGCCCAATGGTGTTGTCGAGCAAAGATTGTCCCTCAGCAGAAATCATGAAGACATCAACGTCGATATCCGCCACTCTAGACACGAGACTTAGATCAATTGCGCCACTCTCTGTTGTGTACTGCCTGCAGACTTCGCGGAGGCTACCTAGGGAGATGCTAGCCTTGCTCTGCAGGGCCGCGTCGAGCACGATTTGCATGGCATCGTTCCGCTTGGTAGTTTCCGCAGTACGCATGGCCTCCTCGATGATTTCAAAGACCTTTTGAGTCCAGTCCTCGCGATCCTTTCGACCACTTGCATCATCCGCTGTCCCGGAAGGCGAGACAGCGAGGCTGAACAGCACAGGGGATGAAGCCGTCGGCAGGGAACTGGTCATGTTCACAGCTTCTTGTATGATACCCACGTCTTTCCGATTCAGAAACGCCGCTCTCGCAGGAAGGATCATGTTCTTGATAAAGAAACGTCGGAGAGCTTGCCTCCAGCTCCACTTGACGCGAGGGTCCACAACGAGGTCTTTCGAACGGTCCATCTTGGCCAAGATTATGAAGCCCGTGGGATAGAGAGAAAGAGCCACATCGACAGGATCGCTGCTACTCTGGAGATGAAGATCCCACAGGCCGCTGAAGATGGTGATCCACGAGGGTCGATTCTCGGCTGATTCTGATTCCTGCTCGTTCAGGGCGTGGTCGCAGATAGATAGAATTGGCCGGAGGATTTTGACAGCTTCTTTGGCGGGCGAAGAAAATAGCGATTTGACGTGTTCAGCCCCCATTCGGACATTGGAAGGTGCATCGACTGGCACTTCCTTGAGCCGGGCCAGGAGCTTCTCGAGGGCAACGAACAGACTGTCTGCCGTCCTCAAGCAGCCATAAGAAGTCCTAAGACTTGCGAGGTCAAATTTTATTTCAGGAGATCTCTTCCTCTTTTTTGATTCCCCTTTGGGAGGAGAACTTGAGCCATCGGCCATCTCCACGTCCGAAGATGCAACGTCCTCGTTCTGCGGGTTCGATAGTTCCTTGAGGGTCTGCTCGAGGATATGAACGAATCGCCGGTCGGCGAGAGATTTGGGGAGAGCGAAGAGAGGTATTCTGGTGAAGACGCAGGCCACCACGTTCCAGGCCATGGGATACCGCCGGAACTGCTCTGCCGAGGCAGACGACCCGTTCATGTTTTTGAGAAGCCATCGTAGTATGAGCTGCTCCGCGGCGTAGTATGTGCCAACTGGTGAGCTCGAAAGGAGGTGCCACAGGTTCGAGAGTGTGTCGGGAACGGACTCGGCGCTGCTCTGGTCGAGGATTCTCGAGGCTTTGATGAGGGCGTCCGGAGACTGCACCGAGTAAGTTTGGTCAGCATTTCTCTGTGTGAGGTGGTGCGTAATTTTGTCTCACCTGCGCGGAAACCTTCATTTCTGACGCCATTGTCCTTTGAGTGGCCTCGAGGTACCCGGGGAATGCTCCGAGATGCTCCCTCTGCTGTCCTGATGGTGTTGTTCAGGGTTGGTTCAAGGCCCAGAAACTTTGTCCCGAAATTCTGGACATTCTGCCCACCGATAGCGATAAGCTGCCCCAAATCCAGAAGGCGGCGTCGATAAGCCACCAACCCTGGCTAGCGCCCGGCAGCTTCCCCCTGGCAGGTCAATTGACATCTTCGAAAACAATCCGGAAGGGCAGAGAGAGAATCCAGACCCAACGTCATATCCAGGCCGAGGACGCGCTCAATCCACATCCCAGTGCGAGGTGAGACCGCCAGCCAAGCTCTGGAACAAGGATTGATCGGCTCACGCTTCTATCTAACAGTACCACAAGTCACAATGGCGCAGACCTCCGTTCCTCCACCACCCCCGAGCACCGTCTCGCGACCGGTTAGCGAGGCACTCCTGAACGAAAAGGTAAGCTCCTACCCGAGCGCCCTCCCTCCCGCCGACTCCGGGTGCCGCGCTTCTTACGACCCCAGCAAGAGAGGGGAAGGAATGGAAAGAACCCGTCAAGACTAACGCGCCGGGTTGCAAACAGTGGGACCGCTGCCTCTCCAACCTCCTGATCAAGTCCTCCCTCGGCCTCGGCTTCGGCGTCGTCTTCTCAGTCCTCCTGTTCAAGCGCAGGGCGTGGCCGGCCATCGTGGGCGCGGGCTTCGGCGCCGGCCGGGCGTACGAGGAGTGCAACTTCAGCCTGAAGCAGGCCGCGCGCGAGATCAGGAAGCAGGCATGAGCCCGAGCACACGAGCATCGCGGGCGGGCGCGGGCGTTGCGTTTGGGTTACGACTCCGGGTGAAGAGGTACATACACACATACGTACGGACGCATACACGTTGCCAGAATCCACGCTATCAATAAATCACAATTATCAACGGCACTGAGAAGGGAGGACGCAAGATCTGTACAACAGTGTTGAGCTGGGCCCGTCGGATCCGGGAAAGAATAAAAAAACGGGTGCGAAGGGGATGGAAATGGGGGTGGTGGCGCGAGGCACTTTTCCGAATTGGCGCGAGCATGGTTCGGAGAGGGCTTGTATAGACAGACGGTTTGTAATCGGTATGAATAGAATCATTGACTCTCAGCAGTGCTCTCAAAGCCACTGGGTGATGGTGGATTCTTCTCGTGATTTTATTCTGTGGTCCGGAGCCGCAACGGGCTCGACTCTTCGCCCGTATCCTGTTGAGCTTGAGCGGACCTTCTTGTCATCAGCGGCAACTCTGGCTCGCCCGAGAGGATTATCAAGCAGACAGAACAAGTCGTGAGGCATCATTTTAGACTCTGACCACTCGTTGAATAGCAGGAAACACCTGTGGTTCTTCAACCTCTGGGAGAAAATGGGCATTAACACATTCCAGCGCCACCACCCCAGCAGAACGGAGGAAGTAGACAAGGGTGTGCCCCGCTTCAAGGAGATGGTGGATTTTGCCCGTGAGTTCCACCACAAAAGACATACACAGGCCATATAATTCCAGTATCCTTAAGCACCTTGATCACTTATTGCTGAGGAAGACATGACAATTCATCTGATGTATACACGTCTAGTCCAGTGAGCAAAGCAGCTGCATATCTAGGTTCATCCGGGATTGACCACACACGTGGAAACAGCCTGACAGCGACAGCATCCAAGTCCTCTCGATCACAAACTCACGAATCCCGCCCTTCTTCTCGCGATTCTAGCTCAATCCCCTCAGGGCCTTGATCATCCTTGCTTGGCAGAGCCACAAGCCTGTTCACCCCGAGCGGGTCATCAAATCCCGAAGACAGCGCCGGCAGATTCCCCTCGATACCGCCCACAGGCGACGGCGCAGCCGCCTTCCGCTCCCTCTCCTCGCCTTCCTCCGCGCATAGCGCATCCATCATGGCAGCCTGGTCGGCGGCGAGCACCCGCGGCGACCGAGGCGACCGCGGCTTCTCGATCGACGCCCCCAGGAGGCCCGCCTCGCCCCACGCCCGCCGCGGGTCGAACTCCCTGAGCTCCATGTCCTCCTCCGCGCCTTCGTGACTACCACCGCCTGAGTTTAGCGGCAGTGAATTGGGCGTCGCCAGCGCTGCCGCCATGCGACCGATGTCCCCGATGGCGGTGAGCGCGGCATAGCCAGCCTCAGAGTCTAGTTCCTGTTCCAAGCCCGGGCTGCTCAGCGAAGTCTGCCCGCCTTTCTTCCCGCCCTCGTCCTCCTCGTTTCCGTCATCATCATCATCACCACCACAGTCGTGCGCTTTGCTCCGCGAGCCGGCAGACTTGCGCCGTCCCCGCGGGAGTGAGCCCGGGTGTGAGGACCGTCCGCCCCAGGTGCTGCGGCGGCGGAGGCGGATGAGAGATTCGTCATTGCCGTTGCTGTCGCCGTTTCCATCTTCGTGTGTTTCGGCGGCAGCAGGTGGGGAGGGCTCCGTCGCGGGTGGTAGGACGATGGCGACCTTGCGGTGTTCTTTCCTGTGAGGTGCGGTGGGTGCGGCGCCAGTGCGGCGCAGGATCCAGACCAGCAGGCACACCTGGCTCGCGAGGAAGAGGATGCCCGACGCGAAGACTAGGATCTCTGTGCGGCTCGCGTCGAGCGCCTTCTTGCTGAGGAGGAGGGAAAGGGCAGGGGCGGGTGCCGGCGGCGGCGACGGTGCCTGGGTGGCTGGCTCCACGAGCTCTCCCATGTCGTGGGCTGTTGGCTGTACCAGTGGTAGAGGCTGTCGTCCCAGGGCGGAGAGGGCGTGTTGGGTTGACGATGTCTGCGGGTGCGGTGTTTGCGAAGGGGTTCGTTGTTGCTTCGTCTGGGTGGTTGCGCACAGGGTGTAGGCATGTCGAGTGAGCGTTATGGTGAGTGTTAGGTTGATCTCATGGTACATTGAAGGGTTGAAGGTGTTTCAGGAACCGTAAATGGTGGATAAGTATTCTGCTGTGGATGAGGTAGTCTTGAAAACAGGTGTAATGTTTGTGTTTTGTCTGAGAGCTGGAATAGCATAGTAGTAGATATGTACACAGTCCGTCGAGCAGGAACTAGGTCTCCCAAGAGAGGAAGTCGCAATCCAGATGGCACGACCGCCTCACGCAACCAGCGCCGACTCATTTTTGAAGATGGGTAATTTGACATCTATCATTCTTGATTTCGGAAGCGTCTAAATAATCATCACCGTAAATATCCAACCAAGAAAAATAGAAGAGAGAAATCGTGCCTGACACATTACATAACAACACAGCAGTCGCCCAGCTTCTTGGTGAGCTTGTCGATGACCTTCCTCTTGAGCTTCTCCGTGCCGTCCTCCTGCTGCTGCCCCTCCTGCTGCTGCCCCGTGTTCGCCGGGGGCCTGGGGTGCTGCTGGCCGTGCTGTGCCTGGCCATGGTGCTGCTGCTTGCCGCCGTGCTGGGCACCAGGGTAGCCGTGGTTGGCGCCGCCGCCGTAGCCACCGCCGGAGTAGTTCGACGGCGGCGGGGGCATGTGGGGGATCTCGTGGCCCTGGAGGTTGACGTATATCCGGCCCTCGTTCTCCTCGGTGCGGTACTGCAGGCCCAGCTCCTGGCACAGGTGCTCGACGCGCGGCTTGAGCTTCTGCACGTGGCCAACCGAGTGGTTGCCCTTGCCGACGATGACGTGCAGGTGCGTCTGGCTGCGCGCCTGCGCGTCGCGGATCCGCGCCTCCAGGATGTCCTCGGCCTCCTCCACGAACTGCCCGTGCAGGTCGATCGTGTCGGAGGGCACCTTGTCCGTTGAGTTGTTGGCGCGGAAGATGTACTCGGACGCCTGCTTGTTGTACTGCTCCATCTTGGCCGCGTGTGACTTGCCCTCATTGCTCAACTGCTTGGCCCCGGCGCCATCGCCTTGCTCGTAGGCTTCGTGGGCCTGCGAATCGGTCAGTCTCGGTCCAGCAGAGGGATGACGGCCGGTCAAGGGCGACCTAGGCGGCGGCGGCGGCGTACCCTGTCGAAGCACGAGTTGCGCTTTGAGGCCTCGGCCCGGGCCAGGTCTCGCAGGCGGTCGTATTCCGTCTCCGTGTCATCGTCGTCACGGTGATGGGCGTAGGCTGTTGTGCGGCGCGGCGTTCAAGTCAGCAAGATTGACGGTGACATCATTCGCGATGGGCTGGGTCCAGGGTCCCTGCATGAATCGACTCACCGCGTCCTCCCAGACGCGTCGACGGGCTCCGCGAGTGCATGGGAATTGATTCAGCCATAGTTGAGACAAGTAGGGTCGTTAACGAGCGAATTGAGCATACAACGGTCTCAAGAAGCCAGGGACAAGCGTGCTGTGAAGTTAGAACCTGCGAACTTGGAAGCTGTCCTCAGGGCCTGTTAGATTGAGGCCACCCAAGGACGGACCCAGAAGCGTGGGCCAACAAGCTCGCCAGAACATGGTTGGTCAATTGGCGCTCTTGGTCAGGGGCGCGCGACTCGAGACTAATAACACCGGCCACAGTCGGTGAGACTACTGTGGGCAGCATTCCGCTATCCGCTCAGCTGCAGCAAAGTCCCGTCCTAGACATTCTTGTGCGGTCCAAGCTGAGGGGTCGGAAGCCTGCCAGATAGATAGATGGTGGGTTACAAGAGTATTTGGGATCGATGCTCTGGTTCTCGCCAAGTTGGATCGACCAGATCCTGAACCTACCGCTCTGCCGCTGTAACACAGATCCGATCATCCCATCCTGACTACCGGCGCCGCTCTGACTCGGCGGGCGGCGTTCAAAACGACCGGACGGAGCAACAAGATCGGGTTACAAGCCCGCTGCGGTATCCATATCCGCGAGCAGGTTCTGCTACAGAGAGCAAGTCCTTGCGCAGTCCAGTGCCAGAGGAGCGAGGACATTCTCCCAGACAGCCAGATTGCAATCTGCAAGCCTCCCTCTACCCCTCGGCGCCATGCAACCTGGACCCGATTTCCCAAAACTCGAGCATCCCGGAACCTGCAGTAGCACCAGGGACCGAGGGGGCGAATTCTGCGTCTCCTTGCGAGCGTGTGTGAGCCTGCATGAGAAAGGGGCGGCCGCTTTGTCGCAGAGGCTTCTATGAGGGTTTCTAGAACGAAACGGCACGCCGGGCGAGAGACCTACCAGACTTGCCCATAGACGGGCCGAGTCCTCTGGACGACGGCAGCCAGAAACAGTTTCGGAAAAACTGGGGAGTGGAGAGGGGGTTGAGAAAGAGAGGCAGGGCCAGGCATGGCCAGGCAATGCAAGGCAAAGCCAAGCAAGGGAGCAGCCGACCTGAATTTCCTGACTGGCTGCTGCTTCACAAGACTATTGATGCGACTTGCTGTTAATGCCGTGAACCTAGGCTGGGACCGGCGGGCTATCGCCGTATTCGCTGCAGACCCGACTGCCGACCATGCCACATCTGTGGAAAGGCTGAGAACAGCCAGCATTTGTCGAGGAGGATCGATTAGATGGGTTGCGACATGTCGCCGCAGAAGGCCTGTGGGATAAAGCAAGTGCCAACAGCCCCCTTGTTGCCATGTGTTTCACGCAACCGACAGGTCTGATGCGCCATAGCCCCCTTTAGCCCTTACTGATGCATCGATATTGAAGCGAGGTGAAATATCAATTGCCACCAAGCGCCAACCCGTCGAGCGGCACTGCAGTAGAATTGCGACCAGGGCTGCAAGGCTGTCTGTGGGAGGACGATTTAGCTCAGGCTGAGAATTGTGCTGGGTCTGGCGATCCCTCCCCTCCCCCCGTCTGACCGTTACTTTCTGGGGTCCCGTGTTGCGAGATTCGGGCTCGCATCCCCGGGGTCAGCCCACATTTGGGTGAAGTCTGAATAATGAATGCCACGGATCACAACAGCCTGTTTGCCTGTCAGTGCTGGAGGACGACGGAGGCGGCTCTCCAGCCGATGGCTCCCCATACGGGCACAGACTTTTCCTCATTTCTTGAGCGACCTCGTCCTGAAATTGTTGACGAAAACTGGCTGGCGTAGTACTCATCGTAACCTTCAGGGGGCTGGTCTCGATATAGGGCAGGGGTTCGGTTAAGGTAGTGACCTGGTTGATGGCGCGATGTTCGACATCCTGCCCGGTGGTCACCCAGGCGGAAGATTGTCTTTGTTGCGCTGCTATGCCTGAGGGGTTCGAAACGTGAGGCGAGAGCTGAGATCCTGAAGGGGTTTCAGGATCCTCAAGACGCATGCAGCAGTAGTTACTGTTGCTATTATTACTGTCATTACAGTTATTGTTATGGACATTGGCCGGCCGCTACCAGCCAGCCGACACGCGACTGGTAGCGTCCCCAAGTCGACGATCTCGCAGGCGGCGCGGAAAATTAAAATGGTAATAAACGCCAGCCCCTCCTGATGCAGGAACACCTGCCCGAAGAAGGCGGGTGGAGTTAGGGCCAAGTCTCCGCAACGGCTCGCTGACAGGGAAGAGTGGAGGAGGCCAGGGAACGCGGCCACGGCGCGGACCGGCCTTCGAGAAGAAAAGATGGAGGGCGACGATGCTCATCATCACCAGCAAATCCAAAGAGATCCCGAAATAGATGGCCGCTCCCGTACGGTCTGGGGTGTAATCTCATAAGCAGTAGGGCACGGGACTGTCGTAGTGGTGGACAGATTAGACCATACAGGAGGCCAGCAATGACGCGGCTGGCAGTTCCACCGCACGCACGCCCTCTTGACTCTGCGGCCGCTGGGTGTAGAGCTGTGGGCGGGAGAGAGAGAGGTTTTCCGCTTGGGGATTGAAATCTCCGCTTGGGTAAATTCTTCATCTCCGGGCCAGGCCCACGGGCCAATGCCGGCACCCGCCTCAGTCATGTCAAAGACTCAAGCTTCGCGTTGGAGCCGCTTTGGGACATTTGGCCTCGAGTTGAGGACGAGGACGAGACCACTCTGCCGTTGTGCAATTTGGACGTCGGGGTGCCGACGGATGGGCCGTGGCTGGCCTGGATCGCTCAGGCACGGGAGCGGCGTCGGGCGTGCGATGAGCATTGTGCGGCGTGCCCTCCTATCCAGCCGCTCGGTATTGCCGGTTCCTCGAATAGTAAACCACTTCGTACGTCCAAACTGTTGTGCTAACCGCCCACAAAGCGACCACGGGCGCTGTCGAGATGAAACGAATGGTCCGCGGCCGGCGCCTTGGGTCGTTAGTCCACAAACCACCAACACTGGCAGACAGACTTCTCGGAGGGGGTTGGACTGCCGTGCACTGCGAGTGCTGTGGTGAGGCGGCCTGTCTCTCCTGGCAGACCCCTCCGCACTGACCGGGAGGGGGCATCCAACCAGGACCTAGGGTCTACGGAGTGCCCAGGTGGGGCCTGAGCGGAATTCGCTGCGGTGAAATTGCGCCAGGCGAGTTTGGGGTCTGAAGTGCCGAATGTGCTCGCAACGCTGCCATTCGCCGACGGGGCCGAGGGCGCTGAGATGAGCATCCCACTTTTCGACATGACGAGATGGCCAGCGCCTGCAGGTGATTGTCGGGAGTGGCTCCCCCTTGTTTATCGTCTTGCCACTCGTGCTGGGCGCAAATGTGATACGTCTGTCTGTGTGGGTGTATCTTGCGTGCGTACAGCACGTCTGTATGTAGACTATCTGACTATGTGTGATGATTCCGAGGGCAGGCGAGTGATGAATAATAAAGTGCCAAGGAAGTCTCAGCCCATGGTGCCCAGTATAGGGACACAGTCAGCTTTGATCTCACTAGCACGGGTACTTTGATGACCTCCCTGCTAGGATGTCCCCGCGATACGGTCGATTGAAGGGTAGCACGGCTTAATGACAGGCTCGCCAGAGGCCAGACATCCAGCCTCCGATGTCTTGGACCGAGACAGCACTGACAAAGCCTGGAGGCTCGAAGGCGCATGATTGATTGCAGGACGGCAGGCACGGGCAAAGGAGGGCTCCCGAGGACGATGCGTGGCTGGCCTGCCATTGCTGTCAAGCAATCATGGCGAGGGTGGATAGATTGACCGAAGATCATTGATGGATCCCCTTTCCTTTTGTCGCAGGAGCAGAGGAGTCGGAAGCGATCTTCTCCCGCTCTCGAGAGGCGAGCGGGTGTTGCGTCTTGGTTGTGGGTGCGGGTGTTGCGCTTGCTAAAACGAGTCTCCTGAGATAGCATCGCCTGTACCGTACGAACAGCCAGTGGCCCACCACGGCCTCAAAGAAGACTAGCCCCAGGCCCTGAGGTGCTACTATTGGCACAGACTTCAGCTTCCAGGGTTGTTTTGGCTCGGTTTATCCACTTCTCTGCTGCAGCCAGAGTGGGAATGATCACTGCAGGTGACCCTCACTGATCCTCGGGGGAGGAACAGAGGGGGGGCAAAAAGTAGCAGAAGCAGGATTGGATCTCGGAAGAAGCAGAAAGTAGGCGTCGTGCGGTCTGAAGCTGCACCAAAACGAACCGTAGATGCAGGACGAGGTGCATTTTGAGCTGCCGAACCGAACCATGCCTCGAGGCAGTCTCCCCATCTGCCAGTTCTGCCTAGGTCGATATCTACTGAAGGTAGTTCGCTACCTGCTGTTCCGTTCCATCACTTCATTGCACTGCACTGTACTGCACTGCACTGCACTGCATCGCATTGCATTGCATCCCATCTCGAATTATTGATTGATCGACTATCCGATTGCTTCGCTGCCAACTTGGCCCTTTTTTTTTTTTTTTTTTTCATTTTGTCTTCTTCCCCCTAGAGTGTGCATCTCGCGTTTCCGTCACCGTGCCTGCATCGCAAGGAGACAAGGAACGGGTGGCCACAAGGTCGCTTGGTCAGTCTGTTAGCCCGTTAGGAGCGTATGTAGCTCCCCACCTTTCTTTCGTCGGGACGGTACCTGCATAGTACCCTGCAGCTCCAGTTCAACGGTGGGCACCCCTAATATTAGCGCCATTTGAGAGCACCACCGTTCTCTGCCGTCTCCGACGCTGGTTCTGGCTGGCTCTGGCTCTGGCTCTGGCTGTTACAGGACTGCTCCTGGCTCGGGCTGCACTGAACATCTGCCAATCCCCCCCCCTGGAGCCCCCCTCTCCCCAGAGGCAATCATCCCATCCGGGCCCATCCATCCATCCCCATCCACATCCCGTTCGGTTCCCATTCATCAACCCTCGCGCGCGCAGTCTGCTCCAATAGGCCTGTTCCTGCTCTGCTCTGCCCTCTCGCTTCTTTCCCTCCCTCCCCTTTCGTCTCCTGTCCGTGACTTGGACCTGCTTCCCCATAACTCCCGGCCTCACTCTTTGCCTTCGACCACGCTTACCCTACCACACCACTCCTCCCGTCGTCGCCGTCCAATCTTTCCATTGGATCTCAATCCTGGCGAACCTTCTTTTCTGCACAATCGCCTGTGCCCCCAAATAACTCCCTAGAGTCTTGACTGTCCTTACTTCTCTCTCCTCATCTTTTCCTTCCGGTCGTCCTGGCGTCGAATTGAGGCCGTACACAGGACACCAAGAACAGCCTTGCACCGCATCGCAACGCATCGCATCGCCTCGACTGATCGCTTCTACGGTACGTTCGCCCTCCACAAGCCCCTTACCTACTCTCGCCTCGCCTCGCCTTTCCTCCATCCTCAACTCCCATCACATCACAACTTCATCACATTTCTCTCCTGCGCCCCATCGCCATCAACTGCCACGCTGCTACATCCCTTACCTCGTCTACATTGCTCCGGTTTCATCACGTCAGCCGCGGCCAAATACCCAGCCAAGCGAATCCGTCCCTCCCGCGTTGGCCTCCGCAGCATTCGTCGTGCCTGTCAGCAACCGCTGCTCAGTCAATCGAGCAACCATCGAAACACCGTCGCTGAACTCACCACTGATCCGTTTTCCCGCAGATCCGCATCTACCTTGCGACTTAATAAAACCAAACCTGCAGCCATTAATTTTGCATCGGAGCGAAGCGACTTCGTTCAATCACAATGGGTTGCGGCATGAGCACGGAGGAGAAGGAGGGCAAGGCCCGGAACGAGGAGATTGAGAACCAGCTGAAGCGCGACCGGATGCAACAACGAAATGAGATCAAGATGCTACTTCTGGGTATGTCTATCGATTGATGCCGCTCCCGTGATGTTACTTCCGTCGCCTTTTGCGGCGTGAGAATTTGATGGTTGTCGTGCGATTACCGCGACCGTTCTTTTGCTGACAGAATTGACAGGTGCTGGTGAATCCGGAAAGTCGACCATTCTCAAGCAAATGAAGCTCATCCACGAGGGTGGCTACTCCCGCGACGAACGAGAGTCTTTCAAGGAAATCATCTTCAGCAACACGGTGCAGTCTATGCGCGTCATCTTGGAGGCCATGGAGTCCTTGGAGCTGCCTCTGGAGGACCAACGGATGGAGTACCACGTCCAGACCATCTTCATGCAGCCCGCCCAGATCGAGGGCGATGTCCTTCCTCCCGAGGTTGGAAACGCCATCGAGGCTCTCTGGAAAGACCGTGGTGTCCAAGAGTGCTTCAAGCGCTCGAGAGAGTACCAGCTGAACGATTCTGCCAGATAGTAAGTCGCACCATTCTCTACCAGTGGCCGCGCGCGGAAACTAACCAGGCCTGCAGCTACTTCGATAACATTGCTCGCATCGCCGCGCCCGACTACATGCCCAACGACCAGGATGTCCTGCGGTCTCGTGTCAAGACGACCGGTATTACCGAGACGACTTTCATCATCGGTGATCTCACCTACCGGATGTTCGACGTCGGTGGTCAACGATCTGAGCGTAAGAAGTGGATTCACTGCTTCGAGAACGTCACTACAATCCTGTTCCTTGTCGCTATCTCCGAGTACGATCAGCTGTTGTTCGAAGACGAGACCGTCAACCGTATGCAGGAAGCTCTGACCCTGTTCGACTCGATCTGCAACTCCAGGTGGTTCATCAAGACCTCAATAATCCTGTTCCTGAACAAGATCGATCGATTCAAGGAGAAGCTTCCTGTCAGCCCGATGAAGAACTACTTCCCCGACTATGAGGGCGGTGATGACTACGCAGCGGCTTGCGACTACATCCTGAACCGATTCGTCAGCCTCAACCAACACGAGACCAAGCAAATCTACACACATTTCACATGTGCAACAGATACAACACAGATCCGATTCGTCATGGCGGCCGTCAACGGTAAGTTGAATGCGCCCAAATATGCTGCGACCTGCCGTACGTTTTACTAACAACACTGCAGACATCATCATCCAGGAGAACCTGCGTCTCTGCGGTCTGATCTAGTCCAAAACGCTCTTATTCGGATACCCCTAAAACGTTATAATCAAACGATTTCTTCCTTACGAACGAAAACCTGGATCGCCTCATGAAATTCCTCGCGTGTTTCCCCGAGAAGGCGGCGGTACAGGTCATGTCTTACTCCGGTCCTTGATATCGCCCCAACTGGACTCTCCAATTCACCCCGTTACGTCGAATAACTCGACACCTTGTCCCGCGAGATCACTGCGACTGCGACTGCGACTACTGCGAAAAGCTGCAGGATAGGGAGTGGCTGGTACGTTGAGCAGTGGTGGGGACGAAAAGAAGGATATGCATCTGAAACTATTGGGCGGTGTTCAATATTCTGTTTAATTATGAAGTCTGTCAACGCTGTGGTCTTTTTTTGTCTTTTTGTGTATTTACAAGTGCTTCCCAGGCGAAAGGCACTGAAGGGAGGCGCGCGAAGACGACCCCAGGCGATGGCGTGGTGGGACATGTTTCGCGACAAGGGCCCACACCGAGTGAGACGAGCGGCAACAAATCTCGACAGGTTTTCGGATACGGCGGCTCAACATCAACGACGCCCGGATGTTGGATTTGTCTATAGCATCACGAGCTCTATTTACTGAAAGCCAATACTTTACAATACCCTTATCTACTCTGTGGCAATCACTGATCCCATCGACCACTTGCGGCCGCTAACCATAGTCTTTACCAGCCAGCGCTCCCTCGCATGCCGATTTGCCCGCCTTGCGACAGGAGAGTTTGGCAGAGTCAGTCCCGCATCTACATGCGACCAGAACTCCAACTATCCCAAGAAGAATCTCGGGAGGGCCAAGCAACAGGATCTGAGGGTCTGGACCAGGCGCGGGGTGAGATGTGGGTGTGTGCTGGATAGGCTTTTTGTCCGCTATCTGAACTTTGTGCACATACACACACGCACACACACACGCATGCGTATAATGTACCGGGCGTCCGTACGTGCCGCAACCACTCGCTCGAGACCGTCGACTCGGCCTACGTTCGTGCTGAAACTTCGGACCAAATGCCTCCCAGTCCGGGTCCTGTGGCCGTCGCGCACCCGGCCCACAGGTATCATCCCTGGTCGGTTCGCCCTGGGGGCCTGGAAGGCTGGTATGCACGCGCACACACACAATACCTCGTTGTGTATGAGAGTGATTGAGTGCTGACGGCCATGGCGGCATGTACTTCTAAGTTGGGGGTTCCATTCAACATGGGCGACATGCAGACATCTCGACTGCTGCTGCCGCCGCCGCGCCGACGAGGGCGGCGCATGGCGGTGGGCGGTCTTGGCTTTGTCCGGTCATGGCCCGTTCCTCTCCCACCCATCTCTCAGGGAAACGGGGAAGGAATAACACGTAGTGAGGAGTATAATGGACCAGAAAGAGGAATGATATGGTTTGGTGGGTCGAGATGGCACTGTCCGGTTCGGGTGGGTAGGCAGAGAGAGCTCGCCGTTGCCTGCACGCATGTCCGCTGGCGACTGCTCGCTCAGGGCCTGGCTTCAACTTTGCCACATCACGCCGGTTGTAGTCCAAAACCCCGCCTCCATCTGAAGACCAAGACGGTGCTGGGGCTGTGCTGTGTCGTCGCGTCCTCTTGTCACGCCGCTGCATTGGCCGCAGCCACCCTCTCCCACACCTACAAGCTGGGGAGGGGATTCCAGAGGCCTGGATATCTGCCCTTTCCGGCAGGTCATGAGCCCAATGTGGGCTGATACTGCTGTTGCTCGTGCGACACTGGCGTTGGCGATCTTCCCAAAGAAGGGATGATGTGTTTGGAGAGTTCCAGATCAGCCGGCGTGGGCTTGTGTTCATGCGCTGTTTCGACGTTTCATGTTCTGGTGGGCTCTTGGCTCCCCCCGTCCGGAGTTCTTCGCTCAGTCTTTGCTGTGTGTTAGCTTGCCCAGGGTCTCGGTCGTCTCTGGTCGCGTGTGTAGGTATTATGATTTGATATTTAGTAGTCTTCTAGACACGACTTTTAGCTGCCCTTGCTGCCGACTAGGCGGCCTGTTGTCACCAATAGGAATTTTCCTTCATGGAAGTCTCAAACAAATCCATCGACTAGACAGCGTCTGGTAATCATATCCAGTTGTCTCAGTGGAAGCCATACTTCGTAGGCACTTTCTGGGCTGGTCCACGCGTCCACGCGTTCACGGCTCCCCTTTCATGGCTCCCCATCCTCCGGCATGCCGTTACCGCCCGGCGCGGGTGACTCATACCCGCTGCCGTGACGGCCGTCCTCGTCCTCATCAACACCATGGTCCTCCTCGTCACCCTCGACGCCGACGCCGACGCCCAGGCCGGCAGCAACCTCCTCGGCCTGCACGATCTTGAGCGCGAGCTGCTTCGCCGCGACCTCGACCTCGATCAGCGCGCGCGCGTACCGGTCCGCCTGCCGCACCTGCACCAGCGCGTTCTGCACCGTGTGCTTAACACCGGCGTCGTGCGAGAACAGCGCGGCGGGCGCCTGCCACAGCTGCGCGGCGTGGAGCTGCACCGGCGAGCCCACCATGTGCCCGGCGGCGCCGCCTCCGCCTGCACCACCGGCTACTCCTGGCCCCACGCCTATTCCTTGCTCCTGGCCGAGTACCGGCATCGCTACTGGGAGGGTCGCGTAGGGGTGGTGGGCGCCGGGGAGGGGCGGTTGTGATTTCTCTGTAGCAAAGTAGTTTAGTACACGTAGGACTGTAAGGAAAACGTGGTAAAGGATAACAGGAACGCACCGTGGAACGAGCACCTCGACCCGGACGCGTTGAACCAGCAGTTGGCGCAGCTGCCCATCATCTGGCCGCTGTAGACGACGCACACGGTCCAGGGGCCCTGGCCCTTGCGGCAGTGGGCGCACGGGTTGGCGGCCTCGGAGCCGGCGATCTGGGCGAAGAGCGCCTCGACGTTGCTGCGCCGCACCAGGTTGAGGTCCTGGCCCTGCCGCCGCTGCTCGGCCAGCCGCTGGCCCGGGTCGCGCGACATGCGCTTCGCGAACGCGCTGTCCACCTTGAACCCCGCGTACCCGGACTCCTCTGCCATCTGCTCCGTCGTCTTGGGCGGCGGCTGAGGGGGCTCCTGTTGCTGGTGCTGCTGCGCGGAAGTCGCTGACGATCCCGCGGGGTGCGCGCCGAGGGAGGGCGGTTGTAGTGACTGTGTGTGCTGGCTTGTCGAGGGCGTGGGCTGGAAGTCGGTCGCTGCGACGAGGGGCTGCGGGGCAGATATCGTCGCGCCGCCAACGTTCGGCTGGGGAGGAGGCGGCGGCTGGAGGTCTGCGGCTGCGGCTGCTGCCTGGGCGTAGGTCATACTCGCGTGGCCGAGGATGTCGTCGAGGTTCTGGTGGCCGACGTGGTGCGCCTGCTGGTGGTGCGGCTCCGCGCTCATGGGCGCCATGGGCATCTCGTGGTCGAGCGCGTCGCCCTGCACGTCATGGCCGCCGTGTTGGTGGTGATGGTGATGGTGATGGTGGGTCTCATGCTCGACATCGACGTCGCCTTCGCCGTTGCCGTCGACATCAACTTCATGCTGGGCCTGCTCGTCCTTAAACGCGTTGCCCACTTCCTCCATCACGGCCTCGTCGGTGTCGACAACATCCTGGCCCTCGGCGCTCGCAACGGCGGCTGCGGCGCGGTAAAGCGCGTTTTCCTCTTCGGTGCCCTCGAAGTGGGCAGCCAATTGGTCCTCGTCGATCCTGCGGTTGGGTCGGCGGAAGTTTGTCGGTTTGGTGACTCTGTTGACAGCACGCTTCTGCATGGTGAGGTTGGGAAGATGGAGACCCCGCGTGACTGGGTAAGAGGTGGACGACGGCACAGCTGGCGACAGCTGGTCGAAGTCTACATAGTCCGTCGACCAAGCCTGGAAGTTCCGGCTCTCGCGCTAGTGGGGCAGTTGCAGGTGATGCAAGGGTATTCCTCAAGTGGCACTCACACAAGTACCTTTTGCCTCAGGCTGCCGTTAAGACAACGGAGTTTTTGCCCAAATAATTGCCAAACAGGTAGGTAGGTAGTACTTTATACAAACCATCTATCCAATGGGATGTTATTTGACTAATTGAACATAGTCCCTGTTTGAACAGGGGCACAAGCCCCGCACGTGTGTGCTGCTTTAAGAAGGGAGCAGGAAACTGATCATTTCACATGGGATTGTTCCCCATGCGACTGTGGCTATATTTTCTTTGTGAGATGACGATTATTTCTGGGGTGGCAAGAGAGTCCAAACATAGCTTCAACCATTGGCAAGAACTTTGTTCTCGATGTGCTATGCTCGACCATGTCTAAAATAACATTAAACCTTGGACGGTATGTATGCCAGTGGATTATAGACATTGATGTGATGACCCAGGACTCCAGTGTTGAATTAATGCGAGAAACAATATGCAGCCTAATTGAAACAGGGTATCTTCTTAAACAAGAACTTAAACCGCCTCCTCCCAGCCTTCTCGTCCGAGGTCGATTTCATGATCGAGGCCTCAATAACACTCCCTTCATTTCCAATTTGTTTTGCCATCTTTTCCCTGCCATGGCTGCCCGTCCGAGATGAGTTGCGCGTACGACGGCTACGAGCATCTTCCTTCCCGACATCAGACGTATCTTGAAACAGAGTTGTCGACTCTGAGGAAAATCTCCCCTCTGCTCCTCCAAGTGGTACCTTGAGGTGTTCAACAAGCTCAACGCCTTGAGGCACATCGCTGGATGAGACTTGATGTTCATCATCGTTGTCTTTGGTCGGATGAGCAGGCTGGCTGGCCCCATTCGCTTCGGGCAATGCAGTAGCGTCCATCGCAGGCTGTGGTGCCTCACCATCGTCCCTCTTTGCTTGTTCTTCCGCATTTGTTACGCAGTCGGGCTTTGATGGTGGATTTTTGCCGGAGGCTTCGTCTTCGTCGGAGCCCGCGCCTAAAGCGCGTTCAGTGGACGCGACTTCTGCGGCTGCGTTGTCGACTGCGCGAATCTGCTGGGTGTTCTCGGTATCAGACGGACGCTGCTGCTGCTCTTCCCCGAGTCTGAGACGCGATGCTTCGCCGCAGGTGATATTGAGACCTGCAGCGTTCGCCGTCGATAGTTTGTGATCCTCATCTGTCTGTGCGGTGTCTTCAGTCAATGTTGCCTGCCCACCTGGGTGTGAGTGCTGCTCTTTGCCAGGATCTTCATGTGCCTGGCCTCCGGGCGATTCTTGTACAGTGGTCAATTCTTTTGACAAGCGGAAGTTCGCTTTACGTTCCGGTGATGAGGTACGAGAGTCTCGCCGCGCGCTTGAGACGAGGTTGATGTGACTCGAGCTAGGCGATGAGAGCACACCGGGTATGGAGGGTGTTTCTCGGTCCCAGGAAAGACTTCTCCTTGGAAGATTCTTGCGAATCTGCTTCTTGAACTCCGCAGAAATATCTCCTTCCATCAAGACTGAGTCCAACGTCGGCGACCGAGAAGGCGGATTTTGTACCCGGTTGATACCGTAGCTTGGGTCTTTCTGCAAGGTATCGTCAAACTTTTGCAGGCTTTCCAGTATTTCGGTACAGTCGCTCCTCTTCTCTGGCCCTAAGCGGAGGAGGTTCTTTTGAATGAGCTTGAGAAAGTCGAGGAGGTAGTCGGAACAGTGAGGGTCGTCGTATAGTCTCTCAAACTCCTGTCAGGGCCGTGTTAGTTTGTCGGACACAACGCTTTATTGATGGTATACGCACCTGGACCACGGAGACCTTCTCAATGGCACATATCTGTGCCCTGGCCTGCACCTCATCTGACACTCCCTGTGAGGCTCTCATGAAGTTGAAGAACCGATCTTGTCTGTACCCGCCGTCATACTGCATGTCTTCTTTCACCCTCTTTTGGCTGAAAGTCTTCACCTCCTCGTACCCGCCCAAGTACCAGCTTGCAAACTCGAGGAGAACACAAGCAAGAGACCACACGTCGTAGCTTTGTGCTACCTTGCCTTTCACGTCTCTCTCTGGAGCTCGGTAGGTCGGCGAAAATCCCATGTCCTTGGCATCAATGTCTGCAACGGATTTTGTTCCATGGAAGTGGCTCAACCCAAAGTCAGATATCTTGAAATGTCCCATCGATGACGAGCTTTGCTCTGTGTGAGTCTCATATTGCTTGAACCACAAGATATTTTCCGGTTTCAGGTCGCCGTGCAGACCGTAGATTTGGTGGGTCGGGAAAGAGAACATGTTGTGCTGTCCGTCTACATCAGGCGTGTCCCACGTGTGAATCATCTTCATCCCTTCCACGAGCCCAAGACACTGCTTGGAGAACCAGAGAGCTGTGTTGATATCGCGCTTGGGGGCCAGTGGCTCTGGGTGCTTTTCCCAGAAGTCCAATAGGTTGCCATCGGCCCAAGGAAAAACTAGGTAGTACTGGTGACGCCATTCATACGTTCCCAGGAGCTTTATGAGGTGCAGATAGTCGCGGGTGCTGAACCTTTTCAGATTTTGGACCTCCTTGCGGAAGGCTTTTTCGTCCATGTAACGCAGTCGTTTGATGGCGAATGATGGATTTTCGCGTTTGCCTGACTAGATATATAGGTGACCCAGTTAGAAACATAAGACGGGTTAATTTTGGTCTTTGGGAATAGACCTACAGCAAGAACCCCTTGATTGTGATGAGATGGATGGAATTTGATTCTCCACACGTCCGCAAAACCACCCATTTTGCCGCCTTGTTTGACTTCATCGTCTTCGATGAAAGGAAGAACTACACTCTCCTGGAGAGGGTAATGGCGAACCTTAGGGTCTTTCTTGGTGTTGAGAAAGAAGATAGGGATATGGACATTCCACTGCGTTCTCTCGAAGTGTGTGACCTCAGAGCCACTCCATCCATGGAAAGCTCTGATAGGTATTCGTGTTGAGCCACTTGTCTCTGATTTCCGTGACAACTCAAGCCGACCTTTTCGTGTCCACCTGGGCTTTGCGCCTTTTCCTTCTCGAAAGGTAAATGGACGTCGTAGATGCCTTCCGTTACGAAATCCCAGATCGCGTCCAACTTATCAATCAGGGCCAGGATAGCAAATATCTTCTTCCGCGATGTTGTCTGGCCTGGAATCGTTGAAGCGGCGCCCAAGACTTGTTGCACATCGTGGTTCAAGTTCTTTCTTGAGCAGCCCGAGAGCTTTCCAATCTCCTCTTTGACACGGTCTTCGGTGACGATCCGGTCGAGCGCATCAATTGGTAAGAAGTCGCTGCGCTGTTTACTCTCCGTGTCGCAGTATGCCTCGCGAAGCTCGTCCCCCAGACTCCCTGTACATTCGGTGAGTGTTGTGTCTTGGGTCTCGGGAATTGCTGTCTCTAGAAGACTCTCGTCGTATCCGGTTGAGGAGGGCTGTGATTCGGCGGGCGCATCCGAGTCCCCGGGCATTGGTCGAGAGTCGCCTTCTGATTTGAACCTGGTGCCTGTTTTTGCGACCAGAATGTCGGCCGGCGGCTGAGACGATCCCGTAGCTCCCGAGTCCAAATCTTCCGAGTCTTCCTGCTGCTCCAGGTGTTTACCGTTGCCGAGGTCGTCAACTTGGCTGTTGGAAGCCAACTCGGTTCCCGGCTTTTGGACCGACGAACTTGGAGGCAAGTCGCTAAATGAAACGCGGGTATCCAAGAGAAGCATGCTTGGCCTCTTAGAGCTCATCTATCGTTCAATCAGCGCCGTTGATAAAGTGGTTGACAGCTGTGCAGGAACAGAAACATCAATGGCTTACCGAATCGTCAATGAATGGTGCCATCGTCAGGTACTGGCACTGAGAAGCTCATCACACGAGGGTGTGAGAGACGGTTGCTTCAAACTAGATATAACACCATTCAATATTCAGCAAACTCGAGTCCAGTTGAAGCTGGAGATCGGAGTTCAGGCCGCTATAATTATTGAAATGATGGTGCCGGCGGCTCCTTCATCACACCATTCAAGATCCGCGCCATAAGCGGATGCCCTGCACGCAATCCTGCAAACTCCAGTTAGCATAGCAGGAAGCAGGCAGTGCAAGTATCAAAAGAACTGCCGCATTTTGTCAACATCATCGGAGGACGAGAACGATGAGAGAGCCTTATCTGATGACCAATGGCACCCAGCCCCACCACACACACATACACACACGCTTGTGCAAGCACATACACACACACCTGCACACCTGCACACCCCACTCCTAGTCAGCACACATCCTCTGGGGCTGAGCAATCGGGTGGCACAAATGCATCTTGCCCCTAGTTGGGGGCCACAACCGCCAAAGGATGCTTCAGCTCGGTCAAGAAGCCCCCAAGGGGACTGGCTCCAAGCCACCGGGGGCGGTTCGTGTAAAAATGAATAGCCTCAGAGCCTTTCCCAATCTGGCGGAATCTCCTGCAGGCTGGGCCCTAAGGGAGGTCACCGAAATGTGCAGCGAGGCACTTCAGGGTCAGGAAAGGACCCTCCAGCGTGGGAGGGAGAATGAGGCTGCCCAGTTCATGTTGGCACTCCTGTCAAGTGCCGACTGCCGGGTCCGAGGCGGCCCGCCGCAAAGTGACCTGCTACACAAGACCCTGTGTTGCCTTCAAGCCGCTTGGATGCCTTTTTTACACTTCCAGCGTCCTGCGGTCATTTGACTAGGCCACCCCCCTCGCCCCCGGATGACCGATGGCATGGTGCCTCGTCCACAGAATTCCCGCGCAACTCCATCGTAAGGGATGGGTTTCAGCTGCAGGAGAACGCCCAGTGCTTGAACTCGTGTCGGGCGTGACGCATGCCTGCTGATTGTTCTACATCTTTGACACTTCTAGACGCCTGATGGGTTCCTTCGGAGGCTGGAATGATTACGGAAGGATATAAATCCCTCCATTTGCTCCCGATGAGAAACGTTTTATCCATCTGGACAATTCACACATCATCATTACGCCTGCAAATTACAAGTCAAACAAACTTTCCCACCAACATATCCACTGCCTCGAAGTCTCGATCGTTCCCCAACTTGCCAACCCCCCTCCGGTAGCTCAACCCAATGTCGATTGGTCAGACAACTCAATGTCGTTCTCTCACAACCACGGACTTGGACCAGAAAAGGAAGTCTCCAGTGCGGCAACTGCGGCTGCTGTCCGGAGGCAACTCCCCACGAAGCACGCCAGCCCCAGGAGACTGTCAGAAGAGTTGAAGGCTCTGCTGGGACATGATGCTGACTTCAACGTAGAGGTAAGTCATAATGTTTAAACAAGATCTCAAGAACTCGGCCAACAGATTCAACAGGTCCACCACAATGTCTACATGATCGAGTCCAACCAAGACTTTGATCTGCAGACACTCTACCTCAACTGCAGGCATACAACCAGGAGAGGCTCCAGTTCAACATCTTCTGAGTCGGACTAAATATCGTGTTGCTTCTTAAATCGAGCGTTGGGATTCTCTCCTTGTCCATCTGTTTCCTTTCCTTTGGTTGATAGACATCCCACCCCCCAACGGACGGGGCAGGATTCCACTTTTAGACGAGCTTAGAGATTGTTCGAGGGATCCTTTTTTTGGTATTCGACCTGTAATACGGGTGACTCGGATCTTTCACATTCCATTCTTGGTGGACACGCCTTCGGCCTCTAGGTTTTCGTTGTCGCCAGCAGAGGCCTTCAGAGGATTCGGACCCAGCTCTGTCAGCTGCAGGCCATTATGGCCATTGTATTTCACCCTTTTCTTTTGTTTCAACAGTTTCTAGGTTCGCATTGTGGTTGCAAAAAGCATGTTCTTGAACTTAGGTTCACGAAATGAGCTCGCCCGGGCTCTAAGATAGCAAAATTCCGATGCCTCCTATCTAGGTAGAAGCTCCATGGCCTCCTCATCCATGACTTCGTTGCTCGCTGGTTGCTGGCGATAGACAACAAAGTACCACCAGATCCCAATAGTCAGAAGGGTGAATGCGACAGTGATGACGATGTAGATCCACACATATGTGGAAATTTCGGGCGTTCCGTTAGGGCCAGACCAGTCGAAGAAGGTCATCGAGAAGATTGACTGCAAAAGTCAGGATCATTGAGCACATACAACGGTGGGTGCGACAAGGGTTGATACCGCAAAGAATGTGCCTGGCAAGAATATCATGGTGACGAGCGCGATTGATCTCATATGCCTGGAATCTCGACTGGTCGCCAAGGCGATTTCCACATTGGTTTCACCTTGGGCCTGATTTTGTCAGCCGGAGTCCGAATTCTTACACATCTATGAAGAAGCGAACCTCCGCGGTCTGTAGGAGGAAGCCATGGTGCTTCTTACCCATTGAGTTGCCATGGCCATGCCGTCAACCCTCATGGTACAGTCTCTGATCTTGGCGTCATACTCATCAATGATTTCTTGAACTCTATCTCTGATTTTAACACCCACGCGCTGTAGGTGTTCTCCGGACGCGCCAATGCACTCTTCGTTCTTGAGCCCCTCCTCTTTCGTCGGTTCACATGAGCGAGCTTCGTCAGGCTCTTGCTTCCGAAAAACGATACTGGAGAGCTCGTCTGTGTGACCGGCTAGCTTCTTGAGTTGGGTGTTCCAGTTGACTAGCTGATTCCTCAGATAGGTAGTGTCCAACCATTGTGCACGCTTTGCTCGGTTGTCTGCTTCTTTCATCGCCGTCGGCATTGCATCCATTTCCTCAGGGCTCGAGTCAACAGTCAGGATTCGTGTTTCCACGTCGTCGATCGCAGACTCGATGATGTGGACTTGGCGAGTTCTTTCGAGCTCTGCAAATATCCCAGGGATCAGAAGGGGGTGTCCGACGTCTTTCGTGGCGTAGGTCAGCCTGTTCACAATCTGCTTCTCGATGGAGAAGGGGCAACCGAACAGGATGCCAAATGTGAGCCCACAGTGTGGAAAGAATGTCGCGGTATATGCGAGGTCCATCGCCCAGGAGTTGGTAGTGCGACAGTTGTACACTGTAGCAGCATCAGTCTTGTGAATAATCATGGCGGTTATTACTTGATAGTGTCTGTGAGGACTGGTGATTAGGTACCGTATGCCGGATATCTGGGCCCTTCTCCTTCCCCCATGTACACATTAGCGCTCGAGAAGACTGGAATATCTGCTCGGCTAATGGTTCTGACTGCAGAGTTATGGATGTGGAATTTTGTGGCGATCCGTAGGAAAACCTCTCTGGAAAATGGGAGTACTTTGAGGCTTCGTGAACCGCCGCTCGGTTGTTTTACTTTGGATCCCCGGGGCGCAATGGCTAGATCATTGTGACCATGACCGTTCTTCGCCATTTGCTCATCAACATATTGCAACCACTGATCCGAATTCACCTTCTTTATTCCTGTGAGACCCGTCTCACCTGTCCGTTTGGCCAGACTGTGCATTGAAAAGCCGGTCAGTATGCTCCAGATGACGGGTTCGTTTATCCCTCACATGAGAACCAAACCCGATGCAGAGCCATCGATGGGTGGCAGCTCCTGGTCACGGTCAGAATCTTTTCGAAGCATAACACTAAAGTGAGAAAGCCTGCATCACGAAAGCCTCAGAAGAATTGAGTGCTTACCTTCCGAAACCATTCTTCCCACCCCTTTTCTTCTTTCAAGGTCCAGATCAATGGCTTCTACTGCGTGTTAACACGGTTGGTCCCCTGCGATCGGTCCACCATCCGACTGACGTTATGCTGGTTGAGGACTCGTAGCACTGTTGTTTCCTTAGGCTCAAACTTGAAGACCTGCTTCAGATCGGCTGGACCCAGTACTGCATCATCACGAGCCCAGTCCATCTCAAGTGAACCTCATACGAGTGGCCGGGTGGATGCTCGATTTTCCAAGCCCCAACCTGGCGGGGCATTGGAGTAGGTTTACGAAATGGAGCGGGCAGCAGCCAGATCATCGCTGCGATTTTTCCAGTTTGTCCGACGTTACACAACCGGGGGGCGCAGCCCGCTAAGCCTCACACACGCAGCGCATCTGCAGCTGCACTAATGCATGCGCGCATTCCGAATCATTGATGGGCGCGCTTTGCAGCCTCAGAAAGTCCGGAAGTATGCCATCTTGCCTCCAGGAGAGCATTGGTTGGAAACTATGCATGCTTTTCCCGTGACGCCACCGAAACATTTGCCCGAACACATGGAGGGCTCGAGCCGCACGCTGCGTCCCGCAGCAAGGCTCTGGATTTATAACGCCGTTCCCTCCTCACAATTTCATCCTCACACCATTCATTCATACCATTTTGTCGGAACTTCCTCAAAGCCCACGCGCTTGCTTACCTTTCGAGATATCTGTTCATTCACCAAAGTTTCCGAAACCATTCTCTTTGAAACCATGGAACTACAGATGATCCGTGCGACCTACGCCTCACAAGACAATTTGGAGAGATTCTTAGCCGGAATCTTTGGCGAGGGAAGGGCTGAGGTCAGCGTGAGTGCTCCTTTACACCGTGTCCGCTGAATCAAACCGAGTGAACTGACCGTGTAAATAGTGGGTGCGAGGGAGGTTCCAGTGCGAAATTCCCCGCAAGCTGCAAAGGGTACGTCAGAGGCTTTACTGCGCGGAGATGGTCTAGTCAGACAATGACGCACTAATACGTTGTGGGTGCAGAGCGAACTCGAGAGACTACGCAGTACGATAGCTATGGAGGATCACTACTGAATGTGTTCACTGGTATGGCACGTGGGTGGTACTTAGATAGAAAAACTGTTAGGATCGAGCTGCGTGGGCCTGGGCGCGGATGAACATATATAGGTCGATTCAATGTAGAAATCATTTTGACTTGGAAATGCTGTTATACTCATGATATCCATGCTTCGTGTTCCGCCATACCAATTAGAAGAATTTACTAGAGAAGTCGTGTAAGATCTGAAAATCATGTAGCTCCAATGATACCTCAACCCATGATCCCAGACATGGATCGCGGCTCGCAATCCGACCACGGAAGACCCCAAACCTGCTTGATGAGATCTATGTGAATCCCCTTCCTGCCTACGCCTCTTCTTGCAAGTCTTCCCAGAGCACAGTTGACTTGGTCCGCCTCTCATCGTGCGAAGGATTATGACTCAGGAGTGCCGGTTTATGCATTTGTATGCAGTCCTCAGCTTCCTTATTCAGAGGAGCAATAACCACGGTCGGTGCCCGAACAGGGCGGCGGGCATGTGGTTGGCCCTGGAAGCAGTATCCGTCGTCTACCTCACATTTTGAGACCCACTCCTGGAGCTTTCTCGTCAAAGTCGTAGATGACGACCTGTCTCTCGTGATGGACTTGTGATCGTCTCTGGACAGGATTACCAGCATCTCATTCTCGATCATGTCTAGGATGTCGTGAATGAGTGCTGGGCACCGTTCATCCTCATGAAGTCGCTGAATCCACTGCGTATGGAGTCAGCTCTAAAGGGAGTAGGTTATTGCAGAGCTGGGTCGGGTTTGGTACCGTACTTGCTTGACCTCGGGCTTGACCTCGAGCGCATACCATTCCTTTTCAGTCGGTTTCTGTCGAGTCAGGAACTGTGAGCTAATATTCCACAGTCGAAGCTCTGAGGAACTTGGAGGAGCTCGAGAAGAATTGATATAGAACTGACCGCAACGATGGACTCTCTGATATGAATGGCACCTGGTGTCTGTCCTTCCAGCTTCTTGACGGTATAAAACATGTCTCTCTTCGCGCCGGTGACGTAGATTGTCTTCATCCTCTCCCTTTTGAATGCACTGACAAATTCCTGACCTCCCATCAACCACGTCACGATCTCGAGGAAAAGACAGCCTAATGTCCAGATATCGTACCGTCGAGAGATGTAGCCATTCTGAATGTCGCACTCCGGGGGCCGATATCCCGGGACGGCCGGGATCTTCTCATTGGGGATGTTCGACCGGCTCTTGTCACTGTGCATGTCTGCTACGCCGAAGTCAGAAATCACGAAGATGCCCCTATAGTCTCTGTGTGACCCAAACCAGAGAATGTTGTCCGGTTTCAGATCGCCATGCATCCCGTATTTGGCGATCTGCGTGCCAAGATGTAGGTGCTTTGGCACATGTATGGCATCCATTGCCCCCATGATGCCTAGCAATTGCTTCGCGACCCATTTCACGGTGGTCTTATCCCACGATGGACTGTGGTTGGACCTCCAATAGTCGCCAAGGTCGCATCTGGCGAAAGGGAAGACGAAGTGGTACTGCTTGTTTTCTGGCGTCTCTCCTTTGGTGACGGTGGTGAGAAGTGTCACGAGATGATCGTGAACCAGACCGTTAAACCTCTTGAGGTGGTCCAATTCTTTCCTGAACTGTGCCTCATCGTTGAAGTCTCGTTTTAGGAGCTCTTTGACAGCGAACTTGTCGCCGTCAAGTTTTATCTGGATGAGTCGTGTCAGCCGTGGACATTGTTCAGGGTTGGCCGAGTCAGGCAGACCATACCGTTTGTAGGACTTTGTGAAATCCATGACAGTCACGGTGAATATCGACGCAGTAAACCTTTCCGTAGGCTCCCTCGACCATCGAGGGGTTTGGAGATTCGGAGCCACTGAACTTGGATTTGCACCACGGCAAGACATCTCGATCTGATAAACTGTACTCTTGGACCATGTTACCGGGACCAAGTTCAAGGTACGGCACGAGGAGCATCCGCTGTGTCGTGTCGAAAGCCGATCTTTCATGGGGTAACCATTTCTTGAGTACCGCTATCGGAGTCTCAGTATCTTTCAGGAACAGGTAATGTTGCCTCTTAGCATTCAAGTAATCATAACGGTAGAATGGTAAAGTATCATCCGACAATTTGGCGTCGATGAAGTCCCCGATTGACTCGCCCTTGCCAATTAGGGCTAAAATGGCGAATATCTTGATGTAGGGTGGCGGCCGTTTTGCTTCAGTTCCAGTAGCACATATGAGGTCCACATAATGGTCCGCATTGGGAAGTGCCTTGTACGACCTGAGCTGTGCCAGGACTCGCTCCCTCGTGAAAATTCGGTAAACGGTCTTAAGCGGATAGAAAAGCTCAGGTTCACCCTGGACGTCTTTTTCTCTGAGTAGCTCGTCCAGCTGGAGGTCATCCTCATTAACGACTTCACTTGGGAAGGTATTACTTCTGTATGGGATGTCCTGAATGAGTAGTTCTGGTTGGTTTTCGGGCGCCATTTACTTCGGAGGATGATTCTGTCTAGACTTTAGCAAAGGCTGAGTGTGGTTGAGGGTCATATGGTGGGTATCTGGAAATATCCGCGAGAGGAGGCTTACATTCACTGTCTTTCCCGGAGCAATTCTATGTTAGAAACAGAAGTGTTGCTAGGAACCTGATCAGGATCAAGTGAGAATAAGATTATGATCTCGGGTCATGAAGACGCCGTTTCGGTGATGCGTGCTGTGTAAATGCCTCTTTTGAAGATTTGATCGTGCGAGGTGGCTGACTACACCGAGAAAGATTTATCTCTATAGGCTATAATGATCGGAGGGTATCGCAGCCTGCATCACGCTGTGTGATGGTGGCCACATCTTGGCCGCCCCTTCAGGCAAAGCTAGGCCAATTGGAGGCGAGCGTGATCTGGCGCCCATGGCGTTGGGAGCATGAACGGTAAGTTCCTCGCTCCGGCAAGCGCTTAGAATAGGAAAATTGGCTGAGATTGAGGTGATTGAGGTGATTAAGGAGGTCCCGATCAGACGGTGAAACCAGACACGGAGCCCGAAGATGGTGTCCCGCAAGCCATCGGCGGTGTGATGACCCTGCAGTAAGGCGTGCAATCTCCAGTGATGTGTAACCACACACCGAACCCAGACTAGCACACATCAAAGGGACGATCAGGGAGGGGTAAAGGTGAGGCTCTGCGCCCATCCCGCTTCTCGGCTTTTCGCGGTTCTTCCCACCAGCCTTCCCACGGACGCTTGCCACGCCGACACGTCAGACCCTGGCAATCTTGTCCTTATCGCAGGGCCGATCAGGCTGCTGCTGCCTATGCTTCTCTGCCTGCATTTTGACGGTGAGATCAATACCGAGGAGACCACGATTGGACTCCAAAATGAACTCGGGGCTCGGCATTATGAGTTTGCTCAACAGATATGAAGTCAGTCTGACGTAGGTAGGAAAGCTCTTCTGTCTCGTAATTCTGTCAAGCAGCTGTAGGCACTCAAGCGGCAATTGGTCGGGTTTCCAGAGTGGACTCTGCTGCTGCCTGGCCAAGCCTTTTGGTCGACATGGCTCTTTGGGGAAACGGCATGTTGCTCTCAGGCGGCAAGTGATGGTATCTGGAAATCGGCCTGGATTGCAAATGGAACCAAAACTTGTGCTGTTGAACCTGGGTGCCATTTTAAGTCAAAACATCCTTCCAAAAGTTCACATAGGTACTTACACTGCCAGAAGCTTTTCACTCGCCAAGACCAGGTCAGCATTCGCTGGGCTAGTTTTGGTTTAACGTGTGGATACCAGGCGGATTCCAGTACAAGGTTTAGCCTTGATGCGATAGTGGAGACAAGAATGTTTATTTCAACGACAACCTTCCTACGTCGTGGACGATAAAGGAGCCACCCGCGTAAGCTTCAAACGAGGCCGGCTGTGGAGTTATTCATACAGTCCGGGTCATTCTAGAAGGCTAGCAGGTATGTGCAAACCTTGATAAAATGGTGGCAATCAGAGCAACTGTTGGGCCTGCCAGGTGTGCTGCACACATTCTGGGTCTGGATTGCTTGCAGAAAAGGTCACAACAGCCCTGACATACCTCAGTTGACTCGAGACCACATAGGCACTCATGGAGGTCTGCCCTTTGCCCATAAGCAGGATTTGGTATTAATGAAATTCCCCAGCATTTGCATCTCAGGTTGATTGGGCTTGAGATACGGATGACCTTCCTGATGTTCATTCAGAACGCTGCATCACTCGCATTACATTCTTAACTACAATGGGGTCATGACTGCATCCGGTGGGCTTTTCCGGTAATGGTGGGGCGGTGGCGTTACTAAGGAGCAAGACTCCCGGTGACTGACGCTTGTGAGTCTGCATGCGTTAAGCTTCATCCTCAGGCGAAACCAGTTTTCTCATCTCTATTCCCGACTCCATTTGCTTCCTAAACTTTCAATTGCGTTCATCCTGTTATTTCAAAGCATTTTCTCAAGGCCAAAGACAACAACATGCCAGTATTTGACCTCAGCCTGATCCCAGCGGCACCACCTCCGCCGGGTGTAATACCGGACTTTGTCGATCCGCCGTCACAGGCTAACATACCCAGAATTTTCACTTACGTGACATTGCCGCCAATGATATTGTTTATAGCACTACGAGCATATTCTCGGATAATCATTACACACAAGTTTGGATTGGATGATTGTGAGCGCTTTTGAACACTTCTTGGTCAATGATATGAGCTCACATTTCCCAAGACCTCTGCCTGCTCGCTTCGGTTAGTCGAATTACAAAAGGAGAAAGGAGACGGTACCACACTTGTTGGGAACTGACAGACAATGTACCAAATCAGGCCACATTCGCAGTCTACACCATCTTACTCTTTACAAGTAGGTTATTTCACTTTGGGTGCTTTCCTCGAGCTCCAACTGAGTTCCATAGTTCTCGACAATCCGGGTGGCCGCCACATGTGGGATACCCCAGCCAGCAACATAACGGTCCATTACGTGCGGGTAAGTGCTCATTCCAAGACAATGATTCGAAGCGCCAATCCGAATTCGCATGACTTTAACACATTAATAGACATCTGTTGTAACGCTACTGCTTTTCTTCGTAGCAGCCATGTTTGCTAAGACAGGGATTCTAGCCCTTTATCGACGGATTTTCAGCCCTTTACGCTGCGCTAATGTTTTAATATTGTCTGGCATGGTTTTTATTGTTCTCTTCTATATCTCGATGCTCATTGTAGTGGCAGTGGGATGCACTCCAAAGCCTGCAGACTATGCCATGGGTGGTTGGCTGTCGCCAATCTACCACCAGAGGTGCTATCACTACAACCACGGTACCACGGCGGCCTCAGGAGTGGTAGGAGCTGTAATAGACATCTACATCTTGATACTCCCACTTTTCCTTGTCTGGGAGCTGCGAACCTCGACAAAACGCAAGACAGGGCTTGCTGCCATTTTCATTGTGGGGTCCTCGTACGTCAGCAATCCTCTTACCTTGCCTTTAGCGAACCCGGTTTAATTCTCACTGATCATTTGCAGAGCATGTGTGTTCTCTATAGTCAGTGCGTACTATCGCCTCAACATCGTTGTGAATCCACGCAACGACATCACGTGGGACACAATGCCGATCTACGGTTGGAGGTACGGCGATCCCCCCGTCATCTTACCAGCACGTACTGAGTGCGACGTCTAATTAACACTTCGTAGTATTGCCGAAATCAACGTAGGCATTTTGTGCAGCTGCATACCGGTGGCCTTTGTACTGTTGAAGGGCATGGTGGAGAAATCGAGCACGTGGTCAAGCTACTTCTGGTACAAGTTCACTGGCGGCAGCAGCAAACCGACCGATCCCGGCGGTGTCAGCGGAGGTCCAAACAAACAGCCTCTGCATGCACAACCCAGCTATGACCCGAAACTTCCTCAGGTACCCAAGGCGGCCATGACGGGGATGCGGTCCTTTCTTGACAAGTTCGGACAAAGCAAGGCGGAGAAAACACACGCGACTGCGCGCACAGATGGCCTGGATAGGACCTTGATGAGCGTGGATTATGACTATCATAAACAGTTGAGGGCCGGCCATAGTATGGATAGGCGACATTGATAAGTTTGCTGAGAATCGGGCCAGCTCACAGTGCTTGCATTGCCTGTCTAGTACCTGATAGCGCAGGTAATTTCTGTACTACATACACTACTATGCGCAACTAGGTATGAATTTGGGTTGGCTGAGATAAAAGGCGGGAGAAAACGCAAGTGCACATGGGTTGTGTCGGATGGGCCAGCATAGCTGTAATAGGACTTCGCTGAATTCAAATGTTCTCTGCTTCAATTTCTTTCTGCATTAAGCTTTATTCGATATTCAACACAAAAAAATTGCATTGTTTAGAAATGGAACAATTATAACACAAGGAACGAAATGCCATGCAATCACCTGAGGCGTCCATATATATCTGGCACAAGCCTATTAGTGAGAGTGTTGAGATTGACACCGGTGATAGCATCATTTTCATTTTTGCACATTACTCTTCTCAATACAATTGAGTTCCACGCACACATAGATTTAAATGGTGATATTTTTATTCTCTCACTCGTTCTCCGCGAAAATGATCGCTATCAGGCCCCGGCTCTGGAGACGTAGATGGCATCTTGGCCCTCTACTGGCAGCCTTCGGGCCGACTGTTACGTGCTAACCCGGTGCCACTAGCTTTCCAAGCTGTGCCGCCACAGATTCTTTGAGAGGGGGCCTCTCCCGTAGTGGGTATCCCTGCTAACTAAGCTGAAAGTTATTAATTAGCTGTGCCTCCTGCCAGTCTGCCCGGCCTCTCTGTTCTGTGCCGCTTCCTCCATCCGACCCGCAACGTCCTTCCTAGACCGTTCAATCAGCCAGAAGTAAAGTGCGGGGCTGGCTATCTGCACTAAATCTGGATTTATTTCATTGGATGTTCTCCTAAGGAGAACCTTGCTTCTCAATTGCTACCTTATTCCCACCCTTCTCACTGTTTTATCATGAGCACCAGATCTTCCTATCACGAGGCAACAATAGTCTCTCTCATAAAGGAATACTATTCACTACTTATTGCACTTTCTTACATCCGTTCCTCCCAAATCATCAATCCACCGCCGTCCAACCACATAATCAACGAATCAATATGCAACCAGCTCGGTCTCGACGGTGCAGTAATCTCACTGATGAAGAAAATACCATATATCGATGGGCCATACTCTGACGGAGAGATTGACGAGGAGGCGTCTGCCTACGGGTGCATGCTCTTCCCCGGCTCTATGGCGTATTCGTTCTTGCGAGACTATGATATTGTAGAGAGCCGGGATCCAGAGGCTGACGGAACGAAGGGAGTGAGACTATACTATTTACTTAGCCATGATATTGCATTGGCGCACAACCTCAGGGATGGCATGACTCTAGTGCTAGATACGAAAGCCAGTATGACTCCAAATACTCTCCGACTTGGACTGGGCAAGGAGGAGCTAATGCATCTTGACAGACACTGTGAGGATGTTGGACAATAACGACAGTCCCGAAGTTGCCAACCCTGAAGGAACGCCACTCGAAAGGCCGGAAGAACCTATGCATTACCGGAATTATCACGCGCAAGATGCGACATCTTACTTCGAGGGCTTGATCGCCGAGATCCGGTCCTTGAACTTGATCCCTTACGGAGGCGACGCCTTCTCGAGGGAGTTCTTTGGCGATGCATATCCTGAAGCCGTACGTGCTTTCAGAATGAATTTTGATAGTCAGGCCTACTCAACGCTAACTCACCGTTGCAGCGTGACGAGGTGAAGAAGATGCTTATAGAGGAGTACGGATGGGGCTCACAGAACTTCAGGCAAGAAGATTGGGCCAGAGACGCCGAAGGAGTCTGGAAAACCATTATTCGTAACAATTGCACCTGAAACTATTACCTAATCAATTGATCGTAACAAGGGCTCGCAAGAGATAAAGAGCAGCTGCTCACTTCCCGCTCATCCAAACCAGCCGAGGTATCATCGTAACATAGGGTGTCCTGTATTGCCTCTATCTAATTCGAGGTGGAATGAATATTGGCAGAATAATTGACTCCTGTTGTTTTGGCACTTGAAATTTCGATAAAAATCTCCAAGGCCAAATGAAGAGCCTCCATATCAAAACAGCAACCCCTTTCGTAGCACTGTGGTATCTTGCTGGTGACATTCGATGCCTCTTAAGGAAGACTTTAGCTATACTGAACAAGGTCAACGTACTGCCTTCTTTGGTTGGAAAACGGCGACCATCAAAGGGGGCGAGGGACATACAGCTGGTGGCAAAAGTTTACTGCGCAGTAGGTCCCTTGCAAGACATGCGGCCGAGAGAGGTGATCTCGCCGACACAGTTGTACGATCCACCCGCATCGCACGGCTTGTCGTCCTTGCCACGCTTGGCACCTGCGCAGACGCGCGCGCAGTCCTTGTCGAGAGCTTCAACCACGCAGCAGTGCGAGCCGTCCGCAAAGTGGCACTGGCAGTTGGTGCAAGCCTCCACGGCGAGGGCCATGGTAATCAGGGAAATGACGATTGAGGTGATGCGAACCATTTTGAAGGCTTAGAAGGGTGTAGAGATAGAGAGGGGGATGTGCTGGAGGTGTAGTCGATGGAGAAATTGCTGGATATGGTACAGAGACTGTGTTGAGTAGCACGATCAATGATAAAATGTCGTAGAGAACCACCCACTTTCTTTATACGTTCTGGATGACGATCTACAGTCCACACTCGCTACGTACCCATGAATTGCATAAGGCTCAACGTTGCATCTCGTCTCCTGAAATCAGAAATAATTAGACCGACTAGAACGTACCTGAGTCGTTCACTTGTTCCAACACCACGTTCGGGATGTTTTCCTGCTTGTGGTACCATGATGGTATGGGTAAAGGACGACACACAAGTCAGGTCTTTACATAAGTAGACCCGTTTTAGCATAACAGTACTTCTGCAGCCAGACTAGAGTAAGCACGAAATCAGAAGGCCTACTGATTACAAAACATTGCCTGGTGTGTCCGTGGTTCTGTGACGAACCGCGCATAATGTCGAAAATTCCGTTTCAAAGATTTAAGATACACTCTAGGCACTGGAAAGACAGCATCAGTCATCTCTCCGGGCATCTAAGCCTACCTTCTACGTGGCTGCCATAACTTTGCATAAGCTTTACTGTTTTATTCATTGAATTATACATGGCTTACGCTAATGCTGACCCATTAAATATGAACTACCACGGGAGTTATCCGACCGAGGATCTCCACCCTTTCCACAAGGTTGCAGAGCTAGTAATTCGTACACGTGTATCAATGACTCGAAAACCACGTTACTGACCCTCCGTCCACTGTACCTGACGCCATTAATGATTTGTTGTCGGCCAACTGCCGGCGGTGTTTATCAAATGCGAACCAGAAAAACATGACCACCAAGAAGATCAGAATCCCATCCGATTTGTGGAAAATTTAGAAAGTAAGCAGAGGCTCATGTATCGGTGAGCGGTCTTTATCATGTAAGAATATTTCTTTTAAACTTCATTCTTTTTACACATAAAAATGGATTATAATGGAATTATCGCCTAATTACAAGAAGCTGAATCTGTGGGTGGGCGTAAAGATTTGTTCCTGGGTCTTGCTCGCCCTTATCAGGGGCAAAAGTGACACATCATTGGAAACATCCAACATGACGATAGATCAGGTCTGGTCATCAGAGTACAGTATCTCATCGGGTAAAACAGCAATCGAAATTTCAAGACTTCCGTAATTTGGTGATGCATCTCATAGCTGTGGTCTACCTTTGAGGCACTGCCTCACTTGAGAGTGCATGTCCAAGAAGAAAAGAACAAAACCAAATCATCCTCTGGCCCTTGCCTATGCCCTGAACCGAGACGGCTGCTTACCGTTCACACCCCTGAGCCCCCAGGGGCACTTGGGATCCATAGGCAGGGTGACCACTTCGTCGCGAAGCTTACCATTGTTACAGCGTGGGTTGCCGTTCACCAGCCTGCACCCACCGTCACAGGTATAAGATGCTACCATGTGGACGTCCGTGGGCGTCGTGTAACACGTATAATAAGGGGTATCTGGCCCTATGCCGTCACACCCACGCACAGTGTTGTCGAAACATACCGGGCATTCTTTTGTGAATGCGAGGATGGGTGCAATGAGGAAACTGATTAGGATGGGGAGGGTTGAGCGAATTGCTGGTTGCATGTTTTTGACGTTTGTAGTTTGAATGATTGTGTTGGTAATGAAGTTGACGCAATATTGTGTGCTTGTATTTAAAATGTTTGATAGCGAGAGTGTTGTAAAATTGTCTAGTCATTGAGTTGTGCAGTAGGAGCCCCAATGAAGGGCAACGTCAGGTACATATACAACAGAGTAGCGTAATAGCCTAACAAAGCTCTCTCTGGAAATAGAAACAAAGAGCATGTAAAAGTGATTGTTTTTTGTACTCTAAAATAGCTCTGGGCCCCACATGATTCCTTCTTTTTTGCAAGGCAACGTCAGCTTTCTTTGTATTCGTTGTGACGGATGTCTTGGACAAGCCGGGGCACACCAAGTACCACGGTGCCACAACTGGTTCCAAATTAGGCGTAACTCCGTGGGTAGTGTGCCAACCTTCTCTTTGGAGATCCCACCAGAAAATATTTCGACTGGATTCACGGTGAGCCCCAGGGCAATTCCATATCCCACACGGCCCCTGATTGCCAGTCAATATCGATGTTCGTCCAGTCCATGTCAAACTGTTTTTCGAAAGTTAGACATGCACAGCTGACCCAGCTGATTATGCACTCACATTGGTATAGTCGTCCATCTGTTGGGGTAATTGCGAATGTTCTGCACTGTCTACCGACTTCGTCTGGAAAATATCATTCTTTTCGCTGAGTCTATTTCCTCGATTCGGATCAGACGTTGCTTGTCTCGAGAAGTGTTTATAATAGAGATCAATAAACATGTGTGCACAAGCAGACTTTGCAGTTTGGTGGGTTTCTTGCCCCAGCTGAATCTTGAGTAGCATGATAATCCCATTCATCGTGAGCGGACACCATGGCTCTCCGTGGAGACAGTGAAGGTACCTGTCCTCTGCGAAGGGGTAACATTGCTGGAGTAGGGCAATCGTAGACTCGAGGTCTGCGGTAATGACAGCTGTAGAGCCTGACTCAAGTGTCAGAATATTTCAGATCTCGCCTCTATCAGGCTTTATGAGATGTTATTGGTTGAGGGGGAGTAGGCAGATGCTCACCTCTGGGTTGGTTCAAGCTGAGGCGAGTGAGGCTGAGGGAAGCAACCAAGAGATCTTCTCTGAAAAACAGAAGATTTTGCATTCCATGTTTGCCTAATTCTCGATTCATGAGAAGCACGTCTCGGGCTGCATGGTAACAAATCATCTCGGATAGTGAGGAATGGCTATTACCGCCCTGGAGGTACGGTCGATGGATGGCTAGGATGCACTCTTTGAGCTGAAATTGTAGTAAAGCAGAGATAAGGAGCGAGTCTGCCGCACCAGACCCATCCATCGAGATCTTCTTGCACCAGAGGGGAAGCGAGTCAAGAGCTTGGGTGAGTCGGTGGGTATACTGCAAGACTTCGTCGTAGGGAAGCGCCTTCGCTGTGCCGGTGCTGAACAAGCGTTTAGATATCTCCAGCCGCAATTTCCAGCTGCGGGAACTCAGAGCCTGGTAGGATATGTCTGTCATGTGGTCCAAGGTCTTGGGCCTTGGAGTTGAATTTTCCATCTCCTCGTCATCAACATTGGCAGGGTCAGTAATGCTGCATTGGAGGTTGTGCAGGAGCGTGGGAAGCTCATACTCGAAAGAGTTCTGGAGGTCGAGTTCTCGCACCACGGCCCAGATGCGTCTCTTGGTCTCTTTGACGTAGGGGCTGTGGGCGGGCGAATTTGGCTCCTCCATATGTAGCCCGTCTAGCATTGCGTTTTGGACGAGAGACCCAGTCTCAATCCAGAACCTCTTTTTCCGTATCGTATTTATCCGCTTTGCGAGGTAGACTAGACATGCGACTTGATAGTAGACAAGTTTGCGGCCTTTCGTGGCATGTTGCGCCAACCACGCGTCACAAGCTGCAATCCACTTCGGTGGCATGCTCCGATAGTTAGATGTTGAGTCTTCAGTAGAGATGGGCGTTGATATTGAGATCATGGCTAGTATCAGAGCTGTCATAGCAGGATGACGGGGCTGATTCGGTATCCAGCACGAGGAATATTCCCTCTTGAAAGAAGGAATGTGTACGACGCGATGTATTTTCTCGACGTGGTCGATATAAAACGAGATCAAGGCATCTGTATGCTCCTTTGGAGGAAGGAGATCCTCAAGAGCATTATGTTGTGGATTTGGCGCAATAGTAACGGCAATGGCTGACTTTTCTTTTCTCAGAGTAATACCACGAGGTTTCAGCCACTCATCAGTGGTCTCTTTAATGAATGGAAAGAGCTGGGGTATCTGCAAGATCGTTTAGCAAGAAAACAACAGTACTGAAAGTTGATACGGGCACATTATCTAACTTCATCGAAGAATCGAAACAGAGTATGTTGACGGTAGTAACCGCGTGGCGATCTGTCCTTGAGCGCTATGACCTGCCCTCTGGGAACTTCGCCAGGAGAACCGTTGGGTTCCTTGTTCGGCAGTAGCCCCCGGCTAGAGCCAACCAAGTGGCGCAAGGTCTCCGCAGTGGAATCAAGAGGACTGTCGTCCTGGGTGTTCATACAGTTATTCCCGATCTTGGATAGAACTTCCCTCAGCTGAGACATTTCGGCCCTGAGTTCTTGAATCTGAGGATCATCTCGATGAGAGACAGTCTGCTGAGCGATACTATCGCCTTTCGGCGCCGGGACCGGCTTTCCTGTTTCGAATGAGCACTGGCCCGGCCGGCCAGACCTCATGCATCTCTGACAGGGCTGGTGGCGGTCACAAGACAACTGAGTGGGTAGTCAATATGATTGCAGTATGGGTTATCTTGACGATAGACTCAGCTGTCCCTGCCTTCTTCTTCCTGCATTCTCCACAACTGAGCGGTAGACGTCTTGTCCGACGGCGCTTGGTGGGATCGGCTGTATTATTGCCAGCTGAATCTGTTGATCCGGGGCCATGGTGATCAACGGGACCGGAAGATGAGTTGGTTGCCGGCGGCTGGCCGTTCCGACTGGTACTGGAATCGGTGCTTGGCGACATGCCCTCCGTATCGCTAAGAGCGTTTCTGGTTGTGCAGGACCTCGGACATGAATGTCATGTGTGGATAATGAGTAAGTGCATGACGAAACCGAACAAATAAAACGCCAAATTCACACTCAGTTCAATCTTACCCCGATTCAATGGGCTACATAGACTAGTACTGGGCTGCATACACACAAGTACGGAGTAAACGGTCATATCGCTTATAGCCGTGTGCGTCTGAGCACTGGGGGAACCACGGTCGATCATGCCTGATTGGTGCAAGCCTCGTGAGCCATATGATGACCGACCATATCCGATCATCGCCGACCGCCTCCAGTCCCGTCACTTCCAAATGTGTCCACTTCCTCGGCCGTCTGGTACTCTGTTCTCATCTCCGATTTGCTGTATATGACAAAGTTGCAAGTTGAGCCTGCGAGGGACTGACTTGGCCGTGACTATTGGTTTTCCAGCGTGGAGGGATGCTGATCACCAGTACAAATGATTCCTTGGGTGAACTCGCGGCAAGGGCCGAGAGGACATGTTGAACCAGCTACAATAGTACTCAGAAGGATGTATTTGGACGAAGTCACCACATGGGTAAAACAGATAAGCGCAGCAGCATGTCTACAGCTCTTGTCAGCGCTATCTTTTCATTTCGTTCGTCTGCCGGCGTAAGTCGGAGATGATCGCGGGCAACACATTTCCAATGGACAATAAATATGTCTGCGAGAGACAAATCCTGAATTCTCTCAGAACAAAACTTGTGCAGAACCAAAGTTCTCTCCCCAACTCTTTTGCGCGTTGGTGAACTCGCGACGATATCCCAGGCACGGAAACAAAGACTGGTCCACGACGCATCATTACAATGTCTACCCAAGCGTCAGAGACCATTCAAAGTTCCCCGGAACTGACTGGGAGGCTCGATATGGAGAATAGGAAGGCCGGTTCGGAGCAGATACCACAGACTTCAGCCATGCCAGATTTTCCCGACGGCGGCACAAAGGCATGGATGGTGGTGTTTGGGTGTTGGTGTACATCCTTTGCCTCATTTGGGATTGTCAACTCTTTCGGGTATGTACAGAATCTGAGATCTTCGTTCGCAATGGCTCTACATCAGCAATGAGACATTGAATTACTCACACCTTACATGCTCCCGTCTCAGGATATACGAGACGTACTACCAGCAGGAGTACCTCAAGGGCTACTCACCGTCAACTATCGCTTGGATCGGCTCCATCCAGGCCTTCGCGCAGTTCTCGGCTACCCTCATCGGCGGACCTATCACGGACCGCTGGGGACCCATGGTATATCCAACCCGAAGTACACCTTCGCTGCAAATTGGGACCTGAACTGACACTCAAAACTTTGCAGTCGGTCATCTGGCCATTCTCACTTCTTCTGGTGGTTGCCATGATGCTCACGAGTCTGTGCAGCGAGTTCTATCAGTTCCTCCTCTGCCAGGGGATCCTCCTCGGCTTCTCTTGTGGCCTGATCTTCGCGCCAGCACTGGCCGTCGTCGGCCACTACTTCTTCAAGAAGCGAGCCATGGCTATGGCATACGCGTCAACTGGCTCACCCATAGGCGGCATCATCTACCCAGTCGTACTGACGAACCTCATCGACAACCCAAATGTCGGGTTCGCGTGGGCGCAGCGCACATGCGGCTTCATCAGTCTCTCCCTCCTGCTCATCTCCGCGGCCGCGATCCGTCCACGTCCCGGGATGAGGAGAAAGAGCAGCCTGATAATACTTGACGCCTTTAAGAAGCCCGCATACTCTCTCCAAGTCGCCGGCCTATTCTTGGTGGTCCTCGGGTTCTGGACGCCGTACTTTTACCTCGCCACGTACGCCGAGGCACATGGCATGTCGTCTGCCCTCGCGTCGTACCTTTTCGCAATCATCAACGCGGGCTCATTCGCCGGTCGTGTTCTGGGTGGTACATTTGCCCAGCACGCCGGCCAGTTCAACGTCACTACCTTGGCCTGTTACAGCTCCGCCGTATTGCTATTCTGCTGGCTGGCCATCACTTCGTCTGCGGGACTGATTGTGCTTTCGGTGCTTTTCGGGGGCACCAGTGGTGTTATTATTGCTCTGATGATGTCGACCGTGGCACACTGTGCACCGCATCCTAGTCAGGTACGCGCAATCCCCCATGTATGTTCTTTGGTGTCTTCTCTGCTGACCATGTACACGCAGATCGGTGCATATGTTGGCCAGTCCACCTTTGTCGTGGGCTTCGCAGGTCTTGCTGGCACACCTATTACCGGAGCATTGATCAACAACTACAACGGGTACACTAGTGGCATCGCCTTCAGTGCTGCTGTCATGATGGCAGGAGCTGTAGTCTTTACCGCTGCCCGCTACGCTTATGCGCCGGGCAAGTTGATCGCCTAGATTTGGGATGCGAAGGGGCTGGATTGGGTCAAGATGAACATTGGACGCGGGTCTGTTGGGGGTTTGGTGTTGGAGACTTTTGCAGGGCAGATTGCTACATCCTGGACGGAGCGCTGCAGAAAATGTGTGCTGTGAAGAAGAATCAAAAGTAGAGAACTATACTTGTCATCTGAGTGTCTATCGTATTATGTCTTTTCCAGCTGCCAGAACATCACTCCGTGCAGGTACCTAGATAGATGCCGGGTGGAGATTGGATGGCACGGTCTAGAGCTTTCCAAGCCCGGGGCCATCGTCTTTTCCAAGTATAGCACAGTGGAATGATCTATGCATGGCCCCTTTTTATTCGCTCGACTAGGTGTGGGGCTTCTCCATCTTGACGTCATGTTTTGCGCTAAGAGGGATAAGCTTTCTGGCAGCCCTGCCAAGCCTGCGAAGCACGGCCGTTTGAGCTTGGCTCGGCCGGCTTCCCACTCCCGCCGATCCGCACTGCCTTTGGTCTGTTCTTCTGTGCCCAGGCGGTACGCAATGACGATCAAACTTTCGGTCGAAGTAAAGCAGCACACGCATATCATGGGTTAAGAGATTCGGAGCCCGGTGGCATCGCATTGAAAACAATCTACCGCATCCAACAAACACTTTGGACTATCTATAAAGCTTCAGATGGGCGAAGATGGGACCGCCTCAACTCGCCCATTCTCATGTCTCAACCAGCATCTTCAGAGCTGTCGTGCACAGCCGCCTCCGCTGTATTGATCCCCACCGTCCACTTAGGCAACCAGTATAATCATCAAACTGAAACAGGCGGCCTGTTTAGCAGCAGCCGCAGCTCTCGGTAATGCCGCAGCAGTCGATCGTCTCGCCGCAACCACCACGCAGGCTCATGTCTTCTGTGTTCATCTGCTCCTGTGCCCCCTACAGTACACCCCGTTTAGCTACGTTTCGGGAGGATGGGATGGCAGAGCGGGAATGACGATCGACATGGGACTCACAGGTTGCTGAGTAACGACAGCGGAGTCGGCGGGGGCCTCCATGGGCTGCTGCTGCTGTGGAACGTTGACCTCGGGCATTTTGTGTGGTAGCGTAGGCAAGATGTGTTCGCTAGTTGGTGATTCCAAGAGCTGCTGCCAAAAGAGGTCTAAGCGTGATCGCAGGGTCCTTGATGATGGCTGACCGGAGGAGGAGAACACGAAATGGAGAACGTGAAGGGTCGAAGCAAATGAGCCTGCTGGAAAGTGGAGGGAGTCTCCCCCTTCTTATCCTGCTCGGATTAGGCCGCTGACCACATGATCCCCGTCTGTCCTATTTTAGTCCCATGTCCCCTTGCCCTGCCTCGATCGCTGTTGGTTGGTCCCGAATATCCCAGCCACACAATGCCAGCTGTCAAAACCTGCTTGCTCGAATCATGCCACGGCAAACGCCACGGGGGGTCGACTTGTAAGTTTGACTGATACACGAGACAATAAAGACCTATTGAGTGAATTCTTTCGACCATGTCACTAAGAAAATGAATCAATTAAGCCAGGTACCTTTTTGCCAGGGTGTCGGCCAATGATTTCTTGAGATTTGGACCGTCGAGTTCCTCCGCAGCTGCTCTCCGCTTGTCCCCTCCCCACCTGTGTCCGAAGCCGTCGGCAGAGCCCCCTCATATCGCGGGAAGCAGGGGCCTGGATAAAGGTCATCCGCACCTTTACGCTCGGCTGCCGTTGAATGGAGAACACCTGGGCACTCTATGTTCTCGATTCTACTTCTGAAGTCAATCATCCACGGTGTCTGTATTGTGTCAGTTCTTCAATATTTTCCAATCACCCTGCTTAGAGGACAGAGTCTCGGCTGCTGATCCATGATTCCCTCTATATTGAAGACTAAGATCAGCTTCAGGCATTTTAAAATCACAAACAAGTAGGCATATTTGACAGAAGAGCACACAAACCATCGGCGGGTCCCTGCGTCAAGTGGGAGTCCTTGTCGTGTGCTGTTGTGTTCAGACAGAGTTATATGGCCTAAGAACAGAACCGATGAGTCGTCCGTCCGTCTTCATCTTGGTGATAGGCAAAGGCCATAGGCCATGGACTATGGCTCTTAAGTTCGAACCAACAGCTGTCAGATACACATAGCGCATCTAGCAGTGGTTAGCCAAACGGACGCTTACGGGAGCCCTGTGTCATGTTCACAAGATGAGTGTAACGTCACTTTCCACGTGCTATAATATCCACTACAGCGATGTAATAGCTTACTGCTGAAAGAAGTCTATTGTTGCTTAGTCTCGACTTCTCGACTGTGACAAGGTGATCGAGGCTCTGGTTAGATTCGCACATAACACGTAGGCAACAAGACGGATTTAAGGCAGGAGGATGAGACGAAACAAATTGAACCAGTGACAGTACAGGAGTAGTTCCAGTCACTGCAAGAATTCTGTCCACTCCGATGGTGACTTGAGCCGTTGGGGATGCGCGTTCACTTGACAACATCAATATCATAATTATCGCCACTCTTATTGTACGTAACATTACCTCCGCACTTGTCATTGCACTATTCATACTGAAGCAACAAAATGTTAGCCAAGGGTGACAAGGGGGTCACTTGTCTACTGCTGGGAATTGTACCTGCTCTAGATGTGCCCTACTGTATGGATATTGACAGGATTTCTGTCTTCAATGTTATCGTTCTCCGCACTCCTAAAACGAATCTATCCTGCAAATGGAATCTTGAGACTGATTTTAATGTTACCAGTGCCGTCCTGTTTCGCCAGTTTGATGAAACAAGTGCTGCCATAATTCGTCTTTCCATTGAGATTTTCTTAGCGGTTCTAATAGCCGTTTTCTCAATATGAGAATTATGATTGTTGGCAAGGCAGTTTGATGGCCCAAGGCGTCAGATGATCAGCATCAGGCTGTGGTCGACTATCAAATCCTCCAGGCTGGATTAGGTATCATTCTCGATTAGGTTGCTGGGCGCCAAGATGGCCTGGCATGGAACGGGAAGGATGGGCAAAGTCACCTGGGAACTGTGCCGCAACAGCCAAGAAGCTCAGCCATTGGACCGGCTCTCAGAGTATTCTTTCACTTCTATTTCATCCGCTTACGTTCTTCTTTCCGCTCCCCAACCAACTCGCTCTCCCGCACTACGTCAGCACCAAAGACATCTTGTGCCATCTCCAGCTCTACGTCTTTCGGACTACTTTTCTGCTTCCCATTGCAAATATGACTGGATCTGGAGTGGTAAGTAGACCATATTTGTGAATATTTGATACAGACAATCGACTTGCTTACTATTGATGCCCCCAAAGCTTGACGGGGCCAAGAAGGTTGGCAATAAGATGGCAATGGGCGTCATCAACGCCATAGGTGAGTGAGCAGTCTAACCACCCGCTATACGGAGGAGTAATTGACTAAAAGATTCTTGATGAAGCCGGTTCACGTGTAGCCACCTCGGGCAGTGTAGACGGCGTCCCTGATGATTTCCCTCGGCCCTCGAAAGGCGGCAAGTGCCCGCCGCATCTGTTGAAAAGAACGGCCGACAAGGAGGCGGATAAGGAGAGCGTGGCGACCAACGAGGAAGTGAGCGGTGACAAGAAATAAGACGTGACGCCGATGGGGCGACGGAGAGCTTCTCTGGGCCGGTTGAGTGAAACCGGTCCTGGCTGAAGGCCCATGTAATGAGTGGAAGCTCAGCCGTGGCATTGTGTGGAGGCGTGAGCAGATGACGTTTTATTTTGGGTGGATTCATTTCATTTGGCTGCAACCCACTGTGGCTATTAGTATGGAGAGCAATTTCACATATCTTTATCTAGGATCTGCCTTGTGGATGGAAGACGATCCTACTCACATCATCCAGGATGATCTTCGTGTGGTACACATAGACGAGATCAATCCTGGCCATTCGAGTACACAGGATTCTAAAGAGTTCGAGCATCTGATCAGTGGCCGGTTCCATCACTGTAGGTTTGAATGCTGATCTTGGTACCTGGGATTGGTCAGTAATTGTTTTGCATCGGGTGAAGCATGATCACTTTGTAGCGGTACTGAATTGTTTTTTTTTTAACGAGTCTGCTCTGCCTCCACAAGTCGCAAAAGTTGTTCAATTTGAGCCCATGCCAAGATTTCCATTCTCTCAATCCAGTTATGAAAGATACCCCATGCTTTTTGACGCAAAATACAGCAATGCTCGCATGATGACAGTTCGCAAGAATCCCTCCATCACGTTACCAGTCAGTCTCCTTACGCCTGTACAAGATCATAGCTCCTGCGAACGTCAGGCTTGGGTGGCACAGGTACTCCCTCTAGCCCTCGAGGCCCGATACGGGGTCTCTTCTTCAGGCATCCCTCATCCTCGCCATTCTCAATCCTTCTGATCAGGTCTTCGGGATCATAGTCGACGCCGATAGGGTTTTCAGCGAATTCCGGAGTGTTCATGGATGCGTTTGCCTGCTCGACCGTCTCAAAATTGTCCACCTGCGTCTCGATCTGGTTGCCATCGCTATTATGTGTTAGCCACCTGCTACGGAGCCTAAAGCGACGTGTCCAGGAATATTCCAAGACGCATCGGTCGGGGAACCGTGATAGGAAAAGAGTTATACTGACGGGTCTTGGTAGTACATGCTCGTCGTGGGGCCATGGTTGACCGCCCAGATCGGCACGATGCCCCGGGCCTTCCGCTGGCGGTAGGCTAGCAGGAGGTCCTTCAGAGTGTTAAATGTGAAGGCCATATGGGCCATGCCGGCTGACGTCGGGTCCCTTGGCTTGGCCGAGGGCACGTGCAGGATAGCTACTCGATGATGTTCATCGTCGTATGTCAGGAAAGATAGAGATTCGTTCTCGTAGGTCGCGTGCGCTCCTAGGAAGGCCTTGTAGAATGCGACCATGGGCTCATACTGTGAGGTCCGTAGGACAACGTGGGCCAGTGCGGCCGGGGACAAGACCGTCCCTGTTGAGCTGTCAGTCGTCATTTCAATGATGGTTTGGTTGTGTCTTCAATGATGGATAACTATTGTCGGCGAGCAGGAAAGTAATATCGGCGGATGAGACAACCCCCCGCGAAATGTGCTGTTCTTTATGATCATTGTGTTCGCGCTTCGGGAGTGAGTCCTTGCAGTCCGATTACCAAGGGCTTCCATCTACCCCGCAAGCATTTCTAATGTTACACGTAAGACGTACTGCGTAACAACACACGCTTATAAATGAGTAAGCACTTTATTCAATGTGGAATTTCTAATGGCATACTAATCTTCTAATGGTGCATGGAGCCTCTGATGGTGCATTGTGTTTCTGATGCTGCATTGTGCCTCGAAGGGCTTGCTGCGTTCAAGCGAAGTGGACAGCATCATCAAGGGTGAGGTATTGATTGGCTTCTTGGCATAAACCGAAGAGTAGGAGGGGAGGCTCTGGTGGGCCCTCATACAAAACCGAAGAGTGCAGAAGTATGAATTGAGTAGGTGTGTATGAACTTTTCTTAGACTACCTAGGTACGTACCACGTACTTAGTTAGGTAACACACTGGCTTTGCTCAGTCTAACTGCTCCATATAATTTTTAAGTAATTTATCATGCTTACTATGATACGAAGGAATGATTGTTTCATAAAGAAATCATTGAAAGAAATTAGGTGATTAAGAGGGGAAGAGGGGGTGGTGACGTGTTTTGGTACTGGGGCTAGCCGCTGGTGGACCGGTCCACGCGCTTGCTGCAGCTGAGTCTGCCTGCTGAAGTGCTACAAACCATGGTGCCCAACATCTGGATGGACATAATATGATTCGATTCTTTTTGCTTCCACTTTCTCTTCTTGCTGTGTCTACACTCTGACACACACATTAAGCATCAAGTTTCTACGTCACCGGCACCTCACACCAAACTTACACAAAACACAAGAAGCCTACGCCGTATAAATACGAAAGCTTGCCTCCGTGTCCACGATTCGGCTCATCAAGCTAGAAAGGAGGAAAATCGATGGGCAGATTGCGTGCACGATCTGTCACGCTGAACAGAACGCCAGGGTATACGATGCGCTGCCCTATATTTGGGGAGATCCGACTCAGATTAAACAAAAGATCCGCATCAAGGACACTTCGGCAAGCCAATGGGATGAATTTGAAGTCCACAAGAACCTTTGGGAGTTCCTGAACAGCGCGTGGAAGCGGAAATACTTCGACCGCTGGTTTTGGACGGATCGGATCTGTCTTGATCAGAGCCATGGGAGCAAGGAACTAGGGGAACAGATCCCGCGAATGGCCGAGATATATCGCAATGCATCACAGGTCGTGGCCTGGCTTGGATTGACAGACCTTCAAGCGCAGCATCTTATTGCTGCCCACGAGGCTGTGTGCGAGGGAAGATAACCCAAAAAAAGATCGCCTTATCGAACACTTCCCGAAAGAGACGGTGGACGCTGTCTCCGCTGTTCGAGATGCCGAGTACTGGCAACGTATCTGGGTGGTGCAAGAGGTTGTGAGCGCGAAGCAAATCGTCACGGTGGTGGGGGATTTGGAGCTTAAATGGGACGAAACGCTTGATATGCTGGATCCGGACGTTGACGATAACGACAAAGCAGCAATCTTGAACATGATGAGAGATTGGGCGAAAGGTGGAGAATATGTCGACCTGTGGCGATGGCTGACGGAAATCACCAGTAATGGGTTGAAGAGTTCAGAGCCTCATGATCTGGTCTACGGCATATTGGGCCTAGCGATCACCTACGGCAGCGGCAAAAGGAGGCCTGATCTCATTCGAAAGGCCGACTACCGAGAGCCTCATGCATGTGTGATTATCGATGCTTTATTTGAGTCGTTTCCGCATTTCTTTTGGATTCGACATCTATTGCTTCGGACGTCATCCATACCTGATTCAGCAGTCTTCACCGTCTTCAAGGAGTATATTTACAGCGACCATACATCAGAGAGACACAAACAACTCGCAGGTCTCTTTCTCCAAACCTGTGATGCTCTTTTCTCTGTCTTACAGCCCGTAAGACCCGAATTGAACTGGCCGTTTGATGAGAACGACTTCCAAGAGATTTTAAGAGTAACCTTCAGACTGCAGACTGCGGGACATACCCAGCACATTGCGATTCTATTGGGCCTTGCTCTCGTGTTCAGTATCAAAGGTGAAAGGGAGAGGAGGCAAATCTTTCGGGATTGGGAAGTCACCCTGGATATAAAACAAGCGAGGAGTCTATGGCAGTGTCGCAAACATATGCTGCACCTTTGAAGAAAGCACTCGAACGCGCCTGATTTATGCGAGGGGCAAGAACACTACGGGGCCTGGGATCCCGACCATGGCAATCCGAGGCACGAGACCGTGTTTGGTCACGCATCAGTGTCCTTGCCAAATTTGAATTCGCATCTAAAGCAGGCGTGCAGCAGCTGCGAGGACTTTGTGAGACCTTCTGCTTGTCACGAGTCAATTGTGACGTTCCGGATTCCCGAGGCGGACTTCCGCTTGGATCTGGAATTATCACAAGATGATCCTCCCAGTGGACTGGTTGGAGAAAGAATTTCTGTCTGGTTTTGGGCGACAGAGGGTGACAGTAATGATACTGATGACATGCGCACAACTTGAAATGATTAGACTCATTTAATGCTACTACAATGTTGAAATTATTATGGTAGGTAATTGAGGGCAATGATAGTGGTATTCGTAGATGGTGAGGGTGGTCGGAATCGGGGTCCGGGGACGTTGCCTATACTGGCACCTGATCAATTTCCCAAGCATGTTCAAGCTCGACAGCAAAATTGGAATGACTCAAACAGTGCTGAAGGACCTTTTACCTGCTCGCACTCACTAATCTACGCCAAACTCTTTCTGATAGATATTTGATATCCTCTCTGGTCTGGGGTAAAGTCGGAGCCCGAGACTGCGTCTCGTAACCAACCAGGGTCTGAGTAACGAGCCCAGTGTCACTTTGCAGGACTTGGAAGGACGGCACAATAATTGGCGAGGTAATCCATATTAGAGTATCGAGAAGGTTCTCGAAATGCATAGATATGTCTTGATCACACAATGGACATACAGGTTCTCTATCACGGTCCACACCACACAACTAATACACATAGGTTGTGCACTAGCCTACAGATAAACGCGTCTTTCAGTTAGGTTGCCATCAGGGTGTATACTCTTGACTGCGAGTAGAGTATAAATATGCCGGTCCCCCCGGCTCCCACCACCCAACTTTCCTTTCCCTTCTTCTTCCTCTACACACACACACACACACACACACACACACACACACACAAACTTACACATAAACTTTCAAACCTTACTACTTCTTTCTTTAAGAAGAAGAAGAACAACAACAACAAACAAACAACAAGAGAAGCACAATGCCTTCCAAATCTCAGAAACAGAAGAGAGTCCCTCTTCAGTGGTGGTCAACCGAGGCCCCACAAGGACGAAGTCTTGGGAGCCAGCTTGCTCCCTCTGGCCCAGCCAGGAACAACGCCAAGTCTTCGTACCTTCTCACACCATCCGAATTCCAACAAGAGCTGGGGCGACAATGCCAGCAACCATCGACGAACCGGAAGTGAAATCCCTCTAGTGCTGCCGCTGGTGGGTGCATCATACCGCTCTTGTTAGGGGGCAACTAAATGTAAGACGCCTTGGACCGGCATTCTTGTTTTCTTGTGTGGCTCTTGTGATGCTTGCCTCTAAGGCTAACAAATATCCATGAAGCAGCAACCGCGGTGACTCACTATGGGTGTCATGTGATAGGTTGGGAAAGGTACTGCTTAGCTCGCCAGCCGGGTACCGCCTAGGACCTACAAGGCTGCTAAGGACTTAGCGCGGTGAGGCTGCACATGATACATGACACGGTATAGCCAATTACGAAAGCGGCGTCGAGAGCAAGCTCGTATGAGCCGGGCGAACCTGCCATGTTGTCAATCTCACACCCTGATGGATCGATAATCTCTAATCAAGACGCAATACAGAGACGACACTGGTTCTCATCTTTTTGGCACGGAGGAGATTCGGCTCTCTTCAGATGTGTGCACAGGAGTTGAAAAGGTGCATGTTGGGAGAGCAGCCGGGCAGAGATCTTTGCTGCGAAGGTGGAGGTTGGGAACCTCAGTCAGCAGCCCACGCAGATTCGCTTGACTCCAAGAAGTAGACATGGGTTATGGAGTATAGCAGGACTTTGAGTCCCTTGCCGGTAATCTCTTACATTGGAAGTACTTGGAGTGGTGTTGCATGGGAAAGACATGTTCGTCAACAGCTTTTGCAAGTTGGAGGCTGGTCCCGTACTTGAATAAATCTTATCATCTCAAACATGGTTCACTGAAGTCACGCTGCTTGTACGGAAGATACCTTTGAAGTGTTGAAGCCACGGAGCAAGCACAGACGGAAGCAGCTGTTTCTGGGGCGCAGTCAAGAGGCTCCAGGAACGAGGCATCAGGGCAGAATTAAGGGCCGATGACAAGACTGCAGACAAGGCTAGGCCAGCAGAGGATCTGATGGAGGGGTAGGAACCTCTGTGGTGGAGAGGACGATTGTTACTGATAGTGGGCAAAAAGATAGTCCAAATAGAGATAGTGAGAAACTTAGGTGCTCATGGAGGCGAGTGGTTGGCGATATATGTATTTGGTGGTGTGTAGATGAGATGGTAAGAAAAGAAAGAGAAGTCTTGAAATTTCACGACAGAAGGGAGTATGGAATTACGAACTTCCTCAGATCGGGACTTATGTTTATTTGCCTGTGCATATCGACCTATTGGTCAGGGGGCAGGCGGCATCACATTGACACTGGGAATGGAAGCCGCTGATCATTTTGGTGACAAGATCCTATGAACGAATGACTGATCCAGGTTCAATATCCGAGTACTTCGTAACAAATAGCCAAAGTGATACAATCTCCCAGTCTCGCTTTTCGATCGTCTGATTGAGTCACAACTCGCTCACTGCTGGAACTCTGAATTTGCCCGGTCCATATATTCACTTCATCCCGGCTTTTGAAGCTGGTGTCAACCCACCGGACAGTAGTATAGGAGATATTTCATGCCACCAAACTATCCGTCGCACCACCACCAGAGGCAAAATCACCACTGATAAACACCACAAGCACAGCCGAATACGCCGCACATGCAGCAAAGATCTCCGACCGGCTAGCATTCGTTATCACAGCCAGCGACCCCGCAAAGATTATCGTGAACATCGCAATTAAGCCCAGCGTCAGCGACGGCCGCGATGCCGATACATTATAAAAGGTAAAAATGGGCGTGAAGAGTAGGAGAGCCGCCGCTAGGGTGGTTATAAATAGCGCTGCAAACCGTATTCGCTCGTACGAGAAGTACCTTATCGTGGACCGGCTGAGGTGCGAGATGGTAGGCTGCGGGCGCCCGTTGTGGTATAGGGGGAGTGTCGGCGGCGGCGGCGTCGTTCTGAAAAGCCGTGATAACTTTGTCCGCAGTAGATATGTGAGGAGATCTGGCTCTGACTGCTTGGATAGGGAGACGTAGTCTGAAGCACGGATCTGCGCCATGCTTGAGCTTATATTGGGCGGGTATAGGGAGGAGCTGGCTCCCGAGAGCATGGAGTAAGGGGCGGAGGCTGCGAATCCTCCGTTGGGAGACTTTGCGGACCCATGGAAATAACGGGATATTGCTGTCATTGTCTGAGGCGATGGAGTCGGCATGGCTAGGAAAGCTGATTCCTGGATGAGAGCTTCCCTGTAGTCCTTTAACGTCGTGCGTATCCTCATCGCGAGGTCCATTCTTTTCTTCCATGCTTCACTTGATGTGCCAACTGCGGGATTTTGAGCCAAGGAGGCCGAGTGTAAGGCGGCTTGCTCAAAACATTTCCAGTCTTGAACGCAGTCCCGTATCCGGTCGCGGTGCTCTTCTCCTCCATCCTCAGTGCTATTAATGTCGATCCTGTCGTGGACATCCAACTCGTCTTGCTCAGCTTGCATCTGGGCTAGTTGACTCTGGTAGTATAACAGGTCTCGTGCCGCCAATTTATCGAAGCGTCTGAAGACGAAGGGGCTGTGATCGCTATCACTGGCCATGAAACTGGCCAGCGACCCGAAGCCAGATACGTAGTCATAGTGAGAGCCTTGTTTCTCTGCATCGAAATTCATATTGTCGCGTCGCCCAGGTCAACGCCAGAGGAGAGGACACGCTTTCAACAGACTCTAGCATTTCCCCGACCTCGAAACTTGACTTGCGTGATTACTATCCGGTGGAAATTCGCCGGCCGTGGGGATGCGAGCTCATGAGCTCCGTCATGGTGAGTTGCCGACCTAGGCGTGACCACACTTGCCGATCGAAAACCTGGCTGTGCACCTGCATAATACCAGAGCTGGCGGAGGCGCAGGGCCAAGTAGATTCAGACACGCAAGTGCGCAGAATTGCACTTGTGCCCGGCCCTACCTCCCGTCAGGTGGCAGTGCATGCATGCAGGCCTCAAATCAGCCTGCCTCGCAGTCAGACTTTTAGGTCTGATCAGCTCTTACCCCTCAAAATTGACAACCTCCCAGAACAGAAGCGCGGACATTTTCGCGCTGTCGCTTCGCCGCTCAACCTCGAGCCCATTCTCTTGAAAGAGTTGCATTAACAGTCTTGAGCGAATATTTCATCGATGTCAGGAACGTAGCAGATGCCCCTGGTTCACCCGAGCAGTTCACCCTGCTAGAACAACTCAACATGGCCAATTTGGCGGGGACTACGGGGGCTGAAATGCTGTGCGTAGGAAACTGATTCCACCAATTCCTTGCCCCTGAGCTAGGACTGACCGCACAACTTCCGCAGACGCCGCTATCCGAAGCAAGATCAAGTCCGCCACCCCGACGGAGATGTACAACTGCCTTCTGTGGGATCGAATCTAGTTGAGACTGGTGCGCCTGGCCTAGAGCCGTCTAACACACCCGGGAGAAAGGGATTGCAGAGACCAACCACTTCGGTCCCTGTTGGCGACCGACTCGACTATATTTGGTCAAGTATTGAGCGCAGCCTAAGGAACGATCATGGGAAGGAAGAAACGCTGGCGGCTTTGGAAAACGAGCTAAGAGGTCTTTCTGAACTTGAAAATGACCCAATTTCGATCCGCATCCTGGCGGCAGCGCAGCGCGCTCCTCAACAACATACTCGCCCATCCCGACGCAGCGACAACCGACAAGTCAGCAATCAGACGGTAATGGAGGAGGATTCGTCCGAAAATATCATATTTAGTCGGTCCGAAACTCGCCCGATCAGTCAGGAGCAGCTACTCGCTGGAGTCAAGGGGGTTTATGTATATTCGCAACGATCAAACCAGGTAACGCCCGAGGAGATGCGGGCGCGGACCCAACAAGCGCGGATCCAACAAGCGCGTCTCGAGGCAGAGACACTCAAGGACCGTATCAACAGGAAGAAGGATGAGCTTAAGGTTATGCAGTTGGAAGAGTTTGTCACGGCCCAGGACCAGAGACTCCCTGCCGAGGCGCGATCGCCACTGAATACTTCGTATAGGGCGCGTGAAAGGAGGTTTCTGCCCTTAGAAATCAACGGCAGGCCGGCCCATGCGCTGCCCGACACTGGAATCACTGGTAACGCCATCTGCGAGGACTACGCGCTGGACATTGGTGCAACGATCGAGCGCCCGCCTTCCAAACATCACTTCGTCAACGCCAAGAACCAACCCTTTGAATCAGTCGGCACGACGAGATTAACTGTTTCAATTCCAGAAGCTCTGTCCAAGAACTGTCCGAGAAGGGAGTGGGTGTGCTCCTTTGCTGTGGTAAAGCAACTGGCCGCGCCTTTGGTGCTCGGCAACCAGTTCCTGCGGAAGACTGAGGCTCTCGTCAGCCTCGCCCACCTTATGGTCAGGAAGACTATATCAGTGATGGGTGACAAGATTGACCGGCTCAGAAAGGTCTGGATGTTCATGCACATGAACTTGCCGACTCAGAAGCTTGGCTGCTCCCTGGGCGCCGAGCCAGCCTTCGCTGCCCTGGACAGTGGTTCAGATATTGATGCGATCTCTTTGACCTATGCGAAACTCCGCAAGTGGCGGATAAAGCCGCTGCCCGAGGGGGAGGGATACGTCTTGCTCGCAAACAACGAGCTGGTGAAGCTTTCAGGTTACGTCGAGACGACACTGGGGATCCGGGGAGGCTGCATCCGCAAGAGGTTTTACGTCCTAGACGGTCTCGTCTGTGATGCCGTGCTAGGCGATCCGACCATCGAAGCCCTCGATATCTTTAACAAATTTCAGAGCTCCCTCGTCGACACGACGGCGGCAGAGGACATGGATCCCTTCCACATGATCCAGTGGGTTGAGGAAATCGACCAGATTGAGCACGAACTGGAAGAATTACTGGCAGAGCGCCCCAGCGCCGCATTTAGCGGCACAGCAAAACCTGGTTGGATCTCTTCTATTCGCAAGGGAGCGCGACGAAAAGGCAAACCAGCCGAAGGTGAAGGTAAGCAAGCTCTGAGCCGAATGAATTTGCGATTTCCTGCTCACTCTCAACGGCAGGGATTGTGAATGGACTCAGCAATATGCTTGAAGACGTCGAGGTTCGCTCAGCCAACTGGAGGAGGGCTGCTGAGGCTGAGCTGTTGAGACTGACCGGCGACGAACATACCCGCAAGAAGGAAGAGTTTGATAAACGCAAGAAGCAGAATGATGGACTCCGGGACAAGATCCGACAGAACATCAACGCGCGGCTGCAGATGCCAAAGCCTAAATCAAGACTTGGATCTGGACAGCCAAGGGTGGCAGCGAACACTGCGGTCATGTTTTAGTCCATTGCCGGAGTGGACTGTGGAAGCTGTCGGATGCTGCCCTTGTGCAAGGTTGGAGTAGAGCGACGGATCTGGGGTTAGCAATAGGACAGGCCCGGAAATAATGAGCCAGGCCCGGATAAGCCGCATCGCTATGAGGGGTAACAAATACGGTAGATATCTAAATAAAAACATGCATTACCGGGCGTGTGAGTCTCTATTCCCGACAGTCAAACTAATATCCATTACTTGCTCATGAGTCCTCCTATCACCACCAATATGGATTTGGTAGCGTTGAGACAGGCACTACCAGCCTTCTTGTGGGGTGTGTTTGTTTTCGTGGCATACTTGACAGCTCAACTGCTGTGCAATGTGTTCTTTCATCCATTGCGGAATTACCCAGGACCGTCGCTGGCGAAGTTCTCTATCCTTTGGAAACTGCTCGGCAACCTTCAAGGCCGGAAAGCGCACCGGATTCACGAAGCTCATGTGCGATATGGACCAGTAGTCCGCGTGGCACCCAATGAACTATCCTTCTCGGAGCCCGCTGCCGTCAAGGAAATCTACAGCTCGAGCGCGTTCGCCAAGGAAGAACGCTTCTACTTCGCCAAGCGCATATTCCACGAGAACCACCTGCTGAGCTTCCGCGACAACAAGGCACACAGGCAGCGGCAGAAGCTGTTGCAGCGGCTTCTCCCAGGCGAGCGTCCTGGAGTTTGAGCCGAACATGTCCAGCAAGATCCAGGCCCTGCTTGACCAGCTGGCCAAGGCGCCCCAGCCAGTCGATGTCCTGCCCTGGGCACACTGGCTCGGGTTCGACACCATCTACCACCTCATGTTCGACGAAGACCCCGAGTCCGTGAGGGAGGGCCACCCGCACTGGATAATGGCCGCCATGCGCTCCTGGAGGCCGACCTTCATCTACAAGGAGCTCTTCCCGCCGCTCGAGCGGCTCGGGCCCTATGTGCCGGGCTACATCGGCGGCTACTTCCGGGCCGTGCAGAGGTGGAAGGCCTTCGCCGTCGACGTCATCAGGAGCTGCCGCGTGCGCGGCACAAAGACATCGTTCCTGACCAACGCCCTCGCCGGCGAGGACTCCGCCCTGGGCCGCCCGCTGACCGACTCGGAGCTCGCAGAGGAGTGCATGGGGGGCATGTTTGGGGGCAGCGGCACCACCGCCAACACCTTTGTCTACGTGCTCTGGGCCGTCCTGACGCGGCCCGCTGTGCAGCGCCGCCTGAGGGCCGAGCTGCTCGGGGCGTTTCCGGATCCCGGGGTTGGCGTGCCGGGCGCCACTGAGTGTGCTAGACTGCCGTACCTCCAAGCCGTCATCAGTGAGACGCTCAGGAGGTATCCGACCATCATCGCTACCCTGCCGCGTGTTGCTGTCCAGGATGCGCTTGTGGCTGGAGTGAGGGTGCGCAAGGGAGTCAGTGTTCTCACAATGCACGTGTGATTCAAGCTCTGGGGCTAACCTCAATGTCAGACTGTGGTTGGAGTGCAGAACTACACGGTCCACCGCAACGAAGCGGCATTTCTGGAACCGGAGGCATTCGTCCCGGAGAGATGGCTGGATCCCAACGGCGAGGACCTGCGCAAGGCGGCCTTCAACGCGTTCTCCGTCGGGCAGCGTTCTTGCATCGGTATCAAGTAAGTGCCCACCTGCACTGTGAGCGGATGAACTTTGGCAGGAGGCTAACAGTGCTGTAGTATCGCCAGGATGGAGCTCAGCAAGCTTGTCGCCGCATTCTTTCTCCGGTTCGACGCGGAAGTGGACCCGTTGATGACAGCGGAAGGCATGGAGATGTTTGACCAGTTCAGTGCGAGCCCGGTCGGTGGCCGATTGTTGATCAGGGTTCAGGAGCGCGTGTAGTCTTCCAGGTTTGGCACAACAACGCATTGACAGCGCATCAAGTTTGACCTTCGCGTTGAAGCAGTGGAGATGGCATGGGGACGCGAGATCCAAACGGCCCCTCCTCCTCTATTTCTTTCGCCAGATATAAAAGTAGTCCCGAAGCCCCCAATTTGACGGCAACAAAGGGAATATACTTATCCTCCCTTATGTAAGCAGACCCAAAATGACATGTTCTGAGTCCTTTGGTTTCGGTTGAGTTCTAATATGGCGACATCAACGAGCTAGAAGACTATTGCATTGAAAAAGTCTACATATGTACTTTGTCTTTTGTACACCTGACTGCTATTCTGCAAACCCCGGCTAATCGCATATTTCTCTCTCCAAAACCGGCGCTAGCAACCAACGGACCAAAGGCCATGGTTAGTCATGCAGGATGAGACATCAACCAACCAACTTGTGATGATTGAAAACAGGCCCAGCACCTCAAGACGTCCCCGGCCTTTGCCGGTAGCTACACTTCTTACTTTTTATTTTCTTGTGGCCAACATACAAGCGTCGATATGGCACCAATTAACCTCAGCTCAGCGTTTGCGACGGCCTTGTGCGGAGTTGTGGCAGTCTGCGTGTTTCTCTGGAGTCTTCTGCACCTCACGCATGGCAAAGATGAGCCTCCCATGGTCTCTACCTCTATTCCATTCGTCAGCCCCATACTAGGCAGTAAGTCTCTGGGGGACGGGGATGCCTTACTCAATCGGCTCGAGTATCAGTGGTTATGTTGGATGGGGCCCTGAGGCCCAATTTGCTACGAAGTGGTGTTGCGGACTTGAGGGCTTTTGCTCCCTTCACCGATTCCTCGTTCACGAAGGAGTGGTAATCAGAAATGAGTGACCTCATTCACTAACAGTGAAACAGTGGTCGAATGGAGTAAGGACTTTTACGTGCACATGCGGGAGCAACACCGAAATCTGCCCATCTACACCCTCAGGTTACCCGGGGTCCGCCTTTACGTGATCAACTCGTTGGATCTCATCCCCGTGGTGCAGCGCCAGTGGCGCACACTGATATCCGCACCGATACAAGTGAAAGCTGCCAAGGTGGCCATGGGTGCAAGCAAGGAAGCCCTCGCCATCATGGAAAGTGACATGGTGACCGAAAAAGGCTTCATGAGCGGAATGGTCAAGGCCACCCACCCCACCATGAGCAACGGGCCGCCATTGGACGCTCTGAATAACGATGCGTTTGAGGTCTTTGACAAGGCACTAAAGCACTTATCTTCGCCCACGACCCTCAGTATGTACGATTGGATCAGCAGACTGGTCATGCGCGCGACAACAGAGGCGATATATGGGCCGTCTAACCCGATGAGAGACAGCCGTAGCCTCGATGCCTGGTCGTAAGTCTCGCAGTTCAAAATAATGTTTTTTACCTATTCTCTAAACTTTTTGCAGCAAATTTCACCCATCGCTGATGTACATCATGCTGGACATCCTGCCACAAAGCATCTTCTTCGGGCCAGCCATGGAAGCCCGGGAGCGTATGGTTAAGGCATTCACGAAATACTACACCGAAGGCAGCTACAAGCAAGGCTCCGCCTACATCCAAGAGTTCATAGAGCACTGCATCAGCCAGGAGATACCAGAAGACGACATACCGCGCCTCCTGGTGGGCACCGTCTTCAACAACGTCGCCAACACAATCCCCTCCGCCTTCTGGGTGATCTACCGCATCTTCAGCGACCCGGACGCCCTGGAGGAATGCAGGCGGGAAGTCAGCCAGGCGGTGCGGGCCGGCGACGAGAACGGGACCGCGGAGTCGGTCCTCGACCTCAGCCTCGTCTTGGCCTCGTGCCCGACCCTCCTCTCCACCTACCACGAGGTCTTCCGCCACCACGGCATGGCCAACTCGGTCCGCGTCGTCCGCGAGGACTGCTCGCTGGACGACAGGTACCGCCTCCGCAAGGGCGGGCTGGTGATGATGTCGGCCCGGGCGCAGCACAGTAACCCCGACGTGTGGGGCCCGGACGTGGACGACTTTCGCCACGGGCGCTTCCTCAAGCAGCAGGGTCAGCCGCGGCCGAACCCCGTTGCGTTCCGGGGTTTTGGGGGTGGCACGACGCTGTGTCCTGGCCGACACTTCGCCACGAGTGAGATCCTGCTCCTGGCGGCGCTGCTGCTGCTTCGCTTCGATGTTCGGCCGGCTGCGGGAGAGTGGGTTGTTCCATCGACTGCGAAGTCTTCGCAGGCTGAGGCTGTGGAGCAGCCTGATGAAGATGTCGAGGTCGTGTTTGTGCCGAGGCCCGAGGTGGCTGGGAGGACATGGCGTATAGAGTGCTCTGGGCGCCGGGATGCTGAGCTCTTGGTTCAGAAATGATCAGGTGTTTTGCTGAATGATCTCCGTGCTTCCGTGGTCCCGAGGAATCATTATGAGGACGAACAACCGGAAACTACACTGATGCCCAAAGTCTTGAAGCTGCCTTCTCGTACTTCTCAGACATCATCCCCTAAAATGAGTTCCGATGGGAAATAGAAATCTATATTAAAAGCACAGTGCAATGAAACTGTCTACTCCAACATTTTCTCTACCGTTGCGCCTCCAACCTGTCTCGTCCATAAGTCGTTATACCTTCCTCCCAGCGCAATTAGTTCCTGATGCGTTCCGCGCTCGGCCACCTCGCCGTTATGCAGGACAACAATCTCGTCCGCGTGCACGACCGTCGAAAGCCTATGCGCAATGACGAACGTCGTCCTCCCATTCCTCAACTTGTCCAAAGCCCCCTGGATGCTAGCCTCGGTCATCGTGTCGACCGCGCTGGTCGCCTCGTCCAGGATGATGACCTTAGGGTCCTTGAGGAACACCCTCGCGATCGCGAGGCGCTGGATCTCGCCGCCCGACAGCTTGACGCCCTGCTCGCCGACGCGGCTCTCGTACCCGTCCGCGAACGTGAGGATCCGGTCGTGGATGGCGGCGGCGCGGCACGCCTCGAAGATCTCCGCGTCCGTCGCGGCCGGCCGCGCGTACCGCAGGTTCTCCATGACGGTGGCGTTGAAGAGCAGCGGGTCCTGCGGGACGACCCCGAGTGCATCCCGCAGCGAGCTGAGCGTCACGTCGCGGATGTCGTGCCCGTCGATGGCGATGCGCCCGGACGTGACGTCGTAGAAGCGGAGCAGGAGCTTCATGGTCGAGGACTTGCCGGCGCCCGTCTCGCCGACCAGGGCGATGGTCTGCCCCGGGGCGGCGGAGACGCTCAGGTCCCGCACCGTCGGCCTCCTGGGGTCGTAGGAGAACCCGACGTTCTCGAATGCGACGTGGCCCTTGACGTTGGGCAGTTCCATGGCGTCCTCCTTTTCGACGATTGTCGACTTGGTCTGCAGCAGGCCGAGCAGCCTCTCTGCATCGACCAGATCCGTCATCAGATATCGGTAATTGTGAGCGAGGAACTTCATCGGCCAGATGAGACTCTCCCAGTACTGGATGAAGAACACAAAGTCGCCAGGGGTAGCTCGCCCGGTGGAGATCTCGTACAGGATCAGACTGGAGATGGTGAAGAACGTGATCGGTACTGTCAACTCGAGCAGCGCCTGGACAAAGGCATCGCGGACGGCATACTTGCGACTAGCATCAAGCTGGAAGTCCACGGCCCGCCCGAAGCGCCGGCTCTCGAAGCTGAACATGTTGAAATAGCTGACGGTCTGCCAGCCCTGGACGGCCTGGTGCAGTGCCCGCGCTTCTTCCCTCTCGGCCTTGCTCGACACGCGGCGGTTTTCGATGTTGACGCTCGAAGTGTAGACCTCCATCGACATAAAGGCTCCTGTAGCTATGAGCATGGTGAGGGCGACATAGACGTTGAACTTGGTGTACAGCATCCAGACGGCGAGAAAGAGGTCCAAGACCGTGGGCAGGATGTCGAGAAGTGCGGTCTCAAGGAGGTTGGCTAACGACTCTCCCTGCTCGATGGTCTTCATGACCTCTGCAGAATCTCTCTCGGAGTGAAACTCCATAGAGAGACTCATGACGTGGTTGAAAGCTGCATTGGTGAGCTGCCGATATGAGTACTGCTTGATTGGGATCTTGGCGAGGTCTCTAACCAGACCCAACCCCGCGTCGTCGTTAATGAGCACGAGAAGTAGCCACACGAATAGGGCACCATAAGGTTCCTGCTTGTCAAGTATCAAGTTGGTGACGACGCCGAGTTGGGCCGGGATCAAGATGTTGAGCGCTCTTTGACCAGCGAGACAGGCGAAACAAAGGAAAATGGAAAATTGAACCTTGCGATCCTTCTTGGGCATTATGTAGGGGATGAAGATGGAAAAGTCTTTGAGATAGCCAAGCCAGCCGCCAGCCTCTTGAAGACGTTTCGCTCGTCGTCGCTTGACGCTGGCTGCATCATCTTCGTCGTCATCGTCGCTATCGTCACTGCAATTGCCAGGGGTGTCCTGACTGGCAACCTCAGTGTCGGTGTCGTCATGGAACGGCACACTGCCATATCCGTTCTCGCCAGTCTCGGACTGCGCACGAAGAAAAGGTTGGCTTTCCTCCGCATCAGGCTGCTGTCGTGTCGCAAACTGCCGGCTGAAGTCCGCGAGCACCAAAAGCAAAATCGCTGAAAGTCTGGCCGCTTGGGCGCAAAAGTTGGCGACTGTCCAAGGCGTTGAGAACCCATTCAGAGCGGCAAGAACGAGCAACGGGATTTCGAAAAGGAAAGTGATGACTGAGGCTCCCCAAAGGAGATATCGGGAGTGATTTGACGCAATCCAAACGCTGGACCAGGCAATCAAAGAGAGAACGAGATGAACGGCGTCCGGTGTTTGACTGCCGAGAGCATTGCCCTCGAATCCGGCGATTATGACTTCACCAAGATACGTTGTGATAATACTCAGAAGTAAAAATGTGAGTGGTGTTGACTGGTGGCGCACCGGTGCTGGCGTACAAGTCTCCGCCTTGGCTTTGCTGCTTCGTCGAAAGCACGCCGAGACAGACAACAGGCAGAAGAGACTCAAGGCGCAGCCGTAGTGAAGGGCTTGGCAAGCCTCGAGGCGGGTGACCATGTTGCTGGGCGTTTGAAAGCCGGAGATGACAATCGATTATGAGAGAACCTCTCTCTGGCAGCACATAGTCCCATCGTCACGCCCACGTATTTAAGCATCTGTGACCGGGTACATAGGATCGGCACTTTTTGTTGGAGTTCAAAATTCGGTTGCAGCCGATGTCATTCTCGGGTGCTTAAACTGCGAAGATCTGACTCATGCCGGGGCTAGTCATCCGCTGGGGCCAATCTTAATGCAGACTGCGGACTGCGGCTGATTCTGTAGGGGCTCTTTGCACTGCACTACCGCATAATAACGGCTTCTGACATATCGTGGGGGAGACTGGTACCCGAGAAAGCTCGACATGTGGGTAAGGGCACATCAAACAAGCCTTGTGGATCATTAAACATTGAACACAGCCCAGTTCTACCGTCGATGTCACCGCGATGACTCACTCTGGACTCCCTGCCCAGGAGAAGAGCTCTTCGCAAAGCCGCGAATAACAAAATTGAAAAATTTCCGAAATGCGCCCAGACTACTCGTCTGACATAGGGCACCTGCTGCGCCACTGATGTTAAGAAGCCTGCGCCAGGCTCAACCGCCGGGTTGCAGTCAACGGCTTCGGTCACCCTATCCACAGTGAGACCGGGTAAAAGAATAACCGTGAGGTTCACACCGCCAACAAATGGCATTGATGAGGATGATGACCATCTTACAAGTAATCATCTAGGTAGACTCATCTACTCACCCCACAAGACTTAATTCCACACAACTAGATCCCCTATACTACTTCTACTAGGAGTCAGAGCCTTCAACACCGCATTCTTCTCTTAATGCACGACACATTCATAGACATGACTCACTTCTCTTCAACATATTCAGGCATAGGAACTTCGCCACCGGCGTCCTCAAGCCCCAGCGAGACCGACAGCTGAATACCCTGCGACGTGCTCACACGCAGAACAGTCAAGGGCTTGGTCGTGTCAGACGCCCGGGTCGATACGGCGCGCACGATCCCCGAGATGACGCTGAGGTGGGCACTTGTGATGACGCTGTCATAGAAACCCGGGGAAGAGTGCGGAGATAAGGAGAATGAACTTGCACATCGCAGCACCAAGCGCACACAGACTTGATGCCCTCAGATATCTCTGCGCTGCTCGATTTGTCGGTGCAACTTGTGTCAGTCCAGGTGCGTCGCAAGCGCCTTTCGATTGCCTTGATGTAGATTGCTCCATCTCATGGTATTCAGTCTTTGTTCGGGTTGCCGTGGGATCATTCTCAATGTCCTGAAAGCTGACTTCGTCAGACAGTAGACTCCATTTGCGTGAGAGGATAGAGTCGTCAGGTGAGTCCATACACAGTACTTTAGCTTGATGGTGGTAGCACCGTCAGCCGCATCCTCGGTCTTCAACCGCCACTTTATGCATGGCAGGTGTGGCGGTGAATGGGGGGTACAGTGAATGTAGGGAACGCACGCAGTACTTACATCGGTGCTGTCTGGACCCCTTCTGCACTCAGAACTTAGCCATACGCCCACTTCGTATACAAAAAATCACATATTTATCAGACCCAGTCTTTCCTGCCACAGCAGGACCTAGAAAGAACTTGAAGCTTCGGAAGAACAGATTTTGTTTAATATTCATAGGCGAAGTTGATGAGTAGACTTCTAAGGAAAGCAAGACTAGGGGATTCAATGGCTAGATGACTTTACTGCTGCTGACATCCTCCCTGCATTTTTGTAAAATAATTTAACACTAAAACGTCGCTTGTCTCCACTCCGTGCCTGGGTTGGCATTTGGGCAAAGAAAAAACGAAGAGCAGAAGTTGCCAAGTCCAGGAATTGGACAAGGCACCTTCGAGGTGTTCTTGCATACTGTAGACCTAGCGATTAGCTTCCTAGGCGACCGCAGCCCGAAACAGTTGCACCAGAAACACCTCCTGGCCAGATTGCTCGAATGTTGAAAATTCTATGGTTTGCTTACCTGTAGAGGGGACGAGTTTGGTTTAGGGGGGGGCGGATGGTCAGCTGACCATCAGTGAATATACTCTGAAGTTGCGTGACGCTCACAATGGTGCAGCAGATTCATCATATGCCGTCGAACCAGCTGGAACCCCATAATCCACTAATACCCACAAGTTCTTGCCTCCGAACGTGCATGACTCCGTTTCCATATCAGCTGGCCACGCTACTGTATGCGCGCGGTTGTCATCCATGCTACCTAATCCGCGCTCCGCTAAGCAGAAGCTGAATCCTCCATGCAGCAATGTGAAGCCCAGATTAGCCTATGCATTTAGTATACTCCACACTATACAGCTGGCAGCTGCCAAGTTCGTGTCTGCACGTTGTCAGGATTTTTGCCGGGTCGCGTCGAGCGGTTAGGACCTGTAGACAACGGGCTGCTAGCAGCACCGTAACACGGGCACATGCTGTCAGCCGGAGACGGTCGGGGAGACCAATGGCAATTTTTGCGAATGATTAAAAAAACCGGTTGTGTAAGTGCAAAATGCATTGCAGGGTGCGGATAGGATGTGCCGTGTCACTTAGGGTAAGTTTGACGCTCAATGAGGGCGTGATATGACGTCTGCCGCATGCTGACTTGGGAGACTAGCTGCAGTCAGACTTGGAAAGGCTCCTGAATAGTTCGAGGCCTGGATCAGAAAGTCGTTTGGAATTTGGTACTCGTATATGAGGGTGCATATTAGCGAGAAGTGTATCCACGGTATTGGTGCAATGTGTGACGCCAGAGGATCCCCTTCTCCTGGCCAAGAGAGACTATTCTACTTAAAATCGGATCACCCGGAGCATTCGTCTCGTTGCTGCGCCCAGGACGTCGGCTCTGAATGAAGACTAGGGCATGCGCTGTCCGGATAGAGCTGTTGACATCGTGAGGTCCAGAGAAGGATAAATAGTGTTCACTTCTCCCAAAGGTCCTGCGGGCACTGTCCCCTTTTGATTCAGTGTATTGAACGCAGACCCATGATGTTGCCACTCTTGATCTCCTCAATTATCCTCGCCTTGGCTCGCTCGGCCTTGGCTGACACCTGCTCGTCCGTGGAAGCCCTCCGCTACATCAGCGTAACCCGCTCCCTTGACCTCGCTTACATTGAAGAGCAATCCCAATACTGGTCCACGTCATGCTCAGCTCTGCAGCCTTCTTGCATCATCTTTCCCAAGTCATCGGAGGAGGTCTCCACCGTTGTGAAGATCCTTGCGAACACGACCGAAAAGTTCGCCGTCAAAAGTGGCGGGCACAATCCCAACAACGGCTTCTCGAGTGTGCAAGGTGGGCCCTTGATCGTCACCGAGCATCTTGACCAAGCGAGTGTGAATCAAGACACTGGTGTCATTGACGTAGGGCCGGGCAACCGACTGGATGGAATTGCAGCGAAGTTGCAAGGGAGTGGATGGACGTTCGTTGGTGGTAGAATCGGGAACACCGGCGTAGGTGGGCTCGTGCTTGGTGGTGGATTGTCCTACATGTCGGCACAGTACGGATGGGCGGCAAGCCAGGTCCTTGAGTACGAAATCGTCTTCGCCAATGGGACTATTGGCCATGTCAATAATGACAACCACCCCGATCTATTCAAGGTAAGATCGATCCATCCCCTGGGGCCCGACAGTATGCTAAGTTCTTTCGTACAGGCCTTGAAAGGGGGCGGGAACAACTTTGGCATTATCACAAACTACAGGTCAGTTTTCATATATGTACGAGATGGCGTGCAGGGGCTTACCACGTGCTTAGGTTGCAAGGGCAACGTCAAGGAAACGTGTGGGGCGGCAATCTGGTGTACTTGAGGACAACGGAGAAAGACAAGAAGCTTCTCCAAGCAGTACGTGATTTTACCGAGTACAACGACGACCCCAGGGCTGCTGTCATCGTGACCGCAGAGCGCACCAATGTCGACGTAGTGGACTCATGGATCATCTTCCTCTTCTACGATGGCCCGTCTCCTCCAGCAGGCAAGTTCGACAACTTCACCGACGCCAACCCGCTGATGGACACCACGCGAGAGCGCACATACGCCGATCTGATGGCCTCGAGCAACTGGGTTGTCCTGAAAGGAGTGGTGGTGGACATTGCCACGGAAACGATCCCGCTCCCCAGGGCTGAAGATGACGTCAAGGTGATGGAGGAGTTACACAACCACTGGAGGAACGTCACTGAGACTACGCTGCTTGAGCCTGGCATCGTCGCGTCCATTGCGTGGCAACCGTTTCCCAAAGCCATCGCCAGGGAAGCTCGTGCGCGCAGTCCCGATCTCATCGACGCGGATGACTCCGTTGATCGAATCATCATCGAGATGAATTACGCCTTCGCCCTCCAATCGAGCTACGATAGAATGGCCGACACGATGGAGGCAACGTACGGAGGCGTCCGGGAGCGAGTGCTGGGCTGGAAGGAGGATAGGACACTTTCAGAAAGTTATGATCCTGTGTTCATGAACTATGGCTTCTTCCGCCAAGACTACTTTGGGAGGCTGAAGCCAGAGAACAGGGCGCTGGCGAAAAGGGTGCAAGAGGAAGTAGACCCAGGTGGGCTCTTCCGGACCAGGACCGGTGGATGGAGGCCCTAATTGTTGTGCCTTTTGTCTTCGACTTTCAACTTCATTTCGCCAAGTCAAGTCGTGGAGGAGAACTACCACAGTCGACAAGCTTGCTAAAGCGAATCCAGTTGTCTCTACAGTTAGCCCCAGATTAGCGGGCAGAAAGAGTGCCTTAGCAACCAACTGAGCAGGATCCACAGCTGTCTGTGCACGAAATATCAGAAGTTACTCCAAAGAATTGAGAGAGCGCTTAGGCTTCTGGTGACTTTGGTTGCGTGTGGACGGAAGGCGGCGCGTGACAAGCTGGATGCTATAGGATATATGATCACGTCACACCAAGTACCTATACAATCCCCCGACCCTTTCTGGACCCAGTGAGACCAACATTCAACCCAATTGCAAAAGGCAAAAACGCTTGCCCTCAATGCTCCTACGTGCCCACGTGGACGCTTGCTAGAGCTTAGAGAGCCGCTATCCAAGCCCATTCAAGAACATAATGTCGACCAGCACAGGATTGAATCCAGAATCGGCGCTTAACACCCGCAGCAATTGATGCCCTGGGCCGCGTCGGCGCAGTCGTTGAGGCAAATAGCATAGGCTGTCTCGCCGTAGACCTGCTCTTGGATGCAGGTGGCGGTGCACTCTCCCTCGGCCACCCCGACGCAATCAGCGTAGGTGCCATCTCCGTAGCTAGGCGGAATTTTTAGTCATGCGTCAGATAGACTAGAAAGATGAAACTCTGCAAACTTTTCTATACTACAGCCTAAAACATCAACCCAGTGAACGTTTGGAAGTAGGCTATAGACGGGGAGTGAGGAATGGCAAGTCTGCTCCTGGCAGCGCGGGACACAGGACACCAATTGGGGAGCTTGAGAAACAGCCTGGGCTCGATTCGAAGGGAGCCAACGCCGAGGAGGGTGTCGGTACTATATCGATTGACAATGCCGGCGTTGCTGCGCCTATGAGTACTTTACACATTTTGTTGATGCACGAAGGTATGGTTGCGATGGTGACAGCCAAGGAAACCAAGTCTGGAGAGATTCTTCTATTGGAGCGCTTGGAGGCGGATCTGATTAATTACCTGCACGTGTTTACGTGCCCCCTCCCATCTTGAATGTTAGATGCGATAGTCTGATTATTTGGAGAAATAGTTGACAGGTGGAATACTTAACTCACTTATCACCGTCGTACTCAAAAGGTCAATAGCATTAGCAATTTGAGAATGCGAACACGATAGATCCGGGTAATTCAGGTCATGGGTCCGTCTACGTAGTAGTCTCTCCGCATTCTCAACTACCAACACAATTTAACTAGGCGGCCGAATCATGATTGCAAGTCATGCCTTGACTGTTTCTACCCTGTTGGCGGGAAATTGCTTAGGACAACTTGGCTCTACTAGTAATCCTCCGAATACCACATGCCCATTCCACATCTGTGAGTACCATTACCCACTATACAGTACAGTTTGAGCCTACAACAAGCAGCGTGCAACCAGAAAGTTACACTCTTTACCCCGCCTTCATGAGTGGAGTCGCTCTTGCGGCTAAGTCTTGCAAACGAGTAGATATCGTGACATGGCACAAATTCAAGCGTGTGTGCTCATTCTATGATCCATTGTCTAGCCACTTTCTGCGTCCCCTTACTATCCACGATTCCTCTCCTGCATCACGTTGCTTCATGTCTTGCTGATCGGGTTCCTACACGCAGGCATCTTGACTACCGCCCAAAGCATCCCGCCTATCGCCGTCCCGGAGGTAGGAGTCTCGGCATACCCTTTCGCCCTGAGTCAAGTGGCGCTGAGCAGCAGCCCCTGGACGGACAATCAAAACTGAACGCTGAACTATCTCCGATCTGTAAATGTCGATCGACTGCTGTACAACTTCAGGGCAACGCGCAAGCTCTCCACCAACAGCGCCGCGGCAAATGGTGGATGGGACGCGCCAGACTTCCCCTTCGGCTCGCATGCTCAAGGACACTATCTCACAGGCTGGTCGAACGGCTATGCGGTGTTGCGCGACACCACATGCCGAGACCGCGCGACATATTCGTGGCTGAATTGGCAAAGTGCCAGGCAAACAACGGCGCTGCGAACTTCAATGCTGGGTATCTGTCCGGGTTTCCAGAGCCAGAGTTCAATGCTCTCGAAGGTGGGACACTGAGCAACGGCAACGTGCCATACTACGCCGTTCATAAGACCATGGCTGGCCTGCTCGACGCGTGGCGCATCATTGGCGACACTAAAGCACGCGATGTCTTGCTTGCGCTCAGTGGCTGGGTCGACGAACGCACCAAGAAGCTCAGCTCTTCCCAGCTGCAAAAGATGCTGGGCACCGAGTTTGGCGGCATGAACGATGTCCTCGCAAACGTCTATCAGCTCACAGGAGACAAACGGTGGCTTACTGTTGCCCAGCACTTCGATCATGCGGCCATCTTCGACCCTCTCGCAAGCAACCAAGATCGCTTAAATGGACTTCATGCCAACACGCAGGTGCCAAAGTGGATCGGGGCTGCTCGAGAGTACAAGGCTACTGGTACCACACGCTACTTGGACATTGCACGAAACGCCTGGGACTTCACCGTCAATGCTCATACATATGCCATCGGGGGGGATAGCCAGGCAGAGCACTTCCGTCCACTCAATGCAATTGCGCAATACTTGACCACCGACACCGCTGAACACTGTAACACCTACAACATGCTTAAATTAACTCGGGATCTGTGGACCATGGACCCAACGAACATCAAATACTTCGACTTTTACGAGAGTGCGCTGATGAACCATCTCCTCGGGGCTCAAAACCCAGCGGACAGCCATGGTCACATCACTTTCTTCACACCCCTCAAACCCGGCGGAAAACGAGATGTCGGTCCAGCATGGGGCGGCGGCACCTGGAGCACCGACTACGACTCCTTCTGGTGCTGCCTGGGCACGGCTGTGGAGACCAATACCAAGCTGATGGACTCCATCTACTGGTACGACGACTCTGGAGTCTACGTGAACCTCTTCACAGCCTCGACGTTGGATTGGTCGCAGCGCAGTGTCAAGATCACCCAGTCGACGACATACCCCGTCAGTGACACAAGTACACTGCAGGTGACCGGCACGGGAGACTGGACCATGCGCATCCGCATCCCGCAGTGGGCTTCCGGCGCAACAATCACGGTGAACGGGCAAGCAGCAGGCGTCGAAGCCAAGCCCGGGAGCTATGCGGTCCTCAAGCGCAAGTGGCAGTCAGGTGACATCGTCACCGTGAAGCTGCCGATGAAGCTGAGAACGGTGCCTGCTGCTGACAACGCGGGCATCGCTGCTGTGGCCTATGGGCCGGTGATCTTGAGTGGCAACTATGGGACCTCGTCTCTTACCGCATCGCCAAAGCTGGACTCAAGTTCAGTTCGTCGCACCGGTACTTCTAGTCTCGCCTTCACAGCAACGGCGGATGGCAAGGCGGTCAACCTGGGTCCTTTCTATGACGCGCAAGGCTTCAATTATAATGTTTACTGGGCGACTACTGGCTCATTTCCCGCCTCCAAGTAGTATTAGTACAGTCTGAGTTTATTATCACGCCTTCGAGCACTGCTGACGGAACTAAATATTGACTGACAAGAGGACTCGAGAGCGGCCCGAAGGCTGCTGGCAAGCGCTGTGTAACTACCATGTGTGGATCTATTGGCCCTGACTCGTGACATTCATACTTCGTTCACTGATCTTCTTCTTGTTTGGTATAGCACAGCACATTACACAGGATTTGCTGATCGTTATCAGATGTAGTTGTGTAAAAGAAAGGAGAGGAAGCTGCACCTGCAGGCGCCTGCTGTCTTGAATGCGGGCTGGTGGGCCTTGCGCTCATATTGTCCCATCTGATGGAATTCGATCTAATCTGATCTGATCCAATCAGGCCTTCCTCTGCTGCAGTCGTCGTTAGACTTCCACACTGCTTAATTGAACACTTCCTTATAGAGAAGAAAATCTTGAAATCCGGGGTTTTGCTTCCTCATGCCCTGATGAAGGTCTTGAGAGTCGAGGGCATTGTGGCTGGGGTGACCCGTGCGCCACGCCTGCCGCTGAACTCAACTTCAAGCCACACCCAGCCCAGTGTGCTGTAATATTAATTGGATTAAAGTTTCGCTCTACACTTTTTCGAGCCCCTCCTCTAAGAGATCAGCCTTTGAAGAGCAGCACCCCCTACTGCAGGACATGCTTGCTCAAACCTCACCGGCCCTCATCATGTTCACTTGGTTTTTTTCTTTTTGTCCTCCTCGCAGCGCTTATGTTTCTCCAACGCCAAGACCTGTCACGACCAGGATCCTGCTCGACCGTTCGTGTATTGCCTCTCGCTTGTCCTGGCTTGGTTTCCGTCCTGTGTCGTGGTTCTGTAACGTGCTTGATACTAGCGCCACTCCGGGCCAAGGCCTGCCAGTGACACACAGATCCGAGGGCCAGGTTGGCGCCCCAAGGGGGTCGAGGGCTGGGGATGTCGAGGCCCAGGTCCAGGTCCCAGGTCCACCAGCGACGGCCCATTGCCCCGGATGGCTGGGCCCGCAACCTAACCAACTAGTCTATTAACCGGGCCATTCCTTATTTTGCTCCCCTGCTGGCTCCTGGTGCTGCTGCTCGTGTGCGTTTGAGACCGCAGCCTACATGCCTTATCCGGCTGTTTCAAGCACCTTATCGCTCCTCCGCATCGATTGATGAAACATCCAAGCGGCGGCGTCTCATTCGGCATTGGGTTCGCAATAAGGTAGGGTAGCTTTCTCGGAAGAAGATGAAGAGCTTGCTTATTTGGCGCAATGGCCCTTTGGTTCTCCGTCTCATTCAGTGGCCACTCTGTCCGTGAATGATCCCACAGGTCATGATTTCTCCTTCCTGGCAAAGTGAAGTTGGAACTTGATCTATTATGAACCGCGATTAATATTTTACTTCATTCATTGACCTTCACTTCTTGTCCATACTGCCTCTACATCGTGAGCCTCGATACTAAACGGCATCATGACTCTACTCGGGTGGCTTGCGCTATGCGTAGCGCCCGTGGTGTTCGCCCACGAGGTCTCTTCGCCCCTACACAAAGCCGGCCTTTGTCACTCACCATTATCACGCTCATTCCCACTGCTTTCCACCCCGGTATGCTCCAACGACACGCTCATCACCAAGTACCTCCCGGGGGACAGCCACAGCCCAGCCAACCGGGCATGGACGAGAGCGTCGTCATGCACGGCCAACGGCACGGCGGAGTACTGCATCTTCGTGAGCTCGACCTTCGCCAACGGCCGGGGCATAGCTGTTCTCACAAGCCCCGACCGGGCAGACTACATCTCGAACCTCCCCGGCTTTACGGATCCTGAGGTTCTGGCGCACGAGAACCGGGACGAGGACCCGGAGCTGTCCAAGTTCAAGATGGTGCACGTCCCCGGCAAGGACATGGGCGTGGTGGCGACGCAGCCGTTCCAGCGCGGCGACCACATCATGACCTTCACGCCGGCCATCATCATCGACTACGCCATGTTCGACGACCTGCCCGAGGCGGACATGCACCGCCTGCAGGCCGAGGCCATCGACTACCTGCCGTCGGACCTGCGCGGGCGGTTCCTGAACCTGTCGACCCACGACGGCGCGAGCGGCCACATCGAGAGGGTGGACAAGATCCTGCGGACGAATGCTTTCGATGTGGATGTTGATGACGAGAACAACAATGGGCTCTACGTGGTGTTCCCTGAAAGTCGGTTATAAACTCTCCAATCCAGTCTCCCAATGCCGTGACTGACCAGAGAACACAGTTTCCCGGTTCAACCATGACTGCCGGCCGAATGCAGATTACTACTTTGACCCAGACACGCTGGCGCAGCACATACACGCTACACGGCCCATCCAGATCGGGGAGGAGATCAGTCTCACATACATGGAGTAAGTAGCCTCCAGACCAAAATATGGGCAGACATGGCTCTCGTCACGGCTGCGACTAACGAGTGACACCCACAGTCCCATCCGCACACGGGCCAAGCGGCAGGAGAAGCTCTCGCACGTGTGGGGATTCCGGTGCGGGTGCTCGCTGTGCACGCAGCGGTCCGACATGACGACGGCTTCGGACGAGCGGATCCGGCAGATCAAGCGGATCCGGCGGCAGCTGGAGAACTACGAGGCCGGGTCGTCGGCGACACCTGAGATGGCGGACCTGTTTGTCAGCCTGTACGAGCAGGAGCGGCTCAGCGGCAGCATCTACGAGGCGTACACGTTCGCGGCCATCGAGTGGAACGGCGCGGGCGAGCCGTGGAAGGCGATGCGCTATGCGCGGCTGGCCATCGAGACAGGGCTCGCCAGCGCGGGTCCCAAGGACAGGGACGTCAATGAGATGATCAGGCTGGCTGATAACCCCTGGGCTCACTGGAGCTGGATGCTTCGGACGAGTAAGAGGATGAGCTGGGGCGCGATGAGGCCAATTGGGGGCGGCATCAGTCCGGCCGACGACGAGGACGACGATGTGTAGGCTAGACGCTCGCTGAGTGGCTGTCTGTTCTGTTTTGGTTGGTCTTGTTAATCTGGAGTTGGCGTTTGACAGTCAGTGATTGATAGCGATTGACAGCGAACGCACGAGTGAGGGAATGCCCAGACAGTCTCTGGCCTCTGGCCTCTGGTCTCTGGTGCAATGTGCAGCTGGTGTCGTGTCAGCTCAAATGTTTCAAGCCGAAACCACCCAGCCAGACGGGTGGTGAAGGTCCTTCCTGTGTTGGGATGGCGTCATAGAAGCTACCGGGTCCCACCTGCTTGCCCAGCCCACTCCTGCTTCCTCTACCGGTACTGTGGAGAGCTGCCTGCCTGCCCCACCAAAGAACCTCGAAACTCCCTCCAGGGAGGGTCCAGCTCACTGCGGGGTTGCCATCTGCATCGCACATGTGGTCGCTTGTGTATCTTCCAGACCAGACCAGCCCAGGCCAGCCAAGCCAAGCACCTAGCATCGACTGTCTGGCACCCAGCACCAAGCAAGCCTGCAACAAGCATCTCATCCCATCTCGTCTCATCCAGCCCCGGGTTCCTCACGCTCACTGTAACGGTACCCATCTCCAGTCCGACTCTCCTGTCTTTGCGTCAAAAGGCCCTGCACTCAACTCACCTGATTGCACACTTGTCGACCTGACTGCGCATCCCCAACGCTGCTCGCCATGGGAGACACTGCAAAGGCTATCCAGGCGCTCAAGGAGTCGCGGCCCCCAGCAACAGACAACTTCACCTACCTCACTCTGATCGAGCAGTTCCTCTCGCCAGAAATCCTGCCCACCCTCAACGAGATCCTGCAAGATGCAAGTCTCACCTCGGAGATCGGCTGGGACCTTGTCGACAAGCTGGCCCCCGTGCAGGGGTCGGAGCAGGTCCTCGAGACTGTCGCCCGCCTCGGCAACCCACGCGAGTGCATCATCAAGGTCCTCGAGGTCCTGGAGGCCTTGCAGGTGCCTGCAGAGAAGGAAACTCCTGAGGACCTGACCCTGGACGACGGCGACGAGGCCAAGGGGAAGCAACAGCCCATCTCCATAGAAGAGGCAAACCGCCGCTTCATCACCCTGCTGGGCATGCTCGCCATCCTCCACAAGCGCATCAAGACAAAGTACCCCTCGCGCTTCCTCGCCTCCAGCCTGCTCACCATCTATAAGACCTATCAGCCCAACCAGGAGCAGACTGCCTCCATCCTGAACCTCGTCCACTCCCTGTCCGGCCAGAGGGCACGCCCGCCCCTGCCTGAGAGGAAGTCCAGCGTCAATGTTGCCAACCCGGACCATGACGGTGACGCATCCAAGAATGCCCCGGATCCCGAGGCCGACCATGAGGGAGACTCATCCGACGAGGATGAGATTCAGAGACGCCTGTTACTATCCTTTACGAGTTGCGTGCTTGAGTCGTATGTTGGTGCCAACGACATGTCCTGGTCGAGGAGGCTACTGGAGTTCTACAACCCAGACAAGATAGTCCCCGGTAGGAAAACAGCCACGCAAGCCTTTAGGGACGACCAGAAGCTGGCAAACAGGGACGCCATGGTCGGAAAGCTGGTGGTGAGTGGTTGACCGACTGGTTTCCTTTGCAAACTCATTCTCGGAGCGTCTTGCTCACACTTCTCACCAGGCACTCACACGGGATCTTGGCCTATCCAAGTGTCCCAGGTCCATCATTCATGACATCTGCAACGAGCCGGTCAACAGAACACCCCTGACAAACATAGAAGAGGCGTCCAACGCAACGGACATTGACCTCTCAACCGGCGGCATGATATGTCTGATGGCCTACTGGGTCTTCTCATCAACCGTCTTCGATGCCGACGCGCCTACGCCCGAGATGCACCTTTTCCCAGACCACCTGACGCTCCTCGAGAACTTCCTAGGCGAGACGCCCCAGTCGCAGATCCTAGAGCACCCCGCGACCATTGAGGCGATCCTGGTCGTCGGCCTCTGGCTCGAGGAGAACAAGCTCATTTCCGCGGACGCCGCCAAGGACGAGCCCAACTTCATGTCCTTCCACCACGCCCTTACTCTCTGCGCCGTCTTCCACCCGTCAATACACGTGCGCAACGCCGCCGTCACGCTGGCGGGCCTGATCCTGCACGACGACCCGGACGACGCGGACCGGCTCAAGATCCTCGAGGACCTGCTGGAGAACGCGCCCTTCGCCTCGCTCAAGGCCTGCGCGCTGACGTGGCTGCGCGAGGAGCTCATCAGCGCGCACAAGGCCTCCACCGAGGCCAAGGAGCGCGGCGGCAGTGCCAGTGGCAGTGCCAGCCAGCAAGGCAACGTCTTCGCGACAACGCAGTGCATAGAGCAGCTGCAGTACGCCATCTTCCCGAACCTGGTGTCGGCGCTCGAAAAGGCCGGCACGGAGGCGCTGCTCGAGTACTGGACCGAGAACTCGGCGTTCCTGATCCAGGCGGCCAACTTCGCCTACTTCCTGTTTGCGTCTGACACATGCAAGGAGGTTGTCCCCGGGGCCATGGGCGCGGCGGTCGAGCAGCGGTACGTCGAGCCGCTTTTGGCCGCTGCAGGGAAGCTGGAGGAGCGGATAAAGAACGACGGCGACGGCAACGACGACCAGGGCGGGCAGGCATTGCTGCTGGAGCTGGATATCCTGCAGACGAGACTCAAGGGCCTGCCGCTCCATTAGGTACGGGGCGGAGGGGATGAATCATCAGTTCTTGTAAACAAGACACGGTAGATTGGGCAGGCGCCCTCGTGGGCAAAGATCTTGGAGTGTGGGGGGCTTTACAGACCGTGGGTTTAAGATGGTGGGTGGGGGGCGCAAGGAGCATCACGGTTTAACTTCCATTCAGATAGGTCGCGCGGCAGCATTTACCAGTGTGGGCGACATGAAATAATTCAAGAGTAGCAGATGTATTATAGAATACAAGCATCAAAACAACGCCCATAACGCCTCTCGCTGCGCCATGCCATGCGTCCCGCCCATGAATCAACCAACCCGAAATGCCTCCTGAATATCCTATTTCTCCAGAATCATGTGTCCCCTCTCTCTTCCCCTTCCCTCAGTCCCGACCATCCCTCGGCCTGTCACCGCCCTCCCCCTCCGCCCTCTCAGCCGCCTTGGCCGCCCTCTCCTCCTGTCTCTTCCAATGCGCGCCTTCCTCGTAGTCCCGGCCGATCTTGAGCGCCCTCCTCAGCCTCTCGTCCTCCCGGATCTTCTGGTCCGCCATCTCGTGCACCTGGTGCATCTTGAAGCCGCCCCCGGGGCCCTTCCTCCTGTCCACCCCTGCTCCTCCTGAACCCCGCGCGCTCTCAGCCAGCAGCTTCTTCCTCAGCGCCGCGCACTTCTCGTCGATCTCGTCGTCGCCCAGCTCGCCCTCGTCCTCGAGCTCGTCCCGCAGCTCGAGCACCTTCACCTCCACCGCGCGCTTGCGGTCGTGCTCCAGGATCCCTTTATCTGGCTGTCTCTGCCGGTGCTTGGGGATGTCGGAGGCGGAGTCCCGCGGTGGGTAGGGCGCGCCGCTGTCGCGGGGCCGGATGTGGGCTAGGTTGCGCTGGACGTAGCCTGAGGTCCCGCTGCCTCGGGGGGTGGAGAGGCCTACGTTGTCGGACATTGTGGGTTGAGTTTGGAGGTTCCCCTCTTGGCTTCTTCGATTTGGCTTTTTTGTTTCGGATGGGAGGTAAGTTGTTTAGGTGGGGAGCTGGTTGGTGCTGTTCGATGTGGTGATGATGATGTTGGTTTAGAGTTGCTCTGCTCTGCTTTTGCTTTGGGGGGAATTGGGAGCCCGGCCCCGAGGCTCAAAAGATACCGATTGGCGATAGGGTGTTTTGGGCAGGCGGTGTGACGATTTGCCCCACTTCCAGGGTCCTCCGCGCCAGGGGCCTGGGATTTCAGCGGCAATTGGAGGGGCTGCCTCTGACGTTTTGCGCTGCAGGTGCTTAGAATCCTTGGCCTCCTCGGCGACTTTTATCGAGGACGACTAAGAGTCACAGAGAATTCGACTGTGAGTCAACAAAGCCCATTTCATATCTTTATCCCACAACTTCAGTCTTTTGGTTTAGTTCCAGGTCTGTTATTTATTTTGGAGACACAAGTCCCAGTCTTTTCCTGTTCTCAAGTGTGTTGTTAGGGCAGGTCTGGTTTCTGTTCGTTGCAGAGTTCGTTCTGCCCACCGGCAACAAGCCCAGACAGCAGCGTCGAGTTACAAGATGCCCGCGTTCGAGAGCCCAGAGCAACCCGCTGCGGAAGTCGCCTCCACTGCGGCTGCAGACTCAGACGTTGCCTTTCCTCCGGTCACAAGGGATCATATCCTGCACTGCTCTTACGACTACTGGTTTCCCAAGTGAGTCGATCTCACTCTACCTTACTCACTTGCCTCTGCGTTCGTTCATGATCACGGCTAATGCATAAGTCAGATACCGCACATCATGCATCCGCTCCCGTATTATCAAGCTGCCTTCAGAGTTCATCGAGTACATCCGCGAGGACGGCATAATACTCTCGAGCGATGATCCGTCTGCAGCGGCAGATGATGACGATGATGACTGGGAGCCCACGTCGAATGCGTTCGCCCCTCCTCGCCCTGACGAGCCGGAGCAGGTCTCGGACTCGGACACGGAGGATGACGACCAAGAGTCAACACCATCGCGGCTCCCACCGAACCAGCGCTTCCCAGAGCTGCACCAGAAGATCAAGGACACCATCAAGGAGCTGGGTGGCGAGGTCGCACCAAAGCTGAACTGGTCCTCGCCCAGGGACGCCGCATGGATCTCGCCACACCAGAACACGGTCAAGTGCACCTCGCCAAACGACATCTACCTCCTCCTGAAGAGTTCAAATTTCATCACCCACGACCTCGACCACGCCTTCGACGGGACAGTCAGCACCACCACCACCACCACCACCTCGTCCTCCAGCAACGGCGCCGCTGCCTCGAGCCTGGGCTTCCATCCGGTCCTCGTCCTCCGCTCCTTCTTCACGCCCCACCAGGCCCTCGAGTTCCGCTGCTTCGTCAAGCAGCGCAGCCTGGTGGCCATTGCCCAGCGCGACCTGAACCACTACAACTTCCTGCAGCGCCTCCGCCCGGCCATCGCCGCGCGCACCAAGGACCTGTTCGACTCGAGGCTGCGCTTCACCTTCCCGGACGGCAACTTCGTCTTCGACGTCTACATCCCCGAGGTGCACAGTCTGGACGACGATGACAGCGACAGCGAAGACGACGACCCGGGCAAGAAGCTCGGCAAGGCCAGGCTCATCGACATCAACCCCTGGGCGCCAAGGACCGACACCCTCCTGTTCGGCTGGGACGAGCTCCTGGCGCTGCACGTGCCGAACCCCATGATCGGCGTGGCCGGCACGGGCGTCGAGGACGGCGTGGTGCGGCTCCGCATCGGGGACGGGCCTCTCCCGGGTGGGGAGGACACTGCGACCGAGGAGGATACCGAGGAGGAGGAGGACGACTATGAGCCGGAGCTGCGGCTGGTCGACAAGGACGACCCCGCCGCATACAACTTCAGCTCGCCGCAGTACTCGGCGCACAAGCTGCCCAAGGAGGTCGTCGACGCGAGCGCGTCTGGCGCCGGCGGGCTGAGGGAGTTCGCGCAGCAGTGGAATGAGATGCTGAATCGTAGACGGTAGCTCAGGATAGGAATTCATGGCCGTTGTGTCACAGCACGAAAGCTCCACAAGATGGCCCGAAGGACGGATGTATGTATGGTCATGATGCGATTTTCAAACCGGCCAGCAAGCCCGACCAGGCCGCCGTCCCGCCAACCTGCACCCTTGACCACGTACGCATACAGAAGATATCGAAGCGACGAGGCGTAATTTTATGCAATGCGAAGCCAAGAAAACCTGTTGTGTTCAACTAGTCGGCCGACTTCAACTAGGATATGTCATCCCAAGGTTGCCGGGCGTAAATGAAGGAACATTGAACAGCTCTGGGTGTAGCCCCATGTGCAATTGAAACAACTGGGTTGGGGCAGAAATTCTCAGATTGGAATCCTCGTCATCTGGACTACGGAGACAGTGTCAGATGTTGCTCATTAGATAGTCTTTATCCTGGGTACTCCATTCCTGGCGTAACTTTTTATATGTCAGGCAAAGCAGATATCAGACACGCGAGCCTCCAAACGCCGCTTTATAGACACATAAGAGAATAAAAATCACTGTTCTCGCAAGCTAACCCGTACTTCTCGGCTTTTCGTCTGTAGAATCCAATTAATAACATGTGGTATGCCTGGCGGATGTCACGACCGTGGAGACTTTTAAAGTTCTTGAGCCAATGTCGGAGATAGTTGGTTATAAATGATAATGAATGCCATGGGACCCCGTGTACGTCAGTTCAAGTATGCATCTGTGTTGTTATGGTAGGTCTGCCCTTTGCTTAGGTATATTTGGCTCGCATCCAGTCAACATAGACTGTAAGGCCAAGCTGTGAGCGCTCCCTTTCAAGATGATCTTGCAAAGAAGCCAGTTAGTTGAAAAGAAAGCCCACTTGGTACCTGCATTAGAAATGTATTTGAGCAGATGAACATTGGGTGTGAGAGTGGTTCATCTCATATAGTTCCTCGGCAGCCATTCCACAGAATCAGAAGTGAAAAGGCTCGACCTGTCTGACAAAGGAACGACATCATCCCATTAACATGCTCGTATGATTCGAGGCTGGGGCTCATCAGAGGCTCACATAAACCCAGGCTCAGCCTTGAATTACAAGACCAAGCGCCGTGAGCAAGTTTGAGGTGCGTTTTCCAATGGGTAAGCCCCCGAAGAGAAATGCACCCAGAACTGGCCGCATTGATAGTGTTATTGTGCTGCTAGGAAGTTATAATATTAGTGCTACGCTAATATTTGACAAGCTCTTCACATTTCTTGTCTTTAGATCAAATTTTATCACTGTATGAAGGGACTGGATGCATACTGCTTAAGAAGCATATGTGTACAGATTGAAAACGAGACCACAGATCAAAGTGAATTTGACCTTCTAGTTGACACCCCCAATAACCACCCACCAAGATTCCTTCCAGCCGTGGACCGAACATCCCCATCAATTGGGCTGTCGTCGTCCGATTCTAGATTTTCGATCCACTCGTGCTCACGGATCGATCTCTCCGCCACGGGAAATCCGTCTTCACCTCGGAGCCAGGTAAAAACGTTCCTGGTCACCATCTCTGACACTTCGTCCTCGGGATCAAGGCTATCATAAACGACGGCAAAGCTGTTGTTACCGGCAACAGAAGGTCTCCCAGCCTTTGCACGGATGGCAATCGCCAGCTTCCCATTTCTTCCCTGTTCAACCTTCTTGCCACCCTGACAGTCCCAGGTAAAACAACTATATTCAAGGCCATGAGCTGCCGAACATCGGGCATGTCGACGAACGTCAAGGTCTGTGTCTTCCATGGCGGTGCAGCCGAACGGAGCAAATGGAAAGAGCGGTGGGACTGCGTGATCTGGTTCATGGGACAGGTACATCAGGCGGCACTCGTCAGCTCGTGAGATCTCTTGGGCGTCGGGAGGAGGTTTCGTGGTGGGCTCTTGCATGAAGGACGCATGCGTACCAGTCCAGGCAGCAGCGCTAATGTCGACCTTCCACCAGCCCATACGAGCTTCTTGAAGGCAGCGCTCCTCGGCGCCCGTGATAAAGGCACCTAGCCACAGGAACCCGAGCCCTGGATCCCTTTCAATAAACGTGCTCAAGAGGACACGTGGGTCCCCGGCCTTGTCGGAGTCGAGGAAAGCAAATGAGCCCTGCAGCCAAGCTCCGCAGCTATTGCAGGCCACATCAGGTTCGAAGAAGATGCTGTTCAAGAGAGCTTTCACTCCCCTCGCGTTGCAACTCAGTGTGAGAAGCCGATCCAGCTGCCGAGGTTCCATGTCCCAGGACGGAAGCACTTGGGGCTTTTCTTGACTGCGCGTTGCCTTGCGTGGTAGTCGAGGAACGGGCAACTTGATTCTTCTGGTGTCAAATTTTGCCACTGGAATGAGCAACGCCGCTGCGAGGGCTGCTTGGCTTTGCTCGGCAAGGTCGTGAAGATGGCAATACTCTGATAGATAGCGGACAGCGGTGCTGAAAGACGCAGGACACGAATTTTCCACTGCTGAGCAAGGCTTAATGTTTGCAGATATCGTGAAATTTGGCCCTGGCTGGGTCCTGATGGACCATGGCGAGCAGAGAAGGACACCAGTGTCACTGCGGATTGATGCGTCCCAGCCGCCGTCTGCCGCAAGAACAGCTGTCCACCACCTCGCAGCGGCATCATCCACGTCACCTATATCTACCACAACAGAATTATCATCATCTTCCAGTCCATGCGGCCCATTGCCAGAGTTTAGCTGCATCTGGTGGCCGTTGTAGTCGGATATGTCCGCGCCAGGAATCAACTCTGCCCATCGTGCCGACAGTATGTATGCCCAGGCGAGCATTAAGATGGGAACGTGGGTGATTTCTCTTGAGATGTGGTTCAGAAAGCTCGTTGTAGAATGTGGAGCAGAACTGAAGACGATCGTCGTTGGGCAGTTTGAAGCTACATGGAGGATCATCTCATCCTGGAATGATGAGAGATCGCAAGGTCCTCTGCTGGTTCTCTAAGTGGTTGTACCCCTTACGGTAGCCGTGTTTGAGAAGGATGTGTCGACTGTGAGCCTTTCTGGGAAATAGGGATGGTTGGGAAACGCTGAACAAAGGTTGGAAAGTTGAAATTGTAGGTGATTGTGTGCGGCGGCTATCCGCCAGAGTGCGGCCCAAGTCTGGTATCCCCTGTCGTGCATCGCCTTGAAGGCTTCCACGCTCGGGCGAACTGCATCCTCCATGACATCAAGATCTTAATGAGTTGCTGAAGAGACATACGAAATCGTAAGGTGTTGTTGCAAATGCTGGAATCGGGCGATGGAGTTGTTTGCCTGGAAAACTAGTAGTAATCATTGCGTGATTAGTCAGCCTGACGGGCCATGCAAAGACCACACTGAAGGGGAACAGAGTCACCCGAAGACGAAAAAGATCCGCTAGCTTATAAGCAATGAGAACCAACAATAGCTCACATACACAGATATGTGGATCTTGGCTTGAACTTAATACTCCATGCTAAACACCAAAATTCACATCATTCTAGTCTCGTAGTTCAACAAGGCCCACCAAGTTGGCCAAGCGTCAGGCGAACCGCCGCTCAATTCCTGACCACATCGGTCCGCCATGGCTGCAGAGACCCACGCCTGATGTGCTTGCTGGTGGCATCTAGGAGTGCTGCGCTGAGATTCCAAACATGCTCGCGGGCTAGATGAGAACATTTATATCATGCTCGAGTCTCTCATCTTTTTTAGGCCCGGCTTCGCTTGTATTACATGTTCACATTTCATACTTCTTGGCTCAAAACCCCTGGCACGCCGAAGTGGTTACCACACCCGTACGAAATTAGCTTGTATTCGTCATAAATATTCTGATCAGACTTTAGTGTAAGGAACCGGGATACCCTAAAACGTCTCAATATTCAGCAGGGAACTGACCTCAGCTTTGATAGCATCTCGTCACCTACAATCACAACATATATAAGCAACAACAAGCAAGATGAAATCCTCTTCTATGAAAGGAGCTTGCTCTGTGTGGCCATCAAAACAGTGTTCACATCAGAAGAATTTGTATCGTCATGCCTCGTATCATCACTGTTTTGATCTTGACGGCAATGAGCGTCATCAGAATGGAGATGTTGTCTGCAGGGAATGTCCTGACCATGGTCGAACGAGCAAGGCTCAAAACTTCGATCAGAGCCCTGTCGTTGGCAAGGGTGAGGATGGAAACCTCCATATCACCAAAGAGGGCATCGTTCGCGACTACTAGTTGAGGCATGCGGAATAATCTCACCTAGGATGGTAACAAGGTTCTTCACAGATAGTCTTTCTTATCGCTGCGTACTTAGGTTTCCAGCAGAATCTGGGATAAAATTGGAAATTGAAGAATTATATTTGCTGCTATCAAAGCTTGGCGACAAAGTCACCCAAATTTCCACTGAAGGAAGCTCGAGCGGTGGAAAGAAGTACCATCCGCTCTGGCCTCAAACAGATTGATTGCTTAAGTGCTACGAGAGTGGGATTTCCCAGATGTATATCGAAAATTATTTAACGCTCATTATTCGCTTACCAAGGTACAGCCTTTTTTTAAAGACGCTACATGCTAACTTTTGTTTGTTACTGAAAAGGAGGAAAGCAAGAAAATACAATATCATTTACAACAATCACGAAAGCGGCAGCATAGACCGCGTCACAGGTATTGCAAGGGAGTGCCAACTCCATGCGTACAGGGCATTGTTTCAGCTAGAGCAAGCCATCCGAAGTCTGTGAGAGGCTGTTCCACTCGAACCGCTCTCTCGGCGCCCGCCCGTTGATTTACTGAGTCGTACGCCAAGCGCTATGGGGCTGGCAAGGGAGCCAGAACGGAAATAGACAAGCATGAAAGGTGATTTAAGGTACAAGTGCGCCGCCATATCTCTCCACGAGATCCGGTCAAGCTGGCGTTATTCGCTAATCATCCTAGTCATTCGAGCGTCAAGCACAAATATTCAAGTTCAAATAAAGCCAAGGATCACGCATCCCGCGCTTGGTGTTGAAAAAGAGAAAAGATGTCAATGGAGGTGCTGACTCGAGGCTCTGCCAGCTGAATCGTTCGAGATGTTTCCATAATCAGCGTACCATTGCCTTGGGGTCTTCCAGCAAATAGATGACGATGTTTCTGAATAAAAGCGACGTCGATCCGTCCTCGTCGTTGCCCATGTATACAGTCATGAGCTGAACATCTCAGATTCCAGTCTTTGTCGACTTTTCTGTACCTTGCCTGGCTTCCCTCGCCTTACATTCTTTTCTTTGCGGTGACCTACTCTCGTTGATCGAAAATGAAGTTCAATCTCCAACATTCTTTACTACTAAGCTTCGGCTTACTTTCTTTCTCAGTAAATGCTCGCCCGGGAGAGCCTTACTATGACGCTGCCCATCTCATCAGACGTGACAATTCCACGGGCCAATCAAATGGCACTTCAACCGGAGGAGTAATTCCCTCCTCCAGCCGCCCTTCTCTCCCGCCTGTGGCGATCCTTCCTTCAAATGCTCCAACATCTCGTGGGCCTTCCTCTGCGCCGCCGACGACAAACCCGCCCACCATCACCAGCCCTCCTGTCTCATCATCAGCGACGACAAGCGCTCCGCCAGCGACCACGACAGTCAGCAACGGCGACACGATCGTCGTGGCCGCCGGTGTGGTAGTGGTAGGAGGAACCGGAGGCGGCTCCTTCACCATCGCCGGCTCGGGGGCAGCGCCGGTAGCAGTGGCGGCCGGCACGACCGTCACGGCCGGCTCCTCTTCGGAGGGCGATAACCCAGATAACCCAGAGCAGACAACCAAGCCCCCGGAGAGCTCTGAGCCACCGACCAGCACGGAGCCCACGAGCACGGAGCCGACCAGCTCGGCGCCGAGCGGGACGCCGACCCCATGTCTTATCTTTCCCAAGGACGGTGCCACGAGCCAGGACAACACGGACTTCATCTCGCTCCTCGATAAGGAACTTGGGAAGGGGAAGTACCGCGAAACAACTGATACGGTGCAATTGTTCGTGAGCGCCAACATCACGGCGGCGCAGAACGCGACCCTCACCGCGGATCCATTGGTAAGTAGACTTGTCTCATCAACAAAAGCACTTCTTCCCTTTGGCCTGGACTCACAAGCATCACAGGTTGGCGGCGTAGAGCCCATTGTCCCGCTCGAGGACAACGCCGGCGAGGCCGTGCCGGTGCCGAACAGCAAGCGCGATGAAGACGTGCACGAGAAGTGGTGGATGGAGTCGCTGGACAGGCTCGGCAGGATCAGGAAGCGTGCCGTGGTGAAGCAGGACAATGCCCCGACCGAGCTCGTCATGTTCTCGCAGCCCCCGCTGGTGGACCTCGCGGCACTCAAGAGTTACACTTATGATGACAGTGCCGGTACCGATATCACTGTCTATGTCCTCGACACGGGCTACTACACCAAGAACAGCGTGAGTGCATATTTATTTCGCCCTGCTAGAGCATGTGCTAACAACAATCGGTGCACAGGAATACACCGGCATGGCTAAGAAGCCGCGCTGGATCTTTGGGGGAGCTCAGGCAGACAAGTCGGTCGAGGAGGACCTGGGCTCTGACGGCCACGGCAGCTGTGCTGGGTCCAAGGTCAATGGACCCAAGTACGGCGTTGCAAAACAGGTGAATCTTGTTGTTGTGAAAGCCTCCATCAATATCGACGAAACACTCGATGGCCTCAACAAGATCATAGAGGATGTGAGGGAGAAGAAGCTGCAAGGCAAAGCAGTCGTGAACTTTTCACGCTCGAGTATGTGTCCCAATACCGCAACTGGTATCAGAACGCCTGCTAATGTACCTGGCAGTCGCGAACCCAAGCAAATTCACGCAGAAAATGCTGCAGTACTACGTCAACGAGATGATCAAGGAAGACATTGTCTTCGTCACAGCGTCTGGAAACGATGACCGGGAAGAAGTCGCGGTATGTGTAACTCTCGTGTTGTCTGTTCGGTCGACAATAAACTCACGCAACATCTGCAGGACGGGGAAGCATCTGCACTCGATGTCGACTCCTATCCGCCATTGATGGCTGCCTCCGGAACCCCGATCATCAACGTCGGCGCTGTTGACAACACCGGCAAGAATGCCTCCTTCTCCCAGGGTGGACCACTCGTTCATGTGATGGCTCCTGGCCAGCAGGTTCAGTGTGCTGCCAACTCTTTCTTCTCTAGCACACAGAAACAAGATGGCACATCCTTTGGTAAGCAGCCATATCTTCCGGGAGCCGATGTCATATACCATGACCATCGTGAGTGCTGACATCTTTGCGTGCAGCCGCACCAGCAGTAGCTGGCCTTGCAGCCTACCTGCTTGCCCTGGGAGAATACCCAGAGCTTTACCAGACAGGAAAAGTGGCAGAGAACATGAAGAAGCTCCTCATAGACATGGCCTACCAGCGAGTCCCAGACGGCGGCCAGGTCGTGTTCAACGGCCAGGGCGCCGTCTGCTCTCGCCCCAGCAGCGCCAAGTTCCGACGTCAAGTCCTGAGCGGCGAGGCCTGCTCCGCCGTCTCTTCAACGACGACCTTGCCACCAACATCGACGTCGGCCCCACCGCCGCCAGCGACAACATCCAACCCGCCCGCCGAAACGACCGCGCCTGCAACACCGCCCGCGCCAAAGACACTATTCTCGCTGAACGAGGAGATCGGCGCCGGCACCAAGTCGTGCTTCCCGACAACCGACTTCACCACCACAGCGGGGACGACGTACGGCTTCTCGTTCGACGTCGACGCAAACCTGCTGGTCAGCATCCAGACGGGTTCGACAGACGAGGGGTACCACCAGTCCATGGGCTCCTGGACAGGCACCTTCTACGCCGACTCGGGCTCCTCCCTCAGCATCTGCGGGACCAGCACCGCGTCCAGCGGCCTCCCGCTCGCCTTCACCATCACCGAGGAGCCGCCGCAGGCCGTCGCGGCGCCCTCCGGCAGCGAGGTCTTCAAGCTGGACGACAAGGTCGCGGCGGGGACCACGTCGTGCTTCCCGACCACGGGGCTGAACATCCAGGAGGGCAACTACGGCTTCTCGTACACCACGGCCGACGGCGTGGTCGTCCAGATCGGGGATGACAGCTCCGGGCCCAAGTACTTCTCCGGGAACAGGGCCGAGGGTGCCGGCCTGATGTACATCGACTTCTCTGGGGGCAGCATCTCGATCTGCGGGACCAACAATGGGGGGTCCGAGGCGTCTATCTCCTTGTCCATGACGCAGTGATCGTATTCGGACTCATTTTTTGCATTCGATTGTATATAATTTAGCCATGAGAGTTACGATATGAAGAGGAATTGTACAAATGAACGGGGGTTGCTTACTGAGCGATCTGCAGCCCGTCGGAGCTAAGCGAATGCTTTGGTGACCAGTGTGACTTGGGCTGGTGTTTAGTGAGGAGCGATGTAACACTGGCATCTCCTGTCAGCAGTCCCCTCAGCAGGTTGGCCCAGTGGTCTCCATAATAACTGACAAAAGATTGCTGATGCTCACGTTACGACTCCAGAGAGCACCGCGCACTGATGTGTATGTGAACCGGCTTTACGGAAATATGGCACAGCGCTCGCCCATCGAGTCAAACCACCACGACATGTACGCACGATATGGCAGCTCTGCGTCATATGCTGTGGTTCAAATAAACAATTAGACGTCTCTGACAAGGTGCTGACACAATAACAATGCCCCAAGAGAAAAAGACACCTTAGTCACGCACTTCCCCCAACTCCACCGCCATCTCCGTACCGTCCAGCCCTCAGCTCCTGCGCGCCAAGTCAACGCCAGGCTCAACCTGCAGCCAGACATCGGGTGTCGAGGGGTGGAGACGACATCGTCACTGGACGGATCTTCTTTACAAAGACGGCAGCCACAATTCCAAATGGCGCGTCCTCTTGTTGACCGACGGGGTCTTGGGTCCATACAGTCGATATGTTGACGATAACGGCCTTTTTCGCTTACTCAGGGTTGCTTAAGCTCGCCATGATGGGTGATGCAGGCAAGCATCCCTAGGGAGCGGTGGCGGCGAGATGCAATGCATTGGTCAAGATTTGGTGATGATGAGAAATTTCAGCCCCATGTGCGGCTCCTCTGGGGAACATAGAAGGGCCTCTTAGTTGACCTCGCCGGCTTGAGAAGAGGATATAAGGGGCAGCTAGGTGCTCGATTTTTATGTTGCCTCAGATCATCGGATCAACTTGTATCGTCTTCCTCCCTGCCGTCGATAATTGTCAACAAGTCTACTCAGAAGAACTGTATCACCAAATCAGGATGAAGCTGTCCACGAAGTCTCTGTTGCCGGCTTTTGCCATGGCAGGAATGGCACTTGGGGATTGTGAGTGACCTCAACCTCGGAAGCTGGTCCTATCAGTTAACGCAAAGCAGCTTTCCCTTTCGAGCGGATCAACAAGAACGACTCTGTGAGTGACTCTCACAAAATATCAACCTGAAGACGGTGCCTAGAATTGAGCATGCGGCCGAACAGCTCAACGGTGGGCAAGCCGCGGGCACACCGACGGATACACCAGAAGCACTCACGTAGAGCATCGGCTCGTGCGCAGTGGCTAACACGGGGACAGCTGCTCCTGATCCTCGACCTTCAAGAAGGCCTCTTCAACATGGCCAGAGACTTTGACGCCACCCTCTTCCGCAACTCGATGATCGCGCACTCCGCGATCGGGCAGGTCTTTGACATTCCCGTCGTGATGACCACCTCGGCCCAGCAGGGTTAGGCGACCCATAGACTCTGCCCTGGATTAATAGCTTCAGACTCACTGACAAACCACAACAGGCCCCAACGGCCCTCTGCCCCAGGAAATACTCGACATGTACCCCGACGCACCGCTGATTCAGCGCCAGGGCGAGGTCAACGCCTGGGATAACGCCGAGTTCCGCGACGCCATCAGGGCAACCAACAAGTCGCAGGTCATAATGGCCGGCATCGTCACTGACGTCTGTGAGTCCACACCCTCATCTCGTGCTCTCCAGGGAGATCCGCCCGTGACTAACTCACGGGGCGACCAAAAGGCACGACCTTCCTCGCCCTCTCACTCCGTGACGAGGGCTACTCGGTCTGGGCCAACGTCGAGGCCTCGGGCACGACGACGGCCCTGATCCGCGACGTGTCCAACGACCGCATGGCGCGCGCGGGCGTCCAGATCGTCTCGCTCTTCTCCGTCGTCTGCGACCTCATGCGCGACTGGCGCAACACCCCGGGCGCCGCCGAGCTGTTCCCCTGGCTCGACAAGTACCTGCCCGCCTACGGCATGGTCGCGAGGGCGCACCGCAGCGCGATCGAGAACGGCACTGTGATCCCCGGTGAGGCGGCTTTGCCTAGTTAAGTGAGGACTGGTGTGAGTGTGTGTGTCGTGACTGTGGGAAGGGTGGAGCTCTCTGTGAGACTGCAGCTGTGCTTGCTGCTGTTTTTGTCTAGAGAGGCTGTGAGTGGCTTTGACGGGTAATAGTTGGTTGTGGTAGATGGCCAAGCTGATGTGTGATGATGGGTGGACAGGACGGTCAGCTGGTGAGAAAGAATGAAGGGGGACTTTTCAATTCTCAGATACCTTTTTAACCAGATAGATAGTGTTGCGTGCCAGAAAGATTGTTCGTGCACGTCACCTGCTGCTTCGAGACGTTTCGTGTCAGTTTGACATGCCCACTCACCCATTATGACTGCCTCGTACTAGCCACTCAGTACCTCAGAAGCGTGTCCGATCTCTTGCTCGGATATTAGTGACATGCAGTCGCACTCGCAAAGTATCTGCACACCAGATACCTGCAGTCACAGAGACTCAGGACCGAGCAGCGCTTTGGTCTTTGTATAAAATCGCCCCAACCTGATGTCCTGTTGCACAGAATCATTTCCATTATCGAACAGGACAATCCTCAAGCTTCGAGCATAGCTTGGAAGAAACAAAGCAGAAAGAAGACAATATGCCCGACTCTTCAAACCCAACAGTCCAAGGCTCAGCGTATCCGGCCAGCAGCGCGGCCTTCAGCACCAAGACCGACGAGGCAAAGATAACATCGTACATGTGGTACATCCACGTGACGGTGCGGGTGAACGCAGCAGACCGCCTGTGGGACAGGCTCGCCCACCTCCTGGGACAAGAAACAACGACAGCTACAACAACGGCAGAGACCCCCGCCTCACCACCATACTCGCCTCAATTCGACCTCGAAGGTATCATCGACGCCGGCAGCCGCACCGGAAGTGGAAGCAGCGGCACACTCGGCCGCAAAGGCAACGGCGCCGGCGCGGCGAGCGAGATAGACGACCTCACAGACTACTTAGTCCTCCAGCTTTTCTCCCGGGGTATTCTGGAGACGCTCGTCAACACCGCACCCATCGAGGAGCACACGGACGGCTACGCCCGGGTCCTGGCAGGCGTCCCCGCGCACTTCCGCGAGGAGTTCTGCCGCCGGCTGTACTGCCTGCTCTTCAGCAGGTATATCTTGGAGTGGCCATCAGGCATCGCCGTGCCCGAGCCCGCCCCTGGTTCGATCGCTGCTGCTGCCACCGACACTGCTGCGGCAGCTGCGAGCACTGGGTCTGGAGCTGTCGCGACGAGCACTAGCTCTGGGACGGCAGCGGGTGAGGGTAGGCGCAGCTCGGTCCAAGCCCCCAGGGAGGACGACAAGAAGGATGAGTTGATGTTCGACATGGACGAGACCCTTACAAACTACGATGGCGACGGCACTTTCGACGCCGAGAGCTCCAAGCGCCTCGTCAGCCCCGAACCGGCAAGCCCAGGCTACCAGTCCACACTCGGGCCCTCGAGCCCCTGGCCAGACACGCCCTCGCTCGGGTACAGCCCAGAGCTCGCGAGGGCTGCCTACTTCGGCACAGTGAACGCCCCGCTGCCGATTCACTACCTGGGCGACTGCGGGCGCAGCAGCAAAAGCAGCAGGAGCAGGGACGACGGCCCCGCCCGAGCCGCATACGCAGGAGCAGGATCATGCGCAGGAGCAGGATCATGCGCAGGAGCAGGCGCAGGCGCAAGCCATGGCGCGAGGCTGCCGACGCCATCGTGGAACCCACGCCACCCAGCCCCAGCCCCTCCGCACACCACCACCATTCAGGACCGGCCGGCCTCGCTTCTGCGCTCGGCCCACGGCCGGGACCAACGGCAGGTCAGCCACACCGGCTCCTGCTGTCCCTGCCGTGTGAGGGAGGCTCGGTCGCACGGCGTGGGAGGACAACGATAAACGCCTTCTTCACGTCCCCTTCCTGCTCGAGGGGTTCGGCGAGCCCCGTGTCCCTTTGACACGTTTTTGCCCGGCGGGATGGTAAAATGGGTACTGTACCCGTAGAGCTAACTGGTTGAGGCGGGTTTGGGTACACAGGTGCAGGTTCCCGCGATGGAAAATCCGATGAACGTGCTTTCTACCCTGTCCCTGCCGCTCGCGCAACACAAGAGACATCGTCGATCGTCAACACGACATGCGCGCTGGCAGGGCTGTTGGCGGTGGTGGTTGGTGCCGAGGAGGTTTTGGATGGAGTGGCGGTCAGGGTAGGATTGCCTCACCGGGCGACCCGGATATTGGATATCGACAGTGTTGTGTCGCAGCGTGTTGTCCCCATGACTGGCAGCGACTGATATGGGCATCTCGCCTGAGGGGTCGGATTAGGATCCCAGCCTCTCACCGGTCACGGTAGTGAATCCTCCTTGGGAGGTGACAGCTCAGTCACACCTTGGCTCGCCGGGGATCCTGGGCCGCTTCTGTCTTTTGGTGCCGACGTCAGACGGCTGGCGTGGGGTGGTAGGCGATCGATCCTTGTACAGGCTAGAAAGCTGTACAGAAGGTTCCAAGGGCGCGAGAGAGACCGGGTTCTGATGAGGCGGACAGGTAGCCAACTTTCCGAACTGCCGGTCGAATATACGTTATCTCCCCCTGGAGCGCACAGGGTCAAAGATGCATGGCACGTTACAGAATGCCCGTCATAGTCGACAGTACTGGTGCGCATGTAGACATGATATTGATTACCAATTGACGCAGACGGAAATTCAAGCAGCCCACTTCAGAGGTGCCAGAGCCATTTGTCTGCACCCTCAGAGTTCAATTTTGAGATCTGACCTCTCTGACGTGCACTACTGCAAGCCATACATCGAGAGGTGCCTCGTCGATAATCCCAGCTGTTTCCGTGAACCGGTGTGAAGATCCCCGCTTCCACTGGGCGGTACCCCGACCCGCCGAGCCCGTTCCTCATTGCCTCAAGCCATGGGCTGATCAGGAGAATCGTCAGCCAAACCGTCCATCTTTGTCTCTGAGTTGTGCTGTCGAATATCCGGGAGGACAAGAACCCAGCAGCTAATGCTGTCTGCGCGATCCGAACCACAAAATCGCCGCGCCGCGATGTTCTCTTCGTGCCTGCAGTGCTGTGTGCTCATGTGACTACTTACTTGGGTCTCGAGGCTGGGGCTTGGTCGTCGTCCCAGACGTGGGCGGCGCCGTCGAAGGTTGACTGCTGAGAAGCGTGGGCAAGCCGCCGACTGCCATGACTGACTACTGAGGCGGGTGATGGTAACGGAGAAGAGGATGAATGTTCGGTGATGGTGTCCGCGATTGAGACGACGATGTGTACTCGATCGAGTGCGCACTTTTTTTCGATGGCCTTTATGCAGTGCAGCCAATGCTCAGTGACCGAGCAAAGTCGACTCAAGTTTCGATGAGCTTGGTGAACTGTGTGAAGGAAGAGTGTCAGGTCAGTCGTTGGAAGTGTCTGCATAACGATGCCGCGGCCACCATCTTCTGGAGGCGCGGCGTCGAATTTATAGCTACGGCAGTCTGGCTACCAGGTGTTCCGCGCGACAAGACCAAAGGCCCGGCAGACTCTGAGTCCCGCAGGCAGCTCTACATGTTCCGCAAGTTGAACGGAAATCCTCAAGAGTGCTCGATGACGAGTGGACCGGGTTCGCAAGGGGCTCACTCGTATGGCTCTAGGTTTTGTGACCGGTACATAACGCGCTGACAGCCAGGGGGGGGGGGGCAAGATCACGGGAGGGGCCGCCCCCAGAGCTCATTGGGCGTAAGTCCAGAATGGTTGCCAACCTCATTGACAGGTCCGCTGTTGGTTCATTCATGACGCGGCGGCCGGTGAGGAGGGCGCAAATGAAGCATTCGTGAGATCTCCATACGGTGAGGCGATGTTCTGCCATGCTGGAGCCACTGAAACTCCTGAAACGGACTTTGTGCTCAAGTGACCGACCGCCGTGCTACACAGTTGCTCGTGGAATTAGGCAGTCCCGGCCAAGGCATTGCCTAGCAGGGAAAATGAACGAATGGGCGCGGTAGGTGGTGCGAGAACCGGCATGCGGGCGACTATGCTCAGACATCTGACGCCGAAATGAGAGACGCCAAAGGGGAGGATATGATGTTCCCAAAGTCGCACGGCATGAAGCTGTTCAACCCAGTTGGGAGGAGGCCGACCGCTACTCTGCGGCAAGGCCAATGATTGATTGCCTTGTTCGTCGAGGCAGACCAAGGAGCGACAGGATCCGTCGCAGTCTTTGAGTCAAGCCGACACATTTGTGCGATGCGGACGAGCGGAGACAACGAGCGTGCCTAAAGTCCAGGCCCAAGCCCAGGTTCGGAGTCCAGGACCGGGACTCGACGCGCCCTCGTCCGACCACGCACCCCACGTTGAGAGGGGGTCCTCGCAGCATTTGCGTCCCGACATCGACTGACAGACTGAGACGGAACGTCAGAATCCTCCTCATCCAAAACTTTGCCAATGGAGGAGGGCAGTGCCTCGCTCGCTTAAAATTGCGCTTATCCCGTTGGACGATCTCGGTTGGAGATGTCGGAAAGCCCGCCTTGCCCGTTGCAGCGACGAGTGAGAGCCGCGCCGGGCGTGTGATGATGACGGGCAGAAAATTCCATTCTTCTCTGGCACGTAAATATGAACGATCGCGAGTGGGGGATTCAAGACCGCTTGATTAACCGTGCGTATAATAAGTGTGAAGAAGAGAAGAGGAAAGAAGAAAGCCAGGACAGGGACGAGGTCGTCGGAAGTAAAGTCGTTCAGGGAAAAACTGCAGAAGCAGCACGTGACCGTGGGACCCACCTCTTCGGTACGTACCGCTTTTTTAGCGCCGAGCCAAAGAATTGGTGGGGCGCTGCCTTCCATAAAAAAAATTCGACGTCAACATTTGCGACCTGCACTCTTCCTTCTTTCTTACCAAACATCGCAACCGTAACCGCATTCTCGCGCATCGCGTCGCAGCTCAAGCAGCCGCCTGCTCGCCAGAAGAGATGGCTTCTTTGATGGCAGTGGGTGCAGCACAATTACGCCTTTGCAGCTCGACACAGGTTTGAAGCCACTCTCCTTCTCGCAGCAGTCGGTCCAGCGCCCACTTGGGCTGGCTGACTGTTTTCCCGTCTCGCGTTTTCCCTCTTTTGGCCTTGCCCGCAAAGACCCAAAAAGTCAGCGAGGACACTCGTCTTCACACCCACAAATTGCCTACCGCTGTGTTCTCTCTATGCACAAGACGGTCAACTTTTTATTATCGTTCATGTGGAAGAGCAAAACCAGGGTCTAGACAACCCGTCCAATCCACCCTGCTGCTGTAGATCAAAGTGCAACAGCAGGACTAATGCGGACAGACATCCTTCCACCATTACAAGGAGGGGAGCAGGGCTGGGGAGGAACGGGGACGAAGCGGAGGAGAGGCTGTTCACTCACGACTCGGCAAGCGGCTGGTCGGCCTGGGGCACGGCAACGTGCTGCTGAGGAGGAGACGGCCGTAATCGAGGCTGTCATTTCCATCGGAAGCCATCCGCGACGCCTCCAGGTCCATCGCCACGCTGGAGAGCCACTCAGTCAAGCAGTCGGTCAGAGAGAAGGACACGACGAGTCTGAATCATCCCCTCATCACGACCCTCACACCCACCCACACAACTGGACCTGTGCCCAGCGATCCTCTGTTCGCCTCGTGCGAATTCAGGGTTGATTGCTGGCAGTTCGATCACACCAAGGAGCCATCAAATCCCCATGATGTCAATTTCCAATCGACAGGTCCTAGATCAATCGGGGTTTGGGAAGCCGGGTTCGCCGTAAAAAGCTTGAGCCCGGTGGAACATTCCCATGAAGACGCCATATTCCACTCCGTTCGCCGAGATCGTCGATCTTTGAGGTTGGGGAAAACCATGGCTTTCGCCTACATTACAATGCATAGCATGCACACTTGTTCCCTTTCTATCTAGTCAGGTAGCCCGTTTTCTGATAGGACCCTTTTCGAGGAAACAAATCAATCAAGCAAGCAAGCAGTCAACCAATGAGTCGCCCGTCGCAAACTCCCACCTTGACATGCACCCAAGTTCGGCTTGCTCATCCCAGAGCCAACCCGATCCAAGATCATACCTTGATCGTGATCATGACGCCTCTGTTCATCGCTGCGCTCACCCGAAAAAACAAAAAAGCAAAACACACTATAAACACCCATGGTCGCCAGTCGAGGTCCGTTCTTCCTGGCTTCAAGGCTGGCTAGTCCTCACAGATGTACCTGCTGTCTAGAAACGAGAGCAGGAACTTGGCCAGTAAACGCCCAATGTAGTCTTCTTCGACGTTGCGCGGGTACGGGTGGCTTTCGCCAGCGGGCGCCATGGGGGCCGGCGTCAGCCACTTCAGCTCACCGTCTGCGAGAGAGAAGCACCTGTCAGTACATATCGCACAAAGCACCCCTCTCGACCAACCAGCCAACCAGCCAACCAGCCAATTGTGTGGGGCAGATAAGATCACTTACAGTCCAGATGCACTATGCTCCTCAGGCTCATGATCAGCTCCAGCGCCGCGGCGTCCAGTTGGCCGTCCCCGTCGTGGCTGTCGTGCACCAGCGGGTTGAAGGACTTTGACGACGCGTCCCTCGAGTGCGACTGGTAGATCTGGTGGAACTGGAAGACGAACTGCTTGAAGGGCATGTCCTCGATGGCCCTGTTGGCGTCGAGGGCCTCGGCGCGGCGGAATTTCACGGGCCGGCGGTTGCGCATCTCGATCTCGATCTCGGAGATGGCGAAGACGTCGGCCGACGCCTGGATCGACTCCATGAGCAGGCAGAAGACGAGGAACGCCGCCGTGCAGGGCGCCCACTCGGCCTTGCCGCGCCTCTTGAGCATCTTGCCGAACTCGTCGAACAGCGTCGTCACGCCCTCGACGATCAGCTCGTCCACCACCGCCTTCACCTGCCGGTTGAGCAGCCGCGGCGTCATCCACGGCCCGCTCGCCACCACGGGGTTAATGTGCCGCAGGCTCTCGACGCACTGCGGCGTCATGGTCAGGTGGTGCCCGATCATGTACTGCATCGTGTACACGCCCAGCGCCCGCCGCACGATCGCCGACCCGGACTGCTGCGCGTACCGCTGCGCGACCTGCAGCACCCGGCAGGGGAGGTCCGTCTTGCGCGCCATCCCCGCAGCCAGCTGCAGCGACCACCCGGGCTCCTGCACGATCTCGTCGACGTACTTCTCCACCTTGCGCTTCAGCTCCGCCTTGAACGACACCCCGGACCCCTCCGAGTCCAGCCCCAGCGGCGCGGACCTCATCGCCTCCAGGTCGACGCGGTCCTCGCCCCCGCCGCCGCTGCGCCCGCCCACCGTGTGGAACCAGTGCTGCATCACGTCCGACGTCGGCGCCCGCGGCGTGAAGAACTTGGCCTTGATGGACAGCTTGGACCGCAGGCCCGCGCCCGACGAGAGCACGACCGTGACGTCCGGGTGCTCGGCCCCGTTGAGCGTGAAGCTGGCGACGTTGTCGGCGACGAAGCGCGCCATCTCGTCGCGCGCGAAGTGGCCGCGCACGAACGGCGGGAACAGCGCCCGCGTGAAGTCGTCAAACTGCCAGCACACGGCCTGCGGCACCTGCGCGCAGAAGCGCTCGCAGCTGCGGCACGGCCGCTGCTGGTCGCACTTGACCTTGCGCACGTGGCAGCAGAAGCACGCGCCCTTCTGCCGCACCGCCAGCGCGTTGGCCCGCGTGTCGTTGGACAGCGCCCCCTTGCGGCCCTTCTGCGACGCCTTGGACGCGTCCGGCGTCCCGTCGAAGGACCCGCCCCCCTTGGCCCACGTGTCCGGCGTCGCGTTGCAGAACAGGAACACCGGGTTCTCTGCCGCCGCCGCGCCTGCTGACCCTTGTGTTGTTCCTCCTCCCCCCTGGGCTGCCGCCGCCTCTGCGACCCTCGACGCCGAGGACGTCGACAGGAACGGCGGCGTCGAGCTCTTGCGTTTCTGGGTCTTCCGCACCTTGGACGCGGCGCGGTCCTTCTTGTCCGCCGTCGGTATGGGGATGGCCTTGCTGGTGGCTGACCTGCTCCCTTCGAGCCTGAACTGGAGCGATCCGGGTGAGGCCTTTGGGCTCAGGTCGATGGACGACCCTGACTGGGGCGTGAAGTGACCGATGGATGAGCCTGAGTGGCCGTCGAACGAATCGGGGACGACGGCTGTGCTGTACTGTTGTTGAATTGGGATATGTGTCCATGGAGGCGAAGCGTTGACGCCAGTCTGCATGGAGGAAGGGATGTTGAAGTGCACGAGCGACTGAGAGTGAGCATCATCGACGCCGAACCCATTATCTGGCAGCATGGGGAAATTGTTGAGGCCGAAATCAAACTCTACATACGTTCAGCATTCATTCTCTCTACACGGCAGTACCCGGTAACACAACACACAAAGCCACCACACGGGAAGAGAAGGGGGAGGGGGGCATTTTCACTAACCGATCTGGCTTTGCTCGAAGAGGGCGGCGGTGTTTGATCCCACGCCAAAGGCCTGCCCATGCTGCAGCGCTTCAATGACAAACTGGCCCTGCGAGACGTGCTGCTGAGTGTCCAGCGGCGAGCTGGAGAACCCAAAGCCTGCCGCCCCGTTACCGACCGCGGCGGCGGCCGGGGACCCGTTGGCGAAGGATGCGGCGCCGTTCAGGGGCGAGACGGATAGCGCGTGGTCCATGAGCGGCCCTGGCGACGGCGTCTGCAACAACATTTGCTGCTGATGTTGTTGTTGTTGTTGCTGCTGTTGCTGATAGTGCTGTTGTTGGTGTTGATGGTTTTGATGCTGATGCGCGGCGGTGTTGCGAACGATCCCCCACGACCCCTGACTGATGATCGACGGGCTGGTGTCAAGGCCAAGCGATCCGGCCAGCTCCTGGAGCGACCCGGCGGCATTCCCACCGCCGTCCGTGTCGAGGAACTGCCATGACTCCAGGTCGTCGTCCACCTGGGAGAACCCAGACATGGGCGACGTCCCGGACGAGATGACGGAGGCCATATGGAGGTCCTCCTGTGTGTTTAGGCGGCGGCTGCTGTTGTTGCTGAACGCGCTCTCCTCCTCGTTGTGCTCGTGGGAGTTCTCGTCTTGGGCAGGACGGTGTTGCGCGTCGCCTTGTCCGCGGTGGTGGTGGTGCTGCTGCTGCTCCTCGCTCGGGGGTAGAGAAGGAGGAGGAGGAGGAGGCTGTCGCTGTTCCGCGTTGCGATCCAGCTTCACGACTTCGCAGGACTTTCTCCTCTCGCCGGGGTGTTTTCAGGTATATGCAACCGCTTCCCTTTCTGCCTTTTAGCCTTCTTTCTTTTCACACCTTGTTCGCAGAGATAGACCGCCCGCCTGGAGCGTTCGATGCAGTGCTGACGTGACCTCGCGTCCTGTTGCGGTCTCTGTCTGGGCTTTTCCCCTCTTCCCATTTATCGGCACGGTCTCATGTGCACTCCTGCATATGCGCGCTCTCAAAAGAAAGGAAACCAGGCTAGGGAAGCTGCATGGGGCGCGTTATCTCGTCCTCTTCTTCTTTTTCTTTTCCTTTTTCCCCCAATATGCTTTGCCCCGGCCGAGACGAGACACACGCACGGCCTTCCCGTGTTCCTCCACCTCGTTCCTCCCGGTTTGCTCTCTTTTCCCTCCCGTCGCTGTGAAGCACGAGGGAGTCCTAGCGCTGCGGGGCTGGGCGACCAGGTCGGCAGATGGGCTTTCAACGTCGCTGCCACGTCTCCTCTGTGTATCCTGCGGCTCGGGAGTTCGCTTTTGGATGCACCTGCATGAGATGGCGGGGGGCAGGGGCGAATATAATCTCCGGCTGTTGCTACGGTCCAAAAGCAGCAGCAGTACCGTTCAAGGAAAACAAAAAGAGGTTCACTACGGAAAATCTACGAAGGAACTTTCCGCTGCGGAAAATGCAGGCCCCCGGGGAGGACGAGGGGGGCAAGAGGGCGAGAGTGGGCTTGGAGGTTGATTTATTTCCAGCAGTCTGGGAATTGTCTCGCGGCTCACTGCCCAGCGCCCGGGGGCCCCAGCCGCTATACCCCATGAGGCGACCGACAGCAAGGATAGCTTGGACGGTCCAGCCAATGCGACCCCAACAACGTGACCGAGAGGCAGAGTCTCGAGCATTTCCCCTCGGCATGATGGTGTGGGAAGCCGGTCTTTCTGCAGCAGGGGTCCTTCGCTTCCTCAAGCAGTCAATTGCAGTCGTCTCTTTCATCTAGCTACCCGTTGCCAGCCGCACAACACACAAACAACGCCCACGAGGCCTGCCACAATGTGCGCGGTGATAGCCTCGGCCTGTGCCCAGGGAAGCCTCGAGCATGGTGTCTCTGTCCCCCACTGCCCTACAGACTCGACGGGTCGGACTGGACACGGTCCTCCCAGGCCCCGCACGTCGCTCGGGCGGGTGCCCGGGGCCAGCAACGGCAACTGCGTATCATCATCTGTCAGATGTCATGTCACTCCGGATGCACACATTGCATGTTTGGCGTCGACGTCGTCACCGGCCGCAGCAGCAGGAGCGGCGGCACGGCGACCGCAAACAAAACCCCGGATGCAATTCAGGATGCCGTGGAACACAAACTGCTGGCTGTGGGGGAGGATTTCGCAACATCTAATCTCTGTTGTGGCACTAGGGAAAGAGAGGAACAAGAAGCATGACATGCCCCCCCAATCGGGAGTGCTCCCAACGGCGCGGTGCGACCACACACAACGCAAGCGCACAAGCACCTTAACCCCTCTCCCCCTTGAATCTAGTGAAATTCTACATTTCCTCCTCCAGTCCAGTTGGGGCGGGGGGCGGAAAGCAGGGCCAACAAGCTGTACTGGTTCGATGCCGGGATGCAAAGCCGGCAGCAAGGGTTTCTTCTTGCGAGACAGACTGAACCACGCAACCAAGCAGACGCTTTCTCTAATGTTTGGGGCCGAACCGAAAAGCAAATTTACTGTTGCAAAACATGGAAAGAACTTGGTCATTCTTCCATTCGTCCTCCAGGGGAATTGATGAAGAAGAAGAAGAGAGAAGAAAAGAAAAGAAAGGCATGGCATGGCAAGGCAAGGCAAGGCAAGGCAGGGTAAACAGGCATGCAATTGCGAGGGCAAGTAACAGCACGACGTCCAACAACTCCCAAAAGTCAAGTCTTCCCGCCCTGGCTCTCTTTCCCATCCCCGGGGCCCCACGCCTTTCCCAAAATAGCTGATGGCGACCGCTGGTACCCATTGTCTCCGGGCATCCAAAATCACGCTCCGAAGCAAGCAAGCATGTCGACGCTAGTCTCTCACAGTGCCAAAGCATGGCCAGAATGGCACCAAAATCAGGAAGCAAGGTCGCTCTCGCAACGGTCCGCTCCCAAATCTCACCCGCCGTCGGTGTCCCACACTCCAGCCTGCTCGCCGTTCCGGATGCCTTTCTCTCAATTTGTCTTTCCATTTTCCCTTTTTGTGTTTTTCTTTTTCTTCCGCTGGCGTCATGGGGCTCGTGAATTGAGGTCGTCAGAAAGTCCTTCCTGGTTTTTTTTAAGGGTTGATACTGTACACTGCCGTTTCGTTGAACTGCTTTCGTCGGCTGGCGGACAAAAAAGGTAGCTGGGCGAGGAAACTCGCCCAAGGGCTGCCTCTCTCGCATTCCTTTGGTCTGTCATCCTGCATCTTTCTCCTTCCAGTGGAATGAGGCGATGCTTCCTGTGCGTGAAAACGTATAATGAATAATCGGTTTCCTGTCCCCAAATCGAGAAGTCGACCGTGGGTTGGGAGGTTGAATTGTTATGAAAACGTGTGGTAGCGCCCAGAGGTCTGGGCAGCCTATCGTGGGTTGAAACTCGATCAGTGCTGGACTGTCACGGGATCGATGAAAAAACGTATAAAATATGTTGCGGCGCGGTGACACCTCGACACCCACACCAAATCCCCAGTGGGGGTCTGACCCGCCGATGATCAAGACGGCTCGGCCTTTTCAACCGCGGCTGAACCTCACCGCGGCAGCTTTGGCCCTCTCCTGGATCTGCTGCTCCGTGCTGACATACAGCCGGTCCAAGTAGTCCATGGCCTGGGCGTCCTTGAGGATCTTTGCGACTTGGATGCCGGCGCTGATGAGCTGCAGGATGTTCCTGTCGTCCTTGAGGGGCCGGCTCTGGTGCTTGGCGGCGTGCCTCATCTCAAGGCTGTTTTCGAGGATCGTCACGAACTGCTTGATCTGCCCGTTGTACAGCACCCGCGCCGGGATCCGCCGCTTCGTCGCCAGCCGCTTGAGCAGGTACACCCACTCGGTCCACTCACGGTCCTGCGGCCGCTCCACGGGTCGCATGTCCTGCGTCAACGGGATCGGGAACTGGTACTTGGCCACGAAGTCGTACGCGCACTGCGACAGCCGGTCGTTGACCTGCGCCAGCACGCTGTCCTGCTCCTGGACGAGCAGGTTGGTTGGGAGATGCGGCAGCTCGCGTTCTTGCATGGCGATGTACTCTGGCGGCGGTCGCTGAAGGAACTGGTGCGGCCCGTCGAACTCGTCCCGGTTCGACGGCCTCCGTTGTGATCGGCTGGCCTTGCTGTGTGACGACGACTTGTGATGCTTTCCCGGCGGTGTCGTCCCGGTTCCGCCACTGTTGTCAATGGAGTAGTCGGACAGGCTGGGCGATGCCATGATGTCGTCCATTGAGTCTGTTGGAGAGAACCTGCCCTGGTGATCCCAATTTTGTGAATTCGTGCTCTTGTAGGACCCGTAGGCCTGTGCCGGGGCCGCACCATTTCCATAGGTCATTGAAACCGGTCTTGAGTTGTACGCTTGAGAATTTGAGTAGGCCGTTTCGGATCGTCCATGATGACTCGCTGTCACTGTCGATATGGCTCCTGGGAGATTATACGCCGAAGCGCTCCCGCTGTATTGTATACTTTGGGATTTGCTTGTTATTCTCGGTGTCCATGGCTTGGGGGGACCCACTTGGGTGGCTCTGGTCTTACCTCTGCGGCGTGCTGCTGTAGGCTCCGTTGATGATGTCCCGGCTACCTCCGTTCGGGTACGGGTCTTGGTACACAATGGGGCTTTGCTTCGGGTTAGCTGCACGACTCCGTTCGGGAGATGTCTCGTGGTCCGCACCTTCTCGTTCCCCAAGGTCCTTTGGAAGTCCTGTAGGCAAAGTCCGACTGCGCCATCTTCGCAAAAAAAGAGACGACTCCTTGTCCTGGGTATCGGGATGTCCAAGGGTTGAAAAAATTCGACACGGCCTCCGGGAACAGCAGAAAAATGCAGACAAACAGACTAGCAGACAAAGAGACACTTGTGGGCACAAGTGATGATCATGGAATAAAAGCTGGCGCTCTCCTCCTAATGGTTGTCCACGGGATGCTCCTGACGGGCCAAGTTTACTTGAGAGTTTGGGTAAAAACTGCTCTTGTCACCAAGGGATCCCACTGCTATGGCAATTAGTCCTTCCGGGATGTGTGGTCTCCGTGGTGCAGCGGTGTGTGTTCAGTCTGTCCAGGTGATCGCTCCGGAGTGTGGACGGCGACTCGCAAGTCTTTAGTCCTTGGAATGTCCAAAACGGGGTAACGTGAGGAAGCAGCTACTACCATAGCGTAATGCTTGCTCGGAAAAATGACTGCGTGGCAGATGGGCTGTCTTGCCAACTCCGGGGTTGCGAATAACTTCAGATGAAAGGGCCCTCGGTCCAAACGTGCTCCTCTAAGGCCGGGGGTAATTATACCTATGATACCTGAGGGGAGTGGCGAAGAAGGGTCCTTGTCTAGGTGAGCAGTAGCCGAAGCCTATCGCCAAGGCAGGGCGGCAGGAACAAGAGTCGACTGAGGTAGGCTCAACACAACTTCATTTGGCACCCTGCTTCAGGATCCACAATCCACGAGACCAGGGACAGAGATCTTCAAGCCGCATGCACGAGGACTCTCGTTACTGTGGGCAATTGCGAACCGCAACAAATCGGGCAACTGGAAAAAGGCAGGCATGGAGCACGGAGCGCGGCACAACTGCCAGCGATTACCCCCCTTGGGGTTCCGTCAAAGTCAGGGAACGCATCTGGAGCGTAGACAGCGAGCTTGGTGAACAGCTGGCCGGGGGGCCGGGGCCTCCCCTGGGCGCGCGCAATTGGGCGTACGGGCGGGCTTAGCAGAGTCTCCTAATCCGACATGACCTGCTTGGGTAAAGCAGCATGATTTGCAATTGGTGTGCAGGCGGCGCGGCTGTGGATTTGACCTGGGCGATAGGGCATCGATTGGGCCTCCACGGCTGTAACAAGAGGGTATGTCGTGGCCCAAAGGTTGACAGTCAATCCAGGTTTGGTGGAATCATGGAGGACAGATCATGCAGGGAAGCACCCAGATCTTCGGGCAGCGGTGACAGCAGCTGGGGACATTGGGCAGTGAAACATGGAATGGGGTGCCCAACCCAGGCATTGATGCCAGATACAGACGCCGTCTCACACAGCGGTAGCCTTGAAGTCTAAAAAAACACCTGCTGATAGGTCAGCTTTTCCATGACAGTCGGGCAGCCGATATTGGACGCGCTGGGGAGGAGACATGCAGAAATATGAACCTGTCATGTCCACTCGACCGAAGCGGCCGCGTCTGCGTGTCTCGAGTAAGACGTCGGGGCTGCGGTTGCTCGAGGTCCTGGCTGGTTTCCCGCACGAGAAATGGTGAGGTATTATTATGGAGTGCAACCTTGGAGAAGGACATGAGCCCACTGATGCGCCGAGGCTCGCAGTAAAGTTTCGCCAGTTCCAGAAGATGGTTGGAACTTTGAGCGAGCACTCCAACAAATTTCCCAAACTCCAGGGGCGGGTGAGATGGGGTCACAGGGAGACCCGAGCGGGGTCCTCGGGTGTCCCGGGCAGCACTCAGAGAACTGCCTCTCCAGCATGATGGCCAAAGATAGACCCGAGACTGCTGGTGCCGGTGTTACATCTGTCATCCTTTTTTAGTGATGAACCGCCCTGACAGGTCTTGTCATGGCTAGCATCGTCTTTCGGTAACATGCGCTCAGGGGCCACACAATGCTGGGATTCGCCGTGGCCGGAGCAAGACCGTTCTCGGGTCATCGGACGATCCTTGAGAGTTTGCTGTTGTGCCACAAGGCAATCGTTACGCTTCGGCGACGGCAGGCAGGCCATGACGTCTCGTATGTTTCGGCGTGCAACACATGAAGAGGAAGCCCTCGAGTCTAATGAGTTGTCGGTCCCGATCTGCTGGGAGAGCGGCCGTTCGGAAAACTCTAGCCCAGAAGACTGGCTCGCCCTGGTGCGAGCTAATATTAGGTCCCGAATACCACTGTGGCCCGGTGATGGTGTTCTCCGGTCTCCAGTCTCCACGATGCATTGTTGTCAGAGTCTACGGCCTCGTGGGAAATAGATCAGCTGAAACAAATTCCAGAACAATCTTCTTAACACGCGCCGGCTCAGGGACGCAGCTCGCAACCGCGGAGCCGCTTCCTCCCTCGCCCGTCCTACGCGGCGCTAGATTCTGACGCCAGTCGCGGTTCAATCTGCACAGCTCAAGGCAGCAGTATTTTGGCATGCAACTGCAAGGTGCTAAGGGGCAATAGCGTCTTCCATTTTCCTCCCGTCAGCATCCCGATCCACCCAGACTTCGTCCAACACAGGCTGCTGGCTCCTTCATTGTTAGGCCTAGTACACACCGAGTCCAAGGACACTGCTATGGGGCTTGTCGAGTCTCTGACGAGGACAATACTGCCTGGGGTGGTGCATGCGGCTATATGAGCGTCCGCTCTCTGGCAATCACCATGGAGAAGATGGGCAAGATCTACGCCATAGTATGGTTACTGGAGCTGAGTCCCGATTAGTCAACGGCAGGCTCGCAGATGAGTCTCAACAGCGCCTCGGGACAAGCACATGCCTACAGTCGTTGGCATCGACTGTCCAGCTTGCTCAACTTCTAGGTATCCTGTTGCCTAATGTGACCTTTCAAGATGCTTGCCCTGGACAATTAGCCTCGTCTTGGGACGCTGCGAGGCTAGACTGGCGCCCACGTGGATTCCAAGTGGCTGGATGCGGGCTCAACAACAGAATGTAAGACCTTAGGATCCTCGAGATGATCGATGCCAAGAGATCTTTGCGACGCTATCCAGTCCGTTCACGATCTGAAGGCCGTGTCAACGGTTACCAGCTTATTCCAATTCAGTAACTTGGCTGCTTTCTGGTCTGGGCGGTGTGGCTTTCTGGCTAGGCTGCTTCGTCTTGGTTCGAAGCGAAGGGATCTGGACCTCAGAGTTGCGCTGTACATCAACCGTAGGTGAATTCTTGTCGCTCAATATCGGCAGCTGAATCGACGTGATCACACGCTCAGCACTCCCCACTGCATTAAAGGACACAGCGCCGGCGTCACCGAGTGGGGGAGAAATCTGCCCCTATGGTCAACTCGAGCGCAACCCCCAATGGCGTTCTACGGATCGACGGAATTCTCGGTGAACCCACAACCGCAACGGCAACGGAGATACCATCGGCGGAGCCGCAAGGGATGTGTGAGTTGTAAGAGGCGTCACGTGAGGTGCGATGAGGCGAGGCCAGTCTGGTGAGTGACGAAGACATTCTTTCACCGGATGGTCCTGGCACGGCGGAGCGATTCAATTCCATCAAGCACTTGCACCCTAGCATCCGACATCTGGCGAGACGAGCGAGGGTGATCTTGAGGCTGACGAGCAGGGTTGACGCAGCGCGAGTTGTGTTCGCAGCGGCTCCGAGTGCTCATACTATGACCATTCTGCGTCGACCGGAGAGCAATCCGACTGTCGCGATGGTGATGCCAGGTTCAGGAACGCGGGGATAGGAGCCCAGTCCAGGGGCAGAGATACATCTGAGCCACTGTCCAGCAACGAAGAGGCTGATGCGAGTTTTGGGGTCGATGCCTTTACCACGACACTCTTCTCCGGTACTCCAGCCGACGTGTCGGAGAAGAACTGGTGGCTGTTTCGCGCGCGTATGTTCGTGTTCCTGCCGCTTTGTTCCCGGCTGGATGACTAACTTTGTCGCTGCACAGTGGCCCGGGAGAGCACCTCAGACTGCCAATCTTCACCATCGGCAGCAACGTTTCGGTAAGTGCCAACTTGCTCGTCAACACCCCCGTGATCTGAAAGGGACGTTGTCAGCTCGATTATCAATACCGTTCCATGCACGGGGTTCAAGCGCTTTTGCTGACACAGATCAGGTTGCCTCTTCCGCCATGGAGTCCAAGTCGCAGTGGGCGTGCCTTGTCCGATGTGAGCACTACTCAACAGACGTCTACAAGGTACATTCAAGTCCCTCTGCTGCACTTCAAGCAAGATGCCTTCAACTTTATCAAAACGCACCTGGGGGGTCCCTCCCAAGAAACGGGTGACTCGGTCATGGCAACAATTAGTTGTCTGTTGCTTCTAGAGGCTGCTTCGTGGGAGGTGAGGATTCCTTGTCTGGGGCCGAGGGCGCAAAGACCGCTTTCAATACTAGATCTGACTGACATCAATAGACAAACCCGGATGCCCTATCGGCGGTAGTCATGCACCTAAACGGGCTTGTAACGGCGGCAAACCACCATTGGGGCCCGATGGTCACCACCAAGTTGACCATATTACAAAAGTTCCTTGGGATGTGAGTGAAGCTGCGATAACTGCGCCGACTGCACGAGCGATGCTGACCGGAATTGCGCTACTAGGGCAATTGGTTGTGTCACGAGGAATGATGTACAGGGGCAGCTGTCCTCCATGGTCAGCAGTGTCAACCAATGTGCTTTGCCCTGCGTGCTATTCATTAGTTTGTCGCCCAAGCCAACAGACGCATGGTGGTGTGTGGACAAGAACAACAAGTCCGCCCGTTCAAATTGCGGACCCGCCAGCCTCTTAGGAAGCACTCGTGGACAGCAACAAGACCTGGGATTTGCCAATGCTCGTATGATCGCGTACATGTATCTCAGCTTAGTGCTCCGGCCCGGCCGCATGAGCAACGAGATCCTCGAATGTCTTATGGACTCCGTCAGCACAGTCACAGAAGGGTTTGAACGACGCGCGGTGGACGACTCTGCCGAGCAAGCTGCTGTCTTCTGGACTCTGATGCTCTCTCGCGCTGCCATGGCCAGCATGACACCAATGTCTGGCAGTGGCCCCGAGAAACTGTACTGGAAGCAGAGGCTGATTGACCAGAACATTCGCAGTGCGAGCGCGATGCTGCAGCTGCAGACATGGCCAGAAGCCGTTGCTGTGCTGAGGAGAGCCGCTTTCGCTGAATTCGAAGGCGAGCGAGAGCTCAAAAGCATGTGGGAAAGGGCAATCTCCGATGTAGACTGATGAGTCTAACCTCCTTCCTGCGGCTAGCCGGACGGTCTGGACGAGCGGTGCTGTGCTCTCGTACGCAGGAGCTTCACATGAGCTTCACACCCGAGCTGGGCAGCCACCATGTCCTAGAATAGACAGTCCAGAGTCCTAACATTGTGCCAGCAAGCGACCTTATCGCTCGATGTGACGTCGGGAACGCATCCGACGCGGCGACTGGAATCGGATGTGGGTGAACCGACCAACAATCGCGGCCGTGCAACGTTGCTCGCAACTTCCCACCCCTCCTCTGCAACAAGAGCCATTGGAGACGGATAGGATAGGATGTGAAGGGTGAATTGGACAAGTATGAAAGACCAGCCACCCTGCTACCTACGCAGTAGACGCCACGAGCCTCGGGTTTGACGCCGTCTCCCAGCCACAGAAACACGTAGATCAAGGCCGTTCGCGGTAGTGATAAAGCCATTGTGCTCCCGGTGGCTGATCGTCAGGAGAATTACTAGCACTGGAGCTAGAAAACAGGCTTCTCAAACAGCTAGGCGACGGCCCGGCCATGAAAATCGCTCGCGCATGACCGGTATTGCGCGTCCGGAAAATACAGTGCTCTGTCGACAGATGAGTGAGGGGCTGGTTTGGCTGAGCTGGCAGCTGGCTGGTCTCGCTCTCTGGTGACGAGGAGAACCCGCCAAGGGACGATGGTCATCAAGAGACGACCAGCATTAACGGCGCATCCCGAGGTTTCCGCACGAGGCAAGCCGGCATGAAGCAGCGGTGGGAGAGGTTGCCAATCATGGGATGGGCTTGGCGTGATAGAGTTGGACTCTTGCATGGATGCGTTGTCTTCGCTACTGTCTAGCTGGCCAGTAGAGAGGCACGACCAGCCATCCCAAGCCCTCAACCCGGCCTTTATTGGCTGGGAGAGCTTCCCGGACCAGCCAAGTTGGCTTTGGTGATGAAGCTTGAAGCGTGACGGCCGAGCACATGTCGCAGGAGGAGGAGAGAAGAGAGAGCGAGGGACGGAGAGGGCCCAGACTCCAGAGAGTCCAACTCAATGGGCTCGCATGATGCGGCCAGTGTGATGGCCCAGCAGCGGAAATGCAGGCAGTACACTAGGCCACAGGCTTCGTGTCAGCGCGTGCCAGCGAGCGTGGGAGATGGGATCTGGGGCAGGAGGAGCTGGCGATGGAGCTGCTGCTCGTGACGGGAAATGGGCGTGCTGGCGTGGTGGTCAATCGAGATGAGCGAGCTGAGGATGGCTGGATGGGAGGGGAAAGGGGCCATCAAGGAGGGAGGGCTGGGAGATTCATTGGCAGGGGTGCCGTGTCATTCACCAGCAGATGTTCAGGGTGCTGCGTCCAGTGGGAAGGCGCCAGCTCACGAGGGTGGGGCCCTTCCCTCAGCGCGCGGTCCCCACCCGCAACTGCCTTGGTTGTGCCCTGTCCGTGTCGCTGCAAGTTTAAAACCCAAAGCGGCCCCTCTCTGTGCCCAACTTCCCATCGTGCCCCCCTCCTCTTCTTCTCTCCCAACACACACACTGCACCCACAGCTCACCTCGCGTCCGGAGGCATTACTGCCCAACCCAGCAACGTCCACGCTGTTCCACACGGTTCCTCCTGCTGATCTCCCGCTGTTTTCGCCACTTCTTAACAACCTCTCCCATCGTTCCTGCTCGCTCGGGCTTGACTCGCTCCACTACTATCATCTTGCTCTCAAACAATCCCCCTTCTCGACCCAAAGGATATCTCTGTTTTGCTTTTGATCACAACCTCGTTCCACAAGGAGAACAAGCCTGTTCTGGAGAACTTTGCCGGTTGTGCTCGCGCCCCAAGGATATCAAACCTCTGCTGCCACTGCCGTGGTGCAGAGCAACAACAAATTCAGTTGTTCCACAAGGACCACGCGTGTATCATTCACCTTTGACAAATTCGTCAGGTGTTGATACCTTCAATCCCATTGGAATTTTGAGCAGCCGCTCTGGAGAGGATGACCACCGTTGTCACATCAGACCGTTCGGATACCATGTCTGGATACCACTTGGATAGAAGCGAAGTCCAAAGCCCTTCTAGGTATACTACACTTGCTTTTCCTTTGTCTTTCCCCTGGGAGGCGTATTTGTGTGCTTCTTGAGCCTGTCATGTCATGAGCCAAGTCTTGTTCAAACCACGAAACTGGATCCTTACCACAAACTTCCCGGACGGACAGGGAGACCCTCTCGGACCTCAGGACTAGAACCCTCATCCAGGAGCAATGGAGCCAAGGACTTTCTTTCTTGTACTGGACAATTGATTTTCCAATGGACATCACAACACATCCGGACAGGCTTCCCACGGGTTTCTTGATTCAAGAACCATACAAGGAAAATTGAAGCGCGGCCATGCGCTCGCATCACCAGATGCTCGTAAGTATCACCCTGAGCGTGCAGACTGCTATCAACAGGTTTTGCCCTGGATCAGTGGACTTTTTCTTCAGGACCACTTCAGTGCTATTTCCCCGGATACCCAAGGAGCAAATGGATTTCTCAAATGCTTGTTTTTCGACGACTCAGGAAGTGAACCCCTCTGTTTCCGTGGACGCATCGGCTACGTCCTTTTCCCAGGCCCACTGGAGGTTACTGGAGCCTCGAAGTCAGTTGAGGCACACCAACAGCTCGAAGCTCATGCGGCTTGGTCTGGTGGTGAGCCCCCTGACGTTGCAATCTAATTCTGATTGCTGTGCAGCCGCACGTGGATATCTTCCCGAAGGACTTGACCGTGGGAGTTCTTGGTCCCGGAGACCAGCACGCCAACCAAACCGCTCAAATGCTTTCCCTATCAGGACTCATTGTCTCTTTTCTGATTTCCGTCTCGGCCATTCCGGATGCACGCTGTGCTGTTTTCTTTCTGCGGACCAAGGCCTCGTTTATGTTGTCAGCTGGACTTCGACCCCTTGGGCAGGACGACCCAGCCGCAAATCGTCACTTCTCAGGCGTCCAGGAGCACGAAGCGTCATGAGTTTCATCCGTTTGATTCTGTTCCCGCCGTGCGCTCCTTTTCACGGCCCTGGACCTTGTTAACCCTGCCTGGATCAACCGGACCTCGAACGCCCCGCCATCTGGTCTATCGAGGAGTTCCTCCCAAGTTGGTCTGTAACAAACCCCACCTTGACGTTGGCCATTTGAACGTAGAAACTAACCTGTCTCCGCTACAGGAACAAAGTTGTTGCCAACTATGACATGTCTCGTTTTGTTTTTTGGTGTTTTCTTGTTCTCAAGCAACCGGGGTAGTGGAAAAAACAGCACACTAACCATGCAACCTGCGATTACAGTTATACTCAAGCCGGTGTTATGTCTCCCAACTCATCCGGGATCTTTCCTTTCTCTCAAACAGGACCATCAGCTGATCCTTCGGGATCAGCGTGGGACACTACGACAGTAGAAGGACCACAGAACTTCTTTGCAGACCAAGGAGAACCCGAGGATTACTCATTCACCATGGGCCACTTTACTGCCGGGAAACCCCAGACTTCTTCCGAGGACTTCCAGACCACATGGATGCCAGCTCCCACAGCTGAAGGTGGCAAGACTCACAAGGCTGAGCCTATGAGACGGATCTCGGTCCGAGGCCCTGCCAAGAGCCACCGGATCTCCAAGGCTTCCTCGAGCAAGAGCAAGCCAAGGCCCCAGTCAATCATGTCACAGGACGCTTCTATGGCGTCGAAATTTGACATCTCAGGTAATGCACACACGTTCCAGGATGGACCTCTTGGAAACGCCCGCATGATGGATGTTCCCCAATATCTCTACCAGCAGTCTGCCCCGATGACAACATCGCCGGAGATGGTCACGTCAGGCTTCTACCCCCAGATGGATGGTTTGCCTGTCAACGGACTGGCGTTCAGTGATTTCTCTGTGAACCAGCATGTGGACCCCAATGCGATCCCTCTGGACTTTGACACCAGCATGTCGGGTGGTTCACCCACTCACTCCTGGGACAACCTGAGCGAGGGCTCCTCGGCCTCAAAGGATGACGTCTGGCCGCTGGCCTTGCACAACTCGCCCCTGACGAGTGTTTCCTCCAACTCCCCAGCCCTTCAGTCACTGGACACATTCAGCCTAGGCGGACACGCCTCTCAACCCATGATGGGACCGGAGGACCTTGACGGCAGCATGATGCCTGCCATGGGAGACGACCAAATCTCTATGACCGGCTGGAATGGTCGCCGAACCGTCGGCGAAGGTGAGTCTGCGCGGGATCATCCACTCTACAAGAATGCGTATCCCAAGGCGGACGGCCTCTTCCACTGCCCATGGGAGGGACAAGCAAGCTGCAACCACAAGCCCGAGAAGCTCAAGTGCAACTACGAGTAAGTGACAGAAACACTTTGACTCTTCCGTATCCTGTATCCCGTCCTTGCGCACTAACGACCGATGTGACAGCAAATTTGTGGACTCGCACCTTAAGCCCTACCGCTGCAAGGTCGACTCATGCGAGAACGCCAGGTTCTCTTCTACCGCCTGTTTGCTGAGACATGAGCGTGAGGCCCACGCGATGCACGGACACGGAGACAAGCCCTACCTGTGCACCTATGAGGGATGTGACCGAGCTGTCCCTGGCAACGGATTCCCCCGTAACTGGAACCTGCGCGACCACATGCGCCGTGTCCACAACGACAACGGGTCCACGCTGGGCGCCCGCTCAGGACCCCCGTCGCCTAGCGGAAGCATCCCGAAGGACTCGTCCAAGACCAGGAAGAGGAAGAGTGAGCCAACTGGTAAGGCCCTGCCCGGCCGCAAGTCTCCCAAGCCGGTTATGGACTCGGAGATGCCCAAGGTCGAAGATGTCTCGATCAAGCTCCGAGGCGAGTGGGCCGAAATCCAGGCTGCCCTTCCTAACCTCGTTGCCGCGTTCCCCCAGGCGGATGACCGCTCGGTCTTGGACCACATCAACTTATTCAGGGACCGTCTGGATGCCATGACAAGGATCCACAATGATCTTTATGCCCACAACAACCCGGGTCTGGTCCAGCAGCAGTACAACCCTTTCGCTCAGCAATCCGGCTGAATGAATTTTGGTCAGTCTATTTTTTAAACGTCGACCTCGAAGGCGGACTGTATGCCACATTTTGAGTGACAGATATCTAACCATTGTACATATGACAGACGCCATTGGAGGAATTTGAAACACAGACTGCGAGTGCAAAAAAGCCGTCGACCCAGGACAGGATTTTGCCCATCATGAGATTGGGCTTCACCCATCATCCCCACGCTCCATGAGCTCAGGCCGTGTCGAGCGGGGATGAGGCTGGCCTCAAACCACTGCGCCGAGGAAGGCCCACTACCACGTGCGCCAACCGGAACTGCCCTTAGGGAGAAGATTATGCAGATCCGGCCCAGGTTTCAACCGCCTCCGGACTGGAAGATTCTCCCAGGGACTATCACACTGGCTTTGACACAGTCAAAGTCGCCTACCAGAGGATGACGCGCCGAGGACGCCGCCTCAAGGAGCGACCCAAAAAGGATATGGAAGCCGCCCAGCGCCACCGCGGGCGGCGATTGATTGTGTTGTGAAATTGATTGTTGTTGCATCGTTGCATTTGAGCACCAAAAAAAGAGAATGACTAATCTGCGTTCGAGGGATTTCGGTTCATGACGGGCATGTAAACACAACTAGAAGATTTTGTATCGAAGGGCAACCTTCGTTGGATGAACAGAACAAACCTGGGCAACAGCAACATTTTTGTTACATTTGGCTTATTCCCTTTTTCCTTTTGCTTTTTTTTCTCATGTCTCATGCGTGTTGGCGAGCTCGCACATTACTGTTTTGGTCATTGCTGTGTTTTTGAGGGATTTGATTTTGTGTTTGGGGATAAAAAAAGAATGAAAAAATACTTGGCGTCGAATCTTGTTTTCGATCTCGTCCCGTAGGCGTGTCATGTTCATGTAGTGACGTCCTCGTCGCGGGCGTCAACCAGCCTTCGTCGTCTCGGGCACGTCTGCGATCGTTCCGCAGCCCGAGTTCGCCGACGACGAAAGCGAGCAGCGAACAGAGGACGGCGATGACGAGCTCGAGCCCGTGCTCATGGCCAGCCTCATCGCCTCGGTGGTCCTCGCAACGGGTAGGGTAAGAAACTAAGTAACACGTGTGCACGTGTAAAGATGAGAATCGCGATGGTGTCGACGCGGAAAAAGGCTGTGCCAGACGGGGAGACAGACAACAGGCACCCCCTTTATATCCCTCACAACCCGAGGGAAGCCATGCCGTGTCTTATGTCTCATCTATGGCACCGACTTTTATTTTCTCGCCTCCCTTCCTTCGCACACCGACTGCCCCCAATTCCGGATGGGGCAGGGACGGGGCGACGATCCCCTACCGACCACTCAACCTCGCCTCGGGCCTGCCCGCGTCGCTCAACTTACACTGGTTGGCTGGGTCCCTGGGGCGGGTGGCAGTCGGGCACCGAAGGGGCCCCCTTCTTGAATGGACCGACTGCTCAGTGGCCCCCAGTTGCGCCGTCTCCTGCCGTCCTGGCCGTCTCGGCTGGGTTGGGCTGAGAGCTCTGGTGCGTTGGGCTCCATCGGCTCTCGCACTCTCACTCTCTCTTTGCCTTGTGCTGCTTATTCCCGACCGAACAACTGGGGCATTATGGATGGTAAGATGCGAGCTCCTACTATATTGGGTCTCGGAATTGAGCGGACAATGGGTTGTGGTCTACGCACGATACAGCACATACACCCACCCGTGGGACCCTTGACGGCCTGATTTGGACTGCAGGTGTCACATGGCCTTTGTGGAAGGGCGCTCTGTACGGGTCGGTTTCGTGAAGGGGCGACGTTGGGCTCCAGTGCATGCGTGCATGTCTTTCCTTTGCTCTGCTGCTCGTGGAACGGGGGACGGCGCTTACCTGCTTGCTTACCTTCACGGCGCGGCGGTCACCTTGGGCACGGTGATCAGCAGCCATGCAAGTCTGTCTGCGGTGGATGGAGGGCATGGAACGAGCTGTGTAGGTAGGTGTAGACAGGCCGACGGAGGGGGGCCACTGCGTAGGCTCACAAGCTGTCTGCTCATCAATGATCCTCACGAGAGAAGGGGAATAAACACTCTACCAATCCAGTCGGCCTCCTCCTTTCGCCACCTCGTCACCGAAGCCAACGGACCTCGCCCAAGGGTTTCATAGCACCGCACACACACCCAACAGCCATTTTCCCCATTCATCCCAAATCGTCCACCGAGGTCAGTCCACCCCCCCCCCCCCCCGACTCCCCAAGAAGTCGACACCTCCCTTCGTGTGGTAGTAGCGCGGTTTCAACAACCCCCCCCCCCAAGCCTAGGGTTCGTCCGAAAGGGCCCTCGGCCGTCACGCGGAACGAGTCCCATGGCAGAGAGCCCCTCCACAACGGGCGGGTTTGCGATTGGGCGGGTCCGATGTTTCGCAACTTGGGACGAACCGAATTTAGAAGCGGATGCTGCGGCGGGCGGAGGGAAAGAGGAGGGAACCATCAAACGGAAGGGGCGGCAGGCGAGGAGAGTGACTGACAGACGTCACCTGGTTCGGTGAATGGCTTCCATTTCATTTTTGGGGGCTTGGGAGGGGCGTGTGCCGTCTAGCCGGGGCCGGCTAGGTGATGGCTTCTATGGGAGAAGAGAACACAGGTCAGACGCCACTCACCTATCCCCGAAGGGAGGTACTGAGATTCTTGATCTGCCTGCTTCGGTCTGGATATTGTGGCCGTGATGGTTTGGCGTCGTGAACAGCACCTGAAGAGATCGTGGTGACGGCAGCACCACACATACACACATTGCTGGGCCCAGACTATTGTAGCGAATAATCTTTTCCGATTTGGATTATTAGGTTGGTAGCTATCTAAATGGTATCTAGACCAACAGACACATGCCGTTAAGACCTTGCTTCGTTGTAGCGTAAGGTGCGCGAGCACCAAGGAGCGACTGGCTGCCTGAGCAGCAGCAGCGAACCGAGAGCAAACCCCTCTCCTCCTGCTCTCCAAGTCTCCAAAGCTCTCTGAGTAGGTAGGTACTCTCGAGGGTCCTCAACTCGCGGACCAAACCCGCGAGTGACCCGGCACAGCATCTGCTGTGCGGCCGGACTTCCTCTCGCCCTCGCCCCCCTCTTGTTGCCTAAGCCGGTCTCGACCAGCCACGGGGGTGTGCAACGGAAGCATTTCTCATCTCCCTCCTGCCTGAGAGGAGAGGAGAGAGAAAAAGACTTCCAAAGGAAGGACTTTCGCGTATAGGACTGACTACCTTTTACTGTGGCGAAATTTGAATCGTCCATGAATAAATTTCTTCGCGGGAGGAGGAGGAACCACGCCTTGGCTTCCCCTTTCCCCGTCTTTCCCCCTTCACCCATTACCGAACGCGCTCTTCCGCGCCTTGTGCACGCTGATGTGCCCGTCCTCGTGCGGGATGAACTGGTACACGCTGCTCATGTGCTTCACCGCCTCGCCCTCGCTCGCGAAGCTCGCGTCCAGCACCGCCGTCCCGATCCGCGGCAGCGGCTTGTTGAGGTCCGGCCGCTGCGAGCTGGCCGTGCTGGCGCGCGGGCTCTTGGCCACCCTCAGGGGCGCGGGCACGGCCGAGGCGGCCGAGGCCACCGAGAGGTTGTCGTCGGCCGTGGTAGTGTTATTGGTGGTGGTTGTGTTGGTGGTGGTGGTTGTGTTGGTGGTGATGGTCGGCAGGGCCGTCCCGGTCTGCAGCGTCGAGGCGGTGCGCGGCGGCCGGGTCGGCGTCGGCATGCCCGGAATCGGCGGCCGCGGCTGCATCTGCAGGACCAGGCCCGAGGCCGACTCGATGTCCTGGAAGGTGGCTGTCGAGTCCCTCTCGGTCACGAGCCAGAAGTCGGGCTCGAGCCCCTTGCCTGCTGCCGACGGCCTGTCGAAGGGGTCCCTGCGGCTTTCTGACTGCTTGGACAACCAGTACCTCGGGTTCTCGAGCATGATGGGTAGGTAGCGGGCGACGAAAGGCTTGATGGCGGGGACGGAAGCACAGATCTGTTGATGTTGGCTGTGAGTTTCTTTGTCTTTCGTGGTGTGGACCTTTCAGAGGGGTGACTTACGATGCCAATGTACAGCTCAAGTGCGCTGACGATGATGATGTTGTATGCATTCCATGTCAAGTCGCGGGTGGGATCCGTGAGCGTGATGTGAAACATATAGGTCCTCACGGCGCCTGCTGCTGTGACGAAGAGACCACCCGTGAACAGGCTGACAATGATGATTTGTTGCTTCCTTGGTAGCTTGAGCCGGACTACGTATGGGATTGGGAGCATGACAATGAGGAAGTCGGTTGTGGTGTTGATGCATCCAGCAGCCAGCAGGTGCAACTCCTCGTTGATACACTTCTGCGGGACGAAGGAAAGCGTCCAATAGTCTGAGACTGGTCTGCTGGTTGGTCAGCGGGAAGTTCTTATTGCATGCGAGTAGGAGAGACGGACCGGCATTGAAAGGTCGTGATGAAGAAGAATATCAAACCATCTGTAAGAACCACAGCTGCCAGTGCCAGCACAACGTATCTGTAGCGGCTCCTGTCCGCGGATACCACTCGGTAAATGAGCGATAGCATGGACAGCTTGGTCAGCGATGTGGCGACGTCAAACAACAGCTGGTTTGCCAGGCTGAACGGGGCGTTGTTAGCAAACGGTATTGATGACAGTCTTATGCGAGCAAAATCCTACCTGAACTGCAGACTCGGCTTGGTCAACTCTATTGGTACATCCCAAACGTGAGTGCTCCAGCCGAATTTCCACATGGCAACGAACGAGAGCACAGCAAAGGCCGCCGTAGGTATCTGTTTGCTCGTCAGCCCCGGCTCAGAGGATAGAGTCGACCAAGGGGACCATACGTAGGCGAATATTATAAGCACATCATCCAGCCCGAAGCCCCTCGATATCCGCACGCGGGTGTATATGCGGACGATGAGGATGAGAGTGACGAGCGCAAGCAGCACGGAGACGACGATGGTCGCCGCCGGCCCTCTCCTCTCCGGGTTGGCATAGTTGGGCGTGGGCCAGTTCTGCAGGGCGGACAGAGGGAAAAGCATTGTCGTTTTGCTTTGATGACGGCCAGCTACCTACACGCCGAGCGGGGGAGAGACTCGGTGCGGGCAGCTGAGAAGCTTTTCGAAGAAGGGAGAAAAGTGGCGAGGCTTCTAGAGGAAAGAAAAAAGGCCGGCGGAAGAAGGGGATGTGGTGGGATGGAACGGCCTCTTTCAAGCAAACATCAAGACGAACATGTTCATGATCGGCCGTCTACGTCTGCACCACCGAGTCAGTCCTGACATTTGGGGACTGAGAAAGGGTTTCGTAAGAGAAAGGGTATGTGCTCATCCGGTCGTCTAGTGGCTTGTGTAGTACTTCAGACAGAAAACGGAAGGGGGGGGGGGCGAAGGCGGCGGTGTTGCGTTTGATACCAAGGGCCCATGTGGGTGGGAGGTAGAACATCATTCGGACGTAGTCCCTGTTCAGTCAAGGGCCCTGCCTCTTCGGCTCCGGATGAAATAGCATGAAGTGATACTATCCACGAGACCGTAGTTCATCAGTTGACACTAGCAGACAACTGCTGACGGGCGTTCCAACAACCTGAGGGAGGGGGATTTGACGTGAACGGGAAGGAAGGACAGGGCCCAGCATGTTGGCAGCTACTTGATGGTGCCACATCCTTGGTGACGAGCACGGATGCCTGTGCGTAAGAGAGAATGCTACAATGGATGTCATGAGGCACACCCCCCCCCCCCTAGAAGTGGGCAGCTGCGGACTGGTCAGTTTAGTCTTCTGTATGGGGATCGAGTGACGCACGGTACTGGTGTCAGCCACACATCTTGACCCTTGGCTACTCCATCTTGTGCGTTCGGTTCTCACGGTATCCGATACAACAGGTTTTCTTTTCCATGATGGAGGTGGTATTGTTCCAGATAAGGTAGGCTGTATCTTGTTTCGCGCTGTGGGTGAGTTGTCGTCCTGATGCCGCCGGCCACGTTTTCTCCGATTTGTGGTGTCCGTCCAGATTGTCCAGATTCTCCCCTCGGTCAGTGCCGAACCAGATCGAAGACACATGCACAGCCAGCACACCCGGGAGCCTCGCGGTCTACCACATTTGGCAGCCCTTGGTTGTTTTCTGTTTTGCGCATTAATGGCTATGCTATGGAAGGGCCAGCACCAGGAGTGCGGTCCAGAATATCTGGGGATGTGGCCAGGGGAGCGGGATCGCATATTAGCCTCCGGTAGTTGGCAGCTCCTCAGCGTTTCAAGCAGCGCACGGCCGGTGTTCGTGGTGGTCAAACTCGCCTAGCTTGACCTTAGTGTGGATATGTCACACGGCTAGGAGCGTAATTGAAATCTTGGGAAACGATGGTTGCGGTCCAGACAAACATAGCGAAACGCCCCAAGAATGTGGCACTCAGCTAACAGTCTTGCTGCGTCACCCAGCAGCACCCACCGATGTCTGCCGCAGGCTCTGAGGCTCTGGTGCGGTGTTGTGAGGTGGGCCTGCCAATACTCTTGCAAAGTCGTATTGGCGTGTCCTGATCGGAGCACGCTTGGACTTTGATGTTACCTTCGTAAAGTGTGGGAATTACAGACACGATCCGTCCAGTCGCGAATCTCTGCTCTCCACTTTTCCTTCCCTCTCTCCAGCAGGTGGACACATCGGAAGCGGGAGGCGTGTTCCCTTCCTTGGAGACCGATGCTTAGCTATCTTGGAATCGAGGCAGTGTGTAGGTGGTGTGCTGTATCTTGACACCGGATCTCAAATGCTTCGCCGTTCGTAGCGTTTCAATAGAGGCGAACCTATATGAAAACATGCGGTGAATCGAACGTGGTGGTGGTGGCCTTCGGGTCATAACTGGGTTTGGCCTAGCCTCTCTTAACTTTCGGCAGCGGGCCACTGCGCAGACCCAAAAAAAGAGCAGAGCACGAACACCCTCCATAGCATATCGATCGATGCGTGGGGAGGACTCCAACAGTCACGGTCTCCCTTTTAGAATCTGCGATGCGAGAAGCTTATTCTCCCCAAATTTTCCCCTCCGACTTCCTGGGATAAGGGCTTAGACGCTGCCAACACTCACCCGCCCATAGTATTGGCGTCGAGGCAGTCGAGACCGCCCTCGACTCGACGGGGAGGCGTGGAAACAGATCCCATGAGCCGCCATCTTATTGTTCGGGGCATTCTGCATGACGGCTGACCGAGATCATCGGAGATTTTATGACTGTCGTATCGCATTCGTCCCTCGGGTGCCATCCCAGCCATCGTTGTCCAACGGTTTTCAAGGTTCCTGCTGCACGTCAGCGGCCCTTGTCGCCGTATCTGAGATGGGGCCTTCCGGACCCGAAGCAGTCCAGAACTGGCGAGTCCGCATGGCCAATTGGAGAGGTGCTCGATGCCTGCCCTCGCGGCTCACCGAGACGGGCTCTCCGCGTGGACCAGGTGCTGGGATGGGTATCGAGCAAGGTGAGTGAGTGCCCACCAGAGAGAGAGGCCCTGAGGAGACAAACCCTGAACGTGGGAGCCCGGGTTTCGGAAGATGGAGGCCCTTGTGAAGATCATCGGCGCCCACGCCCACGCCCACGCCCACCCATCACTTAGGAAACGCCTATCGGTGAGTGGCCCGCCGTCGCCAACAGCCGTTTCAGACCCGCAGGCCCTCACAAGCTGCCGTCGCCCGCAGCGAGGGACTCGACGTGAAGAGCCAATCGCTTTCCGCCGTCGAGTTTGACAATCGGGGGTTCCCTCGACAGCCTCGTTCCCGCGGAGATCAAGAGCTTGTGCTGGCCCTTGCCAGGCCTCGTGCTGAACGGTTTGTGGGAACGCATGATGACAGATGCCAGTGATCTGCGAACTGTAACCAGCTACTCCAGCATGTGCTAGCTGCGTGGTCTAGCTCCCTCTTCTCGGACTTGGGAAACTCCAACCTGCACGCCATGGCTCATGCTAAGATGCCCTGCGTGCCGGTAAACCCCACCAAGCTTCACGGCAGTGTTGGGTGAGGTGACCGTGTCGCGTGGTTGGTGGCCCGGCCAAAGGGGCCCGAGGTGCACGCGATGCTGCGGTGGGGATTTACTGTGCCCGCCGCCGGCCATGGCGACCAACTTCTTGGTCTCGATACTGTAGATAAGCAGCGTGGCATCTTGGAGTGTACACCGTCCGGTCGATGCCCCATGAGTTCGTGGGGTTGCGACGTGACCCTGGTGCTGAGACGCCTTGCTTGAGACGCGCCGAGCAGCAGTGAGTTGGCAAGCCTCAGGATCGTAGACGTCAGTAATCGGCTATCCTGAGTGGCCTGCTGGCTGTCGGCACGATGAGCTGAATTGCCACCGGAAATTAATTTGTCCCCGAGCATCATGGCGGAAATCTAGCTGGTATAGATTCCCTATATCATATTCTCTTGGAAGGTGCGGTAGCAGCTGCTGCGTTCAAGATCTCTTTCGCCACTGGGACATGCCTGACCGCCAGGATCCAGGTTCACTATGATCGCCTCCAGTCGCATCTGCGGCCATATGGCTTCTCATTCCCGTTGCGAGTGCCTTACCTGACATCCGAGCGAGGAAAGGCATCACGGCCCGACGACAACGGCTTCAAGGATGAGCGAGGCCCACTCAAGGCACACACGGACATGAAGCTGCAAGTGCGGGTCCTTTCTCATTACCAACGATGAAACCAGTGGCTCGTGGAGGCCTGTCTTCGGGAGTGATGTGAGTCGGGACTCGTCAGAAGGTGGGGAGACCGTTAGAAAAACTGCCTGGCACTGCAACCTCGTCTACGATTAGGGGGGCCCACTTGTGTTTGGGAACAGTGGTAACCACATCAGTGGGGTAGTACGATGCGATGCGACGGTTCGCACCAATCGCGATTTGCCTGATGTGGATGGAGACACGCATGGAAATTCTTCACAGGCGACCAAGAAGGGAAAGCAGAGAGAGGTTTTGATCGGCTCTCAGAGAGTCCAAGTCGAGTCTCGTTCATTGTGATTGTCTAGCTGGAGTGTACCGCCATAGCATCCGGGGATGCCGATCTTCCGAAAGTTGCAAAGACCTCCATCACAAATCCGACGCAAACTTAGTAGAGACGCTTGGGGGGAGACATGGAAGCCTTGATGGTCAGGCTTCCAACGTTCTGCCAGCCCTTCTTCAGCAGGGAGACGAGGTAGTTGATGGCAAGCATGATGTTGCCGATCAGCTCCTCCTGGTCCATGCCGACGTTGCCAACGGCGACACCCATGCAGAGCACCTTCTTCAGCTGGAACTTGATGGTGGACTTGACCTCGGTGATCTTGTCGGTGAGGTTGTCGGCGTGGGAGACGGGGGTGGGGAACTTGCCGGCTGTTCGGTTTGTCAGTGTTTATGGTCTTCTCTCGTTTCTTCCCCAACCCAGGAGGCTCAAAAGTGGAATGTTGCGTACCCTTAGACAGACCAGGACCCAAGAGACGAGGAATCTGCTTGATCAAGGTGTCGGAAGCGATGAAGGCATCGTACTTGCGGGCGAGCTTCTTGATGAGCTTCTTGTTCTTGTTCAGCTTCTTCAGGTCGTCGGCGGACATGGCGTCGACACCACCGTGCTTGGCACGGTCGATATCGTGCTGGTCACCCAAGATGCAGATGGACATGTTGGGGCGAGGCACGGAGGGCAGCTTGATGGTGCCGGAGAAACGCTTGTCGCGCTGAGGGTCATAGTTCTTGAGGCCGATCTGGAGCTCGACGGTTTCAAGGAAGTTACGCTTCTTCTCAGTCGTCCTGATGTTTTCATTGTCGTCAGCGGTTGAGGTTTCAAGAGAAGATCGTGAAAGTTGCCACGCACGAGGGGGAGGGCTGGTACTCACGAGTAGTCGAGGAGCTCGACAACATTCTGGCGCACTCCGGCGACCGTGATCTTGGACATCTTGACGGTCTTCCAATAGAATTCTAAAGGTTCTAATGGTGAGGATTGTTGCGCCTTGTTGTTGACGAAGGTTCGTTGATGAGGTTGGTTTGGTGGAGCGAGAGAGCTAGTGAAGATTTTTGGGGCGACAGCGACTTTTCAATTTGGCAGTGGGGTTAACGCTGATTGGTCAAGCCAAGTGGGTCTGCATCACGTGACTCAAGACGGGTTCATACCGAAATTGAGGATTGAAGACATCGGGAAATGCGAATCACCAGCGTCGAGAATCACGTCGGTTCATTGATTTGGCATATGAGTGAGTGTAATTTGCAAGATCTATGAAGTAGTGACAGACAATTGAGGGTCGTCATCACACAAGGCCTTGTGCGACAAGGTCATCGAGGGGATCATCCCAAGAATTGTGTCCCTCAAGAATTCCCCCACAGGACATCTGAAGGCTAGCTTAGTATCCCATAAGAGGTAATCCCGTGATGGACTGTCCATGGCAGATTATCCTACGGCAGTCTGTCCCACACCGGGTTGTCCCATGGTAAGTTATTCGGCAGGTGGTCTCCAAGAAGAGATCCCAGCAGGTTCTGCCACATGACGGTATCCCAGATGAGGTTATCCTGCAAAAGGTTGCTCCAGAGGAAATGATCAAGTGAGGTTATCCCGTGACATGTTTCCCATAGTAGATTGTCCCTCAGCAGGGGACCTAGATATCAACAGCAGATCCCCGGCAGCCTCATTTCGAACAAACGTGCTGACGACGACGAAAACAACAGGGTATCCCACAGGAGGCTATCCTATAGGAGGCTATCCCATAGGAGGTGGTCCCATAGGAGATTGTCCTTCACCTGGTAGTAGGTTACCCCATAGGAGCCCTGGAGGTCGTCCCGCAAGAGCCATCCGAAGGCACACCATCTCGATGGGTGCTATCCCACTACGCGACGGTAGGACATCAAGGAGGCAATACTCCGGTCTGCCAAGGTGACTCCCACGATGCAGCAAGCACTCATGCACGCACACCTGGGGTGCCCTGACTGCAAATTCTTCCCACGGCACACGCAAGACCAGAAAGTCCTGCAATGACCTCGACACGGGCGCGACGCTCCCGCAGTGGTCGGCAGACATTCGCAACACCGCGACGAGCAGGGCAGAATCTGCAGGCATTTTCACACGCGTCGAGTGGGTCGCTCATTTCCTACGCAAGAACTACTGCCCTCTCAAAACCATGACTACCACATCCTACATACGTTGGCATGTCGCGACCACCCCACCGCACTGGACCTAGAAACGAAGTCCAGCGCGATAAAAGAAGGGAGAAGGTGATCAAAGAAACGTTGCTCAAGGAGGCCGGGAACGGAAGAAAATCCATAGAGAATATGGGAAGACCCTCAGCAAGCCGCCGTAGCGGAGCCTCCAGTTGTTAGATAATCTCTGGTTCACATGACGGTGTACCAGAAATCCTACTGATAAAGAGGGAAAGAAGAGAAAAGTTTCAAAAAGTGAGCGCCGCGCTGAATGAAGTTTTATGCTGGCCGATAGTGGGGCCAGGCCGAACTAGGTTAGGCGCAGCTTCGTTATCTGCTATCGGTGGGGACCCACCCAGCATCCAGCGTCTGGCGGGCAAAGAGAGGGACATAGATCCAAGCCCACATGGCCGTGGGCTGATGTACAATTTCCTGCTACGAATTGAACTGAACCGTAGTGTGAAGACATCCGTTGTCCCACTGCAGTGATCATTCGTAATGCAGCTTTCATGAGACAGAATCATCGCCCCAATGGAATTTGATTCACCTCGCATCGACCGACAGCACACCAACATGCAATGCTCACTCTCACGCAGCAGTGATGGTATTCACTGTATTCACTGCATCCGTTTGATACTCATGCCACTCCAACAACTCCTTGCTTCAAATGTCTCGTCTATTTCTTGAGCCCAAACTCTTATGTACCAAAACGGCCATCTCACTTCTACCCAAACTCCTCAGATCTTGGAACCACCACCAACAAAACCATCTATCACAGCCGTAATCAGGCGATTCGCAATGGCCGTCTGGGGCGGCAACCGCAGCCCACCCTCCTTGTACCCCGGCGGCGCCGGCTCCCCGAGCCCAGACACCCCGGACTGCAGCGCCTCCCTGACCTCCTCGGTCGAGAACCAACGCGCATCGACAAGCTCCGGGTCGTGGCCGAGGTTGATCTTCTCGCCGTCGCCGGGCGCCGCCTGCGCGATGGCGCCGATCATGAGCGAGGCCGGGAACGGCCACGGCTGCGAGCTGTGGATGACGACGCGGCTGAGGCGCACGCCGCTCTCCTCCCAGACCTCGCGGCGCACCGCCTCCTCGATCGACTCCCCCGGCTCCAGGAACCCGGCCAGCGTGCTGAACCAGTGCGGCGGGAATCGCTTGTTGCGGCCCAGCAGCAGTTTTGTGCCGTCGGCGCTGACCACGGCGACGATGATGGTCGGGTCCGTCCGCGGGAAGCAGATGTTGGACACGCCGTGCCGCGAGGGGCAGTCGGCCCGCTCCGTCAGCTTGCCGCCCGCCAGGTCCGTCGGCGGGCAGGTGCGCTTCGTGCCCGCGTTTATCGAGAGGGTCTTGCAGCCGCAGGACGCGCAGAAGGGGATGCGCGTGTTCCAGTCCAGGAGGGACCGCGCGTTGGCGTATACGGCAGCTGGGGAGTATTAGTGTCAGCGAACGCACTCTGGGTTCAAGTTGTGGGTGGTGTGAGGTCGTGCTTACCTTCACTGGCTCCCAGCCCCATATGCCGTTGGTTCTGATAGAACGAGTATCCCTTTGCCTTGACCGCATCGATGACCTTGTTGGCTCCCCCCGCGGCAGAGCCCTTGGGCGTGATGTCGACGGCAAAGTACGGCCTGCCCTTGTACTCCTTGTACTCAAACCCGGGGTCCCCCTCCGATGCCGGGAGCTTGTGCGCCTCGTCGAGGCCGAGCAGCAGGATGAGCGGCTTGAACTCGTCCGAGTTGAAGTCCTTGATCATCTGCTCCTCGCTCTTCTCGAAGGGATCGGTGCCCGTGAAGGGCGTCACCTCCGGGTATCCGACATAGGCGAGGCGGCGCCGGGTCTCGTCGACGAGGGGCGCGAGCTCGTTTAGCAGGAGGAAGCGGGCCCGAGGGGTGGGAGAAGGCCGAGCGCAGGAAGGCGTGGTCGGACCGCAAGAAGCCGACGCGGTTCAGGGGGCTGCCGGCGAAGTAGTTTGACAGCTCGCGCCCGAATTTCCTGGACAGCATCGAGTCTTCAGCCTCCAGGATCGGAAGATCGGGGATGGGCGCTCCCATGATTCTCTCTCCTCGCTCTCTCGAGTCGCGTCTGTTTGCTTTGAGGGGGTTTGGGGAGGCAGGGTTGTTGTGGGATCGGCCGTTCGCTCGTCTGTGGAAAATGAGGCTTGGGACTACCTGCGAGCCAGAATAATCACCTCGCGCCGAAGGGGTAACAGGTAGGGAAAGTTGGACACCGCCGTCGGGCCCATCGTCATGGACGGGATCTCGGGATGGTGGGGTCCTGGAGGGGCGATCACCGAAGCTGATTAATGCGATTTTTTTTGAGAATCTCCGAGGTTCTGGGGCAGACTGCCGAGTCGGCACCGGTCAGATCCGGATCTATCACCGACATGAGGAATCTCATCAATGTACGGTACCACATTTGCTGCAGGACTGGTAATGGCCCACACCATCCACATCGCTACTTGGCATCCTTATTCTTAATTTGTTGTTTGGGTTCTACCCTCTTACATATTATCCTTGCAGCTTACTCTTCAAGTTGGTAAACCTCAGGATATTTGGGCCGTACTGATGTAGTACCAGCCAATCCTCCCAATGATATGACACACATCTGTGTCATCGAATACTATACCACATCGGATGCCATGCGTATGTGGCCAGGCGTCGGGAGGGCTTAGATGGGCTGTGTTGCAACAGGCTGTAGCACGACAGCAGAGGCAGACATCAACCTCAGGCTAAACATATTTCAGGTGACATTATTTGGCTTCGAGGAACTCACCGCATGGCTGAGATGCGACCATTTGGGTCCAGATAATCCAAGTCCATAGAAATCAAGAGTACAGCTGCCGGCGTTTGGATGCCGAGCCGCTTCAAGATGGCTCACTAGAAGGGGCCGTTGCAAGGAAGTATTGCGATAGACCTGGACCCAAGCATTCGATGAAATTAGGGCTCAACAGTGTGCTGCCATCTGGAGTCCTCACTCGTAAATTGGAAGAGTGCTGGCTGCAGACAATTTCAACATCAGCCCATGATCCATCCCCGGCAGTGCCCACACGGTGTCTGCGTGGTAGGAGTGGACGCAGGGCAGTCTCCAGATGAGGTGGCCCACGGGACAAATATGACGGAGCCATGACACTTCCAATCGAACCGCGAACGAACCAGACCCACACTTGTTCCTCAGAAGGTAGAAGCATTGTCTCTTCTGCTGAGCGTCCCACATCTGCAACTGCAACGGTTAGTGGAGCTGCGTACCCCCCCCCCCCCGCCCCACTCAGATGAGAAGAATGGCGTCTGGTCTCTTCCTCCTTCAGGCCTCGATTGCATACATTGATGTATGTCTTGCTTGTTGACAAGGATAGGTATACAGACACCAGATACAGTAAGTAGGCTACAGTACAGTATCTGCATATCTAGTGTACATGACCCGCACATCTCAACAGCAGGGCATCGGATCTAAACTTGATCTCCTCCCGTGCCTGGTCCCAACTCCCATGTTCGGGACTGGGACCTGCAGCTGAAGGGCCCGCCCTACCCCGCATTACCCCGGATTCTGGGCCGGGCTTGGTGTAGCCTGGACCCAAGGGGGCAAAGAGGTTGCAGTGGCGTGGGTCCTTCCCTCCCCAATCTCCCAATTCCAATGCCTGCGCCGCGCTCGGAGCTTCCGCACGCTGTGCGTCACTCACATGGAAAATCCTGCTGCAAGCCTTTTTTTGCGCTCTCGTCTTTCTCTCCCTCTTTCTCACCCGCTCTTGCTCCTCCTTATCTGAGCCGCCTTTTCTTTTCTTTTTTCTTAATCCTGATCACGCTTCTCTACTAGTTCTGGGAGGGTTGCTGCTTCGTCCCTGGCCTGATCTGTGTGTGTACCTATCTCCGAGTATATTTCCTAGCTGCTTTTCTTTCCGCATTGGGCTGGGCAAATCGCATTCCGCACTCAATGGCGCCACCAACGCAACCACTCAACCTTGACGTGGAAGCAATCTCAGGAATTGCCGGGTAAACACAACCCCCCTTGCTACCTCGCCTTGCTTCTTCAAAACCCAAAAGACACACTCATGGCTGATTGCGACCCCTCTCTGCAGATCTATCTCCATTGCATGCTGGGTCGTTGTCTTCAGTCCCCAGATCATCGAGAACTTCCGCCGCAGCGCAGCCGACGGCCTGTCCCTCCAGTTCGTCATCGTCTGGCTCGCCGGCGATGTCTTCAACATCCTCGGCGCCGTCCTGCAGGGCGTCCTGCCCACCATGGTCATCCTGGCCATATACTACACCATCGCCGACATAGTCCTCCTCGGGCAGTGCTTCTACTACCGGGGCTTCACCTGGAAGGACGAGGTTGTCCCGCCCGCGCCCAAGAAGAAGAACAACGGCCGCGCGAATGGTGGTGGCAATGGCAATGGCAGTGGCAATGGCAACCACAACAACGGCCGCGAGCCCGACGAGCGCACGAGCCTGCTGGACCAGCGCGAGCGCCGCGGCTCGGACTGGTCCGAACGCCTGATCCACGTGAACCCCATCGTGCCCATCAACGAGCCCTCCGCGACGCCTCCCCCGCCCGCCTCGACCCTGCAGGCGGTGGCCTGGAACACGGTCGCGGTCATAATGGTGATCGGCGCCGGCGTGGCGGGGTGGGCGCTGAGCCGCGGCTACGGGTCTGACAAGCAGAAGCACGACGGCGGCGAAGAGCCTGCGGGCGGCGACGACGCGATCCACTTCGACCTGTGGGGCCAGATCTTCGGGTACCTGTGCGCGGTGCTGTACCTGGGGTCGCGCCTGCCGCAGCTGCTGCTCAACTGGCGGCGCAAGTCGACCGAGGGCCTGAGCATGCTCTTCTTCCTGTTCGCCTGCCTGGGCAACCTGACCTACGCGCTGTCCATCTTCGCCTTCGACCCAAAGTGCTATGGTGAGGACACCGGGTGCGAGCCGGGCGAGGCGGGCAGGGTCTACGGGCGGTACATACTCGTCAACCTGTCCTGGCTCGCCGGCAGCGTGGGCACGCTGCTGCTGGACATGGGCGTGTTCGTGCAGTTCTTCCTGTACGACAAGGCCAGGGACGGTGACGAGGAGGACGATGTGGACGGGAGTGCCATTGAGGACGATGGTGATGATGACGACCAGAGGAGCATCGATGGGGACAGGTGGGACCAGAGGCCGATCCTCGAGAGGAATCAGTCCGAGTGGTCTGCTTAGGATGCGCCTGCTGGCTATCCTGCTTCCCGCCCTCGGCTCATCCGGTTCAAGGACGGAAGACAACCTTTTGTTTTGATTCAGTTTTGGTCTGCTTGCGGCGTTTTGGCTTTGGAAACAGGGAAAGAGACAAGAGGGAAAGGGGGTTGGAAAAACAAGAAACGATCGGAGTCACGGCGTTCTCATTGCTTGGTCATCAAAAGGGAAGTCAAGGACAATCATCGTCATCGGCATCATCAGCATCGTGTTCGGACATGGGAAGAAAAGCTTCGAAAGAGGAAAAGACGGAAAAAAGAATGGGGAAGCTGTCACTTGAGCATCCCGGGACCACGATCCGCGGTCTAGTGATCTACAAAACCTGGCATATCTCGACTCCATCCCGCCGACAAATCCCTGTCCCACCTGGACAGCGGCGCCCTCCGCCACGCTGGAGCTGCGTCCGTCCCCCTGGATTGTTGAACCCTAGGTAGTGTTGTTGAGTTATCAGGCGCAACTTGCCGCTACTATGCTATCCAAGACCGGTTGGGGACATGGTTTCACGAAGACCCGTTGGAGCGGCTGCTGCGATCCTGCCGGCGCGGGGGGAAAGACTACCTATTTCCGGTCAAGGGTCGAGGATAGTTGTTGTTCAGTCCCACGGGCTATTCATACTGCCCGACGTATGTCCTACAGGTCCAGTCCAGAAGTGGTTACAGTATAGGGCTAGATAGACACATCTCTGCAAATCCCTTGGCTGGGATCAAGATGGGAGTCTCAGATCTCCGAGCCGAATAGAGTTCCTCGATCCAAACCGTTACAAATACGTGTTCCAAAGACAATCTGCCTAGCATTTCTCACAAATGGCCGGCTCGCACCGGGACAAACAAACAGCGGAGGTGGGGGAAGACTGTTTGTCGTGCCAGTCGGATTGCTCTTCTTATCTGCTTGTGTCTATGTCTCAAGCTCCTACACCTCTTCAAAAGTCAAAGCCAAAACAAACAAGAAACTGGGAGAAAGAATGGTCTATGAGCGACCGATGCAAGCCGCATGCGTTCCGAGCCACCACTACAGCGAGGGAATCGTTTCTCTGGGTATCGATCACCACCAACCCTCGCTGCAATCCTCATTCCTCTCTCCTTGATCAGGTGTCGAGTCTCTCCTCTCACACCTAATAGCGTGTCAGGAGGTAGAAGTTTGAAACAACAAGAATCACACAACCACAACACTCCAGCCTCCTGTCAATTTCCACCTTCTTGGAACCATCCCGTAGTCGTATGTATGTAAATTACACTGAGACAATCAAAAACATCCCCCCCCGGGGGAGGGGGGTAGGCGGGTGAGCATCATCATCATCGTCACCTTCAGCACCACCCGACTCGACGCCCGAGGAAGCAGATTCCGGACGCTAGCGCCGTGACGCCGGTGAAGACGATGAGGCTGCCGTAGCCGCTGCCGTACGCCAGGGCCGCCTCGCCCTTCCACGGCATCGAGTAGTACATGGCTTGGCTAAGCGGGCCCGAGATGACGTTGCCGAAGCCGCGGCCCGCGGCGAGCATCACGAACACCATGATTGGGTCGACGTGCTCGGCGTAGGAGCCGGTGTACTCGGACAGGGGCGACTCGGCGGGCCCGAGACCGTCAGCACTACCACCGTTGCCGCTGCCGGCTCCAGCCACGACATCTGGGGTGCTGCTGCTCGACATATCCTTGCCGGCCACCTCGCGCATGACTCCGGTCCAGGTGGTGGAGAAAGAACCCGCTGATAGGCCGTAGCTGACGCAGAAGACATAGACCATGGGCATGTTGAAGGCGCACCCCCAAAGGAGGAAAGTGCCGAGTGTGGCGCCGACGGTGGTGACCAAGACGCAGGTGGTGACGTGGAAGCGGTCGATAAGCCATCCAACGCCAATGCAACCAACGACAGAGGAGATGTTGAAGAGGAGGATGCACAGGGCGGTAGCGAAGTGGGCGGCGCCGAGTACGCTGGCCGAGTAGATAGGGATGTAGATACCTGGGATGTAGAAGCCGACCGCCTCGATCGTGTTGGACAGCTGGTACATGATGAAGCGGCGCGAGAGGCAGAAGCGGAAGTTGAAGGCCTTGAGTCGCCGCACCGGCAGCGGCGGAACCCGCGGCTTGATATACCATGCCAGCGGGGCCGTGATGGCGAACAGCACCACCGCCCAGATAATCATGGTCGTCTTGTAGCCGTAAATCTCAAGCAGCTTCTCGAGGATCAGCGGCAGCACCACGCCGGCTAGCCCCGTCCCGGACCACATGATGCCGTAAGCAAGGCCCTTCCTCTTGACGAACCACTCGTCGATATACATGATGCAGGGCATATATGCGATGGCTCCGCCGATACCGTAGAAGACCCCCTGGGTGATGATGAGCTCCGTGACGTTCCTGGCGTAGGCGCTCACGAAAAGAGCCGCGCACACGATGAACAGTCCGATCAGGGGAGAATACCTCGCCCACAGCGGGAACATGCGGTTGAGGACGAGTGCTGGCAGCCCACAGAGGTACATCAGACCGGAACAACACGTCCCTTTAGTCTAGCTGTCAGTCTCCGATAGAGCTGTGTAGACGGACCCATGCCACATACCTATGTTGGCTATGGCTGTTGAGCCCGCGAAAGGGGCTGTCCTGGCATAGTAGCCCGAGAAAATGCCAAAACAAAACGGATAGCCTGTGGGTCAACGAGAGACAAGACTGCGTCAGCTAAGCTCTCTTGCGGAAGCTCTTCGAGTACGAAGGGATCCTGACAGAGACATCTTGTCTGATGTCATCCGAGAAAAGGGGGAGAAGGGGTGGGGGAAGAAAAATGGGAATGGAAGTGTACTTGCCCCATATCAATGCCTCGAGGATGAAGCACGCCAGGAGGAATAGGTAGGCATGCTTCCCCTGGTCAACAGGGGGAAGACACTCGAGCTCGAGGCGGTGGTGAAGCTGGACCAGGCTGAACTCGTCGGCATCGCCCTCTCGTGTTGACGCGGCGTCCTCAAGCTCAGACACCCTTGGGCTCGTGGAGACCAGAGAGAGCGTGGGCCTGGGCCTGGGCTGCAATTCAACTTTTTCCGAGTTCAGCTTCATGGTGTCTTCGTTGGAGCATGGAGGAAGAAGGGTAGGTTGAGTGCCGCGTGCTGGTACACAAGCAGACAAGTGACGACTTGATATATAGACGGAGCACAGGTCTCTGCCTCTGTCTCGTTGGCGAGGAAGGGAGCGTGGTCTGGGAAAGACACGCAGGTGGCGACGACGATCGGAGGAATGGCGTCAAGACGTTGAAAAGAGGACACAACACATCAGGGGGGTACCCACCGATACCCACGATCGTAGGTTCAACGGCAGACAGACCAACACAACAGCAGCGGCGGCAGCGGCAGCGGCAGCAGCAGCAGAAGCAACACCAGACACACACTGCCCGGGACGGTTTGGTGCGGACGGGACAGGCAAGTCATTACGTCCCTCCGCCAAGTGTCGACATCATGACGCCTGGCTGGTCACAGTCACAACTGGTAGCCCAGACCAGTTCTCAGGTGCGCTGTACGCCGGTACGCTGTACGGGAGCACCCGCGGCTGCGCAGACAGAAAAGAGACGTCGACGATCCGGATGTCCAATCCATTCCATTCCAGGGCCCCAATTTCCCAGCCATTGGACACATGGCTGCTCTCCCCGGTGAGGTCAGCGCCGCCCTGTATCCCCAGGGATCAGCGCCATCGCGGCCGTCGAGTGCCGTGTCTGCGTGTACTGTATGATATACTCGCTCGCACGATGACAGCAGACCTTCCTCGCCCTCCCATCGGAGCATGTGGGCCGTCTAGCATCGTGGACGGGGAGGAGGGAGGGAGCAAAGTTGAATAACCCCCCAGTGTGCCATCTCGCCAACGGGCTGTCATCATCGAGTACAGATCTTTGACGGTGAAGCATGACAGGCGCATCTCCTTGGGCGCGGGCACCGAGGAGTCGCACTGGCGAAGCACCCGGCCACGGTCATGTTCCCCAATGGCATACGTCGACCGAGACGATGGTATCGCCTGGATGGTGCTGCTGTTGCCGGCGCACATGCAAGCGATAGTGGACAAGCGGGCAGAGGACAGAGGACGAAGGGCACGTCACCCATGGCCGGCAGAAAGAGCTTGCGAGGCGCATTCCAGAGCGAGGCTGTCGTTGTTTGTGGCCGATCATTTCCCGACCTGTCTCGAAACGTCGTTGATTTGGTCGCTGACGAGGTTGGGAAGGTGAGACCCCGTGGACCCTTGGGGAAGGAATAAATCCGATTAGACCCGTGCTGCGTAGTGTAGTTGGTCGTGACAGTGAGCACCAAACGGGCGGGCGAGCTGGCGAGATGCCTGCCAGGCCGCGGCGACCAGGGATGCCTTGTGCGCTCGGGGAAGGAGGGAAGATGGAGGAAAGGTGGAGTTGTTGGAGCTTGTGGAGGTGGTTCCTTCCCGTGGGGGTTCGCAGGGGGTGTCTCAGAGATGCCGAGGCAGTCCACAGCTAGCCGCGGGGACGATGGCTTCAACCACATGAGCTCCATCCAGTCGTCCATATTCGTCCTGCCTGTCAGACTGTTTTACATCCAAAAAAGATCCTCGCACATCCCTGATTCATACCTGTGTCTCAACCTTTTTGATCCCACGATCCGCTTACTCTAGTGTAGGTAACACAGCTATCGCCTCGCATTGGCTTGTTGCTTGCTCTCTCTTCCTGACTAACACCGTTGTCTATTTTGTACCAGTACCAGTACCAACACCAAAAGACCAGTATCTGTGCCTGTGCCTGTGCCTGTGCCCGTACCCATCACCGCCATCGACATGGCAGACTCCGTCATATCCGTCGAGTACAAGGGCCGCATTGCCACCATCACGATAAGCAATGAGAGGAAGCTCAACGCCCTAAACCAGCAGCAGTACTACGAGATAGCAAAGGCGCTACGTGAGATCGCGACCCACGATGAGGTGTACATCACCGTCTTGCTCGCCAAGGGGCGCTTCTTCTCTGCGTATGCTTGTCTCACCAGCTCCTCTCTCCTTCATTCCGCCATCCGGGAGGCCACCAGGCCCGCCCCCTTTCGCCGGCCCGGCTCGCCCTCGCCCTCTCGTCCTCTCATCTCATTCTCCCAGCCCACCTGACCGGAAGGTCTTTTCTCATTCCCCCAGAAAAAAAAAAACAAGACATACCAATCTGACATCATCTGCCCGCCCGGGCCCCCCCAGCGGCGCCGACGTCTCGATATCCAGGCAGGCGCCCGAGACAGAGACCGACGTCCGCCAGTACTGGATGCGCTCCTTCCTCGCCTTCAACCTCAACATCACGCAGGCCTTCTACACGCACCCAAAGGTCCTCGTCGTGGGGCTCAACGGGCCCGTCGTGGGGCTCTCGGCCGCCATCGTCGCCCACGCCGACTTCATCTACTGCGCGCCCCACACCTTCCTGCTGACCCCCTTCAGCTCCCTCGGCCTCGTCGCCGAGGGCGGCGCCTCGCGCGCCCTCGTGCAGAGGCTCGGCCCGGCCAGGTCCAACGAGGCCCTCATCATGAGCAAGCGCATCACCGCCGAGCAGCTCGAGCGCGCCGGCTTCGTCAACGCCGTGTTCCAGACGGCGCCGAACGAGGACGCAAAGTTCCGCGAGCTGGTCCTGAACGAGGTCGAGGAGCGCCTCGGGCCACACCTCAACGGGGACAGCTTGCTCGGGATCAAGAAGCTCATCCGGCGGCCCGAGAGGGACGTCATGGACGTGCAGAACGCGAGGGAGGTGTTTGATGGCCTGGACAGGTTTGTGGCTGGGATACCACAGGTAAGTTGGCCCGCCCTCAACTTGAACTCTCTATCCAGGCAAAGTCACTGGTTGCTAACAGTCCTTGCTCTCATCCAGGAAGAGTTCAGGAAGATCGCCTCAGGCGAGAAGAGGCATAAGTTGTAATGTGGTTGATTTTGTGCTGTGTCACCGAGCAAATGGTAATTAGAGGGGCCGAAAAGATAGGCTTTGAATTAAAAACGCATCTGGGTATATACAATCAGCTCAGCAGACCAAACAGCAAGCTGGTCCTCTTCCAGTACTCCTGCGATGACTTGTTCAGGCGCTGCTGTGAAGATGTGCCCTCGAGGTCCGTCTTCTTCCAGACGGACTCCTCTAGCTCCTTGAGCCCATCCGGGGTCTGCGCCGTGCTTATGGAGAGCCTCAATACGGCGGCATCAAAGAGCCACTGCACCAACAAGTCCCGCCGTAGCTTCTCGGCAACCGCTGCTTCTGCAGTCGCCTCTGCCTCCTTGTCTGTATTTGACTCATCCACTGCCTCTGCCTTGCTCGTTTCGGCGTCCTCAACTGCCTCTGGCTTCTCATCCGTCACCGACTCTTGAGCCGCCTCTTCGCCACCTTGCTTGTCAACTCTGCTTCCCTCAGCAGACTCCGTAGGCGTCCCATCCCCAGATTTATCCTCCGTGTTCTCAGCCGTGTCCTCTTTGGTCCCATTCTCAGCCTTGTCACCACCGGCCTCGACCGCAGGCTTTTCATCCTCAGGCTTAACCTCGCCTTCCGCAAGGTGCGCCTCCAAAGTCGCCGCCCACCGCCCAGAGAGTTCCTTGCTCACATGCCTCCGCAGAACCGCGACAGCGCTAGGGCTCCACAGGTCTGTGCCAGCATCGCCCATCGCCACGGTCAGATCGCGCAACAACCTGAAGACGCCGGGCGACGGCGAGGTCGGCAGCTCCGGTTCGCCCTCCCACAAGCTCCGCCCAACGACTTTCCTCCTCGTCAGGGCGCCGCTCGCGAAGCTCTCCACCGGCGCCGCCGCGACGGTGGCAGCCGTGACCTCCTGGAGAGACGGGACCATGCCCAAGCCGAAGCCCTTGACGGACTCGAGCTTTGGCAGCCTCGCTCGTATGTCCCTGAGTATCCGGAGGAGGTACATGGCGATCTTGCCACTGTTCTCGCCCTCCTTGTTCGCGTCCCACAGCTTAGATAAGTGCTCGTCCAGCTCCTGGAATGACTTCTCCAGCGCGCTGTGCAGCCTCTCCTGCAACTTAGCCGGGTCGTCCCTGCTGAGGGCCTGCTGTCTCTCGTCGATGGTCTCCTCATCCTCGACCTCGTCAACATCGTTGTCCCACCTCTGCCTCTTGAGCTGCTCGACCACCCCCTCGACGTCGTCGATGACCTGCGCCCACGACTTGTACCCCGTGACGGCCCTGGCGACGGCGTCGTTGCGCCCGTACAGCCGGTTGACGACGTCGAGGGCAAAGGGGCCCGCGCCGTGGTGCAGGTCCATGTCGAGCGAGCCCGTGTCCCACAGGCTGGGCTGCGCGTCCGTGACGCCCGCGCGCCAGACGTCCAGCGTCGCCGCGACCTCGGACCCGACGAGGCGCAGCTTGTGCACCTTGCCGTCCAGCACGCCGGCCACGTGCGCGTTGATGGTATGCCGCAGCCGGCCGAGCATCACGGACGGGTCCGACCCCCGCGCCTTGCCGCCGTCGCGGATCCACAGCTGCAGCACCTCGGTCCGCAGCTCCGTGATGGCCTTGAACTCGGTCGTGCGCTCCAGCGTCTTCTCCAGGCCTTGGAGTAGCACTTCGCTGCCCTTGGCGGTCCACTTGGTCAGCATGTCTACGGCTTGCTTGCCGTCGAGGTCGTCGTGCCGGATCGATGGCTTGTAGTCGGAGATCTCGTCGCCGCACCACCGTTCGTAGATATCTAGCCTCAGGCTTTCGAGCCCGCGCAGAGAGGCGTCGGACAGGAGGGGCTCCTTCTTCAGGGATGACAGGGCCTCGGTGAGCTTGTTGGGAACAAGGTACTGCACGTCGAGAATTGTCTTGGTGTAGAGCTCGAGTCCCTTCACAACATCCATGGAACTCCGGTGCTCTTCGACGTCGAAGACCGACGCCATCGCACTGCCACGGACATCCAAGAAGTGACGGATGACATCCCGAGTACCGGTTCCAGTTGCCAGGCTGTGTGCGCAGAGGGCCTTGAGCAGAAGGTCCCTGCTGGTATTCTCACCGACCGTCTCCAGGACTCTATCAATGCTCCGCAAAAGCCGCTTCCTCAACTTGTCCAGGCTCTTTGTAGACGCCCCCAGCGCAGCCTTGATCTCAACACAAGGCTTATTTTCCTCAAAGCTCTTCACCAGTAAGCCCCCCAGAACAAGGACCTTCGTCGCAGTGACAAGCCTATCCCCATCCTGCTGCCCAGCCCGCCCCTGCAGCAAGCCCCCAAGAACCAAGACGCACTCAGCGAGTATCTTAACCCTCGCAGCATCGCCAGAGCTCCGCCTGCCAAACCTATCCTCGCAGACCCCGTCCCGCTCGGCGGCAAAGCGCCCCAGGCCGGCGACCTTTCCGCCGACGACGGCCCGCCCGCAGCGCGCGCCCATGCGGCCCAGCACGCCCTGCGCCTCGTCGACGTCGGCGCGCATGCGCACGATGGCGTCGGCGGTGCCCAGGAGCTCGCGGTAGCTGCCGCCGACCTGGGTGCGCAGGCGCGCCTGCTTGTCGTCGATGGCGACGTGGATGTGCTTGTGCAGGCTGCGGATCTGCGGCAGCGTGTAGGAGGGGCTGCCGCCGGCGGCGGAGAAGATCTGCGACGAGGACGTCAGGGCCGAGAGGTCCGGGTCGGGGAGGTTGGACGACGCCATTGTCGCGGTGGGTTTGTGGTGGGTGGGCGGCCGGTCGGTGGGAGAGTCGATTCGATGGGCGGATCAAGGGGCAGCTGAGCTGCGATAGGTAGAGACCGTGGTTTACTTGGTGGGTTATGGAGTTATCATGGCTTTGTGGATCGATCTTCGTTCAATTGATCGTCAAATGGCCTTGAAGGTCGTCTTCTCGCGCGTCGGTTGAGTTGGTTGTAAAGGGCAGAGATGCTTGTAAGATTCGGCGTAGAGCCCAGTTGCTGTCATTTTGGCCAGGGTCGCTGGAGAACAATCTGCCGATTCGGCACCGCTCAGCTCAGCCTTGGACAGCTCGAGTCCCATCTCAAGTTCACTGAATTTTCTACCATGGTCGAAGTTGAAACCATACATTTATTTGTAGTGTTCAATAATTCAGTAATGCCAAGTTTGCCATCCACTACAGCTTGACACTCTTGATCAGGCCCGTCTTGATACCCGTCGTCTCTCCCTGGTATCCGCCCTTGCCCTCTCCTCCTTGGTACGTGGCCTTCATGCTCTTGAGCTTCTTCTGCCTGTCCTCGTACTTCTTCCTCTTCTTGACTCTCGAGTTGCGCACCTCCTTCTTCCTCTTGGGTGCCAGGCCCTTGTTCTTCTCTATCTGATAGTTGATCTTTCTCTTTCCGTCGGGCCCGACCGTCTCCACTTCCACCACCCGATCCCTAACGCTGGCCGCTGCGAGTGCCTCCTTGCGCGCAGCCTTATCGTCCTTCTTGGACTTGGTCCGGTGCGCTATCATGTCGTAGTAGTCGTCCTCTTCGCCTCGCACCTGTTTGGCCACGGCTTCGTCTCCACTGCTGTCATCACCGCCCAGCTCTGTGCCGTTCTTGGAGTCCTTCTTGCCTCTCCTCTCGGCCTCCGCATTGAGTCGGGCTGTGCGGTCCTTGAGACGCTCGCGGTAGGGGAGATCTGCGTCACCACCAGCATCGCGACCTGCGTCAGCGCGGCGGCTGGCCTTTTGCACGATCTGCGAGGTGTAGAAGCGCAGACTCTTCTTCTTGGCAGCCTTGTCAGCAGCAGTTCGTGCGTCCAGGGCCTCCTCTTCGCCAAAGTCGGAGTGGTCGTCTTCTTGTGTTTGTGTGACAGTCTTGACCTTCTTCGCCTTCTTGGGCTTGGTGAGGAGGGTAGAAAGATCGGCAAGAGACTCCTCGACCTCCTTGGCCTTGGCAAGTCTCTCCTTCTCTGCCTTCTTCTTCTTCTTTTTGCGGTCGGCTTCGGCCTTCAGGGCCAGCTTGGATTTCTTGATAGGTCTGATGTCGTCTTCACCCATCGAGATATCCTCCTCGGCCGAAATTATATCTGGCTCTTCGCTTGCGGACTTGGCCGCCTTGAGGTCTCGGATCTTCTGCCATGCCTCCCGGCAGCTCACCAGTGTTTCCATGACTTCGTGGTCTCGGAGCTCCGCTGGACTGAGCGAAACTGTTGGTGCACCTGCATCTCGCGCCGGGGACGTCAGAATAGCAAAATAGCTGGCGAGAGAGGCTACGTAGCAGCCTAGTATCCAGTGCTTTACCACCTCCAGCGACTGGGCAGGCTTTCCCTCGGCCTCCCGTTGTAATTGGGCGAGCTGTGGTTGAAGTTTCTCGAACTCTTCGACGAGTGGCACGAACTCGGGATACCTCGCTTGCAGGATTCGGTACCTCTCGTTCGTGTCCATGTCGTCCGTGACCTCGATGTCTTTCAGCTCCTCCGTGACTACGTCAGCGCCCTCTTCGGTCTCTTCGGCTGGCGCCGCCCATTCGTTCTCGTCGAAGATGAAGTCAGCCTCGTCCATTTCCGCCAATTTCTTCTTTTGCAGTCGCTTCGCTTCTTTCTCCTCTGCGAGGGCGTCCGCCTCGGTCTCGATGGCATCAGCATCGTAGTACTCCTTCTTGGAATCGCCCCACCAGCCATCGTCGCCCTCCTCGTCGCCCGACTGCTCCTCATCATCGCCCTTCTTCTTGTTCTTTTTAGTCTGCTTCTTGACGGCCTTTTGCAGTTCTTTGTATTCGGCTTCCACGTCGGATTCGGATTCGCTCTGGCCGTCGTCCAGGACCTCCTCGTCGGATGGCTCCAGGAACTCGTCTAATCGATCGTCTGTCCTCAAGCGCTTGGATCTTGGTTCATCCTCGAGCATGATCTTGTCTTTGTCGAGGAAGTACTGCTCCTGGTCATCGGCGATGTCTTCATATGTGCGGATGGCAAGGCGTGCCTCGGCGGGGTCGACATCTTTAGGTCCAGACGGCCCTGAGGCGCGTGAGACCTTCCTCTTCTTAGCCATATTGGTATCGTGAATGAAGAAGTGCAGGTCAGCGTCAGGATAGCTGTGCCTGACGAGACTGAGAAATTTTGGAGGCACTGAGGATCTGGAAGCGCTAAATTGAATGGGAACGGCTTGAGCGCATCCCCAGAATTTTTTTGGGGGAGTGCTGGTAGCGATTAGCGCTTATCGGCGCGATAAGACAGCTTCAGCCAGGCACAGCTGACAGGGATCTTCAGGGTTCCTGGCTTACTCCTACAACTACGTGAGGCTTACGAGAAGTCAACGGTGCCTCAGCCAGTGACTTGTCATAAGTCGAGCTTCCGAATCTGGTCGAATGATTGATCATATCACTGGAAGAGTCTTGAAAGCAGCCGGATCAACTCTGTTTTTTCCAGCTCAAAAATCAACAGCTTCCGTGACCAACGGCTCTTGAAGGTCTACTTCATTGGCCCGGCTCAGCTCAGCTCAGGCTCTCATCTCGGAATCCTGCTGCCTCGCGGCTGAGATATGAACTACATAACTTCTCTGGAAACCTCACACATCAGCATCGCAGCTGCTGGTGTGGTAATTGCGCTCCTCATTGTCAACATGGGACTCTTCGGAAAGAACCAGCTGCCTGTTGAGGGCAAAGTATGGCAATGATTCTCCCATCCATCTCACGTTGTACACGGCTGACGAGGGTGCCAGACTGTCCTCATCACGGGAGGCTCTGAAGGTATGGGCCTGAGCGTGGCACGCCAACTAGCAGCCAAAGGGGCAAACGTCATAATTATTGCACGCAGCCAGCAGAAGCTGGATGCTGCCCTGGCTGAGATCAAGGTCAGTGATGATCGTGCTCCTTGGGTGTGTACTCACAAGAAACTGACTGACACACTAATTTCCCTACACCAGACCGCCGCCAAATCTCAATCCCAACGCTTCCATGCTATCTCTGCGGATGTGTCTGAGCCAGGCTATGCTGTTGGCATCGTCTCCCAGGCTACGGCCTGGAACAATGGCCAGTCCCCGGACATCGTGTGGTGCGTCGCGGGCATGTCAACACCCATGCTCTTCCACGAGGAGGGCGCCATGACCGAAATGCGCCGCGAGATGGGCGTCAACTTCTGGGGCGCGAGCGACATGGCCCACGCCATCCTCAGGGAGTGGTGGTCCCCCAACCACAAGTACCCCAACGAGCCCAGGCACCTCATCTTCACGGCTTCAGTGCTGGCGCTGTACGCTCTTGTGGGCTACTCGCCTTACAACCCAACAAAGTGGGCGTTGAGGGGACTGGCCGACACCCTGACCCAGGAGGCAATGCTGTACCCAGACCAGCCTGTCAAGATCCACGTGGTGTTTCCGGGCACGATCCTGAGCCCCGGGTTCGAGAGGGAGCAGAGGTCGAAGCCTGACATCACGCTGGAGCTCGAGAAGGACGACCCGAAACTGACGCCGGACCAGGTCGCCGAGAGGGCGATCGCGGGTCTGGAGGCTGGAAAGCACTTCATCACCGTCGGCATACTGGGCGAGCTGTTGCGCTGGGGAGTCATGGGAGGGGCGCTGCGGAACAACTGGCTGGTCGACACGCTCATGGCCTGGTTCATGGCGCCTGTGTGGTTCATCGTGCACCTGGTGATGCACGGCCAGATCAAGGGCTTTGCGAAGAAGCATGGGCATCCGAGTACATATGCTAAGAAACTCTAGGTCTCTCACCTGTGGTTAGTGGCTGGGAATATGTCGGAACTTTTCAGTAACGATCACGATCTGTGGTATACATACTATGGCAAGGCCCGGCGAGAATGTACCATTTTCTTGGACGCATATCTGGTTGATCTTGAATCTGGAGGCCCGTACAAGCAAATCGCTGCTATAATTTCATTATGATCTGTGTAATCTCTCTTTGGAGGAAACGGGGCTGGAAAGAAAGCCTAATACATCCTTACTTTTTCCTGAAAGTGTGTCATTGGCTAGACGTCCACCATTGTTGTCTCCTCAGGAAAACCTTATCAAGGTACGGGGACATTCGATATTTGACTGAGGCGCACTGCACTAACCAGCAGGTTCGTCAGACCAAGCTCAAGGTCTCCTTGGCCCTCTATTCGCGGACTACACAGTAGCCGTTCATCCATTCTTGATCTCAGGCAGCCCTGATGATGTCCGCCGCCTTCTCGGCCACAGCGTACACCGAAGACAGGATATTGCCACGGGGGATCAGAGGGAATATACTGGCATCAACAACACGGAGGTTCTCCGTCCCATAGACAACCAGCTCAGGACTCACGACACCCCCCTTCTCCCGAGGCAGCATAGCCGCCGAACCACACGAGTGATGCGCGGTGGTAGCCGTACCAAGGACATACTTCTTCGCCCCCTCCAGGTCCCCAACCAGGAACGCATCAGGGTGGTTCCGCCGTCCACCAGCCTTGAAGAACGGCGCCAGCGCCGCCGACGGCCGCAGCTCCGTCTCGAGCGCGCGAACGTGCCGTGCGAGGATCTCGAGGTCGGCCGGGTGCGAGAGGTACCGCGGGTCGATGGCCGGCGGGGCGTCCGGGTCCGCGGACGAGATGTGCGTCGTCCCGCGCGAGAAGGGGTGCGACTGCGCGCAGCCCAGGCTCGCGAAGTTGCCGGGGAGCAGCTGCGTGCCCACGAAGCTCTTGCCGCCCTCGTGCAGGTTCGTCTGCGCCAGGAACATGAACCAGCCCGCCGAGCTGCCCTCCGGGCTCGAGAGGATCGAGCGGATGACGTCTTGCTGCTCTGCGTCCTGGGGCCGCTGCGGGGGTGGGAGGCTGTCCAGGAGCCCTGCTGCGTCGGGTGTGGGCATGTACGCGTGGGACTGCATGCCGCCGATGGTGAAGGGCCCGGATTTGTGCTCTGTGTAGAGCTTCTGCGCTTGGGCGAGGGCTTCGGGTTCCTGACGCATCAGTGGATCGCCGGTGATGACCTCGCCAACAACCTCGTAGCTCATGCCTGTCATCAGATGGTCTTGGAGGTTCTCTCCCACCCCTGGAAGGTCAATGACGACTGGGATGGCGTGTTTCTCCAGTAACCCCTTGCCGCCGATGCCCGAGAGCTCAAGAAGCTGCAGTACCTTGTCAGTGAGGCTGAAAAGTTTCTGGTACATCCGAGGTCTCATAGAAACTTGAAGCAGCATCGAGACGGCCGTAAATGCCCCAGACCAGGTGAGCAAATTCATGAAACACGCACCTTGGGAGTGTTGAAAGCACCGGCCGCAAGAATGACCTCCTTCTTAGGAGTGAAAGTCTCGACCTTGCCGTCAATGAGGGCCTGGACGCCCGTGGCCTTCACCGTGCCAGCACCTGTCTCCGTGAACAAGACCTTCTGGGTCTTGGCCCCAGTGATGATTTTCACATTCGGACGCTGGCGAGCAGGCACACCGTGCGCTGAGCCGGCATAGCTCCGCGTCTTGGTCTCTGGATCGACGGTGGCCAGGTTGCCGTCATGTGTTTTGGCCATTTTATGTCTCATATTTCCAGATATGCGCATTTGCCATTTGCAACACAAGCAGCCGATGTATATGGCATATAGGTCTCTGAAGACGGTCAAAAGTGGACCATGTTGTTCACACTTGCATACCTCCGTTTGTGGCTTTGTTCAATCCACGGAATGCATCGATCCACGCCTTACACAGTGGATTCTGTATGACACCAGGGAAGGACACCTGGATGGGACCCGATGTACCGCGATACTCCTCATTGATCCAATCAATACCAAGATGCTCGCGCGTGGCCTGATCCGCCGGGAGCACAAGATTGTACTCCTTCTTGTACCACGGCGCCAGGCCTGCCCAGTCCCACCCCGGATTGCCCAACTTGGCCCAGCCGTCGATCTCGGCCTGGGCCGGGGCAATGAATGCCTGTCCGTTGACAGCTGACGAGCCGCCGAGGGCCTTGCCCTGGGGCGCTCGTATGGACCGGCCGCCCAGCCCTGGCTGTGGCACGGTCTGGAATTGCCAGGTGGCGTCGGAACCTATAAGTGACGTCCAGAAGGCTGGGACGTTGACTCGTGGGTCAGCGGTGAGGTCATCGCCGGCCTCGGGAACTAGGACCTGAATGGAAGGGTCTTCGGACAATCGATTGGCGACAAGTAGGCCGGGATGTTCCACCTCCTATGATGATGTAGTCCGGAGAGGGAGAAGCCATGATGGCTCTTAGTTAAAGCAAGAGTGTCGACGTATAGAGAGTAGAGCTGGGGCAAGGGGTGACTGTTGGAATATTCTATATCTAGGCTATTATTAATACGGGATATCCTTTTCCCCATATATTTGCCACTGTATAAAGGATAATAACTATAAATAAGGGCCTTCCCTCCTATAAAATAAACGTTAGCTAACCTAATAAACTAAGCATTTAACGCTATTATTTCAAAGGTTATAAGCTTTAAAGCTAACCCAAAATAATAACGTTAACCCAATATAAAAAACATACATTATATAACACCCCTAATTACTACTACTTCTTAAACCTTTTAAATAAGATAAGCTCCACACTTAAAAACATACCTTTTAATTAATTACTTAATTAAGCTAATTAATAAGCCCTTAACTAATTAAATCGCCCCATTTAACATTACAAATCAACCTCATCTCCTAACCAAGAGCCCACACATAAAAACCACACCTCCTCTACCTAAACACTCAACCGTTTCTCCACCAATACTCAACCTACCTATACAATTTATATACTATTTAAAAGCCCTTCTTCTTCTCTTTATAACTATATTACTTTAATACCTATATCTCTATTCCTTAACTCATTAAACGTATCCGGAATTTACTATATCTTTCTCTTTATTATCTTAATTATCTTAATAAATACTTTACCTATTTACTTTAAAATAGCATTCCTTAATAAGTATAGTATTCCACTCCTTAATAAAATAGAAAATTATATATATTAAAGCGTTAAAATTTAAGCCTAGCTTAAGAAAGAAAACGCTATTAAGAATAATTTTAAGAATCTTTTTTAAGGCTTATCTTTAACTTAAAATAAAAAAGCCCTTATTAATATTAAACTTATATATAAATAAGGGCTTATTATATTTATAAAAGATATAAATAATGCTTAAAAAGTATAAAATATACTTAAATCCCATTATAAACCCTTTAAATTTATAAGCTAATATTTACTTTATAAAGAGTTCTTTAATACTAATCTTAATAATTTTAAGATTATAAAAGAATATATTAATAAGCTAAAGCTTTTTTTAAAAAATCTAAAGGTTAATAATATAATTCTTCCTAAATAAATTATAATTAATTAAATTCTTTATAGCTTAAATAATAAATATATTAGCTTTATTTAAAATATAACTTAAAGTTTTAAAAAAGATTTAAACGCTTATATAATTAAATCTTTCTTTTTTAGCTTATTAAATAAAAGCAAAGGTAAATCCTTTAAATTATTTATAAACGCTTTATATATAAAGAGTAAGAAAAATAAGAAAAAGATTATTATATACCTTAATTATAAAATAAAGGGCTATACTTAAGAGAATTGCTATTTCCTTTATTTAAATAAGGTACTTACTAGCTAGAAAATAAATAAATAAAGAAAAGAAAAGGAAAAAACTATTTTTTTAAGAAAGAATATAAGCTAAGAGAAATAAAAGAAAATATAAAAGCAACTTTTAGCTTTATTAGTTAGCATAAAGTTTCCCATAGCTTTAAAAGGCGCTTAAGAAGAATTTATAGCTTATATAGCTATAAATAATTTAATAAAAAATACTAAATATAATAAAAATTTATTAAATCTCTTATAACTTTCTTTTAATAACCTAATGGAAATTAAGGTAAATAACCCCTTATATACCTTATATATATATATAATAACCATAGTAATTAATAATAAATCTATAGGAAATTAATAATATATAAATTTTATAGAAATAGCTATAAATATTGCTATAAATATAATAAGTTTTTAAGATATTTATTTCTTTAATATTATATATATAATTAATAAAACTGTAAAATGGGGTAATGCAAGTATTATATTTATAAATAAAATAAGGGATTTAATAATTAAGTTTTTAAAAATAAATATTATAAAGAAATTTTTTAATATATATTATATACTTTCTTTAAGTTTAAATATACTTAGTTATAAGTATATAAATAATAAAATTAAACTAAAATTAAAAGAAAATATTATTAAACTATACTCTTAAAAAATAAATAAGCTAATAACTTAAGAATATTAAAAAGACGGCTTATACTTTATAAAAATTAATATAATAAAATAAATAAATAAGATTAAATATACCTTTTAAAAAATATATATAACTTAATAAAATTTAAATATAAATAATAAAAATAAAGAAGAAATATATAAATAGCATTATAAATTAAGCTATATAAATATTTAAGCTTTAGAAATATTTCTTTAAAAATATAAAATAAATATATTAATAAATAAACCTATTTAAGAATATATAAATAATTATAAAATATACTTAAAAGTTAAGCATATAATTAAAATAAATAAAACTAACTTAAATAACTAAATATATAATATACTTAAAAAAATATATAATAATATAAACGGCCCCTTAAAACCTATATATAATAAATATAAATATTATATATTATTCTTTAATAAAAAAACTTAATATTTAAAAGTTTCTTTGCTTAAAAATAAAGATAAAGCATTAAAAGCTTTTAATAATTATAAAAATAAGGCAAAAAATAAATATAATAAAAGAATAAAAGAATTCATTATTAATAATAAAGATAAATATATAAATAAAAGATTTAAAATCTTATTAAATAAATACTTTATAAATTACTATATAATATCCTTATATATAAAAGAATTAAATAAGTTAATAAAAAGACTAAATTTAATTATAATAAATAAAGTAAAAAGCTTTTTATATATAATAAATTTACTTATATATTTATAAGGAAAAGCAATAAAATATGCTATATATTTATATAATATTATACTTTATAAAAACCTAAGGTATAAGTACCCTTATAAAGTAATAAATAAAAAAAAGCCTTATATAAATAACTTAAAAATATAAGGATTTATTATATATTTTTAAAATAATAATTATAAAACTAAATTAAAACCTAAAAATAAAAAGGGCATATTATTAAATATAGTCCTAGAATTAAACATATATTAAGTATAGGATATAAATAATAAAAAGCCTACATTAATTTAAAATATCCAGATATTAAATAATGCAGTATGGATGGGTTACGGTGAATCTGCAGTGAATTCGCCGTGAATTCATGAATGCCTATGAATTCATAGTACTTTTATAGCGAATTTACTGTAAATATATAGTTTCATAATAAATTCACCGTATATATTTTTAAATAAAGAAATTCCCTGTAAATTTACCTTAAATTTATAGGGGATATTAAATTTTAAACCTTTATTTCCATTATTATAATAATTATAATTATATATTTTAGCTATATAATTATCTTATAAAAAGATTAAGTAAATTATAATTATTATTGCTATAATATTATAATATTTATAAATTAAGTTATAAAATTCTTAATAATTAATAAGTTAAGTAAATATTAATTTAAGCTTTTTTAAATTATTAAAAAAAAATAAGATTTATTATAAATTTATAATAAATATATTATAAATAAAATATAAACTTAATATATAATTTCTTTTTATATTTTTATTATTATTTTTTAACTTTTAATTAATAAAAAAGTATTAATAATTATTTTAATTATAAGTAATAATTTTTAAATAAATAAATATTTTTTTATTTATTATATTTAAAAAAATATAAAGTTTATTAAATATTATAATAATATTTATTATTTAATAAATTCTTTATAATTATTATATTATTATATATAATTTATTAAAGCTATAAAATCTTTAATTTAAAGTAATTAAAAACTAAATAATAATAAAAAGAAATATTTTAATTTTAAAGAATTAAGTATTAAGCTTAATTTTCTTAAAAATATTTTAAAATAATCTTTAAATTTAATATTTAATAAATATAAACTTAATTAATAATTATAATTATTATTATTAATTATATTAATTAATAAAATATAAAAGCTTAGCTATTTATTAAAAATTATTAAATAAAATTTATTTAAGTTAATTTTAATTAAAATATATTAAATTTTTATATAAGTTTTAATAAGTTATTATTTATTTAAATTATAAAGTATTAATTAAATATTATTTTTAATTATTAAGTTATATATATTATACTTTATTAATTTATAATATATAAAATTTATATTTTATAAATTAATATTTTTATTATATAATTAAGAAAATTTAAAAAAAAATTAAAATTATAAAGTTTATTAAAAATTTTAAAATTCTTTAAAATCTTTTAAAATTAAGTTTAATACTTAAGTTATATTTAAAACTTTAATTCTTATATTTAAATTTAAAATATTATAAAGAAACTTAAAGTATTAATATTATATATATTTATATAAAGCCTTTTTTAATTCTTTATAAAACTTTAAAATTTATAATTCTTAATTTAATTAAAAAATACCTTTATTTATATAAAGTATAAAACTTTTTAAAAAGAATAAAATTAAATTAATAAATAATTATATAAATAATATTATTTTAAGCTTTTTAAGTTAATTAAGTTAATTTTAAAGTTAATTAAGATATTTATAAATTTATTAAAATTAAAGTATTATATTTTTTATAATTATTTAATATAAAATTAAGTTAAGTAATAAACTTAATTTTATTTAAAGTATTTAATTAAAGAAATACTTTTTTTATTAATAAAGCTTTTTTAATTAAAAAATTATAAAATAAAAACTTAATAATAAAAATCTTTTAATTAAATAATTATTATATTTATTTAAAATATTAATTAAAAAATAATAAAAAAAATTAGCTATATAATTATAATTAAAGATATTAAGATTTATTAAATAATAATTATTTATTTAAGCTTAATAATTTTTATAATAATTAAAATTTTAAAGATATTATTATTAAGTAATTTAAATTATATAAAAATTAAAATAATTTTTAAAATTTAATTTAAATATTTTAAGTTAATAAAAAAGTTATTATTTAAAAAAACCTTTAAAGCTTTATTAATTAATATAAAATATACTTATAAAATAATATTTATTAAAAAGCTTAGTTAAGTTATAATTTATCTTTTT